CGCTAGCGCTAGGGCCGCCGGGTATTGATTGGCACTACGCGTTAGTAAGGGGCATGCTCGCTATATAGGAGCGACCCCAGTGCCACCCTCGTCGGCTCTGCAGTCTTAGGATAGCACTCAACATGGGCTGAAGATCTCGCGCACTCGTCGCCTGCTTCCAACGTGACACGTGACATTCTTTATGTTTAGATAATCTATAATATTCTATATAAAGCAAACAACTAATATATCGCTATATGTCAACTTTATTAACTAGTTTCTAGGGTCTAGAAAAGGATTCAGGATCGTCTTTATCAAGATTTAGTTCACAAGCGTTTTTGGCATAGCTATTCGTTGATTTGATAATTCTGTCGATTATAGCAGGCGTAAGGAGTTTTTGGAATGTATCAAGCTCCGAGAGACCTTCTAGAAGGGGTTTTGAGCGCTCGAATCGTAATTCTAACGACGGTTTATACGCAGGGAGGTCAGGGAGTTGATTGACGTCAATTTCGAGCGTTTTCGGAAGAGGGCCAATGGCAACAGGTTTGAGAGCCGTTTGCTGCTTCGTTCGGTCAGTTCTCTGGGTGATCTTGGGGTCCCTAGCTGCAGAAGGAGCACCTCTTTCTTCCCATATAGTTCTAGGCTTTGGCTGGCGTTGAGACCTGCGCAATTCCATGTAGAAGTTGGGATGGATGGCGCCGATCCTCCGAAAATGGAAAAAAAGTCATGCCAAGACCGAAAATGCTTGGCACGCTAAAATGCAGCAAATTCCCACCGGCGCGTGGGATAATCTTGTACTATTGGAACTACGATTTAAGACCTGGACTACGGCGTACTATTGTACTATTAGTACGGTTGATACAGTTTCGCTATTTCCGAACGCTAGTCTAAGGGAGCTTCATGCTGATCTCGCAGTAATGCTTACACGAATGAACATAAAACTCATTCACAAAAACATTGGCTGAAAGGATCTCTTATTGCGAGAAAACTTAGTAATGTTTGATCACGTAATTTTAGTTGCTAGGAGAAGCATACTGTCTCGCATAATCTCGCTGCTGTCATAAGCGGTATTCTTACAAGCTAGAGTAATTAGTAGCAGGAAGGGTCATCTATCATGCCCGATAGACGGCAGAAACAGAACTACTATTTAAGAGCATAGCTTTTCTACTACTAGTAGATCCCCTTCAAGGTTAGAAAAGCGTGAAGGAGCTAAATCTTCTGGTTAAGCAACTGCGCTCATCACTTTTGGTACTAAGCACATAACTACTCGTGTCGCCAACCAATTCCTGCTTAAGGTGAAATAGAGCGTAAGTTACATGTAGACAGCAGATGATTCCGCTTCTGTCGTATTTTTTGATCTTTGGGTGGCTATTGTCCTCAATAACTTGGTGAACTAGTCTTTGGGAATTTCCCCACATACGTAGTACATTCTAGCAGAAATGACACTTAAAACTTACAACTACTAGTAGTACTCGGATTTAGGTGGCATTAGTGGGAGAACACTGCTAGGTACCTGCAATCCCGATTGAGATTCGGGCAGAGCTTAATTGCTGCCACGTTGGCTTGGTATCCTTGGCTGAGGACACCAATAGAATTGTGGCCTTTGGAGCCTTATGCACCAGAGAGCTGAGCTCGTTTAAATCGCTTCATCCTCAGCACAGATTCTATTTTGTCTTTCTTTCAAATTATCCCTTCTCGGTGCGGCACTCATTGTCGCGCCGGCCAGTCATCTTCACAAACTTTTCTCCCACTTACTTATTGTTCCGTAGTACTTTGATCCCGGGGTACTAAAAGCTGTGTGTGTTTAGGGCTAGGTAACAATGTCACCCAATGTTTCACCTTTGCCAGCAGCATCTCTCCTTCGTCTTCCTGGTCTAGAACCAGCTGACTGACCTGTGTTCTCTAAGAGGCCCTCTCCTGTCTGTGAAAATCGCAGTTGACGAAGCCGCGCGGAGACTCATCGTCTTCGCGGCCCCGCCATTCCTGCGGACCACAATGATCATCACGTAAAGTACTGGGCAGCCAGCCTGCCACAGACGCGCGATGACTTTCTGAATTACACCGAATGCGACACCGATGACTCTGTTCGCTTGTCGAAGTGGCGGCAGAACTCAATAGTAAAGGACTCTTCTCTGAGTTTTGGACTTACTACGAATGACGAGTACTTGGATAACGATTCCTTTTTTGATTCGGCATTGGGAGAATGGGCTAATAGTTGTGAAACTTTTTTGTGTTCAAGCATCAATCCTGATGCCATTGAACCAGAAAGTGAAGCTGCTGGCCCTAACCCTTTACCTGAAAAGAAAAAAGTCGACTCCTTGAAATGTCATCCGCAAAGTTCTTTCCAAACACCAGATTTAGGATCTACTATCGACTTCAACCCCACGAGTGACTTTGACATTGGTCTAAACAGCTACTCTTCTTTATCGTTTCCAGACGGAACAAGCAGCACAGCACCTACGACTTATAACACTTTCGATTTACAATATTCTGATTCCTTTTCTTCCAGTGGCTATACCTTATTACGTCCGCAAATATTGCCTTCATCCAACTCCAGTCTGATTACAAGTTCCAGCAAGCCGAGCTCATCTTGTCCACCGCTGACCCTCAGCCCCTCACCAAAGGAGCTTCAGCCAAGCACTTCTGAATTGCCACAGATGCCATTACCTCGCTTGTCATATCTCAAGTGTCTGCATTGTCCTCGCCTCATGTCGAGCGAGGCCCAACTCAGGTACGAAGATTCTCTACTATAACTAGAGGTAACAGTATATCCTAACTTCCATAAAAGGCGGCATTTGACGACTCACAAGTCGAAGGTCTGTGAGATTTGTCATAAGACCTTGGCCGATATCAAAGGCTGGCAGCGCCACAAGGAAACCGTCCACAGAGACAAATTCCCGGGTAATCAGTTTGAATGTGTATGCGGCTACCAGACATCTCGGAGAGATAACCACCGGCGGCATCTCGAAACGTGCGGAAAAGGAAATAAAAAGAGGAAAAGAACATGAAGTTTTTGGTGCTTTGCAGGTGCTCTGTCAGGGAACGAAGATGAAGGATAATACTTTATCCCTTCTTTGAATGGAAGAGAGCCAAACCATGGCTTTCACTTATTCGAGAGGATAAAACAGCTGTTCTCAGACCGTTTCATCGGGAATTGGTCACACCGGTGTAGAACTGGAAGTGTCGTGTGTTCGTGAGCAGAGCAGAGGGCTGACTCACCTTCGGATGATCATCTTGATCAAGACCCTGTCCGGCATGGCAGGGTCAGAAATGCCGTCAACATGTTTTCCTTGCTTCGTTCCCAGTGTATGGGATTGGCATATCATGTTTTCTTGGGGGTTCACGGATGTTTTGCTTTCAGGTTTCACTTGTATTCAGCCAGATGGGCAAATCGCGTCCTTCGTGAACGCCGTCAAGGCCAAGCAAGGATCACGCGCACGCTCTATGTTCGATGTTTGGCACGACCAGGATCTCTTCGTGAACGTCGTCAAGGCCAAGCAAGTATCCGGTCTATGCTTTTTCGGGTTGGAAATTTATTTTGGTCTCTCTATCAAATGCTTCCTCGTAACTAGTATAGATTCTGAGAAGATCTAATGACGAAAGAGACGAGTTTCCATTCTGTGTCGATCTAACTTGTTGAGTTGTCAAGAAAGTGATCCCCTGTCTGCGCCAGTCCCAAGAATTCACGGGTTCCTCATTGGTTCCCATCCTCTACCCCTTTCTCCAATCTTTTCTCCGCCCTTTTTTTCACCCGGGACCGCCATTGTCTGATCCTTCTGCTCTCCATCTGACGCCATGTCCGCTCAACCTTCGGCTTGGTGGCCTCTGAGTTTTGCACCAGACTGAAATCGATGGCTATTGAGGCAAAAGTGGCTCTCAACGCTGTTTTCAAGAGCTCTGAGCCTCCGGGAGGCAGGAGAGATTGTACTTCCTTCGTCTGGAGATGCTGTTCGATAGAGTCAACCAGTGAGTCCGTCTTCGTTCTCGAGGTTGGCTCAGAAGTCTGAATGCGTGCTTCAAGATGGTTAGCCAGCGATTCTTTGGATGGCACTAAGTCGAAGCTGACGCAAAAAGAGCAGTCAGCGGGCCTACCTGGTTTGGGGAGTTTTGGAAACGCTTTCTGGAACTCTGGCGTCCCGCGACGACCCATGGCACCGAGCTGAGAGGGCGGCGTAGGATACGCAGGCACAGTTTTGGGTCGTCGGTTGACTACAAACTTTCTCCCCTGCTGGTTGACTGAGCACACGAAGGAGCAGTTGCCCGCTAGTCTCTTCAGATTTCTGATACGGTACTTGTATAGCTTTTGGGGGATGCCATGGAGAATGTAGGCTTTTGCTTCATACTTGTTGTCGCTGGGACTGAGTCTTTCTAACAAGTACACGTCGCCATGGTTTTCGCTACGGTCAAGGCCCAGGAAGCGGAACGAGGAGCCTAAGATAGCACCAGTGAAATTCTCGTAGGGAATAAGGAGGCTATCGGATTCGGGTGTGCTTTGATCTGGTTTGACAAGCATGGAATCTGGTTGAATGAATTCTTCCGGTTCTAGTGTTTCGGAAGAGTGGTAAGTAGTCCTAATTCAAAGCATTAACATAGCGCTAGGCCATACGACTCCATAACCTTACCCCTCCCCCCTATTTACTTCGCCATCGTCATCGATTCTCAATGCATCCTCAAGCATTTGCTGGACTGCTGCAGCATTGCTACTCCCAGAGGTAGTGCAGGGCCTCATACCGTATCGAAATTTGACGCCTGCATCTTTTCTGAGGGCATTGATTGGTACAGCTGGCACAAAGGAACATCTTCCCAGACGCCACGGCCAATTTCGTCTTTCGAAAGATATCTCCGCGAGACGCTTTTTAGTTACTTTTACGAATGGACAGCATCTCCATTCTTTACTCTGCCCAGAGCTTCTTCTCCAAGCTGCCACTTTTCCAGAGCCCCATTTCTCAGGGTCACTGTCCATATGATCGGCAACACCTACCCGACTCAACCGCGAAGACTCGAGTGGCTTTGGCAGTTCATTTTCAGCTTTTCCACTGGAAGCCACTACTATCCCGCGTTCTCTGATATTGCCTCGAGACCGTTCTTGCTTGGCCTTAGAGGGATTTGACAGGACCAGGGTACTGATATCTTTGGGCTCAAAGCAATTAAAGCTTAAAATTTGGAGGTGAGGGTGTCAAGAAAAGTGGTTCTTCACACAAAAGTATTTCGTAAGTCCTCGAGCATTGCGTCGACATATCAATAAAGTCTGGAAATAAGTTTTCGTAATCGGTAACGAGGACATCGAGAAGAGTGTCTACTAATCGATTGAGGGATTTACACGTGGAGCCTGTGTAGATAAAGTTAGAACACGATTCTTGTAGAATCTTCTTAATTTAATAAGATGCTCCTTACACTGGTGCAAACCATGGCGATTATCCAAATGTATTATCAAAACGTCGAAGAGCCATAATAAAAAACCAAGATTGGAAGGGGAGCTTTGAGATGCATGAGGATTGATTTCCAAAACAGAGGCCAGCATCTTTAACTGGATATGACGTTTATATTCGTTGTAATATGACCTCTTTCCTAGTTCGCATCTTGAGTCTAACCTTCTGAGAGAAAACCGTTTTGTCGTCCGAAGCGTCACATGATGTGTCCTTTGCTTTCTACTATCGCCGCTTGAACCGCGAAGAGGGCTGGAGACACGAAGATAGGGGCATGATGCACGATAGCTTGGGCCCGAGGATTGGGCTGACCAAGCGAACATTTGGAAGGAGTTCTCTTCTTGAATAAGTGACGTGTGCTACTGGTAAGATATTGAGTAAGGAAGGGGCAAGACGAGGAAGGAGGAGATGTTAGTTTGAGTCTTCCAAGGAAGACATCTTGGGCCGAGATAATTTTGAAAGATAGTTGTAAGACGGATCAGGCGTTTACGATCAGTAAACGCAGTGATTGGTGGCCTCAAATGTTGTACCACTATTTGCAGTTAAAGCCGACTTCTAGGATTGGTTACAAGGCCTCCAACCTGAGTAAGGCCTGACCCCAGCAGTCGGGAAATTGCCTCAGTTCTCAGACGTGCTTGTGGCGGAGCTGCTTACTAACTCAATGTGCGCCAGCACGTCTTAGGACAGGAACGAAAAATACGGCCTGATTGTCATTCCGCCCCACAAAATCAGCGAGCTATAACCTTTTGGGCGAAAATTACGTGTATTATCTTGTAATTTGTAATTTTATGTAAAAATCAACAGATCTTATAGCTATTTTGCACAGGATCTTGCGCAGAATCTACAGCTATTTTGATGCAGGATTCGCTGCAGAATCTATAGCTATTTCGCGCATAATCCTACGCAGAATCCTATGCAGATTTCGCAGCTATTTTACGCACAATCCTATGCAGAATTCGCAGTTATTTCACGCATAATCCTACGCAGCTATTTCGCAGCTATTTCACGCACAATCCCACACAGCTATTTCGCAGCTATTTCACGCACAATCCTACACAGAATTCGCAGCTATTTCACGCATAACCCTACGCAGAATTCGCTACAGAATCTATAGCTATTTTGACGCAGATTTCACAGCTATTTCGCGTATAATCCTATGCAGCTATTTCGCAGCTATTTCATTAAGTAGGACTTGAACGGCCTAAACAGGTAAATAATCAACCTCAACTGTAGGTAGACCAGAAGTAAGTAATGTCTATGCAAAGCAGCGATGATAACTAACCGTGTATAGGCCTTAGCACCAAAATTTTGTATCTGAATACCCTCGTAGGGCCCTTTTTTCTCAAGAGACGCTAAGATGCTGTGTTTCCTTCTCATAATCACAAATCAATGCTTTTCTTCACATAGCCGGAGGACCTTGTGAATCCCCAACCACGATTTCTAAATTGTGAACATTAATCACCCACCTCAGCCCCAAGAAGAAGATAATACCAGTCCATCATCTGGTAGTGTAGCGGAAGTATGTAAGTAAAGGATCTTCTTTAGAGTGTCGACACATTGCTTAGCCTCCCCTCAAGACTGCTCAGTCGCGCTTGGTCTTGACTCTGGTTCAGTCTCGGTTCAGTTAAAGCAGCGTCGGCTTAGGATACAGGGTCGTAACTGTAACTGTGGAAAAAACATCTTCTGTCCGACTATACAGATATTTCCTTGACACTTGATGGTAAAGTCGGAATATTTGCCACAGTCAGAAGTCTAGAATTAGGTTACTCAATAGTTCGCAAGAGATCAAAGGACTTTGACCTTTTCAGTCCACCACTTGAGTCAGCGCCATGCATTTTTCGCGTTCGTCGTGAGTTGATTGATGTTGAAAAATGTGAGAGGTGAGGGTAATGAGGGGCGAATTGTGTCTTCTGCTCAGCGCGAATCTTTAGTTTTAGGCACAAGTGTCCATGGGGGAAAAAACCACATCTGAAGACTGCTACTCAGGCAGGCGCCCAAAGGTGACGAAGTACTAGTAAATTCCTCGCAACAGCTGTAGAGCTTGACAACAGCCCACAATCTCAAAGGAGTCTCAGGTGAACCTTTGGGTCTCGAATAAGAATCTTGAGAATTTCTTTTCTTTTGAGATCTGTGCACGTGAGAAAGCATTAAAACAAGGACCTCAAGAACTTTCGGGACGGTTGAAATAGGATGTTCCAAGAAACACTTACTTACTGGAGGTATTTCAGTGCGTGATTCATCGCTGAATGACTTCGAAGGAATCTCTGCACGATACTTCGAAGGTCAAAAGTAGTCGCCGGCTTGCGACTAGCGACGCATAGAAGTCCTTCGGATATATCTCGGAGCACTGACGGCTTTCGTTCAGATCTGCCTTCATCTATGAACTAGTTTCTCCTAAAATCAGTGTAAGCTGTTCGATTACTGACCTTGCCACACCTAACCTGTCGTATCGAATCCTTACAGTCCCCTAGTTTTGGTTCGAAATGTCCTCCCTGAAGACTTTTGTCATGGGCCCCTCTAGACAGATCATAGAATACGTCAATATAACCCTTCAAGCATATCAAGTCGGTGCTCAGGGATGAATCATGCACGCACCATCTTGACATAACCAGGGCTGATCTGTTCACCGAGAGGTTCCGTGAGAAGTGGCTTAGACGGGATCCACTCACGGCTAATGGCCTTCAAGGCTGAAGAGTTCCGAAAGTGCTTGCGTTGGATTGCGATGTTAAGCCTCGTAGAAGGGCCCGATTTCTTACCATATGTTGTACCTATGATAGAATTGGTACGCTTGGCGGTGCTGCTAGGGATCAGAAGATACCTATCCATGCTTAATCACGGTCCAGGATTTTGAAGTATATATGTGAGCCTCCGTCGCGTAGAATGTGGCCAAAGAGCAGCTGAAGGCGTAGTAGGAGGTTATTAGGGGCAACGTAGTTTGAAAGCGAGACCGTTTCTTAATGAAGAATTCGGATACCACCGATGTAGTGAGTCTCCATATCTTCGCCTGCTCTGATAACATCCGAGACCTCTATTAGAATGACCAGCATCCCTCCTAACCTGCCATGACTTCAAATTTCACGGCGAATGCGGATGTCCTTGCTTACAGAAGTCGTTCCAACCTCTCTAACCAAACATCCAGCTGCCTTTCAGCTCTTTGTACGATGCTTTGTCTCCAATGAAAGATACATAACAGCTTTTTGAGGCCGAAGTCCGTATTGAATAGCCTGTGGTTCGAAACGCTGCACTGTTCAAAGAATATTGCCGACGTGGCTCAAAAAGCGAGAAATGCACTCGGGGACAACCGTTGTGATGCCAATTATTTGACCTTGACATTTAGCTGTAAATGGTCTTTGCCTAGAAGCTTCATGTCCTGAGATCTCATTTCGCTGGGATGTTCAATAAGCTCAGCACTTTCACAGATGACCTCGTTGTTGACTGGGAGTCCTCCACGCCCTTGGACGGCGTCGCGCTCAAGAAATGTCCATCTTTCTAACAACTCCCTTCATGGAGAGACTTTTCTAGCTTTCCTCTAATCTCAAGGTACATTACCGTCAATTCCATGACTTGGTGCCAGCTACCAGAGCCGGCTGGATGTGCAAAATGCGCCCTGCATGCCAAGCCAATTCTAACTTTTCATTTTAAGTGACGCGCTACTACTACTACTACTACTACTACTACTACTACTACTACTACTACTACTACGACTACTACTACTACTACTACTACTACGACTAGAACTACTACTACTACTACTACTACTACTACTACTACTACTACTACTACTACTACTACTACTCCGTACATACTTCCTGCATGCCCACTTTGGCTAGTGGACGCCCCCCCAGAAGCTACATGGCTGATGATGTCGCATCTTCTGCGGAGAGATAAAACTCGTTCGGACCGTCTGTGGAGAAGTATCCTCCTAGTCATTGCGGACCCATTTCGCTATTACTTACTGGCCCTATGTTCATTATTATTCTCTTTACTATCTCCCTACGAAACATTACATCACTCTTCTTTACTCCTTGCTGTATCGGGTAGCTGAAAAATCTGAAACGAGTGCCCGCTGATGCTGCACGAAGGATTCAATTATAATCAGGATGATGATTGGGAGGTCACGACTCGCGAGGACATATCCGTTGCCTTGATGGCTCCAAGATATATATGACGATGAAAGAGCTCTACCGTACCACTCGTGGCGACGATGACCCTGGCTTTGACAGGGTGCTGTGCCTCACAGGGCTCATGAAAGACAAGATAGATTACCATTTACAGTGCACCATTGATGTATTATCTCACCACTTGCATGCAAGGTGTTCCATTTTTCCAACCTTAAAAAGGCATCTTTTCCTATCGAAACAGAACCTGACCAACTTTGAGCGCCGTGCAACAATACCACATTTGCTTCCATGTCTTCTCTATCTTCATTATATTTGGACACCAGCAGAAAGGGCGACATGGCTATCCTCACCGCATATGGTGCGGCTGCAACAGCTGTACGCCCACGCCGGTGGGGCACATTATGGATCAATGGTACTTCCAATAGGCCTGGATTTCTCGACCAAAAGATTCAGACTTATGTCGTTTGACAAAACAGAGATGCGTAAGGGACGCACAGCCGAGAAACGATGCACTACGGTAGGGCTAGAAACGTCTCTGGGCTGGATCGATGGTTTGATTCAGCATGCACGTTATGCTTAGGAGGAACCGTCTAGTCTGGCGCATAAACGTCACACTGTCTTTCAGGTTGACAGAAATCATATCTCTCAGTGGGCGAGACATCACCATTCGGCTGCAATATATGCTATCAGAGGGCGAAGAAGGCAGGTTATGATTGTTTGAAGATATCCTCACGAAAGCTATCGAGGGTCATCGTCTATGGGTTTTCGGAAGGAGGATTTCAAGACAATCAATAAAGCGGTGCTGATGGAGCTCCACGTGATAATCAACCAGGACTGGACGAATTTAATGGCTCGAGGGGACTCTCAGAGCTCAAGGAGTCGATGATGAATACAAGAATTTAATTCAATTTTTGACCGCTGCGAGACGACCGAACAGATCCCTGTCTCTTCCAGCCCTTGAGGCAATACGGTCGAAACGATAGATGAGTCCACCATCAATCATTGCCGCCTACTTTTCGTTGGGAGAAGGGCAGAATATTTGGTCTTTGGGATCGCTCAGAACCCACAATATTGTTCCTTCAAAATGCAATCTTAGAGGCGTTCCAAAGCCATAATCACATTGCTGCATCGTTCCCTCGATTTCTCAATACCCAACCCTCATTATATTACCACGAATCATCTTTCCACAAGACATCTACCACAAGGGAGTGTACCGTAGCAGCAGCCGTGCAGCTGTAATTCGAAGAAGTCCACAAGATCGTTTCCATGCATCGCCAGTCCAAGCACCCCCTGACTGGCTGATCTCCTTGATACCCCCATCTATAATTATTACTGTCTCGCAATCCGTCTCTCATACCCCTTGTTCCACCTCGAATGTCTTACGGAAGAGGTACCTCATGTCCATCAACGCACCAAAAAGTCTTGGCACCCCTTTCGCCCCCCTTTCGTCCCAACACTCCAGTAACCTCACCTCTGCCCACTAGTCCCTCTCTCACCGAAAACACAGATAAGCAATTAATTAACCTTTTCTCACACAATCGGACAGATGGCCTAGCGGTTTGTCGTCTGCCTTCGGGCAGAAAACACTCCATTGACTCATCTGCGAGAGCCACCTGTTCGATTGTGTAGACACACCAGCAGCAAAAACAAACAACAAAGTGCTGAAGGTCCAGCAAAAACAAAAATACTGTGGACGAAACATACCAGGATAAAAATATACCCGAAAAAAATCGGCTTTCAACAAGCCGGTTTTCTCCTCCCCCATTGAGCTTTCTGATACCCTCCCCATGGGTATTCGGGGTTCGATGGCATAGGTTTTGATTTTTTCTCTTCTTTCTCAGTTTTTCCTTTGGTGTATATTTAGTATTCCGGTATGAGAAGAGCACTATGAGCGAGATGATCTAGGAAGACTGGTGGTCTGGCTACGAAAGATGTATTCAAGGTCTCAAGCTATCCTATCGCGCATTGTATCTGAAGCTCCGCAACTTCCTCTACAACCGCTTGGACAGCGTGTCCTTCTTCTAATGGGACCAAGTTCAACGCCTAATGGTTCTAATATCTCGTTGATCTTTCATACTTAGTTGAGGGCATTCGATGATGTAGGGTTGTGGTTCTTTTTTTAAGCTCTGCTGGGATGGGATTGCTGGATAAAGATGAGCAGCAGTGAGGCAGATGTAATGGATAGCGTAGATGCTGCACTGGAAGGGGAGAAATGGGCTCCAGCAGGCGGTCTATTCTCTTTTCTTTTAGAAGCCACTGGTTCGAGGTCTTCCTTGATCGGTCCGTTGAGCAGCTAAATCATGAAGATCATCAGATAAGGAGTGCTCTGGCACATTGTCTATGTATGGGTATCATTGCAAACAAGCTCCAGGTGACATCCCAGCCATCATCCCTTCCTTCATACTCCAAACACTTTAACACACCATACTACCAATCACTGAGGTACCATGACCTTCTTGATCTCATCCACGATCTCCGCCGCCTCGGCCGCATCCTTGGCCTCAAAATCATACCTTTTACTCTCATTCGCTCTCTTGATAATCACCCGAAACACCTTCGGGTGCCGCGAACTGACTTTCGTATTCGTGATATCGGCAAATGGGATCGATGTCGTCTTACTAGTCGAGTTCATCGTCTTGTCTGTATCGATCGGCATGATGTGCATGTAATCTGCATCTAGCGCGAGTGTCTTCTTGTGGCTGGCCTGTGCAAACGCAGTCAGGTGTTTACGAGTGACGTTGTACTTCTTGAAGTTGCCTGCAGAGGAGATAAGGTCTTGTTTTTGCGCCAAGGGATGGAGCATCGGCAGGCCCTTTTTGCCCTTCTTGGGTCCATCAATGTCGATGAGTAGGGGTGCGTTGGGTGAAGCACTGCCAGGTGAGCCTGTCATGCTGTGGGGACCGACGCCGAAGCGCCGACGGACCAGGTCGAGATCGGTGCGGGTGCCGAGGGCTTCGACGGTTCGGTCTAGGGGCGCGACAGTGTTGGTGCCGGAGACTTTGAGGGTGTAGGCGGCTTTATCGAGTTTCCAAAGTTTGCAGACGTGATCCAAAATCTCGGCGATGTAGCTATCGGATGCAATGTCCACGGATGTGGCTTGATTTACGACATCTAGGTCGAGGTGACGGATTCGTAATGTCTTCATCACACCCATACGTGGAGTTGCATATGAGGTCTGTGGTTCTGGCATGTCGGCTGGCCTCAGCGAGGTATTGTGCAAAGCTGAAGAGAAAGGCTGACCTATCACAGGTTTGAAGCGTTGGGGAGGAGGTGGCGTTCGTGGCGCGGTCGGCTGGACAAGAGCGCCCGGAGGTCCAGGAGCGTCAGGGCCTTCTTCATGTGGTGTAGTTGACGGTGTGTACTTCGGTGTCAGTTTCTGGTTCTCCTCGAATTGTTGCGCATTTGCCTCAACAAGGGCAAATTCATCGAAGGGACGCTCTCGAGAGCGACCACGAGCACCTCGATTATTATTCGAAGTGAAATCTATCATAGGTCTGGTTCGAGACAGTGCAGGAAAATCGAAATCGACTTCCCCATCTTCCACCATCCTCATTGTCCATTTATTAACATTGAGCTTGTCGTTTTCAAGGCCTGGAGTGAGGCGCTGCTCGGTGTATCGCCAAAGACCCAAACCGATCGCTTCCGCAACGGTGGTGTCTGTGCCCCCTTTGGAAGTGCGTTGCAGGGGCATTTCATAAGGGGTTTCTGGGTTGTCAGAGAAAGGTGCGTAGATCTTAATCCAGAGGGGGTTCGTTGAGCCTTTGCCAGATAATGTAGCAAAGCTTTCAATAGGATTCACCGGCTTCGTTTTCCTGGCTCTGATGGCTGAACCGAGAAGACTCACAGGAGCAACGACGCTGATAGGTCGGGATGATGGAAAGTCTTGCAGGACAGGACTGGGTTCGGCTTTTGTCCTCTTTGGCGACGAGCTGTTTGGGGGGGTTAGGTTTGGCAGGACGGGTGACGAGCTCTGAAGATTAGGGACCTCCACTGTATCGAGTAGAGATCCAGAATGCAAAGTTGCACCAAATTCCGATGAAAGGGTAGATTCGACTGATTCTGCATCCGAGTTGTCGTCATGTGCTTCGCCAGATGCTCCAACCTCCGCATCAGCATCCTCGGTCACCTTCTCCTTCAAAAGATTGCTAGCTGAATTGGTGCGCGAATGGATGCGTCGTCTTGCGAATACTGATGGTGTTAGGACCTCATTTTCGGACGACATCTCACTACTGGTCGTGGTATCCCGTCTGGCCCTTGCTTTCATCGCTTCCACAGCTCCCATGGAGCCCCTCCTAAATCTGCTGTCCGTGGATCGCCTGGAAGGAGACGTGACGAGAACTTCAGGTCCTTCTTTCAGGTCCGAACTTCGAATGGGAGACGAACCAGCCCGGCCTCTCACAGGCATCCGAGCAAACTTGATCTGCTGAGCAGCACGTTGAGCAGTTTCCGCATCGTCATCACTCTCATCGCTGAGGTCGCTACTGTCTTCTTCCTCCATTTGCTCTCTCCTTCGTCTCCTCTTGGTCACTGGTGCGGGTCCGATGGTATCATTGCTCCTTCGGCCCGTGACCACACCTCCTTCCTCCTCTTCCTCTGGCCATGATGTGATTCGAGAGATGCCTGGAGCTACAGGACCTTGGAAGTACTCTGAATGAGAGCTCGTAGGAATGGGAGGAGAATAGGTTCGTTTGGTATCAGCTGGGTTCACGGTCCATCCTGCCGCTCTAAAGCCGGGTGTATTCAGGATCGAGGAGTTGATGTTGATCAAGCGCTCCCCAATTCCATCTTTGATGTTTGCGAGATAGGAGGTTCGCATGTACCATGTAGCAAATCTTACAACCCGAGGTCAGCAGTGCATTTGCGTGTGCGAGAGGGATGCGTAGTACTCCTCGTTCTGTAGCAGAGCCATCATCGATTGGTACTATAGGTCAGGGGCACCGACATGGAAAGATGGGCTCTAAGCATGCTTCACTTCTATACGACTGCGTAGACGGACCAGCCGCGAGCGATTGGTACACTGGACAATAAGGATCATTACTTAAACGGAGTGGAGGGAGGATGACAAAATAAGTGGCTACATTCCCCACCCAAGATATGTGCCCAGAGCGACGTCAGTTCTGTTGGCCCAGTCTGCAGAGCACCAACTAACTAACTTATTACTTTAGTAGCAGAGAACTTCTACACCCCTTCCCATCCACTAGACTCAGCATTCGACATCCTAGATGATCGCTCTTCCGCTCTCGTCCTCTTGCACTCTCCGATTCTTCAAAATAGTTCAGGAAATGGCGATGCGCCGCTAGTTTTGGCTTTCAATGTCACTATTACTACTGGCCCACTTACAGAGCAGCAGCTGGAGATTATCGGCGAGTTTGGAAAGTGCATCCTGATGCCGGCGTTAAGGAGGGAAACAAAAAGCTTTGAAGCACCGAGGCAGAAGCCAAAAGCTAACAACATGTAAGAGAAGCTGGTCGGCCATCAGCTGCAGGGTTGTGGCCTGCATTCTTCTTGCTCTCGAATATGCTTCTGAGATGGTAAAGTCCGGCAACCCTATATTACCTTCCCTAGTCTTGATGTCGTCTTAAAACAGGCTTAGCAACATCTGCTGGGCGCGATGCCTGCCCGTCGTATCGACTGTTTTTCGTGCAGTGAACCGTCCAGGCTACATGACTCTCAGAGAGATAAAGCATAGTGCCTACCTTCTTCATCACTATTTGGAAGCCCTTAGTCACCAAGATACCATATGCTCATATTGACGAGCTATTTGAACACATTCTGTCTTCCAAAGGTTGACCAGCCCCAGTGAAAACAGTATTTAAATGCACGCAGCCACTGCGATACGCTATACAGCACAAATGCCATCGATTCCATGATCAACCAGGTTACAAAGACATTAAAGGTACAGCAGGGTATGTTAGTCATAGTTACATTCATACTCTGCAAGGGTGACTACAGGCCATGCATACACAGTGGGCACTCCATGGCACTCCGCCCTGTTACAGCAGGGAAGGTATCAGATCGTTGTGATGCGTTCTTAGCTAGTCATGCTAGATTTGGATCGAGTTCCAACAGCTACCTAGGAAAGTCCTGTGTTTATGGGAACATTTTCGGTAAGAATTGAAAGTGTGGTCATAGAATGCCTGCTGCTTCCTGCCTAGGCCCTGTCTCATATATGACGGACCTGGTCTGAACCTTCACCCATTTACCCACAGACCTGATCCTTTTACCTTACATCCTATATAGATTGTCGGCTTTGGGCACTGGACCCCAGCATCGACGTGCATGAGTCACACCTCATCGCCTGAAGCTATAATTCCTTCGGCCACCAACTCCTGTGTCTCGGAAGATCTTGCAGCTATCAAGATTCAACAGAGCAATTCCCGGAGACCACATTCCATGTATCCCTGCAGTGTCTACCGGATGGTCGTGAATAAGAACCTCAGTTATAGGATTTATAGTACATCACTTCAGCTTCTAGCTATCCCAACCTCCGAATGCGTACCAGAACTCAAGGCCTTGGCAGAAGATGCGCCTGAAGGGGCTGTTAAGGGATCGTCTTAACAAAACGTGGAGCATTCTTTTACCCTAGCTACTCATGTTTGCCGTGTTGTCGCCTCGAGCTCGCGGTAATTCATAGCATGGAAAAGCCGTATCTAGGGTGTATCCTATTCAGGGGCGGTGAAATGTGCATCACTCCGTTCTATATCAACTAGTGGAGCTATGAAGTGCCGATTGGCCAGTTTTCCTACCTTAAATCCAAGCTGCTCCCTGCGTTTGATGGGTCTGTCTATAGTGCGATTTCAGAGAAGATTTCGCTGTACCGTACATCCCATTTTATACGTATATCCACGCTCTCAGCTCTTTGGTCGACAGAAAAACTTGCTTTTTTACCTATTTCACGGGCAATTCGATACCATTCTAGCTGCAGAGAGATTATAAACCAATGTCACTCGTATAGCCACTGCTGAATAGAGTCCACTGTAGACGTATCTTATAATCGCTCACCGCCCCCTCCCAACTAGCACCAAGATTGTGAATCACAACACCTTTAAAAATTTCACCCTCATCAAGCCTATACCGAGAATCTGAGCCGCACCAAGGGCAATCATAACTTTCATCTGCAGATTATAACCTACGTAGCTGCTCTATGGAGCACAACCACCTACATTTCAAAGTGGTTACATAACTGTGTGACAACAAAAGTTACAATTCACTCCTGACAACTTTTACTTCATATCTAGTTCACTCAACTTTATTTATTTTACAATATGTTACAGGCTTATTTAGCAGGTTGACATGAAGTAACGTATGCAAATACGCCTCTTTGATAACCAAGATAGCTAGAGTATTTAAGCAAAGTCATCAAGTCTAAGACTAGCTATAGCAGTTGCACACTTTGCCTACTCGACTCACGACAACTTTTTGTCACCACAGAATACTTGAAGTAGTCTTTGTAGCCAGTCGGCAGAGGCATCAAGACGAAACAGTGTTCAATTCCTGTTACTGTGAAATGCAGAACCCTTACCCAAAAATCTAGGCAGTTGTGCAGATTTGCTGCAGACAACGTGCTTTTCCAGCCTTTCTGTTGAACTAATAGGGCCGCGGCCGCCAATTGACCGCCAACCAGCTATTTGTGACACTACTACCGTACCTAGCAAGTATCCCTAGCACGGCGCTAGTATTTGCCACTCTGAACACTACTAGTAGTTATGGTACAGGATAGCCCTGTCAATTTTGTATAGCCATTCTTGTTGCAATCAAGAAAAAACTAATCTTAATTGGGAAATTTCTGGCACCCATCCCACTATGTCAAGACGCTGATACGTGGCGTTGTAACTTAACAAGGCTTTTCAAGCACCATGCTAGGGATGCTTGTGCCTCCCCCGTACTACTACTAGTAGGACGGAGTTACTAAAGTATCTAAAGAGCGGGTTTTGTGGATGACATCACCGAGGTCGGTCTTGGCAATAAAAGGCTACCGAACATTAACCGCAGCTGTTAAATCATGGATTTGTCCTTTATCTGTGCCAGCCATTCTGACTCTCTCAATCACCCCAATAGTGACTCCAAATCTGTTGAAGCAAAAGGCATCCACAATTGGCCACTAACCAGCTGATATTGACTTACCTTCTCGTTTCACTTTTTAGACGTTATGAGGCGCTTATGCACCATCTCGTGATTGACGTATACTTTATCTAGGATAATAAGCAGCTAATGAAATTCACTCATCCAAAGGTTCTAGATCACTCCCCTGGAGTCTTGTACTACGCAATATCAGTTGCGCTGAGTCAACTGATCAAGTTTTGGCAACACCTACATCAACGACAAGTCAGTCGAAACACGATCCGTTGGCACAATGATGCTTGTTCAATCACAATATGCCATCTCTAGCACCTAAAATCATCTCTGTATGTGACTGGACCATCGCATTCCCACATATCTCCCTCGGGCAGATCCATGGGTGATATGACGCTACTGCCATGCCTGGCACAGCCGCCCAGGTACTGCCTGCTAGGCTGATACAGGCAGTTCCGGGAAACGTTGGGAAATTCGTGCATCGGGCAGTCATGTAGGGTGCTCGAGTCGATTGGTGCCTCCTACTGAAGTGCTTGCGTAAAATGGGATGGTGCTGGAACTGATGCATAACGCTTTACAGAACATGCATTTTTATCAACATTCTAGATCTTCTACAAGTCTGGGTATCTCGATAGGGCCGCAGAAGACTAGTTAGCGTTTCATTCACATCACCTTTGCTTTGCTTCCTCGCGCTGATTGCAACTTGCAGGTTACGATTCGGGGACCTATTTAAGACAAGATGACAGTACCCCGTTGTGACCACGTTCAAACCTCCGGCCTGAATCTACTTCTAAAGGGAGAATACACCGTCGTCTTTGCTTCTGTCGATACACGTCTTCTTCCACTCATACACCAGTTCCTAACTAAATACCTTCACAATCATTGTCCTTGGCCAGAACAGAGTGACCTTTCTGTGCCCTGCAGCAATCTCTAGCAATGGAAGTCCCATCCACGTCGACAACACCAGAGCAAGTCCAAAAGATTCAAACGCTTCTGAATGGACCAGCTGGAAAGCCACCAGAGGGTGTCATCCCAAGCTTTCCTGCTTTAAGCAATCTTTACGAAATCTCCATTACAATTTTATTGCTAGGCATGGTCATTGCGACCCTGCTTATTTTCATACGTCTGTATATCAAGCTATATCTTATACGGTCCAAGGCCTACGAGGACTGTAAGCCCATATTCTCCACCATTTCTACGACAGCTATATTAATTTGCGTCAGATGTCGTGGTCCTAGCCTGGGTAAGATCTTCAACATCTAACAATTGAGGGAGCGTCGCTAAGGAAGAAGCTGTGCTATGTCGGATATACGGTCCCGTGTATATTCTGTGCCAGAAACGGCGGATTCCATATATGGGACATGCAGCTGAAGAGGTACTTCACACTTCTCTATGTGAGTTCATTCAATGAGCCGTTTGAGTTATTTCTCCATGCTGATAGATATCCCAGTGGGTCAATATTACCACCATTCTCTACGGCGTCGTCGTATTCTTGATCAAGCTTTCTATTCTCCTTCAGTATTTACGGATCTTTGTTCCCAATCGGAAGGCTAACATGCCGCTATTCGTGGCTATCCAAACTGTCATCTGGAGCAATTTTATTTTCTATTTTACAGATTTTATTTTTCAGGTTACCGCGTGCACTCCAAGAGAGAAATTCTGGAATCTACTAATCACCACCGGCCACTGCCGCAACACATATGCTATGTATATGGCCTCCGGTATATTCAACGTTCTATCTGATTTTGCAATCCTCATCCTTCCTATCGTACCTATCTGGAAGTTACAGCTGCCCTTTAAGAGAAAGATATTGATGATTGCAATTTTCAGTACAGGCCTCTGGTAAGTCGACCACAAATACACTCTCTTAGTATTTTAGAGCCAAGCTGATTTCAGACGTCATTGGAATCTTCCCCAGGAAAAGAGACTTGCTAACGTACATCTGCCCAGGGCTTGTGTAACGTCCATTATGCGTACTTACTATACATGGAAGGTTCTAAAGTCGCCTGATGTCAGCTACAACGTCATTATCATGGGTTACTGGACAATTGCGGAGATAACGACCGGTATCGTCGTTAGCTGCCTCCCTGTCATGCCTAAGCTCTTCCATCACTATACTTCCAAATTCTACCACTCCAGAAAGCCAAATTTCCGCTTGCAGCTCGTGCAAAAGCGAGAATTGCTTGATTTCGAGGACGGCGGATGACTCAATGGCGGAACCAGCAGCTTGAAATAAGGGAACGACTCGAATATCCAGCTTCACAAAGACAAAGGTAAGAGCGTCACGCTTGGTGAGTTTTCCAAGCTTCCTTCAAGGTAGACATAAGAAGTTCAGCGACTTGGAAAACTAGCCAAACAAGGTGCCTTGAGACAAAGAGATAGATCCACTTTGATGTTTCACAGTCTGAGATGGGCTCTATGGCTTTGGCAGGCAGGGCAAGAATTGTTCTCTCCAAAAAACACAGGACATTCGCCTTCGTCACGATGACTTTCTAGGATATTGGACGGTGACTTTATGAGAATGCTTCGTGTACTCTTTCATTTCGTGTGTTGTTAAGATTCCGCATGTGTTATGCAAATTTTTGGTACTTGGAACAGCTATTCATCTTCTCCTGCTGCTAAAGTAGCAAGCATTGCTAGACTACTACTCAGCGAGCGGAATGCTTGAGAAGGCAGCCAGCAATCGGGTGTCTGCCACCAACTGAATTATGGAAAATATTACGCGTGGAGAGACTGTACTGATGAACGATCTGCTGTTTTACCTCCGGAAAAACATTCTGCAGGCTGCAAACCGGCAGCCTCAACCACAAAACTGGATTCACCATCGAAAATGGTACTTGAAGAAGATGAGCCGCCAAATTTCGTCGCTGTGAGGTGAAGCCATGTCTCATCTTTGGCCAAGGAATTAAAGTTGCATTGAGAGTGCATCGAAAGTGCATCAAGAACATTGAGATATTCCTGATGCCACGTGAGCACATTTTGAGCCGCCAGATCTTTCAAGATCTCTCTACGTTACATTGTGGTAGGTATGGTGCGGCTCACCCAAACTCAAAAATGAGACATTTCATATATCCGATGACGCCTTATGAAAGATTCTGCAGTGCGACATGAAAAGAGTGATGGACTCATGCACAGCCAAATAAGACCAATCCAGAACGAGAGAGCCCCAGGCGCCTTTAAGCGTTCGAGCCAAGTAAGAAATACCCCAACACTGAACAAGATTGTCTAGCATGATCCAAGCTCCAAGCATGGTTTCCTGTCGACCATCCCTGAATAGGGTTTTGAAAGCAAACCGACAGTTCATCAGTAAGAGCCTTCCGTCTAAATAGTACTTTCAATCTTAACATAGTATGCTGGAGCAAGCTAGGTCTCGTGCTATGCTCCTAATAACCAAATTCATTGAGTGGAGGCTCGTCAAACTCGATAGATGGGCTTCTTCGAGTCTCAACTGGGTTTGAGCACCCGATGATTACCCGGAATAAACGCGCCGGAAGGCAATAAAAACCACTCTGTGCCAGTTGTCTCTTCCAACGCAGCTCCCAAACTGCTGAAGGATGGATGTATTTACTCCAGAGTGGATCAGGAACAATCCACGAAACCACGTTGCTTGGTGTTGGTGTTCACCGTACAGAGTATCGGTGAGAAGAATTTCATTATTGAATGGAGTCGCCTGAAAGTTAGATAAGAGCTGCTATAGTACTAGAGTAGCTATTTTCCTGCATGATAAGACTCTTGTGGCTATGAAGAGTTGCTCTGCGGCCTCACGAAGAAGTTGCCTCCACATTTATCTGCAGGCCCCAGCCTTTCGAGGCCATGGCCTGAGGCCCGGCGGCAGATTTTGTGGCCGACGTGGCTCGTGAAATTCTGTCAGAAGAGGTGAGAATCATCGAGCACAGTAAATTGACTGAACTATCCCAATGGTTCTGACACTCATTTTGCCTAGACGGCCGCGAAATCGGTCACCGGGCCTCGGCCGGTGGGCCTTCCAAACCCCTCCTGTCAGATTACATAAGGGCCGGGTGAAGCCTTTCCCCACAAATCCTACCCAACCCCACCGCCCACAGCTTGGCTAATCCACGCTTAAAGAATGAAGATGTGTCTGTCTCGTATGTCAAACAACTGGTAACGATTATCTATGCCAGTAAGTATCAAACGGAAAATCTTCGTCTTTGTCGACGAGCTCTTAACCGAGCATCAATGGGAAATGTCCTCCCCTCCCAACGGGAACATCATGCAGAGCAACGAGCTGATTCATTTGAGCGGAGGAGATATGATTTAGAGGCAGCAAAACTAGCCTACTGGTGCGCAGCCAATGACCGAAGCAGATCTTTTGATCCGCTGTGCACGGCAGGCGAAAGAACCTTCTCTCCATCAATCACAAGATACGGCAGAAAACTCGCGTCAGAATTCGCAACAACAGAGGGCCGATCCACAAGACTAAATGCAATCAACATGGTCGTCGCGGCTGTTGTTATTTATGGAGCATGAAAAGGGGTTCTTAATTAGTTGCCCTCAGGATTCACAGATTGCCCACCAACTAAGTGCCCAAAGATATTCTGGTCGCTTTCAGTCATGCTATGATAGGCACATTCGTTTCCGATAGAGCAGAGCATGACCGACAGAACGAGGCAGATTCGGCGAGCAGTCCCGGGGTGATTTGCTTTCACGGGCAAGGTTCTCTGCTGAATTTCTGCATCACTGGCTTTGCGATAGGACGCGTGGTCCAATGGATGGTAGTTCCTTGTTTGTTTTTTCATTTCGCGAGCTATCCATTTCTTTTGTGGGATGCACAACGAACGACTTATGTGCTACAGCAGCAATTGCCGAACTAGATGCTAAGGCATAGTGCACACACCGTCCCTTTTATTGCCCTCGACGTATCTCACCGGACTCGCGTTATCAAGAGGCAAAGCCACGAGACAATGTTTTTGTGGCCTTACTGGCAGGAATCAGAACTAGATGGAGAACCTGGTCAAGCCGCTGTCCTCATGCCAGCTTACAACTTGCTACGACGAGATGGCCCAGCACAAGTTTGGCATGCCAGAGGTCGGCCGACCCTCGAAAACGTAAGAGATTGTGTTTTGAACACGAGCTGGAGCAGGAGGCCGGACTGATTGCCAGAATGAGTTAGCGCGTCTCATTAACACTACTCCGCTCTGGGGAAGTCCGGGGAAGTCCTGCCAATTTGGGCTTACTAATAAACAAGTTTAATTGCACAGCAACGTTCTGCATTTCCTTCTGCGTACATCAAAGTCTTGTCGTCATTCTGTTTTCCATCCCTACCATCCGAGTACTTGTCCAAAACACGCGCACGATTGCTTCTCTTCAGAGTGTGCTGCTCATGGTGACAGGCGTTCTAACTACGACGCTATTGGTCGATCACGAGGCTGCCCGCCTGTGGCGTTCAGGGGGCCTCCGCCGTAATTGCAAGTCCACTCCTTCTACTGGACCTGAAGATTTCTCGCATTTCCCATGTCAAGGGAAACAAATCAACCAAGTATGGTTCGAAATCCATTAGCCCTGTCCTCTTACCGAAGTGGTGGATGGTTGCTTTTCCTTCCCAAGCTTCGGCTCGAAGATCGCATGATCGCTACACAATGACGCCCATTTCCAGCTTGCCAAACTTTTGGGATGTCAGCCGATAATTTTGATTTGATATCGATACCACTGTGTATTTCATCAGCTTCGCTTGACCCAGTCCATCGTCTCAGTATATAGATAACAGTATCCTTTCATGTTCCTTTCAAAGATGAGCTGAGAGTTATCGGCCTCGTTATTGAACTACTTGAGTAACATCAGTGCATTGTCGACAGATCCCCTTTCCCCTTTGACACCCCTACGATGCCAACCTCACCAACATTAGACTTTGCCTTGCAAAACAGAACCAACTCAAACACCGTTTTTGCGTACATAACTGGCCGCGCCCTCGACAATGGCTTTGCCTTGTTCCTGCTTCGGCGGGATGGAAGGACTCCCTACTTTCCTAACTCACCCTCGTCCACACTCGCACCTCTGACTGAGGATTGTGCAATTCGTCTGGGAGCTCCTGGATCCACAACCACAATCACGATTCCTCGTCTTGCCGGTGCTCGCGTCTATTTCTCGGTCGATAGGCCACTGACATTCCTGTTGAATCCGGGTCCAGCACTGGTCGAGCCCTCGGTCACCAATCCTTCGGACCCCAACATCGACATCGACTGGTGTTTTGCGGAGTTCACATACAACAGTAACGAGATCTACGCCAACATCACTTACGTGGACTTTGTGTCCATTCCCATTTCTCTCACTCTTGAAACGGCGTCCAAGGTCACCAAACATGTCTCCGGCATGCCAGCCAATGGTCTCGACACGGTCTGCGACCGGCTGCGAGCTCAGGATAATAATGATCGCGCCGGCTGGAGCAGGCTGATCGTCAAGCAACGCGGCAGCGACCGGAATCTCCGAGCTCTCAGCCCCAATACTGGCATCGTCACCGACAACAACCTCTTCCGCGGCTACTACCAACCGTACGTCGACGCCGTCTGGAACAAATATACCCACTTTACGCTGGCCATCAACACTCAGAATAATATCTGGGGCACACTAACCGGCCAGGTGCGCAACGGCGTCTTCGACATTGGTGGTCAGCTCTTCACTCAGCCGTCGGCTGCAGACATTTTCAGTTGCAGCACTGGTCCATTTGCGGAGATGGGATCACCCCTTCGAGGCGCCATCATCGCTCGATTCTCAGCGGCATTTCATCGTTCGACCTTGCTGAATGATCCGGATCGTAGCTTCCCAGATACTCCGCCGCCATTCTATGCGGAGCGCATCACGAATCATTATTCGAGAATTGTGCATGAGGTAAATTTGGATCGGAGGGGTTATGCGTTCCCTTATGATGATGTGGCAGCAAGTGGGGGGAAGGACGAGTCCGGCGCGGTAAATGCACCGGATCCGCGGCTGTTGACCATTGCTGTGGGTGGGAATAACGCATTCCTTGCGCCTTTGGCGCCTCCTAGGGACGAGCTGTGATGTCATGAGTCTGGGACTGGGAAAGTTGTGAAATTGTGCTTGAATAGGTGGAAGGTCGGCATTTCGGTCTTTTCTGTTGTGTTTATGTTGTATTTGGTCAGCTAGTTTGAGGTGGAGGTTGCCTGGACACAATTGAACCCATCTGGATGGGTTCAAGAATGTCACTTGATGTCCAAAGTTTATTGTAGCTTGCATGCATGTAGATCATATCACGGGACGACTTGACTCGATCAAGCTCGTTGTTGTGATACGTTCTTCAAGTCTTTTCCATTTTGGTCCACACGGTAGGCGCCCTTCTTTGGTCGGTGACTTTGCCGATGCACAACTTTCAGAAACCCAGATCCATTCATTTTCTCATCCTCATCCTCAAAACGGTGCAGATCGTTTCGACATTAGAGTCTGAAGTCCACCTTCTGATGACGCTTTTCTGCAGGATCGAAGATCCTCTAGGATGCCCCCAAGTAGCGATCACGATAAATAGCACTTACTATCACTCTTTCCTAGCGAGAGTGTCAACCGTTTCATTGCTCCTGCCATGGAGAAGACGACCGAAGGTGAAGGAGTTAGCAACAACTTTACTGTCCGATCAGCCATCACAGCATCTTTCTTGTTCATCGTCATGCGAAAAGGTGAGACGCTGCGGGCTTCGCTTTGTGGGAGCTATCCGGGAATTGGGTTTCGGCCTTCGAAGAGCTTTCGGGAAGAGCTTCGCTTAAATATTTAGCCGCTTAGAACTGCAATAAGTAATAGAGTCGTTTATACTTACCTGAGCGATATTTCATCTCAATTACAACATCAGGACAAAACTGGTTCATTTCACTGCATGCATTTCCCGGCACAAGCCTAGTTGCTCAGAGATTATCTTTCGTGTCCATGGATATCCGGTACTTGAGATCGACCTGACAGTTAATGATAGCTCGACAAGTTAATTAGTCTAAAACGTCCACCGTCGAGCATGGTAGGTATCAAATGTCTTCTGACACTTCCGTTCTTACAGAAACACGAGATGTATAATGAGCACAGGCCGCTCCAAATATCCATGTCCGGCAACGTCTAACAAAAATGGGAAAGCTGCCCGCTGCGAGGACTAGATAGCAAATCATCATTGTTCCTTGATGATATCTGTTTCAGGGGAATACACACTCCGTCACAGCTATCTTGACACTCTCCAGTCCAATAAACGGATGGCCGCAGAGATTGTTTCTCTTTACCGGACTCCGCAGCAACCGCGGCTGACGATGGAGAGAGCCGTCGAGGCAACAACAGCTAACGTGCGTGCTGCCACCGCATATTTGTTCAACGCCTTCCAAGATGTGTCCACGCCGATGGCCATAATCGGTGGGTTCTCGGTTTCTCTTCGCGGCTGCACTCGCGAGGTGAAGGGTCTTGATATTGCCGCTTCAGAACTAAGGGAGGTGGCTGAGTTGCTGCGCACATGGCGAGGCATGCATGAGCAACGGTGAGACCCTTTCTGCAGAGCACCTGTTGACGACGGTTGTGCTAACACCATCCATCACACGACAGGCTCATAATACCGGCGATCGTTCCCCAATCAGAGGCACTGATAATATTTGTTCGAACAGGTGGTCAGTGGGATCACTCAACCGCCCGCGAATGTATAGTTCAAGTCATAATTACCAGGCGAGGTGTGTAGAGTCTTTTCTCATAGGCGCAAACCTCCCACCGATCCTTCTTTTTCAGGGCATCTCGATGCTCCTGAGGACATAATTGCAGCAACAGAAATGATTGATGTTCCACAGGGTCTGCGCAGTGAACTTACACCGCGCATTGCAAGGATACCGATTCTCGACCTGCCTCACATATTCCGAGACAAATTAAGGAATTATTCAGTTCGACGCAGGCTCATCAGCAACGTTCATGCCCACGCCGAAGCCGGCGACGAGTTGGTAGAGAATGGTCTTCTTCCAGGAGGGGGAGAAGGGTAAGTCGCCAAATAGGCCGAAGCCGAGCGTCATGGTGAGGAGGCCGCACCAGAGTGGGGTAAGGTAGTGGCCTGTTTTCTTGATGATAATCCCGGCTCCGGCGGAGGTGACCGAAAAAGAGAGAGCGTAGGGGAGGAGGTAAACACCAGACAGGGAGGGAGAGGTCTGGCGCCTAGAACCGGTTGGAAGTAGAGTGGAAGATAACAAGACGCGGCAATAAAAACATAGCCGTGGCAGAAACACACGCCGATTGAGGCGATGTTTGAGCCATTTTTGAAGATTGATAACGGCATGATAGGGCAACGGGCCACTTTCCCCTCGCTGAGGAGGAAGAGCAAGGCTGTGAGAACCGCGAAGATGATGAGGCAGATCACCGTTGCGGAGGACCAGGGGATGGTCACGCCGACAAACTCGAGGCCGAGGAGGGCCATCAATGTCCCGCCCATCACCGTGATACTGCCCAGCCAATCCACAGCCCTGAGTCCATCCCAAACTGGTGTCCTGGGATTATCCAGATGCAGAAATATGCTCAGCAGTACAAAGACCGTCCCTGTGATTGGCACTGCACCAACTAGTCAACTTCAAGCCGCAACAAAAGAGCGAGCATCCTGCCGGGCATAGAATAAAAGCAAGGCCGTAACAGACTCACAATTGATATAGAAACACCACCGCAGCGTAATCCTCTCTGCAAACGCGCCTCCCAGAAGCGGACCTAAGCCGCTGGCGAGGGACCACACCATTCCAAGGAAGCGCAGATACTGCCCGTGAGTGCGCAGGCTGAATATATCATTCACGCAGAATACTGACCAGCACAAAAATTTCCCCTCCGCCAATGCCCTGCACCGTACGCGCCACAATCAACATCCCAATGCTAACGCTAGTGGCAGCGAGCAAGCTTCCTACAAAAAGGATGCCCAAACCAAGCAGCAGGATCGCTTTCCGGCCCCAGATGTCGGAGAAAATTCCCCAAGAAGGCGTACTCGCAGCATTGGCAAGCAGGTAGGCCGACCTGATACAGGTGTAGCCTTCGTCGGAGTTGAAATGCTCGCATATGCTCGGCAAAGCGGTTGTGACGATAGTGGTGTCGAGCGCGGCGAGGAAGAGGGCCGCGCAGAGGGAGAGCATGATTGTGACGGTCTGCAGCTTCGTGCGTGATGCTTCGAGGCTGATTCCCTGTGGTGGTGCAGAAGGTGCAGGATCTTTCATGGTGCTGGTCTCGCAGGAAGAGCCGTTCTCCTTGCTGTTTGTTGGTATGTCCTCGGCACTGTTCTTCTTGGTGGTGGAGGCGGGTGAGTCTGAATGCGGGCTTTCAGAGTTACCTCCGATTATTGTTCCTCTACCTACGCCGGCCTCGACTGCTGACCCATCTTCATAGCGCGAGCCCTCTCCCATAACTGTCGTTCTCGTTCCTTGCCGCTGACTATCTTCTTCTATGAGGCACTTACGCACTGAACGTTGAAGCGATTGCTATCTAATGATAAGCAAGTCGTCTACCACCTCAACTATCGATGGTTTGTTTCTCCAGCAGCAAATCTTTGCGGACTTCATCACGTCCTGGAGAGAGGGTAGAGGATATTGAGTTGTCATAGGTTAGATCCGACATGTCTGCGGAAAGGGAGGAAATGTTCTCGGTGTTTGGCGTTTAATCCTTGATCCCCAGAGGGCCCGTCTGGAGGTAAGTACCAATCGGGAGCTTGGAAGAAGTGCACTTGGCTGTAATTTTGGATCAACCTCGGCTCCAGCTACATGCGTAGTCGGCCAATAGACTCTTCAGCGACGATATACTGCGCCATCTTGCGGTGGAGGGGCGTTTGTAGACACTGAAGAAAATGCCAATGATTAGCATAAGCGTATGACGATTGTTAGAGATCATATATTAGATGAAGGGAGGCGAAAACCCGTTTGATAACTCCGAGCCGAGCCAAGCTGATTTCCCCCAAAGGAAAGCGAGAAGAGAGTGCGTTGGGATCTAAGTTAGCCTGATGAGGCAAGTAGACAGATCCTGTCTGCTTCAGTCCCATGCCACGATCTTCGGGAATGAGGTTGAAGCCTCGCTGAAGGGCATAACTCATGGCAGCTGAAACAAGCCGCCTCCAGCGGGAATGCCAATGGAAAGAGAAACGGCACCGGCGTGTTAGCCATGCTTGACTTTTATAGAAAGAGGAAGCAAGAGCCATGAAGTCAGCCATGAGGTTACCAATAAGGTCCACCTATAGATTGCCATCTTTCTTCCCGTACACTTCTGTAATCTGCAACAAAGTCGCCCCAAACTCCTCGTGAGGGTCTTGTGGGAACGCCCATCGTGAAGCACTTCACAGTATTGTACTGCAGTGTCGGGCTGGTCGCTGGTCTGACGAAATGACAAGACAACATCGCCCCTGAATTTGATCCGGCCAGCTACAGCGAGGAAGAACCAAGATGTTGCTGTCATCGGCGGTGGCTCCTCCAGGATTTATAGCGCCAGCACCCTAAGGTTTAAGCACGTAAAGTAAGCATTGGAATCAGTCAGCCAGCCTCTCGCTACCTATGATCACAGTGAATGGAAAGAAAGTGTTGAACTCAAAAATACAGTTGGCGCTATTTTGCTACGTTTGTCACCAGCGTTTTGTTACAGAATTGATACGCGTTTTGCATCAGCCACGTATGTATTTTTGGTATCTGCGTTTCGCGCTACTGCGCTTGATATCCCCTCCGTCCCTGGGTGGTCCAATTAGCGTCTTGGCGCAGAATAAGGTTTTTTAGCCGCATATGAGCGTCACAGCTTTCCACTGCGCTTTTTATAAATAAATTTTCAGCCACTTACTATGCTACGACCACAGCGAAATACGCAAATTCCTCTGAGATACAGAGATAACTCACCTCCGTCAATACACAGAAACAACAACCAGTCAAAACGGTCAAAAATTGGCTCCAAAAGCGTTGATCGAAATAAAATCGATCAAGCCTTGGCAGTGATTGCCCCGACGCCAGAATGCGCAGATGAACCCTCGACATTCATTTCAACAGAACTCCCTCATTTTGAGGCTAATTACGTTCGAAATCGAGCAGGAGCTTCTCGATACACTAATCTATCTGAATTAGGCTTTTTTCAGCTCTTTTTTAGCGATTTCGTAGTGGAAATCCTCTCCGAAGAAACCAACAAATACGCTGTATTCAAATTACAAAATCCTTCTTTCTTTGAGAAATGTCACTGGGTACCTACTACGCCGGCAGAAATACGTGTATTCATAGGGAGAAATCTCCATTTTGGCTTGTACTAGGGAACTGTATAAACAGATTATTAGAAACTACACAATCTAGGTCAATTTATGAGTCGAGATCAATTCGAACTCATTCATCGCTTTTTCAGTACAAATAGTGCTTCTATACCTCTAAATGCACCCTGGTTTTATTGAATTTAATATATAGCTAACCTTATTCAAACTGCTTATCAAAATTTCTTCTATCCCTCTTCTTATATTACTATTAATAAGGCTATAGTCGCTTTTGCAGGCCATTTAAAGCATATAATTAAGCTAAAGAACAAGCCTATTAATACAGGCTATAAGCTATAATATATTAGCAATTATAGATATATTTAGAGCTAATTATTTTACTTTAGAATAAATAGAGTTAAAATGCTTAAGAAGAGGATAAAAATAAGCTAGCTACGCCTATACTCTATAAGTGCTAAGCGCACCTTATTAGTACTTATATTTACGCTTATTTTATACTTAGCTAAATAGTTTCTAAAATAGCTTAAATTCTGCGTTTATTTAGATAATCTATTTCTAAATATGCCTATTATATAATGCCTGTTAACTATAAAGGTCTATTATATAAGTATAATATACAAAAAGGCTAACAGAATTTCTTTATATCTTTAGAGCTATTTTAAGCAAAATAAGCTATTATAGGACTTTATAATAGTAGAGGTTATTAATAATAATACTTTCTGCTTTATTTAGCAAGATAATAAGGCTATTAGCGTTATTTTGATTACTTATAGCCTTTATAAGATCAAGGATAAAGTTTAATATATACAAAAATGCCTAAAAATAATGTCTAAAAATTAATAAATTTTATTACTTATTTTTAATAATTAATTATTCAAAAAGCTCTTTATTTTAACAGCTATTAATAAGTATAACTATTATATAAAGAGTGTAAACTAAGCTAATTAATTATGTACAAGTTTTATATATTATTATAAGCAAAATTATTAAATATAATAGCTCTTAGTTTTCTTTCTTCTTAACGTTACTTATACTAATGCGTATCTACTATAGAAATAAAGTAATAACATACAGAATTATAATACTTATAAGACTTTTATAAGTGCTTTATATAACTAATTACTACATTTAAATAATCTGAAAGAGGAGAAATAATCCTAGTCTTTACCTATAGTAGTCTCTTAATGCCACTATAAATATATATGAGAGAAAACTCACAGTTAGTGCGAATAAGGAAAGCTTCACAAGCCTGGCTATGTACGCAAAAGGGCTCCCAAGCGCAAATTCGGAACAAATATCACAGAAACAGCTGTAAATGGCGCAAATAAGGCTATTTCTGGTGGGTCAAGGACCTATTTCAAATACAGCAAGTGCCAAATTTGGCTCTGTATCGAAGGAAGCTGTTGGCAACAATATCACCACTCAATTGGAGTCAATTGCTAGATAGAATGGCCTCAATTCGCCCAAAAGAGACGTTTGTTGATATTTTGTGCCCTTCGTAGTGATCGACAGCGCTAATTGGACCATTCTACACCCCTGTTCAGGGACGGAGGGGATAGCAACTTTGTATGTACAAGTACGCGCTGCTTTCGCACTGAATTAGATAGAACAACTTGCTATTTCCACACTGATCCGTCGATTAGTCAGCACAGTTCATCAGAAAGCCTTCCGAGTTTTGTTTTAGGCTCCAGCTAAGCTTCTATTCTTCAACGATGTAAGAGACTCAAGCGGTGGCTAGCATAAAGAACAACATTCAACTGTATCCCGACAGGACAGGAGTTGCTCCCAAATTTGGTCATGACATCTAACGACAGTCATTGATGCAGAAAATGAAGGCTGGTGATTCTCCTCCGCCAAGGCTCTACGAATAGCTCATTCGCTTCTGCCAAAATTTGAACAAGAATGACAGAGGATCATGATCATTTCCATGACTTCCTCAGTCTTACAAATACGAAATTCCTCCGCGGCGTCAACACCGAACGTCCAGTTGAACCATAAAGATGTTTCTCTCTATGCTAACATCGTGACTTCTTCGCCCCGTAGTGGACATCACGTTAAATCTTTATGATTTGCGTAACTTGTACTAATATCTATAAAGAAGAGAGGAGAGTACAAAGCCAGCCATTACAGCCTCCCAAGAGCCGACTGACCCCGACGGTCCGGCTAAGAACGAAGCGCTGTGCAAGTAAGTGTTTGAGAATTCTCCTCAAAACAAAGGGTAGGTACTGATAACATACAACCCTCCATTAATGCTGTACAATCCCATCCACCACATGCGTGTCAGATGCATCATTTCGCCTCTCGATCCAGACTCTGCGCCAGCACCATCTCCCAATACCTGCCCCTCCTCTTCACCAACTCCGCATGCGTCCCCGCCTCAACCACTTTCCCATTGTCCAGCACAAAGATACGATCGGCACCCCTCACCGTGGACAATCTATGCGCGACCGCAACGGTGGTCCTCCCTTTCGAGGCGGTCTCCAGCGCCTTCTGCACCACCTCCTCGCTTTGGGTGTCCAGGGCACTCGTCGCTTCGTCAAGAAGAAGAATCGCTGGATTTCGGACAAGGGCCCGCGCGATGGCGATGCGTTGGCGTTGACCCCCGGATAAAGCGAGTCCGCGAGATCCGGCGTCGGTGTTGTAACCTTCCGGCAAGGAAGAAATGAAGGCGTGGATGTTGGCGGACTTACATGCTTCGATCAAGGTCTCCTCGGAAACCTCACCATCCGGCATACCGAGGAGGATGTTCTCGCGGATCGAGCCTTGATACAGCGTTGTGTCCTGAGATACAAGCCCGACAGTCGAGCGGTAAGACTTCACGTCCAAAGTCGACAGAGATCCGCCATGGATCAGAATCTGGCCGGAAGTGATGTCATAGAAGCGTTCAAGGAGGGTGATAATGGTGGTTTTGCCGCAGCCAGAGGCGCCGACGATGCCGATTGTTTGGCCATGGTAGATCTTGAAGTTCAAGCCTCGGAGGACTGGGAGCTCGGGCCGGGTAGGGTACGAGAATCGGACATTTCGGAATTCGATTGCGGTTTCTGTTGTGTCATTTGAAGGGATGGGATTTCCGGTGGAGCTGTTGATTGGTGGTTTTTGTTTTCGAAGATGGAGGATTTGGTTTGCTGCGGCGTGGGCTTTAGTAGTATCTGGTCTGGTTAGAAACCGCCCTACGATTCAAGCTGGGGTTTACTGACTGAGGGTGAAGCCAAAAAGGAAACCAGCCGCCTGGCCACCGAAGATAATCGCGACGAAGATGAGAAAGAAGTCGGTCGCATTATACTCTCCTTGGGAGAGAAGCCTCCCTCCATACCAGAATGCCAGGCCCATTGCTAGATCTGTTATTCTTGCTCAATACAAGGGACTTCTGATGCACGTACCGACAAGATCAAGGCTGTCCGACAGGCCGAAGAGGCCCATGGAAAAGATTGTATGCTTGTAAGCTTTTCTGACAGAGTCATTGAGCCTTTCCCCATAACTGTCAAGTACCTTGGTCTCCAAAGTTAAGGATGAGACCGTTCGAATAGCCCCCACCGCTTCGGAAGCAAACCGGGCGCTCTCCTGGTAGATCTTTGCATTTTTGTCCTGGTTTTGCATCTCCAGTCTCATTCTCATGAAACCAGCAAAGAACAATGCAGGTAGACAGCCAAAAATTGCGACCAAGGATAACTTCCAGCCAACAGCTAAAGCCAAAGTGCAGGAGCCAAGCAGATTCACCAGAACGATCAAAATTAGACCAAGATTGGACGACACAAGATCCTGCAAACATTGTGGATCTGTCGAGAGTCGAGATGTCAAAGCGCCGGATGAATTTCCCTCCAGGTCGTAGAAAGCAATGTCCTGCCGAAGCATAGCACTGAAGTATTCGCTGCGGTAGAATCGAGTGATCAGGAACGCAGCGACGGTCAGAAAGAATCCCAACGAGGCATATGAGAAGAGCGTGCCCAAAGCTAGTACGAAGAACATCAGAGACCAGAAGTTTCCTCGCGATTCCAATTGGTTCTCAGGCAGTTGGAATACCGTAACAACTCTGGAAAACAGCACCGCTTGTGCAGGGAACACCGCACCAGCAGCAACGGAAGCAATCAAGCCGCCAAGCAAGAGCCGCCACACTCGTCGCTGTTCGTAGAAGATGATGATCAAGCATTTGAACAAGGACAACTTGCGAGAGACGTCCTCAGATTTGAGCGCGGATTTGACGCTAACTGTCGATCTGGTCGTTTGAACCTTGTCCAAGTCCAGACCACCAGTGTTGGCTTCTTTGCTCTTGTCAGAGTCCAGTTGGTCTTCGCTGTCATCCATTGCATCCAAGTTCTGGGCTTTGACTAGACGCGAGTAAGCGCCTTCAGCTGCAAGCAAAGACTCATGTGTCCCTTGCTCAACTACACGACCCTGGTTCATGACAATGATCTTGTCAGCCTTCTGAACAGTAGATAGTTTATGTGCAATCATGACGGTGGTGCGGGTCTGAGAAACTCTGTCAAGGGCTGCCTGTACAACGCCCTCCGCTTTCGGGTCCAGCGCCGAAGTTGCTTCGTCCAGAAGAAGGATCCTAGGGTTGGAAATGATGCTCCTGGCAATTGCAATTCTCTGTTTCTGGCCACCGCTAATGAACCCTGCTCGCTCTCCAACCTTCGTGTCGTAGCCTTCAGGTAGGTTTTGAATGAAGCTATCCGCGTTGGCCTCGACACATGCGCTCTGAACAAGTTTTCGCTTTTCGATCTCTGGCAGGTCGTCCATCTCCGTACCATAAAGACCGTGAACGATATTGTTGTAAATCGTGTCATTGAACAAAACTGGTTCCTGTGTGGATGGTTTAGCCTGAACCTTAGTTTTAGGACGAACTGTATACCTGTTGCACAAGGCCTATCTGGCTTCTCAACCATCGCACATTGAGGTCCTTGATATCGTGTCCATCAACGCAGATCCTGCCCTCTAGAGGATCATACCAACGTTCTGTCAAACCCACGACGGTTGACTTTCCCGAACCACTAGCGCCGACAATCGCTGTGACTTTGCGAGCCTCAAACTCGAGGCTGAGGTCCTCCAGGACTCTCAAAGTTGGCCTCGCTGGGTAGGAAAAGGAAACGCCTTGGAAGGTGATCTGTCCGGAAATTGTTTCTGGTTTTAGGCCTTCGCTACCAACCGGGTCGATCTTAGGCTCTTGTGCTATCAAGTCCAGCACTGCTTTCGCAGCAGCACTAGCTTTCGCCACTTCTCCGATGGATGGCGCGATCATGGTGATCGAGGATGTTCCAATCACGACAGAGAAGAGTACTCTGGAAGGTACTTAGCAGTCAAGCCATAACGAGTGAATCTTTGATTACATACGTCGTGACCGTGCCACCACTGTCGATCTCTCCACGCAAGAGCAGACGAATCCCATACCAGAATGCAAGAGCATAGGCACAGAACATCATGAAGAACTCTGAGCTGTACTGAGTGCCCAGAACAGGTCCTTTCTTTACGCCATAGGTCTTTGCAATATCCAAGTAAGCGTCGTACTTTTTGGTTAGCTTCTCATATGCTCCGAACGCGGTCACGATGCGAATGCTGCCAAGAGCTTCCTCGACAAGCCCTCCAGCCTTTGCGTAGATCTCGAGGATCTTAGCCTCGAGACGAGCGTCCAGGGCGATCGTGATGGAAACTGCAATGACAGCTGCTGGGAGTGTTGTGGCAGTGACCAGCGTAAGCTTCCATCCAGTTGTAAAAGCAACTATGAAAGCCGAAACGAGCATTGCTAGGCCTTGAATAATGACCCCAACCTTCTCCGACAGCCCGGCATGTATCATGTCGGCATTGTTGGATATACTGGTTGCGACGGACCCCGGGGTGCAAGTGTCAAAGTATGAGATGTCTTGACGTAGAAGGGAGCGGATATAGTCCCGCCGGATGGCACGCGTGGCCCGGGTCGCGGTTATAGTGAAAGCTGTTGTATGGATGTATACGAGCTATGTTCGCTCCTTCAGTTTGCAAGGCACAAACGAGGGCAGGTGAAGAGAGGAGACTAACGGTGAATTTCCCAATGAAGAGATAAACGAACCACAACCTACACATAAAGTGTATGAGCACAATGCGGAAAGATCAGCGTGGAGTCTAGAGGCATACGCATTGTCGTTCACAGCTGCTTGTAATCGATCCGGCGAGAGTGCTCCCCGGCCCCAGTCGTTGAAATCGTCCACGAGATGACCAAATACCAGAGTCATAAGCGGTAGAGCGGCGCCAGCACCGCAAGCAGCGAAGAATCCACATATCCGTAAAGTGATATCGAGCGGAGTCGCATATCTCCATAGTTTCTAGGCGAGATTAGATTCATCGGTGGGCAAGCGAAGCCGTTATAGCTCTTTTCGAATAGGTAGAATGCTTCTGTTCTTACCACGTAGTAACCATACCCTACGTTCTTCTTCTTCTTCTTCTTCTTAGTGTCGACCTCGGCGATAGTATTCCCAGGAGGTGCAGTTATCACCACAGTAGCATCTTGCTGAATGCTGCTTCTTTTCTCCGTGTCGCTGCTCTGGGATAGGCGATTTTCGGGAAGCACGGACTTTTCGGGATCTTGCATTTTTGTTGGAATATTGAATGCAGCACAATCCGTGCTTAGGTTATCACTTAATCTGAAGCACCACAGAAACACGGTCTCAGATTGTCAATGTGAACCACTGATTGATGGCACAGAGCTTCCATTATTGATTTGTATTCTGGCAAACAGAACTAAGTATATCGAGTGTTGACGTAGTTCTCGTATCCACAAACTGCTGCCTGTGCGAGTAACTAACGACTGAGTACTATTCTGCAAGCCAAGTGCTTGGCTACTTAAACGACCCGCGTACCCATCCTGACTATTGGCTGCTGGACCGGAGCTTTGGTTTGCCCAATTGGCAGAATCTGTTGCTCCTAAAAAGTCTTGTCGCGAGCCCATGACTCACAACTATTACGTATGCCCACGGTCCGGGAGTAAACTGAAACGGGACAGCACAGAGAGAGTTGATCGTATTCACTAAAGCGGCATACTTCCCTTCCAGTTCAACTATTTGTGTTCTTGACTGCACCTTCCCAATTGAGATGCAAAAGAATTACTATACCAAGCCGCCAATGGCCTCTACCACTTACTGTACTGTACCAGGCATAAGTACTGTCGGTTTGTTCTATTACTTATCAGGAGGAGACCCCTGAAAGTTATTTTCCAAACTTATGGCCATTTGACGCTTAGATTATGGTCACCCCTCGCCGTTTGACGATCTTTGTACGGAGTACGGAGCCGTGCGTCAAGAGTAGTTGACTGCCACTAGTTAGAATGTAGCTGAGAAGCTAGCTAAGTATATTTTAGCCAGTAATGATTAGTGTCTTACTACTAAGTCATCTAAGTAGGGCGCAAGAAAGGTGCGTGGTTACACCTATAGCTGCAGCTGAGATCCTATCATTCTGACCGTTGCTGTTACAGTACATGCGCATAGACAGCGCATGTGAGTCACACGTATATAGCCGGGTTGTTGTCTCTTTTAAGGAGGCGATTTTGACGTTAAGAGGAACATGTTATAAGGGGTCAGTGCCCGAATTCCTCACCTCAAGACAGGATAGACTGCCTGTGTAGCTTTCTATCTATTCTTTTAGTGAGTAAAAAGAGGTAATAGGGGGCTCGGCCTGCCTGCCTCTGCTGCCTCGCCCCCCTCTTCTTCGCGTTGTTTGGTCATATTTCGAGCTTGTTCGGCATAAAGAACTCCTCTAGTTTGTAGCTGACGTTGCCCTCTACATCTTCGTTCTCTTCGTTCTCTTTCAGCTGCTGTATATTCTGATAAATCCTTCTGGATTTGTACGGCAGTTTTAGCCTGAATCAGAGCCCCCTTGATGAATTTCTCTTATAATACTGTTTGACGACTCAGAGTTGCGTTTTGTAGCTGAATAGCTTGCTTTTCAAGAGATCAAGCTATTAGAGGTGTAACAGGAGGCCAGATTTGAGCGTCAGAAGAAGTAGATAATTGATTTGGAGGCGTAGGAGAGCCGGATAGTGTTTTTAGGGCGCTTAGGTGGTGGTATAATATTTAGATTATAAGGAACAAGTCTGTATTCTCAAAATTTATCAAGAATAGAGCTTCTTTTGAATGTTATTTAATAGATCTTATTTAGTATAATATTTAGATTATAAAGAACAAGTCTGTATTCTTAAAATTCATTAAGAATAAAGCTTCTTTTAAATATTATTTAACGGGCATGCTTGCTATATAGAAGCGACCCCAGGGCCCTCACCGTCGACTCTTCAGTCTTAGGATAGCCCTCAACATGGGCTGAAGATCTCGCGCACTCGTCGCCTGCTTCCAACGTGACACGTGACAGTGAACCGCCCGCGCTTCGACTGTTAAATACTTTAAATAGCTCTAAGAAATTCTAGCTTATTAAATTTGTTACATCCTTTTTAAGTTGCTTAATCTACTGCCTAGGCGTGCTAATGCTTATACAGCTAAAATAGAATAATGTTAAGTGATTAAAGAACGTAAGAAGTATATAGAGGAAGCGTAAAGATGTAAATAAGGTTGAATTCGCAGAATTCAAGAATCTCTCGTGTAAAATAGCTTATATATTTATTACAAAGAAGAATATAATAAGCTCTTATCTGTGTTTATTGATTTTAATACTTAAAATACTAGATATATTTGTACACAAGCTTATTATTTAAATATCTAATATCTGATAGGCTAACTAAAGTCTCTTCTTAAAGTTCATAATAGAAACGCTCTATATAGATTCTTTCTAACAGAATTAATATCTTATTAATAACTGCTCCGCTAGCACTAATAGCCTTCACAACTATTATATAATTATGTATATTATCTAAAGATAAATAATGTTTCTTTTTTTGTAAAGCAATAATTATTTACTAACTCTTTCTAACGCCTATTCAAAAGCCTGTTTCATCGAATTTCCAGATATCTGTGTTCTGTATCAAATATCTTTCTCAGAGCGCTTGAAAACGCTCAAACTAGTTCAAAATAATATCAGAATTATGAGCCAGCTTTTTAACTTAGGGTCGAGGCTTGCGTTTACAGAGGGTAGTGACAGTTTATATTTATTAACTTTAGTACTTAAAATACTAGATATATTTATATATAAGTTTATTATTCAAATATCTAGTATCTAATAGGCTAACTAAAGTCTCTTCTTAAAGTTTATAATAAAAACGCTTTATATAGACTCTCTTTAATAGAATTAATATCTTATTAATAACTGCTTTACTAGCACTAATAGCCTTTATAGCTATTATATAATCACGTATATTATTTAAAAGTAAATAATATCTCTTTTTTTATGAAGTAATAATTATTTACTGACTCTTTTTAACGCTTATTTGAAAGCCTATTTTATTAAAATTCTAGATATCTGTATTCTGTATCAAATATCTCTCTTAAAGCATTTAAAAATGCTTAAACTAGTTCAAAATAACGTCAGAATTATAAGCTAGCTTTTGTTTAAGTTCTAAGGGCTTTTGTTTAGCCTTATAAAGCTTAGGATATTAATCTAAAAAGCGTTGAACCTAATGTGAGCCTACAGAGGGCGCAGGAGTAGTGATAGTATAATTCTGAAGAAGAATAGCATTTGCTACATTATTGATTTGATCATATTGTTCTAAGGGCTTTTGTTTAGCCTTATAAAGCTCAGGATATTAATCTAAAAAGTGTCAAACCTAATGTGAGCTTACAGAGGGCGTAGGAGCAGTGGTAATATGATCCTGAAGAAGAATAGCATTTACTACATTATTGATTTAATCATATCATACAGAGTGGCTAATTTCATCTAAAGAGAGGATATATCAAATAAGAGAGGCCTCCTGTACAGCAGAGAGCTTGCGGCCAACTGGTTTTCGATCTATAAGAGTCCCTATACCCCTAAGTCGTTGATGGATACGATCTTTATAGATACCAAGTTCACGCGCTTTTGCTACAACAGTAGAGCGCTTTCCCTCCTCTCTTGCAGCACGGATCTCTCGTACGGCCCTATCCACCAAATCGTCGATATCTTCGTTCGAAACAGGCATGTTGTGGGGGTGCTATACTTGAAATTCAACAGGAGATTTATTTCTGTTCAAAAAACGCGTTTGGGTGAGAAACGCGTATGGCTGGCAGCTATGCGCTGCGCGCGCTGGCTTTGCCAGGGGGACCCCCCCTGCAAAGTGGGTCCCTAGGGATCCACTCATTGGGCCACGGATAGACCTGGAAGCAAAATGATCTTCGAAGCCGCAGGAAATTCATTTGGTTTCCTCTCCCTAGGGATCCACCCATTGGGCCACGGATATTAGGCTTTTAGGGCTTAAGATTAGGGGTGATAAGGCTTAGTAGATGAGATTATACGTTATAAGTAGCACATACATCACCTAGTAACTGATTTAGGCCTAATAAGATGCTGGATACTTACTACGTACGTAGTAGTATACCATTAGTTGGTGGGTCAACCTAACTGAAGCTAGTAGGCACTAGCAACGCCACGATATCCAGGGGTCAACTACTTTTGACTCACGACTTTGTACGGAGTCATGACAAACCATCAGTCAGTGCACTAAGGACTAATAGCGTGTCATTTTCTGGAGTTCCTCTCCACGTGAGTAACTGCTTGAAACGCCAAGATAGAAAGTCACCAAACCGCTGGATCTTGACTAGCCTATCTAAAAATCTGGTGTACATCCCAATCAGCATATATGTGTCTGGCATTTCTCTGACATTAATTCGAGCAGCTCTAGAGATAGACCACAGGTATAGCGTTCCAAGCAGCATTGAAATGCGTTGAAAACTGAACACGTTGAGCAACATCGAGGCGTTAAATGACAATACTACCAGGGCGAACCAGCAATACTGATGCCTTGTACCGTAGTATATACCCAAGGTTGGAATGAACAAAATACATGGCACAACTTTACCCCACTACTACCGGCCAAAACTTACCTCGATTTGGGCAACCATGGTTCTCCTATCGATGGAACAAATTTCGCCGACTGGCTTCAGGATGGGGTTTTGGAACAGTTGGGAGGACTGAATCGTGGAGATGTTGCTATGGACTTTCCCTTGCCTTCATGTCTCTCTGGTGTCGAAAGGATAAGGCAACATCAATCCGTCTCTGGTACCCGAAAGCCCGTGGTTACGCTACAAAGGTAGCAGGAAAGGGAGCCTGAAACAGGAACCTCAAGCTCCGAAAAGAGTTTCCTTAAACGTGCTCCTTCCTAAGCAGATTCCCAGACATGATTTGGATTCTGGACAACTGCTTCTCATCCCCTTCATTTCTGTGGTGCATGTTCCGCTTTTAGCATAGCACATCCACTAGTCCTCCTTCATTGCAGTCCCGAGGAAGCGAAACAGGGAGCTATTCCCTACGAAAGTCAAAACCGCAAGATCGCTGCCGAAGAGTGCAATTCCAACAACCCCATTGCCAGCTCGGCGGCGGCCCATCCCAGAAGCAGGTACGGAAAGCGTCATGTCCAGGCCTGAAGCATTTCCATATGGTCACGGTACATTTTCTTCACATATATCACACCCAGCCGCTACTACTACTCACAAAGAAGTCAGATGTTTAAGCCGGAAGGCTTTGTGACGTCTGTAATCAAACTAGATATGCATCAAAGCCAATCGTGAAGGGCAAAACGCGAAGCTATGAAACTCAACGACGAACAGACCAGATTGTGGGTACGCGAGCATGAACGTCGAATTGGGAAAAAAAGAACGTTGGGGAAGTGGATGCCATATACGGCATAGGGCAAGATGTGTGAACCGTCGTCGAGAGTAAATGTTGATACCCATGCGACTTCTTCTAGAAATTTCTGCTGCCGAATTCAGCAGGTGTATCCCTCAGGAGACCATATACATGGAACAGAAAAGCTGGACCAAGGACTTGAAATCAGTGACCAGATCCGGTTAGCATGATGCATTCGGTTTGGGGAGGAGGCTGAAAGATGCCTTCGGGTTGAAAGACAGGCCCAAAATGGAAGGTGATTTAAAAAAGCAATCATGCAAAGCAAGTGGGATGGTTGCCCGGATTGCGCACCAGCCATGCTGGATCACCACCCACCTGACAGCTGAGGTCCATGGCTCGACTTGGAGTCTGAGCATTTATGGTACTCATTCATCGCGATCTGGAGCGGAGGTTCGCTGTCGGATCCAGGTTGTCAGACCAGGAGCGTTGATGCAAGCAAGTGGGATGCATATTGAGCTGAACTTCTATCCTTACATCGCGCTTGGTTAAAGGCTGGGTTGTCAGTTGCGAATTTGATGTGGTACAGTCCGAACGATGTGACGTGAGTCCCGGTCCTTTGTTGATGTGTGTCTCGTTAACGGCATGAAGCGTTCTCCAGAGCTCTTCCCACATGCAAAGCAAGACAATTCGAAGAATTGTGATGGATGTGGGAGCTTATCGTCGTATTAAGCAAAGGACCTGACACCGACTAGATTTCCTTTATCGGTGTGGGCCCCCAGCTGGGAGGGAGAGGATGGCAGAGTGAACTCCCTACCCCACCTTGTGACCCTGCACAAGAAGCGAAGGGCTTGGAGTGGTACGTAAGCTCTGTACGAGTCTTGCTGCATTTGGATTGTGAGTAGGTGTGTAGCTGGGATGGTGGTATCCCGTGTCATTCTTGAGAAAGCAACGTATCATGGACGATGGCTTGGGGCCTTTCGTGGTCGGATTTTAGACGGACATCTGATTTAATTCCATCAATCTGGCGGGGCGGCTGCTCGTCCGGGCCCGGTACCGAAGGTTGAGCCGGGCTCGTGCAATCATAGCCCGCTGTAAATTTCCACGTGCGGCACAGCTTAAATTTGGCAAGCTGGTTAATTACAATCGTTCTTCGTACGTAAAATCTGGCAAGATCAGCACCACCCTCACACAGGCTGTCAGCTACTGGTCTGGCTTCTTAGAAGGCGACGTGTGTGGTTTCGCGGTAAATAGCTGAGGCTCTTGCTTTCGGGATCATGATAGCAGATTTCAAGGACAAGGGCCTTATTCTAATCTGCAAGAGACGTCCCGCTCCACAGCAGGTACATATGCAATGTTGTGTGCACATTTTGTAAGGCGCTGATTCTATTTTTCGATTAAAGCGGGGACATCGGAGGCGACGGGATTAGGGAGTTACTCCAAATTCACCGCCCTCCTTGGGTGATCGACATTGTTACAGCCCCTCAGATATAGGGATACATGACTGGCATTCGACTAGTAATATTAAATGCGAGATGATGTTATCGGACGATACAGCGGTCGCTTCTTGCAGTGATGGTGTGCCTTCTGACAAGTGATGTTTCATCAGATTAAGACAAGAGTCAAATAGTGGATATTACTGGCAAGTAGCCAAGATCAGGCTGACACAGTTCGACCATGATGCTTCAGCCCAACTGCTGTTGGTTGAGGACGTTACTCTAGTAGTGGCAACGCGACGACTGGTAGTAGTATCTGACACCCAGGGCTGAGCTTGGCAGGGAAGGGGGCCTTCCAGGTTGAGTCTCGAGCCAGAGACGACTCGGCGAGAAGAACAGCGTGAGCAGTACGTAGTACATCGACTTGGATCTCGGGCAGGGTGATCCAACACCCTATCCGAGAATATGTTTTCCATTTGCTGTCGGCTGATCTCTGGTCATAAACACGCAGGTGACCACCTGTTGTAGCCGTCTTATACCAAATATTCGTGTCCGTCGAGATGTGTGCTTAGTAAATCATCATTTACCCTTGTCATGGCTAGTGCTTCTAGACGTCCTATACGTGGGGTAGTATTGACGCATGTCTTATGATGAATCAACGCGATTGTTACAAGCCGGAAATGTGCAACGGACGAGAGAGTACGATGTTGGTCTTATGATGTTATTATCATTGCAACGTGTTGGAACGTTACAGGCCGCCAGTGTCATCTCTAACCGCCACGTGCCTTGTTTCACATCGCGGCAATGATGAGCTGGCAATAAGGAAATATGTCTGTGGCAATACTAAATTTGTCACTATGCTATGATGGCGGACTTGTAGCCACATATTGGCGAGCCAGCAGCAGAGAAAAAAAGGCAGTATGATAAGGAGAGATTTGTTGGCTGCGCGTTCGAGATGATAGGCTTTGAACACCATGTGACGTATTTTCGGATTGTAATATCATCATAAGGCAATCAGAGGCCTGAGCCTCAGCAATAGAAGTAGAGAGCGTTCAAAAGATGTGTCCCAATTTACAGAGGGAAAAGCGAGTGAGTAGGGCAACAGAGCAAAATATATAATACAGTCGAGCGAAAGAATCGCTGTCTCACCACAAGGTCGTGCATGACCTTGAAGGATGACGCGTAAAACCATAATGTAGACAGAATGTTCAAACCCCACAACGTTCCTATTCTCCTATGTCCCATGCTCATTTATCTCTAATCTGCTGCATAATCACACACTTCGGCCGCGGTAACGGTCATTCCTCCCTTCCGATCATGCATCTGTCTCTGGCGCCCCTTGTCCGTCTCTGCCTTTGCATTTTCCACCATACAAGTGCCCATTTCTGGCAGTCGTCCTCGTAAATTCGGTCCCGCAATGTGGACATATAGCTTTCGAAGCACTTCCACTCTTTTCTCGCTGATGCCGTAAAAGATTGCTGAAAGTACTAAATTGACGACCATTGCAACCGTGGTCAAAACATTGGGGTTTTGGCCTTGAAGCCAGAACGCGAATACCTTCTGCTGTTTCCATTGAGGAGGCTGGCGATGAAGAGTACGAATGCGACGAAGGAACGCACATCGAAGGGAGATGCGGAGCGGCTGTAGACGACTGCCATGAAGAGACGTTTGAACCTAGTTGAGGCTGAAAGAGCGAGTCTGATGCCTGCATGGAGGGTAGAGTTTCTACTGGATATGATGCCGAGCGTCCAAGAGGAAGGTATGCCGGCGGATTTGGCGTCACATTATAAGAGGAGCTTGACGGCGCATAATGGCTGCTTTGATGTTGCTGAGGCCCCCCAGTGGAGGAATAATAACCACTTTGCGAATGGTAAGCTGAAGTTACTGGAGGCATCATATATGCACTTGGTGGATAAGCGGCCTGTGATGAACCCATACTCTGCGACGAAGCTGTGTGGAATTCCTGCTGAGCCGCGTACGCAAGAAGCGCTTCTGGGCGACCACTACTTTGCACCCGAGAAGTCGGCGGACGGCTGTGCCGGATAGGAGTCCTTTGCCGAGTTGGTGGTGAGCGAGATGTACCTTTCGAGGAACGGCCGTACGAGGTTGAATGTCCAGTAGACGGGCTTGACGTTGATGAGTTCGGGGACATGCCCTGAGTTCGGTGATCTGGCACCTCGTTGTATGATCGAATTGGGAGGGATGTCATTTCACCGTATTCTGACAGATAATGAGATATTGGGGAGTCAAGACGAGATGAGGGTCGCAGTACCTGCATTGGAAGGGTATTGTGTAGAATGGAAGAAGTCTTGACCTCGTTCAAATTGTGACATAGGTGACGGCATAACCGAAACAAAGGCACTATAAGTTTCACGTTAATCTCAAGTCGACTTGTGTGGGAAGCCGCAGTACCAACCTCATATCGATGGCTTGGTGGTGCGAGAGAAGAATTGCGGCTATGATGTGGGTAGGAGTCCAACCGGGGGCTGCTGCGCCTTGTTCTGACAAATGTGAAGCAAATATTGCTCAGCGAGTTCCAACACCTTAGAATTCTGTTTCCCGCTCGTTTGAGGACCAATATGTGAGAAAGCGGTGAGACGGTGGTTTTAACCGATATCTTGAGCAGAATTGCTGGCGAGAGGGAGATTTTGAGAGTCAAATGTAAAACCCACGTGGTGACTAGGTGGTTGTGTTGGTCCGCGAAGCAGTTGTGGCTTGCTCGGAGACTTAGCCCTCGAACATGAAAGAATGTAGGGCTTAGTGTGCTCTATGTGTGCCACTGTCTGTGCACTATGCAGCGGTCAGGGCCTGCACTCCTTCTTCCCTTATACAGGGCTCTGTATTTTGAGGATCTCGGCATGCGACAGTACTATCTCGCTTGCAATTGCTTTGATGTTCCACGTGGAGTGGCGCTTGCCAAGCAGACCTATTCGACACGAAGGTTGTCAAAGGGACCTATGGGGACAATGTGAAGAGAGGAATTCGATCGCCGCGATGCAATTGAACGTAACGGTCCAGTCAATCTGCGTTGAGTTCATGAAATGAAGAAAGCAGCTCAGGAGGAATAGGACCAGCAGCGAATATGGGGTGCTGGAGGGAGTTCCAACGGACAAGAAAGATGCGTAGGTCCGATCGATCACCTATCTGTACTTGGCGAGAGAGCTGAGGCTGAAGCAGGCCGTGTCAAATTTGAGTAGAACATACTATCAATAAAGCATATGGAGCAGGAAATGCAGAAAACCAAGATGCGCACATCGGTTGGTCAGCTCGCAACAGCACGCTGCATCATAGCAGATAGACTTTATTTTCAGTCGGCATGCATCCCCTGTAAGGCTGTGGTGTAGGGTCGAAAGACGCGCAAATCCCCATTCACGTGAGCCTCCAAACGAAGCCTTACGTAGTACAGTACAGAGAGTCTAGCAGGCCACTGCTGGAAATAGACTTCGGAACCAGGTTGATAGACGCATGGCCCCTGTAATAACAAATTGAAACATACAACATAACGAGAAGGGAGGGGGACAAAACAGGGGGGCGGTAAGTGTTCATACGGCTCAGCCTTACCATAAGGCTAAGTCCGGAAGGTGCAGTCATCCTTGGCCGACATGGAGGTTAGTGGACGGGACTTCTTGTCCCTGTTGACAGCCCCAGAAACAGGTTATTACTTGGTGTTCAGCAATTGTCATGGCAGTATGGAGGTTGGCCTAGATGCAGTCCTCGGCTGCTGTGTATCCGAGGCAAAACCGCTATTGGAGGATCTGCTCAATGATGAGTAGCATTCTGGCCCGCAATGAGTCGGATTATGAATCGTGTAACGCATATCCACGCAGGAGGGAACAGTGACGGAGCTGGCATGACGGGCGAGTCGGTGTGTCGTTGATTCTTGGTGTAGTTTGGGAAAGATGGGGGCGGAAATGATAGTACAAATGCAAAAGAAAAACGGTCAAGTACTAGCGCTCAAGTACTAGCGCTCAAGTACTACATAGTAGCGCTAAGTTACCAGCCTTGCAAGGATGCACACCAGAGCAGCATGCCAAGCGACCGCCCGTGCACGGCTAACCACCTGCTAGTCAATGACTATCGCGTGAGAACGGGAGAAGCGCTCCCCGAACAGGCTAGTACTCGTACTAGCTAGGCTCTGCTCGGAGATTGTACTTAAATGGGATTGAAAAGTGTGGAGTTGTTTCTTGTTGGTGGTGGTGGTCATCTCCTGGGTCGTGCACCCCCACTAATAACAGCATGTATAACCTCAGTCCGTACCCGAAACGACCACTCAACCGTATGCCCGGAGTCGTCTGTTCCAGATGTGCAACGCTCCGGGGAGTGTAACGTTCCATTCGCTTTATTCAGTGCATGACTCATCTAGACGCCAAGGAAGGAAAGTCTACACGATTCATCGAGGGTATCAACGCTAGACCGGGAATGGGGCCATGATGCGCAAAGCAAATGAGGTGCCCCATTTAGGCGATTGTGCTCCGTGAACCCGGTTCAAGAAATCCCGTAACTAGCAGCAGTCTATTGGGCCGTAGATTTGGGCTGGCCCAAAGCTTTGGCTCATGCAAGCCACCACAATGTGACAATGGGGCTGTGATCGAACAAGAAGCTTTCTCGTTTCGACTTAGAAATGTGTAATCAGGTTTGTCATCTAGCCCCCAATACTCCAAACCAGCCTGGCTGACATACGTACTATGAACGACCTAACCAATGTGAAGCTGCGGCGTATCTCTTGTAGGCGCCTATGCATCAATATTACCAACCACCAACTTTTCTCCGAATCCTAATTTCTGATTGCTGGAGACTTTCTGACGAGAGACGCACTACTAACGAAGCCAGGGGACGACCAAGGCCAGGCCGCAAAACCCCATGCAAAGCTCGATCGGAGCCTGGCATGTGTTGATTCTGCCGGTTGGTACACGCTAAGGAATATATTTGACAAAGACTCCGGCCCAGCTAGGCCAGAGTTCCGTCGATGTATCGGCTCTGGTGCTAGAACTCAGTCTTTCAAATAGGCATGAAGCTTTGATGGTTCCAAGTATAAGCCAACAGCCAAGGGCTGTACGAGGAGAGCTTTAGCTGGGATGTTGCCTTCCCTTGCCACCGAACTATGTTAGTAGTAGGATATGTGGCCAATAGGATATCAATTCTTGTGAATGCCAAAGCCTGAGAGGAGAGCCCTGGTAATGCACTGGCAGAGGATAGGAGCTATTCTGGGAACCATTAGATGGCAATAATGCATATGCGTTGATCAGAGAGACCAACCGCTGAACACATCTTCGAAATACCAGACATTTTGGGAATCGACAAGGGACGGGAGCTTGAACATCTCGAAGTACAAGCCAAAAGTGAATCTTTGTTGGGCGGTCAGGACTCGTCATCAAAGCCATTGACCAGATGGGAGCAGGCATGTTCCAACAGAGTTAGGCAAAGTTATTGGTACCAAGGTGCAAGTGCCGCAGTAGAAAGTATCATGTTGACAAATTGTCGGCAATAGGCGGAAGTAAGGCTCCCACTGCAGAAGTGAACACGACATGTCACGGTGAGAGGACTGTGATGCCTTTATGAACTTGCTAGAGCAGCTCTTGTACCGGTTTTCATACCATCCTCCCAACATTGTACCAAATAGAACCCTCTAACATCTCGCTGCTAGCCAAAATGTTTCTCGCCCAGACAGTATCTCCTGTGGCATAGGTCGAAGGCAGAGCGACCAGGGAAGTGCAACAAGTGTGGGAAAAGGCAGCGCATATAACAGTTTAGTGGTTCCACAGGCATTCTCGAAACCTGTCAGACAGAACAACTCGGCTTGACAAAGAACGTGACATGCGGAATGTGTGCAGTCTCGTCGTTCGATCAAGTCGTTGGTTCTTCCTCAAGAGTATTCTGATCCTGGCAGACATTACATTGGGATGATGATGTTGCTCTCTTGGCTCACCGTTACAACGCCTTGATAGATGGCCTAGACTGGGACCAGGATTCATCAGACATGGCAAACTTCTCGTTAATGTGTGTGCAATATGCTGAAGGAATTTCTGGGTGGAAGATTATCACATTCCGCAGAAGCAGGAGTAGCTGGAGAACTCATGGAAAAGGAATACCAACGGCAGCTAGATTGGAGGTGCGGAGTAGTAGTCTACTACCATGTATGCAACAGCACCTGCTCTTATCTGTTAAGTGCTGTGGGGATGTGCAGAAGCAAAGACCGAAGCTGCAAATGGAGATCTCAGATCTCACCTCCGAGTCTTGCATCACAAGCCCGCCACTGCCTGCGGTGTCCGTGCCAATGCCATTTCAGGTGTTTCATGGCTTGGCAAAAGGTGGTAGCGCGCGCCAGCCGCCGCCGCCAGGGTACTATGTACTATGTTAGTAGTACGCCGCATGATGAATGTATAATGAGCTACTAGTCATCATTCTCTACGTAGTACGTCTGCCACAATCAAGAGAACAACATACTGTGGTATCTGCGCTGTCTGAAACTGTTACTCTCTCGTACTATCATAGAGTATATGATCGAAGCATATCGAAGCACAGCATCTTCTAGTGGTCACTTCCGTTGCCTCTCACCATCACAGCATCCGAAGACCCCAGTCATACCCTGTCGCTTTCAGAATTTAACATCATTATTCGCTCAATCGCTCGAGACTCGACTCTTGCAGCCGGGCGAACGGCTGTCGCATCGTGCCCTCCACTTCCACTTCCACTGCGTGGCATGGCATCTTTCCTCGAAGAGCTTTGGAGCAGTGTCTTCACCCCGGGTCCCACCCCTACTCTGCTTGTCGCCACCAACGCCTCCTTTGCCTGCCTACAGTTCCTACTACTTTGCCTTCTACTTGCGACATACAGCGCTCACTTCATCGTCCTATCATTAATATGTGGCAGTTTGTGGTGGTCTATCAATTGGTTTGTCAGGGAGCTTCTCTCTGCCAGAGCAAAGGAGGAATCAGACATACAGAAGCAGAAGGAGACATCAGCGGAGCCAGAGAAAGTACCACTAGGAGATAGTGACACGGAAACAGAGCCGTCATCGGGTCTTATGAAGCCTCCATCACCTCGAAACACTCCGGCCTCGTTAAAACCAAAGCCAACAGATGCCGAGGAAGCACTAAGGAAGCGGCGCAGTATGGGGGATAGCTCGGGATACATCAGTACTGATAGTGAGTGGGAGAAGGTCAGCAACAACAGCGAAAAGGACAGATGAATTTCATCTCTATCAACTCGGAGGGGCTGTACTAGGGAATTATGGACAGATTATGATGATGCTAGACCAATCTAACGACAACATACTCCATCTTATCATGAGGGCCGCCCTTTATAATGCCTTGCTCAGACGAGTAGTATCAGATGCCTGTTAACAGCTTAGTGCGTGGTCTTAGCCTTTGTTGTAGTGATAGTGCGTGGCCGCAGGAAGAAAACCAACCTCACACGGAGTCATGCATCAAAAGTCATCGATATACGCTAAAACTGGAGCACCACTAGCAAGTTCTAGCTGAACCTGGCACTACGTATTCCGTGTTGCATGAAGAGGGAGCCCCTATAGACGCCCCTAATAGTCCCTAGAATTTCTAGATCTTTAGGGCCTCTGGGCCTTCTTTTAGGCTGCTGGGCGTGACTCACAAATCTATGTCAGAAAAGCTTCAACCATTCGGTCCATTAGCTGCTCTGACATGGTGAATAGAGACTAGCATGACACTATTACAAAAACAACTAGCTTTGCCTTATCCTAGTTAGCATATATTGGTGACTTTTGATGCACCTCTCCGTAAAACAATAACTACTAACCAGCCTGAGAAAATCGCGGTACACACCCATCAGACCGACGTGGTGAGCAAGGGACACTTAACATTAAGACTGCGTCTGTCTTCTTTGATCATACGAGGTCTTGCGAGAATCCTACTGCAAGCAAGGAATTCTGTGATTAATCACCATGAAGCTCGTCCGGTAAGCTCTGCTTATCCCTCTTCTTTCACAACGCTCATGCTGAAGCAATTCCCACCTAGCTTTCCGCCCGATACATGTCAGTCTTGTCTGTCAATGCTGACGATATATTAGGATGCTGATGAAATGTCAAAACGAGACTGTAACCATTGAACTCAAAAATGGTATGCGCTCCCCATCCTTGTGTCCAACTCGAATCAGCCACCCACCACGAACATATGTCCTATGCTCGACAAGTCCTCCTACTAACCCAATGCGGAATGAAGGTACAATCATCCATGGCACTATCACTTCAGTCTCCCCACAAATGAACACGGCTTTACGCGCTGTCAAGATGACCGTGAAAAACAAAACCAATCCCTCCGCGCCAGGCGAGACGATTTCACTCGACACTATCAACGTGCGCGGCTCCACCATTCGATATTACATCTTACCAGATTCACTTAACCTGGATACCCTATTAATCGACGATCAGCCCAAACCAAAGAATAAAGCACGGAAAGAGGGCGATGCGGGCCGTGGTGGCCCTCGGGGACGAGGAGGACCGCGAGGCAGGGGAAGGGGAGGAGGCGGGTTCCGAGGTGGACGGGGGAGAGGCCGAGGTGGGTTTTAAGCTGAGGGATTCTTCAATATGTGGAAACTTGCCATCACTTGCTAGAACGTGAAAAATGTCTTCAGATTGCTCGACGGGGAAGAGACAACCTGAGACAGTCGATAGCACTATGGGATTCAGGTTGATGACTGCAGCGCAGCCATCTGGTCAACAAAGACTCTTACACACAAAATGCCCCAATAACACATTTGCTTGCTTGTTCACGCTGTCTCATAAAACATTGAGAGAGAAGCACAACTGGAATGCAGCTCTTGGTGCTAGTGCCTCATCTCAGACATCATTTCGAGTTTGATAAGAATACAGTAGTTAAGCTCTGTCTAGACCAAACTTGTAAGTTCTTTTAGAGAATAGGACGACCATAGCCAAGCTTCAACAAACTGCTTTTGTTGTAGAGCTGGACAGGATACGGGAACTCAGGGCACAACTGGAGGAAGACGCTTCCAGGTTGAATTGATGGGTCTTATTTATATTCATCCAGTCCTTCGTCTGCACTACTCCTCCCCTTGACCATGTCACAATTGATCCTTGATCCTTGATCCTTGCACCTATTTGTGGTACAGAGAGTGAACCGGGGCCTGCCAAGACAGCACGGTAGGGCATCTCTTGAGTTTTTTGTCTCGTTCATTGTTGTTCGAAGTGACTTTTAGCTGGAGGGCGTTTGCCGGCGCACGAGTTCACCATCTTCGACCGGACTCTCGTCGCACTATTGGCATGGCATAGTCAAAGGCTGCCCGGCTATTAGTTCCAGCTCTGCCATGCGCGACACAGAATGGAAGCCATTCACCTCTTCCGCAGACTGTATTCCCTCGACACTCTTGACACCAGACTTACCACCTCTTCGCATACCCCATTGACAATCGCTACGGAAGAATCTCCAGAGAAATCGACTTCGGAACGAACGGTAGAACAAAATCCAGCGAATCTTCCTCCCAAAGTCTTACCCGCCAAATGGCGCACGCCGGAGTTCTGCTTGTACTTTGCGGTTATCACGCTTGTTTTGCCTCTGATGTTCAGATCGGTAATGAAAGTGTCCCGATGTGAGGACCACCATCGAGACGACGGATAATTGTCTAATGCTTCATAGCATCCCATCCCAATTACCCAAAGTTCGAGGATCTACTCTCACCTGGATGGATACCAGGTCGAAAAATTGTGCGTGAAAGTCCAGCTCGAGAATCGAGTCCCTACCATTGACCAAGATGCTTCCTGTGCAGGACAATTCGGACGCGCAGTACTCTAGCTTTCGAGAAAACATACCGTATATGGCAATTGTGGTGCTGGTACAACCATTACTGAGACGAGTCTACAATGCCGTCTTGCCCTCGCCAACAGCGAGCCATGATGCTGTTCGTTCGACAAAAGACGAGGCTACGAAAAAGAAGGATCTTGCTTCAGCAGACGATCGTTTCGTCCAAAGAAGCTCATTTGACCTTTACTTTGCACTCGTATTTCTGGCGGTCCTGCACGGCTTCTCGGCGCTCAAAATCCTTCTCATCCTGTACATTAATTTCAATATGGCCACAAGAATACCGAAAGAGTACATTCCAACAACGACCTGGGTGTTTAATATTGGCATCCTGTTTGTGAACGAATTCTGCCATGGCTACCATTATGCCAGTGTCGCAAAGGCTGTTTTCCCCTTGTCAGCATCTGCCTCCACCTGGGGCAATTTTCTCGACACGTACGGTGGACTGGTCCCGAGATGGGAAATCCTTTTCAACATCACTATTTTACGTCTCATCTCATTTAACATGGACTACTACTGGTCTCTTGAGCGGTCCCGATCATCTAGCCCCGTTGAGGTACTGCCAGCCATATTCACTCCTGTTTCGAATCAGCCACTAACCCCCCCAAGAAGAAACAACTCGATCCAACCAGCCTCTCCGAACGTGACCGAGTTACCCTCCCCGCCCCACATGCTACCTACCACAGTTTCCGGATCTACCTCTCCTACACCCTCTACTCGCCCCTCTATCTCGCCGGGCCGATCCTAACCTTCAACGACTACATCTCTCAGACCCGGCACCCCTCCCCCACCCTCTCTCGAACCCGCACCAGCCTCTACGCGATCCGCTTCCTCCTCCTCCTGCTGTGCATGGAGCTCCTCCTCCACTACATCTACACCGTCGCCATCTGCGCCTCGTCCCCCAACTGGCACACCTACACGCCCTTCCAGCTCAGCATGCTCGGCTACTTCAACCTGCAGATCATCTGGCTCAAGCTCCTGATCCCATTCCGCTTCTTCCGCCTCTGGGCGCTTCTCGACGGCATGGACCCGCCCGAGAACGTGGTCCGGTGCATGAGCGATAACTACTCGACGCTTGCCTTCTGGCGCGGTTGGCACCGGAGTTTCAACCGCTGGATCGTGCGCTACATCTACGTGCCACTTGGCGGCGGTAGTGGTGGTGGCGGCGCTGGAACCAGAACCGGAAAAGGGGAAGGCGCAAGCAAGCTCCGCGGCGTGCTGAACACGCTCGCCGTCTTCACCTTCGTCGCCCTCTGGCACGACATCAACCTCCGTCTCCTGATGTGGGGTTGGCTCATCACCCTGTTTGTCGTGCCCGAGATCCTCGCCACCATGGCGTTTCCCGCATCGAAATGGAAGGACCGACCCGACGCGTACCGCGTCATCTGCGGCATCGGCGCGGTGGGCAACATCCTGATGATGATGGCGGCGAATCTGGTCGGGTTTGCCATCGGCATCGAGGGCCTGAAGGGCATGCTCAGGGCGCTGGTGGGGACGCGCGATGGGTTGGCGTTTCTGGCCACGGCGTGCGTGGTGCTGTTCATGGCCGTGCAGGTCATGTTTGAGTGTAGGGAGAGTGAGAGGCGGAGGGGGATTAGGTTGAAATTCTAGACCTTGTTTGGTTTCTTTCTTTCTTGATTCGGTAGAGCGGGAAAGATGGGCGGAGTAGGAGTATTCTACTGTATGATGAGTGAAATGCTTAAAATACGCATCCTGCATCCCCTCGTTCCGGGAGGGGCGGCGATATAGACATAAGCAATCTATTCCTCTATCCGGTTTCGGTCTTCTCTCTCTTGATGACGTTGAATTAATGCTCAGCCAGAACACATCCTTACATCTCATTTCCATCCTCTCGATCTCCCCATCTTCCTACCCCACCATCTCCCCCACCCAATCCATCTGCACCGCCGACACGCTCCGCGCATAACTGCGCTGCGTGAAGACAAACTCATGGTAGACGATGGCCTCGCACTTGCGGCCGAACAGCACCGAGCTCGGATGGATCGCGACCGTCTGGTTGCCCATCAGCGTCCTGTAGCTGCCGTCGGGCATGAGGCGCGCGGTGTTGGCTAGGAAACCGGTGAGGAGGGCGCGGAGGAGGCGGGTGGGCAGATCGGTCGCATCACCGCTGCCTGCGGCGAGCTTGTCGGGGGTGGCGGTGAGGGTCCTGCTCAAGGCACGCAGTTGCTTGCGCACGTCCATGACCGCCTGCATGGCGCGGTGGCTGATGAAGCGTTTCGAGCACCAGGCTTTTCGGTCTGAGTTTTCAGACGCGTAGGCTTGGACGGCCGAGAGGAGGGTGAGGTGGTCTCCCTCTCGTCGGTAGAGTTCGCGGCGCGCGGTTTCGGCTTCTTCTTTCTTTTCTTCCGTCGTGGTGGGGAGGAAGATGTTCTCGACGCTGAGCGCGGAGATGATGTCGATGGCTTCGGGGAGGCAGTTGAATTGGGGTTCTAGCGAGGCGAGGAGGACGCGGCCCAGAGAGGCGGAGAGGGGGAGTGTGGCGATGGAGAGGCCGAGGGGCGTGATGTGCCCGGTTTGGGGGTCTAGAGTTTGCAGTTGGAGGAGATGGAGGAGGGCTCGTTCGAGAGCTTCTCGTGGTGGTTGAGTTAAGAGAGGGAAGTTGATTACGTCGTCTACATGCCGGGCTTTGAGAGTGAGGACCAACTGGCTGAGGTCGCAGCGTAGGATTTCGGGGTCGTTGTCTTGGTCTAGCATTAGGTAGTCTTTCTCGGTGTAGAGGCGGTAACATGTGCCCGGGGCTTCTCGGCCAGCTCGACCTTTTCGTTGGTTTGCTGCTGACTTGGAGATGGGCTTCACAAGCAATGAATCAAGGCCGAGGCGAGAGCGAAACTGCTTCTTTTTGCATTTGCCGCTGTCGATCACATATCGGATACCAGGCACTGTCAAAGATGTTTCGGCGATGTTGGTGCTGAGGATAATCTTGCGAGTTCGTGGAGGTGTCTTCTCAAACACTCTCTGCTGCGCATGTTGAGGCAGGGCGGCGAAGAGAGGTAAGACCAGCATCTTTGGGATGGTGGATCGGGTCTTTGGATCTTGAGATAGGGAGAGGTGTGCTTCCTGGCAGAGCGAAGCAAGGTTTTCGACTGTTTCTTGGCCGGTGAGGAAGACCAGGACATCACCAGGTAGCGGTTCGTGAGTGTGGATATGCAGGATGGTGTGAAGAGCTGAGTCGAGGACATCTTGGACCGGGGCTGGCGTGTAGATTACTTTGACGGGGTATTGACGGCCTTTGATGTGGCAGGCTGTGGTGAGCGATTGTTGGGGTTGAGTCTTACTACCAGTGGTGGCAATTGAGCAGGAGTTCATTGATTGCGGTACGTCTTCTGGCTCCGGTGACGATGACGAAAGTCCTGACCATGAATCCTCTGAGTCAGGCTCGTTGTGTCCCTCTGCAGTCACTTTCTCATGATGCCCATTAACGCTCTTGCTGATTACAGCATCACCATTCACGTTTCCGTTCTCATGCACGGGAGATGGCTGTGAGAAGTAATTCTCGATTCCTTCCATATCAGCGGTAGCACTCATCACCACGACTTTCAATCCTATCCCTCCCCTACCATCCAGGCTTCCCTTCTCGGTGACCATCCTCTTGAGAAATCCAAGCACCAGGTCCACGTTCATGCCCCTCTCATGCACCTCATCCACAATCACGGCAGAGTATTCCCTTAGATACGGGTCACGCAGCATTTCTTGCAGGAGCATACCTTCAGTCAAGAATTTGATCCTTGTACATGGAGAGACGGATGTGTCGAAGCGAACTGAGTATCCTACCTGCGAAGATGGCGACGAGGAGCCGAGCGGGGTGCCGAGTTCTGCTGCAACTCGAGAAGCAAGAGATATGGCTGCAAGACGGCGGGGCTGTGTTATTGCGATACAGCCTCCAACCTTGACCTTCGTGCTCGTGACAGACTTCTTCTTGCTTGAAGGCCTAGGTTCGTCTAGAACAGTAGGCATAGAGACTGTGTGAGCCTGACACCATTTCTCATTGATCAGGAATTGCGGAACCTGTGTCGACTTGCCACTCCCGGTTTCGCCCACGAGAAGCATCACATCATAGTTGCGAAGCTTCTCACGTATCTCATTAGCATGAGGCGCAATTGGCAATGCCTTGCGTACAGAGCGCAGTTCTTGAGCGCGAAGTCTTAGCTGGCCCCTTCTGTCGTGGTTGGATCGTAGACTAGGGGAAGTGGTTTGTGTGTTGCTGCCATTAACATTTGTTTCAGCGTCGTTGTCTGAGAAGCTGACAACTTTTGGCTCTCTGTGCGAACCAGACGAAGACCTCTGAGGCTGCGGCAGGCTATTTCTTTCATGTCCATTCCGCTGAAACGCTTCACTTGCAGACCGTTTCCTTGCGTCTTGAGATTGTGGAGAGCTTTGTGGCAATTTTTTGGAAGAGAGATGTTGCCGGTGCATCACTGACAGTCCTTCCTTCGAGTTGAGAGACGCATTCTCATCACCATCACCACCATCAAAAAACTTTTTGTGCACCCTTTCTGGCATCGTAGATGTGAGTGCAAGGGTGAAACCTGGCACAAATCTCTGTCACGAAGGCTGGGGTGGGCAGTAATACTCGCCTTGAGACATGTCTCTCAATGATGGCGTCAAGGCAATGCTCTATGAAATGTACTTGTCTGGATTTCTCATGGGTTTGTGTCATTAATTAGAACGTCGCCTTCATGAATGTTCACAAAACAGTAAGAGTCTATCACCCAAGTCTTTCCTGGAAACGGACGAAGGAATTACCCAATGTAGTTAGCCTCATATGTGTTTGCTCCTAGACAACGTCGCCGAGGCCCCCAAACAACGATGATGATACACCAACCAATTTCAACCAAATAGTAGTTAGAGATCGAGAGGATTCTAGAGGCGTTGTCAGGGAAAGCAAGTCTCTTACATATCTATGCCAGCAGTCTCATCTTTACAGTATCAACGTCTCTGTTTCTGAGATTCCTTCATTCTTGCAGTAAGTATGCCCATAGTGGAGCCACTCTATTCAGAATGTATCAATAGGCCAGGCTGGGGTTATCACTTACCGCCCATCCGCAAGATCTCGATGCTTGCTCCAGTTGTCGCGCTACAGGCTTTGTGTTATAGACGCATGATGGGTGTTGCCGCGACCAGAATCAAAATCTGGTTCCCAAACCTCAGCTGCTTGGTGTTTGCCTTCTGATACCCTGAAAAGTTCTCTGAATGTGAACGAGCGAAATACTAGAAAGAAATGAGGAGGAGATGGCTACAAAGGGTTGGTCTTCAGCAGCAATACTAGCCTAGCATCGACGGCAAAATATGACAGTACCATCTCACGGCAATACATGATAGCTAAACATTATAGTGTAAATGACAGCAATACATGACAGCCAGGAATCTGAGTAATCCTATTATGCATTGATAGCTAGAGTGAATACCAATATCAGCTCTGTTTCGATGGCGGCTTCGGGCACAGTTTGTGATGCATCATTTCTTAGTCTTAGCCCCTTCGCTGTGGATTGGCCGTGTGCTTATGGCCCTCGCCTTCCGTGTTATTAACCATTGCTGCTGCCTTGAATGCTGCAGTCCCAACATAGATAGCCGAGAATTCTATCGGGCGCTCGCTGCGGGTGACAGGCAGGCCAACGCTCACACATTTCTCCCACGCGTACAACAAGGCCAGGATGTCCACAGAGGTAATAGGTCTGTGCCCACTGGCACATGGCGGCTCTAGAGGCCAATTCAAATAAGCTATCGACCAATTCTGGAAGCTGGAGACAAAAATCTACCTCTGATCTGGCAGTTCTTGGACAACGTTGCGGCAACAGAGCTCTTGGATGATTGTTATGTAGATATCAAGAGTCAAAGTTGATGCTCCCTGCTTGCTTCACTCAATTGTAGAGATAGCGTAGAGCAATCTATGCTTGAGAACACACCAGCGAATATGTCCTTGTCCTTGTCCTTGTCCTTGCCGTTCACTTGGGGCTAGTAATTGAAAGGACTTAGGATGGCGAGTTTCTCATGTGGGTGTGAAAATATTTGCCGTTGCGAAGTGAGAGTGTATTTTGGCTGGGCCTACAAATCAGTGGTATCGTATAGCTGGCAAGATAGAGTTGAAAAGTGAGCTTTGAAATATAGCACTGTGATAGGGGCTGTCGAGTCCAATTATAGACAGATTTCCCCTTTGTGAACGGTGCCGCCACTGACAGAATGGTCATGATCCATCAACTATGACATACCTTCAGTCTCCCAGTCAGGCAGTGTCTGGTCATACGGCTGCTAGTGTGAAGCAAGTGTCACAGAAGCCTTTGCCATCAGAGTCCATCTTTCAAGTGTTACGGATTGACTGGCTGTATCAGCGGAGACCTAAGGTCAACGATGGCCGGGTTGGAACATCGGTGCGATTTGGTTCACACCAGGTGTTTTTTTCGAGTCAAAATGCTGCTAAACACAAGCAATTCATATAACAGTACCGCGCATGTAGATATGTGTAGGAGCTCATCCAGAATCGGGGACCCCCTGCACACCAGTTCAAAAAGGGCCAGTCGTGTCGAAGCAGCCGCTCTGTCCCCGCTGCTGGACAAAGAAAAACCTGCTGTCTCAAGGAAATATCTAGTGGTGCCGTCGGAGAATTTCACCAAGCGAATTCGATATCGCCTCCAAGTGTACAGTCGTTGTTCACGGGCTAAGCAGGTCGAGCTGATCGTAAGCAGAACTGCGAGGCTTGTATGTACTGACAAGAAAGGCTGAAGTAGCCATTTGCATTAAATCTCATTGCACAAGAGGACGAAGACAGAGCGGCCCACTCATTGAAAGATTCCTTCGCACGGAAAAGATTTGATCTGTCTACTGTATTGTAAGAAGACAGTGTGAATGAGCCGATATGATGGGGCTGGAGCCATAACAATACGTACTGCGTAGTACGTAGTACTTAGGGGAATTGCGGAGTGCATACGACGTAGTACTAACACCGGAAGTACTAACTACTAGTGGCTAGTAGTACCTAGTAGTACCTAGTAGTACCTAGTAGTAGCCAAACCTTAGTTGCCCCATTGCCCAGATGGCTTGGCGCTGGCTGCTGGATCTGCTGGATCTGCATCCGCACTTGATACCCGAGAGACTGAGACATCGGGAGATAGACTGCCAGACTGCCAGAGTGGCACTCTGCCAGAGCCTTGCTTGACCAGTTACGCTATGGGTCTGTGCCTTTGTCACGCGTCGTGGTCACAATCGTTGTAAAAGCTTGTTGAGTTGCTTCTACACTATCAAGATGTCTTCGGACTCAGCATTACCTTCCCCTGCCAAACGTCCCACCCTCACTGAACGGCCCTTATCTGGCAATACCCTTTCCTCCTCAGCGAAACAAGGAACACAGAAAGCGAACAAATATCATGCGGCTGGATCTAAGCGCTTACACACGCGGACTACGTCATATAGCAGAGCACTGGGCAAAGCTGGAAAGATAAATTCTACGCAGCATCTCGTGGAAGATGGGCTTCGCCACCATCACAAGATATCCGGTACCAGCATACCGTCGACGAGTCCCAGGATATCGGCCCTGAAGCGGAACAGTTCCCATGCGGCCTTAGCAAAGAACTCTTCGTATGCCAACCTACGCAAAAACAAGTCCGCCACTGCGCTTGCCCGTAATGCATCGCATACACAACTACATCGAAAGACAGGACTGGGCCCATCTGCGCCAAGGCAGCGGAAAGACACTTCGAAGAAGAATAGAGGGTTCGAGATAGGAGATAGGTCTTCTGACGACGAAATTGGGGGGGACCTTGAAGAGGAGGCCGACTGGGAAGATTCGGCAACTCAGTCTCCTAAGCATACCAGAGACAATTCTGCGGTTCTATCACAGCCTGCACCTACCACGACAAACCAGAGTTCAATTGCCGAAAGGTCACCAAAAGCTTCAAACGGGACATCATCCCTACCAGAGCCCTCACTCCGTCACAACCGATCTGCGCCCAACTTTGGTGCTCGAGCGTCCTCCGCTTCTCCAGTGCGCTCACCGGACCCGCCAGCAAACCCGACTCTCCTCCCGCACAACCCTCCTTCTTCTCGCGCCACTCCGGCGGTGCCTTCGATCTTCGCGCAAGCTCCCCGTGACGCACTTCCACGCAATAATTCTTCGTTCACCCACATCAACCACCTAGATACTGCCTCATCACAGGATCATATCCTTGATACCCCCAATACAGGTAATGCCTTCCTGAACACTCCGAACACAGGCAAAAGCGCAGGCGGCTCTTCCTCAGCCGATGGCGGGGTCAGCCACTTCCTCTCCAGCAAGCCAACGGCGACCACCGGAAACCACCAACGAAGAACCTCATTCGGCTCCGACTATGACTCTCCCTCCTCATTCCTTCCACACTACCACCCGCAACAGTCTACCTCTCCAGAAAAGGTCCGCACAAATGGCGGCACCGCCCCATCATCATCAATGTCACCAACCACATCGAAATCCAAACAACACCGCTCCCGAACCCAACAACGCCTCGAGCTCCAACGCCGAGAAACCATGCGTGCAGCCGCCCCTACCACACCCACCACCCCGCTCCTCCTTGCCGACGCACATAGTCGACGTGGCGGTTCGTCTTCGGCCCTCTCACTGCACAGCCGGTCCGGATCGCACGGCCGGAGTCGGGCAGGCGCTACCGCTGACCCCGCGAGCGCCAATGCCGCGAGGCTAATGATCAAGCAAGACTACGAAGCGGCGGAACGACAGCTGGCTGTTGTGAGGAGGTTTCGGAATCCGGTCGTGGAGGCGGTGGGGAGATTGAAGGAGAGGGGGTTGCTGCCAGGCTTGGAGAAGGGTGCGGCGTCTGGCTCAGGGAAGGAGAGGGACAGGAGGAAGAAGTCAGGTGGTAGTAGTCGGAGGGATCTGGGTGGTGGGAGTCGGAACTCCAAATCTGAGCTAGACTTAAAGGCTGGACCAGGTGGTGCTGCGCCCAGATCTTCGTTCGAGGATGCCGATACCCACACCGAAGCGTCTCGACAATCGAGCAATGGTAGAGCAACAAGACCCGCTCACTCGTCTGCCGCTTCTACGGCCGCAAATCCCCATCATCGCCGTCAAGGCAGCCATGATGATATCGGGCTATCGCGGAGCCAGGGCAGCTCTGACGAGCACCTGCATGGAGACGGTGATGGTGGCGGCAATGGTGCGGGTGAGAGAGGTATCGGCGGTGGTGAAAGTGGCGTGTCGGCGGAAATGGAGATGATGAGACGGATGTGGGAGAGTAGGGAGGTCTACGATAAGGGCGATGATGGGTAGCGTTGGTTGATCAATGGTTCGAGGGAGGGGTGGATGACTGTCGTTGACTTCTTTCGGTAGCTAGGCGCTGGAGGGTTCCTTGTTTGTATTTGAGGCGCGGAAGACAGTTCAGACTGAGTGTTTCACGGCCGGGACGGGAGGGGAGAGGGAGGCGAGGTGTGCATGTTGGTTGGACTTTGGTAATGGGTAACCAATTTGTTTAATTCCAAGTGATAGATTTCAGAGACAATGCCTCACAGCCAGAACGAGAACGAGAACAGCATATTGTCGCTAGTGAAAGCGGGAGTATCTTCAGCACTATACTGGCTATTGCGCTATTGGTATCCTAGCCATATTCGACGCTCTCTTTGCCCCCCTCCATCCTCGGCGTGAGGTCTGCTCTGCCTCGAACGCTAAGAGATGCCGACCAATAACTCGACGGATCACTTTCCTCCGGCATAAGTCTCCCTCTCTGTACCAATGCTACTTCTTCCACACGACCCCTTTCCTATACCCTCCTCTCCCTTCAATCAGGCCAAACTAATTGCATCTCTACCTCGGGGTGAAACAGTCGCATGACCCGCCCCCAGCATGATCAAAGTTCCGCCTGATTCCTCAGCACAAAAGCCCTCTCTCTCTCCATCAACGTCGTCTCCCGCTCCAACAATGCGTCCTCCCGCTCAAAAACATTTTCCTCCCTGATTGGGAGACGCGCCTCCCTTGCCCCTAGATTCCTTTCCGTGGTAGAGATTCTTGTCTCTCTTTCATCAATAGGCATCCGTCGTTCTGTAAGATCTGCTACTTCAGCCTGCGGATCGGTAGTTGGGACGAATTGCCGATTGGTAGAGACAGCTGCAAACTCCTTTGGTGCTTTGCAGAGCGATGATGCCGACCATGTGCCAGCCAGCGGCGGAAGCTGGAGGGGCGTGTCTGAGTGGGTCTTCGGCGCGCTCTCGGATAATGTGTCGTTTCTCCTCTGTGCTGGCAGAGTGGAGGATCTGATGTTCCTGATCTCCTGGTTCGGTGCCGCTAGACCCCGTTTCAATGCCTTGCGTAGTTGCCGGCTGTGCTTGATACTGGCTTCAGGTGATGACGAGCTCGATGAGGGGGACTCCGTAGCCGAGCATGCAGGTGCCTCCCAGTCGTGCACCTTCTTCTCGTCTTGTCCTGGAAAGGATAGTTGCGTACCGTAATGTCTACGCCAGACACTGCGGACGGCTTTAGACATTTTCCAGCGTTTCTTATTCACCTTCGCTACCTGCCGGCGGCTTGCTTGGATTCTTGCCCTGATGGCTTCAAGATACTGCTGTTCTTGTTTGATCTGTAATGAGGTCTTTAGTTCTCGACAGAAGCGTATGGTCAAGGAAGTCCTTTGGCTCGCTCAGAACTTTATTCAGAGTGCGTTTGATTTCGAAATCTCGCCGACGATCTGCTATGGTGATGTCCATCGTCGTTACTTGAGGAGAATGTCGCAAGAGAGTAAGTTGATAATTTAAGAAGGGGTGAGGTTGAGAGTTAAACGGAGTGTGTAAATGAATGGGATTCTATGAGTGGAGGAAATGTAGACAAACGGTGTTCCACGGAAGAGTCAGAGAAAGGAAAAGGTATTGCTCGAAACATAGCTGCGAGTGAAGACTGGGTGAATTACTCATCTAGTGTGGTAAACATGGGAAGTAACAACCACAGACTTGGGACCTAACGTTAAACATATTGTGTCAAGGTCACTCTAAGGCTTCTCGCCTAGCTTGTGTGAGGAAAGCAGCCTCAATCAAACACCACAATCCTGCTGTTAAGGATGCCTCAACCACAGTAAGTACAGGGACCAGGTCGATGAGATTACTGGTAACAACAAGATGCATGCAGAATTGGATATAGGATGGAGGAGACCAAACCGAGGAGCTACCACTCGCGCCCCGTTAGGCGATGTACAGCCTCTGCCTTGCACTATCCACCATCTGGCTCTTTCACGACGTATGTGGAGGCAATACCTATCGTATAAAGCCAGCCGGATCAGTTGCTGATCTATTATGATCACCAAAAATACGAATTCACAAAAGGCCTGTCGTTGAATTGAGGCCCAGATTTCTGGATATTTTCCGGACGACAACTACTGAAAATAGTATCAGAGTTACGGAGTACGGAGTAATGTCAGATGTGATGCTAAGCGATGCTAAGCGATGCCAATCTGCGCCCCGGCTGGATGTGGCTGTCAGTCATCTCGTCTAATGCTGCCATCTTACCGCCCGATCCGATCGGACCAGCATCTTAGCATCTTAGCATTCGCTGAATGGACGATGCAGATCCACTAGAACGCGTCGGCCTTCCGTCATCAGTCGATCCGGCTGCTTCAATAGCAGCTTTTACCGCCATTTCGCTTCCCAGCAATGGAGAGCGAGAGGGGAACTTCTGCACTTTGGAAGGGGAACCATCCCTCACCACCATACGAGTACTATATCCATATCCGCCACATTCGACTTCTGACAGGCCAAGCTGTCATTTTAGGCACATGACTTCAGCCAACGATCAATAGAATTGATTCAATAGCCTAGAACAGACACACTCTTCAATCATGCGGTGAAAAGGCTCTGCAGATCATTCATCCTGCGACTGCGCCTCCCTTTCATTCGAAAAAGTTCCAAGTCATGTCCGTGACTGTCAAGCACCTGAATGCCGATAGTAGTTTCCTTCTGCTCTTCTCTGCCGACACCCAGCCTTCATCTCCCGAAGCGAACCCCTCGAATCCTGTTTACAGTATCCTTATCGATCCATGGCTTCAGGGAGACTCCATCGTCACTGCGCCGTGGTTTGCCATCACCAAGCATGTTGTCCCATCTTGCATACGACATCTTTCCGAGATTGACGAACCGGATGTTGTTGTGGTGTCGCAAAACAAGCCAGATCACTGCCATGCCGAGACATTGAGACAGCTGCCGCCAGACTGCAAGACCATCATTGCGGCTGAGCCCGGAGCTGCCAAAGCAATAAAGAGCTGGAATCACTTCGACCCGGCGCGAGTGCTGGCTCTCCCCAAATTCAATCCACAGAAAAAGTTCTCCTATGCGACTTTCTATGTGCCTCCATTGTCCCCGGGAGGCCATCGGGGAGTGGTCACAATATCGTTCATCCCGGCCAAGAATTACATGACTGGCTTGCACAACGCTATCGGCATAACCTACCTGGCGCCAACTCATATCAAATCTGCCGCATCAGTGCCGACAGTGGACTTGCAAAGGAGGGCACCATACTTCCACCTACCACTCAGCCCACCAACATCTCCCCCGCCCGTGCGAGCTAGTCTAAACAGACCGGTAACTGCTGGATCCGATGTTCACAAACGTCCCGCCTTCGAAAGATCTCTAACTGCAGATGCTGGAGGCTATCGTCCATGCCTCTCCCCGGGCTTTGGCCCTCTATCCCCTGTGACACCACAATCGCAACGCCTACCATATTCACCACCAGCAGTTTTCAGTTCTGATAGCGACTCGCCGACCTCTACTTTTTCTAAATATTCAAGAGAGTGGAACTCAGACTCCAACGCCCCGGTCGACTCTGCCTTTCAACCCCATAACAGCAGTCTATTTGATAAGCCTCTTCCAACACCTCCACTCTCTCCAAGCAATTCTTCCTCTGACACAGCATCCACAATCCATACGCCCAGATCTAGTACTGGCTCGCATCCGCTCCCTAGTGCTAACCCAGTCACAGCTGGGCGACCAAGACCGCTATCCATCCTGTATACTCCCCACGGTATTCCGTTCAAACCTGATCTGATGCCTTATGCCAAACATCATCTCGTACAACACAGTGCCTTACCATTGACCATTCTGTTGCACTCGTTTCATCGATCCACCAATCCATGGTATCTTGGCGGCAATATCACGGCTGGCACGGAAGGCGGCGTTCAGATAGCTCGAGGACTGATGGCCAGATGCTGGCTATCAGCCCACGACGAATCCAAAGACGATCAAGGTTTCAGCGTCAAGAGGCTGAAGACGTCGAGAGTGAGCCCGGAGGATGTGAGAAGGGCTTTATGGGAAGGTCCGGAGGGAGAAGAGATGCGAAGAAAAGGGTGGAACTGTGACGTTCGAGGCCTGGCATCAGGACAGGAAATGATAATAGGCCAGAGCAGAGATCTGCTCAGCGGCATGGAGAACAAGAGGGAAAGCAGGCTGATGAAGTTCGGACCACCGCCGATTCTCACTACTGATATGACTGCCTGGGGGACGTGATGCGTTCGGGAATGAGATGCGTCTGGTCTTGATCGCATGCTGGATATTTTCCCATTGTGAAGGCGAACGGAGAACAAGAAAACGCATTCTGGGCATGGGTATGATGGGATTTAGCAAGGCGTTGTCGGATGAGCGATATCAGCTTGATGTATGTTTGGTATTACAACGGAATGGCAGCCGTCTTACGAAGCGAGAATGCATTGTGGTGGATATACCCTAAGCTGAGGTCTCATGTGGTGTCTTGGAAACCTATTGGGGGCATCTTGAGCATCATCACTATACATTGAATGTGAGAGAACCATATTTTGATATCTGGATCCGCTGCGGTTCTATCAAAAGCTGAAAAAGCCATTAGATGAGCTATCTGTGCTGTTGTTGCCATCGAGCTCGGAATGGTTGTTTTCTATTTTCTGTTGAATTGTAAAGCAATAGAAAATCCGCCGGCAGAGCTGTTTGGCTCTCGTGGAAGGGAAATGTGCTTTTAGGCCGTCTTGATGGCTCGTTGGGAAAAGAAAATGAAATGAGAGTAGGAAAATATGTTGACGACAACCCCTTGACCCCTTTCAAAACTACTAGGAGCTTTGCGTAGCGGCTTGGCACTCTCACTACTCTAGGCTACTTAGTAGCCTGCCCCAAAATTCGAGACCTCATGCTTCCCCGTTACCGAACCAGCCTCTTCAACTTGCCTGTTCATGCTCTCGAGGTTCAATCTTCACTTCGATTTTGGGCTGTGTATTAGCTCTCTGTGGACGGCTGATAGGCTTGTCGAGACTAGCGAGGATGGTTGCTTGGGTGAGTACCATGTCCCCTCGCTCCCCTTGACCTCTACGAACCAGGGCGGGATGGATGACGCAGAGCTTTTTGCCGATTCTACCATTCGGTCCAACCTCGATGATATCATTGTCACGAATGGGCTGAGAATATGCCGCGTTGATGATTTTGTATTCTCTTCTCTCGTCGTCGAAAAGGACGCGGGCAGAATTGGGATCGCTGTACCAAAAAGCAGTGTCATAGCCGTACGACTGAGGAGTCAACTGAATCTGATGAGCTAGATCTGCTGCGTCTTTGAAGATCGTCATTAGGCCAGCAAACCGGAAATTTGCCTTTTGATCGTCTGGGAGAAATTCCATGAGTACCTCGGCTAGCGTTCGACATTGCCCTTCCAGGTACTCATCTCGCTGACCGAGCATCGCCGGGGTTTGGCTTAACACTCGCTGAAGCTCAGAACCCACCATTCCAACGAGGAGCTCATCTGCATTGACTTAGTCATGTATACTGAAAAGGTAAGTACAGTATTTCATACCTCTTGGAGGCTGCATCGTCCTCATGCCGTGCTTGACGACTGACACAAACTTCTCTCTAAGTGTGGCGCAAGGGACGGCCAGAAGATGCTCTCCTTCAAAATTGTGGCATACAGATGGCGGTGTATCCAATAGGTTAGCATGATGTTTTCCGTCATTGGATGCGTGACGGCAATTTTTGCTTCATCACTGAAGCCAAGATATGCATTTACCAGCTCCTTTCCCATTTGACTGCACCTAATTTGCTCCAAATTTTGCAGTGGGCTATCGAGATGTCCAAACTGGATCTCCTCCCAGTCTGCGATGGCGGTGCAAAGATCTTGATATCTGAAGGCGATGTCAGAGTCTTTCAAGGCTTGCTGGGGTTGCAGCATCAGTTTCTGTTTGGTATAGCTCTCCACAGAAGCCCGCAATTTGCTAATCTCATGGTAGCAATGTCGAAGCATTTCATCTTTCTCTTGGGTTTCACGCCTATGTTCTTCCCTCTCCGATGCTAGTGAGGATCAGGTCTCCATTAGCTTCTCGTGGAGCGCCTTGAGATGTAGCCTCTGGTTATGGCATCTTTGCTGCAATCTTTGGCCATGCTCTACAGTACTGTGAGTGTGCTGCGTCTGATTTGCGCGATTGTTCTGCTCAGACGAGATGTTGATTTGGGCTTGCTGTACGCGCAGGCATGTGGTTTGATCAGTCTCTCCAGGACAGGGACTCGACTGGTGTTGCTGGAAACCAGAAACATCCCGCTGTTGTGCTCGATCACTGTGCTTTGGAATGTGAACAAGTACGCCCTGCCCTGTATTGAGGTTGCTTTTACTCTCACTTACCCGTCCACCGTCCTCCTTCTCACCTGAGCGATCATGGCTCATAATGATGTGGGGAACGAGTTGCCAGAGAGTTTGTGATAGAGAACGGATAATCTCAGGCCAGTCAAGTGGTTAGTCGAGGCGACCGTTGAAGTCGAATGCGCGAATATGGTTCGAAGTCAAGTCACTAAGGCATGAACGGATATGAGATGCTGGCGGCATGTTGCTACTGACCTTAATATCCCTGAAATCTTCTAGTTCTGCTAGCTCGCACTTACTTAGTCCTTATACACACCTCGAAATCACCTTACTCACTCACCTTACTCTTCTCTCTTTCTTTCCTAGGCTAACATACTCTCGCCAATCACTCAATGCCCCTCATTATGCCTTCGCCACGTGGTCTTCAATCCGCTACTGGCGCTGACGGCGAGATCTTGGTCGCAATTGATTTGGGAACGACATTTTCTGGGGTGGCATGGACTCATACAGCACGGGTACCTGACTTCTCGTTCCTCGCCCTTCCAACCCCACTAACGTAAGATAGCCAGGAACCCACACCGTCATTGACCAATGGCCAGACGAGCACGACTCTTTGGACGGTATAACAAGCGCTAAGGTACCAACAGAGATCTGCTATGATGAAGATGGCATCAGATGGGGCTTCCAGATTCCAGCATCCCGAAGTCGCTATTAATGCTTCAAGCTTGACCTCGAACCAAGCGTTACCAGGAACACTTCTCACTTAGCCTTCATATATCCTAACCCTAAAGCTTTACGCACTAATCGAAAGGTAACTGCAGAAAAACTTAATACTGATTATCTTACTTGTTTACGGAAACACATTTCGCGAATCCTCCAGATCAGCCTTTGTGACAATGTATTGGAAACAACTCCTCTCAGATTCATTCTCACTGTGCCCGCAATCTGGTCTGAAGCTGCACAGGAGAAAACCAGATCGTGTGCTGAGCGAGCTGGTATGGGCTCTGATGTGAGACTGGTCCTAGAGCCAGAAACAGCCATCGTGCATGCAGTGGATCAGGAGCTCGGTAAGCCAGATGTGGGTGATGTCGTCGTTGTGTGCGATGCTGGTGGTGGGACTGTCGATCTTACTTCCTACATCATGGATCAAGTCAGCCCCACATGCGAGATCAGTGAAGCCGCTCCTGGTGCTGGGAATGCCTGTGGCAGTAATTTTCTCAATCGAATGTTTCGCAAGAGGCTGGAGGAAGGTTTTAGTTCTCTTCCGGGCTGGCTGACGATACACTGGAAGCGGCGTTGGAGTCTTTCGAGAGAGTCGTGAAGCGTAAATTTAACGGCAGTGACGATCCAAGGGTAATTCAAGTACCTGGAATATTAGACGCAAAGGACGCAGGAATCGTGCGTGGGAGACTTTTGATGCCAGGCGGTCAAATCCGTACTGATTTTGAGCCGATCATCTCCACCATCACCTCTTTAGTTCAGGTGCAGATCGACATCTCGAAGCGAAAGGGGCAAGTCAAAATTGTCTATCTCGTTGGCGGTTTTGGTGAAAATGCATGGCTACGTCAGTCGCTCAAGAGAGTTGTCCCAGAGGGCACCCAGGTAATATCGCCAACAGATGCTTGGACAGCTGTCTTACGTGGAGCCCTCATAATTGGCCTCGCTGAAGCTTCGTCTCTATCCACAAAGGTTAGGGTCGTGTCTCGGGCAGCCCGCAAAGCCTATGGCTGCCTGATCGGCACGAGATTCAGAGCACGAGTCCACCAGCATAGTCGAAAGTATGAACCCAGACTCTGCTATTGATTGAGAGCTAATACTCTACAGATATTTTGACTCATTCGAAGGTCACTATCGTATCTACGTTATGGACTGGTTTGTGAAGAAGGTATAATGAAGACTAGTCACATCCAATGTCTTGGTTCTAGGTGCTGACAACCCTTAGGGATACCATCTCAAAGAAAACGAGCATCTCAGCGTTGAATATGTTCAAGAAAAACTTGTCACTGACGGCCGCTTCGACGAAATGGAGGTCACGCTCTATTCCTTCGAGTCGAACATGAGTCGTCCAGACAAGGATCACGCTCTACCTCTATATCAAGAAAATGGTAAGAGTCCCAGTAGTTCTGTGGTAGAATGTGATCTGACGCACTCCAGGTGCCAAACAATTGGTCAAGTTGACCGCCGATCTCTCTTCTATCCCTACGAGCATGCTGCCTATTAAGAAGGGTGCAGATCGAAAGAAGTACTACCGCATCAGCTTTCAGATCCGAGTCAATTTCAAGCCAGCTCATATGACATACTCCTTATGGTACAAGAACACGTGCTATGGCACCGTCGATGCAGAGTACCTCTAGACATGGGGCTCCTCCGCCGTGGCGGGTAGCAGCTGGCGGCTGTTACGCCGGTTTTCAATTTTCCTTTCTCCTTTGGCATCATAATTATCTATTGAAGTTTTGGGCGTTTGGGGGGATCTAAAATTGTTTCATTCCTTTTCTCACCAAGCCAAGCTTGCTCAAAGGGCCAAGACACTCTCATTCAATACGAGCGTCAGGATGTACTTAGATCTCCTCTTTCTCGAGTTTAGCTACTTCATCCAGCAAATATCAGTCATGACCACCAGTACGCCTCAATTGACCACTCCCCTAATACTGGAACCGATAGCTGTCTGCTGACTGCGAAGAGCATGACATTTCATCGACTTGGGGGCATCCATCGACCTATCGTACAACGAAAGAGGACCCTCTAAAATCCACCCAGCGCCGCCTTTCTACCAACCACGGCTCATCCGGTAACATTTTTCTCTTCCGTCACTTCGTCCTGTGTTCTCGGTTCCGCTACCATTAGCTGAGATCCCTGTCCTCCACGTTCCAACCCTCCACCCACCAACCGGTCTGATCTCCACTTCCCCTTCCACTTCCCCCCTTTCTCGAGTCCAATTTTCCTTCCCCTTCTACCTCTCCATCTCCTTATGCCTCAGCTCCCCGTTTCAGTCCCTCCATCCCTCCTCTTTCGCGCCAAGGTATTCACATCATATCCTCTTGTCATCTAGCCCGTCGCCTACCCGTTCAGACCAAACTCAAGATCATAATCGCTGTTGTTATTGCCATTTAAGTCCAATACTAGCGGTACCCCTGTCCAACAGCCATCCCTCAATTAGAGCTTTCTCGATGAACCCTAGCGCATCAGGACCCGCCGTCCCTTCCGAGACCACCGCAGCTTACCTTAAGGGACGAGGTGTGCGTGGATCAGATCAGGGTTATAGTATGATAACACACCACACGAAAAATAGTATATAGCAGTGTAAGGACCCGTCCAGCTCACATCCATGCCGCCTCAGGTAGGTACCCAAGAAGAGGGAACCAGTCATGTTCATACACAATACATATCTTACAATCCAATCCAATCCCACCTAGCCCAACCGGACCCTACCGGACCCAGCCCAATCCCAATCCCAATTCACAAGCAATCCGACCGAGTCCGGCGCCATCTAACTTATCCAATTGAAATCCAATTGAAATCCAATTCCTATCCTGTGCCCATTCGGAACCTGGACCTGAGTCCAACGGTGCTTCCGGCTCATTATGATAGCAGTTGTTGATGTTTGGTATTTCTCAGCCCGTATGTTCCCGTAATGTGAGGTGTATCCAATCTCCTCCAGTAACAAGGATCACATAATCGTGAATCCATCTCTTTGACATCCGGATCGGTCGTAGAAAAGTTCAGCAACCGTAATACGAGTGCTTAAGCCATTTGTGGTTCCAGCTGCTGTGGCTGTTCCGGGCCCTCAAAGGGGTGGGAGGATAAAGAAGTCAGGGGTCGGCCGGTCCAGTCAAGTCCGAAAACCCAAGGTTATTGTTCTCCCATTCTGACCATACGGTTTCGTGCCACAAAAGGAGTGGCTTGTTCGTACATATCTCTTCAACGGGATCGTGAATCGTGTGGGAGTGTGTTGGTTGCTTGAGGTGAGGCGTTCTAGAGCGAGTTGCGGTTCTTGATGCTGATCTTCGTAGCGTCATGCATGTATTTCAGGGGTCCGGTGTCATGGGGCCAGGGCCAGGGCTTTTCTGCCTAGGGGAGCAGGTTGGTGATAACAGGAATCCGTCGCTAGATGCCCCATCCCCAGCGATATCAGTTCTGTCGTTCTTTTCCAGTTCGCAGTTTCGCCGAAACTCATGAACACTTCCTTCTGTTTGGCCTTGATCCGACACGCTGACGGTTCTTCTTCGCGTTCTCGGTTTCGATGGGTCATGTCCCGTATCACTTCTGCCACTTTTCATGGTTGACTTTCTTCTTGCTCTGGGCCGTGAGCCGGTGCTTGTCGCTCTCGGTCTTTCCGCCTTGTGCTGTGGGTTTTCTGACATCCCGTCTTCACTCAATAGAGCACCATTCGTTGTCACCATCGCGATAGCATCATGGTCCTCTTCAGCACCAATCATCTCTTCTTCCCTCTTAATCGTACTCTCATCATGCTTGCTCCCCCACAAACTCCAGAGCATCATGCCCCAACTCTTCTTCCTCCTCTCTTTCTTGCCTTCTCTCCCCCCTTTTTTCCTCCTCCCGGCTAGAGCACTGGGCGGCGGACGCTCCGCATCTCCAAACAACTCAAACCCACCCTCCTTCATCTCTTGAATCCTTGTCTTTTGCACCTTCCGCTTCTCAGAAGCATACCGTGTGTCCCATTCCTTCTTCGCTGCAAGCCATTTCCGGACAGGACCGGGCTTGATGACCCCTACCTCTGAAGCCGGTATCTGAAGTGCGGGTATATCAGATTCAGGGGCCATATTGTAGATGACACCATGCCTATCAACTCGTTGTCGGATCATGTGGTTCTTGAAAGCGGGAAGCGGATCGCCCGCTCGTCCGACATGGGCTACCTCTACATCATTCTGGGCATGGGTGTGATCTAGATCAGGGACTGTGCTAGAGTCACTTTCTGACCCAGAGGAAATAACAGAGACATCATCATCGTCCGTGATCTCAATGGAGCGACTTTGAGCACGTGCAAGTGCCCAAGCACTGAATTGAGCAATGCTACGGTACATGAATTTGGCGGGCCGGGTGAAGGAAAGAGTGGGGGCGACGTGGCAGAGATCGTCCCAGACTTGTAGTTGGACGTCTGTCGATGGGTATCTGCCAAGAATTGCATTATTGGGATCATGTTCGGGTTGATGGATGGAGCTTAGGGGGTATTTTCCTGGATTTGCGGCCTTGTGGGCAAGGTATATTTGTTCGTCGCGGAGGATTTCACCACCACCAGTCAGGATCAGAAGGGGTGGAAGACCACCCAGCGACGGTTGGAGGACAGGAGAAACAAGTGGATGTGATAAGAGTTGGTTTGTGGTGTACAATTGAATTTGATCTTTCAAGATGACTAGTTTCCCGTCTAGTTCGATAGAGAGGTGGTCTCCACGACCTGGAGCGGTGTCGGCCAGATGGCCATCTCTATCAGACACAGGGGCCATTGGCAGCCCTGCCGTGGTATTCGTCTCCACCGCAATGTGGTGTCGGACGGCAAATCTCTTCACCGCTTCAGCTTCAGGATTGTGAAGGTCTTCCGCAGCAGATTGTCCTCGTCCAACTTTTTCTATCTCGTCGTCGTTTGGTGGAGGCCACGATGCAGAGGGCTTCTGCATGAAGCCTCGGGCTGGTATATAATCTAACCCACTTTCGCCTGTAACGCTGGGGAAGGAGTGGGTCAGGTCGGCCCAGGGAGATATCAGTACAGCGCCAGCTGGGAGCGGTAGTCCCTGATCACGAAGTGTAACAAGCATTGACACGATCATACCACCTCCAGCTGAATCGCCGGCAAGTATGATCTCTTCAGGCTCCTGCACAGTCAGCAGGTAGAGATATGCTGCAAGACAATCATGCAGCCCGCATGGAAACGGGTATTGTGGCGCGAGACGATATCGCGGAGCAAAGACTCGAGCTCTCAGTTTCCGCGCATGTCTCTGCATCTGATAACGGTGTTCGTCCACGCTCCCAAAGAAGTATGCGCCGCCATGGATGTAGAGCATGACCCTCCTGCCCTTCCCTCCCCTGCGCTGCCTTTGTGCATAGTCACCACGCATCTCGATCCATTCAGCTCTCAATTCGGCGTCGTTACGGCGCCATTGCCACCATTTGCATCCACCTACTTTTGCGACGCCGTTTGCGCCCAATTGGCTTATCAGAGTGTCTGCAGCCTTTGTGATGGTTTCTGTAGGAATGACCACCTGGTCGACCTTGACCCATCGAGGATTGGGAACCCATTGCGATGTAAATGCTTGAACGTCTTCAACAGTATGATGAGACGCAAACTCTAGAAACGCGCGGATGAGGCGCAAGCCTTCGTGGTAGGATATATGGGCGGTTGGCTTCTGATGAAGTGGCTTACGATAGAGGTACTAGGAGAGAATTTAGATGGAAGAATATAGGGGACACAAGGCGACTTACATGTGAAATGTACGTCTCTATAACAGTGGGTGCGACAGCTGCGGCAACAGTGACACCGTTCAAAGGCATATTGAAGGGTGCCAATCCTCGGAGGGGGCTCTCAATAGTGATTGGGCAAGCGAATCCATTGATGCCGAGTTTCAAAACATACTCATACACATATTTGAAAATTGGGATTGTATCAACGCAAGCAAGGCAGATAGAGCGACATGAGGAAGTATGTCAATATTTAATCATAACTATTTGAATTTGAAGTCCCTCCTGATTAGGCATTGTGCAGCATCACTGGGGTTCACAAGTCGCTGCCGGTGATAGTGGGGGAGGGTAACCCCCCGGAAAGGATAGATTTTGATAAGCATTGGTGGTCTGTGCTAACTCAAGTGGCCCTGAAGTGACCCGATGCTCAGGCCGGACGCGGTAAATATAGGCAGACGAGATCCAATGTTACGGACTCAGCAATGTTTCATTATTGTTCCCGACAAGACTGCCTGTCTTCGGAAAACCAGCGAGGCTTTATGATACCCATTCTATTCCTTCGTACGGAGTACAATGGCCATCCCATGCGACCCTGTCAGCACTCCGTCCTAAAGAGCATGCGCATCTAAGGCTAAGCTTTTTTAGCTGCTAAAGTTCGAAGCTAAGAATGACTGGACGCATTTCATCAAAATAGGTAACTATCCTGTTCAGAAAACATACTCATGCAGCCGATGGATCGCGTTGATGCGCTAATGTGCTGATGATCACAAGTAGATATGTATTCCTGTCATGAGGTAGCTTTCGTGCCATCATCTTGGACAGGTCAGCGCACCAACAGGAGGCCAGAAATATTGGTGCCGAGAAGATGCTCAACTCATCGATCCACTCGGGTCCGCAGATGGACATAACCTGCAGTCCGATATGTATGGTGATAGTGTACTACGAAGGAAGTATGCTCATCGTTGGCCGGAGCGATGAAACAATTGTATCCCATCAAAAAAGCCTGGTCAGGAAGAGCGCTTATATAAAGAGGTGCAAGAAGCCCCTTCACCTTCGTCAATAGAACATCATTACGATATTAATTGCTCCTACAGAACTTCCAAACCCAAGAGTCCTCGCTCATTCCTAGGTCTTTTGGCAATAGCAATTGACCACCTCTGTCCCAATGGCACCTCTCAAGATCGGCGTCTTGAACGAGAACTGCCGACTCTCCGACTTAACCTGTCTGGATCTCCTCGGAACTGCAGTACCGAGTATAATAAAGACGTCGCCGAGCTTGGCTATGACTATCTCCTCCCCTTGGCGGTTGACATGAATTCTTTTACATCTCCTCTTCCACCGACCCGGCCACGATGACACTCAGCCTAAAGTGTCTGCCAACACACCCCTATGACAATGCGCCGCATGACCTTGACATCTTGCTCGTAGGCGGACACATGCCAAGTCATCACCCTGAAGCGAGTCTACGATTCATTAAGGAAGTGTGTGAGGACAAGAAGGAGAAGCTGGTGATGGGTACTTGAGGATTACCGACACGGTTGTGCTGAAGGGAATCAAGGCGACGACGAATCGTGGGACCATTACGTTGGCGAAGCGGCTTCACCTCGATGTTGACTGAGTAGACCAGAGGTGGGTGGTGAGCAAGAGTGGGCATGTCAATTTCTGGACCAGTGGTGGCGCAGGTGCTGGTAAGTATCAAGGCCTTCCTGAATGAAATGCTGGGCGCTTACATGAGGCTTAGGTATCGATATGCTGACGATGTATGTAAAAGAGCATTTCTCCAAGGCCATTGCGATGGCGGCTTGAGATGCTTTGGACTCTGATCCGACTGCGAGAGGCCAATTCTAAAGGGCCCACTGTCAAAGTGGCTAGATACAGCAGGGAAAGCATGAGTCGGCTGGACATGCTTCCACAACTACGTGTCATAAGTTGTTGCCTTCGAGGCCGCCATCCACCCTACGAAAAGAACAACGAATTTGATACTCAATGGTGTTTCGTTACCTCCTATGATGCACATCATCAGGTGCTACATCTGCCTGCACGTGTAGTGTATAGCCATCCTATACCAATATATCAGATGACTTTTTCTATACATTGCCGCAGCTTGAGGGCGTGAAGTCCACAGTCACTGTGAAAACAAACAATTCTCTGACACTGTTTGTGTTACATAGAACCACCACGACGAGATATCAAGATTCATTGCCCCTCCGGTGGAGTATCCGTCCTACCACATATGCCAACGATTTCCGACACACCCTCGTATCGGCGATTGTGCTGACGCTATGCTTTGGATGGCACCTGCCCATAACAGCACCAGCACATATACAGCAAGAACGGCCGTCTTCCCAATGGATATCTGAGCCCAGAACACTATCTGAAGCCCTAGCGTCAACACGTCCGATCCAGCCATGATGAAACCCTTTTTATGCTCCTACATCACCACGACAAATCAGTCTCTCCTTGCTGGGAAGCTAGTCATCGATTCAACCAATGCTGTGGTCGGGTGGTTCTATTCTTGGCTGGCTTCACTTTTCTTGCTGGGATGGCGACAGAGGTTGAAAAGACTTAGAAAGTGGATCAGCCTTCAACTGAAAAGATTCCAAAAATATCAAGCCCATCTATATAGTGGGTGCGAAAGGCTGCTCTTCTGACATCCAGACATTCAACCACGCAGTACGATCCTTTGTGTCTGGATGATCCGCACTTAGCTTAGTCGTTGAAAGCTGAGCACAATCAGTCATCAACGAAATAGCTTCCTGCTTGCGGCCTTGATCTTTCATTGTCCAGGCAAGATTGTTCATACTGATCAGTGTGTCTGGATGCTCTATACCTAATATCCTCTTCCTTATCTCCAGAACCTGTATCATAAGCTCTTTAGCCTCCTTGAATCGCCCTTGAACCTGGTATGTTGATGCTAGATTGCTCATACTGATCAGTGTGTCTGGGTGCTCTGTACCTAATACCCTCCTCCTCTTCTCTAGTACCTGTATCTCAAGCTCTTCAGCCTCCTCTAATCGCCCTTGATTCCAGTATGTTGATGCTAGATTGCTCATACTGGTCAGTGTGTCTGGATGCTCTACATCTAGTACTCTTTCTCTGATCTCTAGTACTCGTCTGTGAAGCTCTTCAGCCTCCTCCCATCGATTTTGAGCTGCGTATGTTAATGCCAGATTGTCTATACTGGCCAGTCTGCTTGGATGTTCTATACCTAACACTCTTTCTCTGATCTCTTTTATTTGTATTTGTAGCTCTTCAGCCTCCATATATCGCCCTTGATCATGATATACTAATGCCAGATTATTCATACTATCCAGTGTTTTTCGATGCTCTGGACCTAATTTCTCTTCTCTTGTGTTCCATACTTGCATATACATTTGTTCAGCCTCCTGGAAGCGACCTTGTCTCCAGTATACTGATCCCACACTATCCATAACTGACATTAGTCCTAGATCTTCTGGATCTTGGTTTATTTCTTTATAACCCTTCAGGGCTTGTTTAAGATATTTCTCTGCTTCAAGCCAATTTCCCTGGTCACATAACGCGTCTCCAAGATAATCATAAGCCATCAGCGTAGTCTTATCCAAGCATCCAAATTTCTTCTCCCTCCAGCGGACAACCGAAGAATACATTTTGACAGCTTCATTGTATTTTCCATCAGTCATAAGACACTGCCCCATTTTCTCAATCAGGCAATACCACTCCTCGAGATCTTTACCGAGTTCGGAGGCAATCAAAATTTGCCCATGTGGCATGTAGAGGGTCCATGTGTCTTTGTATTCGTGGTCTCCTGACGGAAAGAGCTCAGATACCCGTTGTATAGTTCTTTCAGTACAGTCCAGAAGTGTATTCTCTTTTCGCAGCCAGTTTCGGGTTGCAAGGCGCACTAAGCGGTGCATGTCATACAGTGGGTCGGTAGAATGGTGGTCATTCTGCTTCCTTAGAAAGGAATAACCGGTGAGTGTTCCTATGGCATCGATCATCTTCTTTTTCGATGGAGCATCTGGTAATAGGGACTGTGGGATGTTCTTTTCGTTCAGGCATGACATGAAAGATAGGTACTCTGCAGCTTCAGGACAGCGAAGTTGGATTTGTTCGAACGAGATCAGCCAGGTAGACGCAACCGGATTTTGAGCTTCTTTGTATCGTCCCTCATCTTGAAAATCTTCGCTGAGAAGTTCGATGGTGTGCTCTTCAGAGTCATCTAGAAGCTCTAGATAAGTCTGAATTGATTCGTCATTCATGTTAATAAATGCAGCAGCTTGGACAATGGCAAGGGGTAGATACTGAAGCGTCTCAACCAGTTTCGAAGTCGCACCTGTATCGGTTAGAATATCTGGATTCGTTAGGAGGTTTCTCAATGTTTCGACAGCTTCCTCGTGGCTCATTTCGGACAACTCGATCAACTTGTTTCCTGCTAGGTGCGTGGCAACCCGACGGTTCCGCGTTGTGATGAGTATCCCCCTCGCTGTTACTCGGGTGGATGCCTATTAGCGCCTTCTAGCGCCAGGGGCCAAATATCTCCAATTATTGCCAAGATAGGGTATTCAGGAGGCGTTGAGGAGGTCAATTGGTCCTATTTAGGCTATGAAACAGCTGCATACAGCTCCCTCGCCGACAGAGATAGACTCCGCAGCCGTTACAACCCCCCCAGCTTTGCGATTGTCGTTTGCGCTTGTTTGGAGTCGATTCATTAACGATTTCGCGTAAAATAGCAGGTCGTTTGGGTATCCATTTAGTCCCTTGATTCTTGCACCATACACAGTATCTACGGGTATCCCATTGAGTCCAGATATGGGATAGGGCATTGGTATTGATAGGGGGTAGACTGTTGCTACAGCGACCACTATTTGTTGATATAATGGATTCTTTTGGATAAGGAGTTTGGAGACATCCAAGGGCCACAGAAGAGTGATATCGACGATGATTGTGATGGCTTTTTTCTCTATTTGTGAGCTTCCAAATCAAGTAGCTATTAACAGAGCAAACGTTAATCATATAGTAGAATTAAGGGAGCCATATACGATGCTTTAAGGGCTGATGAACAGTCAAATTCTTGCGTAATTGATTGTTTCTATCAACGCCGTTCATATGATGGTTGTAGCGATCAATAGCGCGGGGAATAAAGAGCCATTTCTCAGCCGAATCGCCGAAAACAGGTCGTACAATTCGAGCGTTTACCCAGCTCCCCGCCGCTATTCTAGCTATCACTGACGACAGGTACCCATAGTTGTCTGTACCTGGCCTCAGCGAGATAAGGGGCACGGACATATATATAGAGTGTTGTGTTCCTACTTTCGTTTCCTTTTCTTTACGCTTTGTCTTGTATATTAGGCCTAATTATAACTCTCTTGATAATAATAAAAGTATATATTAGTACTAAATATATTATTTTTAGACTAATTAAAATTAATTAATTAACTATAATATTATGTTTAGGAATATCTTTAAGGCTATTATTACTATTATATTATAACTAATTATATATATAATTATTATCTGTAAGGACTTATACTTTATATCCCTTAGTAATAAGCTTGTTTAGCAGTTTAATTATATAATTACTTTTGCTCTGAAATAAAATTATTGCTTTGTTAATACAGATAAGTACTTAGTAACTAATTTTGCTTGCAATTCTGCCTGATTATAATTGCAATAGGCTCAAGCTTCCTATACAAATGATTCGTTATCCTGTTAAGGAGAGAGAGAGCCATCTCGAAGTGAAAAATAGCAATGAATTTGCTCCCAGCGCGTTAAGCCTAAGAATCTGCCCAAACAGTATGAATCAGACTAATAAACTGTGTACTCCTTTTCGCTGTGCTCTCCTATATAAAGTAAACATCCAATATATCACTAGATATCAGTTGAATTAACTGATTTCCATTGTCGAGGATGTTCTGTCAATTGGGCCTCTTTTCGCGCATTGCTGCGTAACTGTTTGTTGCTTTAACAATTATATCTACTACCTCTTGGGTAAATAGCTGTTGAAACGTTTGTAGTTCTGATAGGCCTGTAGCTCTTGATTCTGAGCATTTGGAACGCAATTCGAGTGGAGGCTGATATTCAGGAAGCTCTGGGAGGCAGAGTAGGTCTATTTCGGCGGCTTTTGGAAGAGGGCCAGTTGCAATAGGTTGCAGCGCTGTTTTTGACGTTGTTCGGTCAGCTTTTCGCGGAATCTTTGGATCAGTAGCTGCAGAAGGAGCATCTTTTTCTTCCCATATGGTAACAGCTTTGCGCTTGCGTTGTGACTTGCGTGGCGTCATAACGAAGATAGAGCAAATGGGTTGATTCTAGAGAATCTTTGGAGTTGTACGTGCCAAGACCACAAAAATCCTTGGCGCGCTAATAGGCATCCAAATAACAGCGAGGGGGATAGACCCCCAAGAACAATTGGGCAAGTAGTCTGCAAGAGCATGTCTATCTGTGTCCCGATCAGGTCTGTTACCCCAAATAGCCTCATCGTCGGCGTTGTCCAATATCATGAGCCATTTGTGAGCATATCCATCACTTAGGCGATGCTTGACAAGTTCCTTAATGTTTGCTTTCTCATCTGTAAGACCTGGTATTTTCAATTTCTTCCCAATTTCAAAGTAGTCCGTTTCGAAGGTCAGGGAATTTGTTGCCTGGATCCAGAATATGGAAGAGGTTGGAAACTGAGACTTCATATTGTCGGCCAGCTTGAGCGCAATTCTACTCTTTCCCACTCCTCCAAGCCCAAACACGGCCACTTTAGGGCAACCGTTGGGCTGGAAGAGCTTCTTCTCAAGGATCTTGATCTCTTCGCCGCGACCAATGAATTCCTGTACTACACTGAATGGAACATGCCATATAGGTTCAGATTGTGCTTCTAATCAGAATCAGTGCCACCTTTGCTTGACATTTGCTAGGTGGGTAATATTGAAAGCTAACCTTGCTCTGCTGATCTTTCCTCCGGTACCCATTCCTTCAAGAAAGCCTTCATACCCGCTGCCGCGGTTGCTGCAGCATAGCCTTGCCACTCCTTGTTCTTATGACTGTCAGCGTAGTCGCACACACCCTTGATGACTATGCTAGGAAAATGCTCCCACACCCCGGCACCCTCCATTTCGAATGCGATGATGTTATCCGCCTTTGCAATGCTATCACGATCTTCTGCAGATTTCATGACGGTATCTCCGGATCCCATCTTGCCTAAATGTACCCGAGGTCCTCCTCCTGATGACTCCTCGGCATTCTGGGGTTGGCTGCGAACGACGAGGCCCGCTTCTTCGCATCCAAGCTCAACGCAAGTCATTTTGAGGGCAGCCTCACAAACCCGATCGTCGCCGTCACTGCAGGTGTGGCAAAAATTACCCTTCGCCGGATGGCGATGCTTATGGAGATATAACGGCTCATACAACCGGTCTGTTCCGAAACCGGGATATTTCGCCTCTGGCAGTTCCTGCTGTATATCTCTAAGCCAAGCTCTGATGTTCTCCTGCAGCTTCCGGCGATAGCGATGGGTTCTGAGCTTAGCGACGATCGATCGAATCTTCTGGCTTGGGCGACCCAAACTGTCTTCCAGTGTATCTTTTTTCTCAAATCTTTTAGAATACTGGCGGCCGAAGTCGTACTGGACGACCGCTGTGCTTATGATGACGTCGCCGAGGTAAATGTCGTCCGTTTCACCTGCCCCACGAGGTACACCCGCACATATTCCGACTATCAAGGCGAGCTTGATGCCGACGAAGCTAGACCGGAGGCTTGCTGCCACACCCGACGCACTGACCTTTCCCATTTCAGGCATGTAGGCCAGGACGACATTGTGCTCTCCTATCACTCCTGGAGTATACGAATTATGGTCACCCGGCGCTTGACCATACATCTTGCCTTCATCTTCCCAGAACTTATCAAATATGGCATGGACGGCATCAGCTTCCACTTGCAGAGCGCATATCAGCGCGATCTCGAAACCTCGGCGATCATTAGGAGCGGAGGGAGCCATGATGCCTTGGACAGCCTTCCAGCTGTAGACTCAGGCGGTTTCAATGCGAATCTGGGAGTTCGACTGCCTGTTGCGGAGAACCAGGTAGGATATGGATATTCTTTCGCTGGCTGTCAGCGGAATAAAATCATGAAGGAACAAGCCTCCTCTGAAAGGTCGATGCTATAATTCAATGAAGTTCACCAAGACACCACCAAGGTCAGCCACATTGCTGCGATATTTTAAGCTGAGATCAAAGGACGGCGACTCCAACAAGGCTGAGGCACATTCAGACCCCAGAGGCACATTCAGACCCCACCATAGCTGATTGATGTGGTTTAGCTTGAGGCGCGAGATGCAAAGTGACAACCAATGAACGACTGTAAGTAAATCAACGAGAGGACACGCATCTGATGACTAGTTAGGCTGAGCGTGTTTTAATGAAGAAGCAGACATTCTTTGGTTGCCCCTTTTCATCAACACATCTTGAAGTGGAGGGCAATGATCGTGCCCACCCTTGACGAGACGATCCAACATCAGCAAAATACACCCACAGTTCATAGAGAGACTGTATTCGTAACTATTTTGATTGCTTCTATCGATCAAAAGCGGGAAGTGCTTGTTCTGAATAAAGTCGCGCCAGGTTGATAACACTTTCAATATCTTGACAAGTGGAATAGTGGCACGCAAGTTCGTCCCGTCCCGACCCAGAGAAAGGTGCCCGAGCTAGAACTTCACTATACTACAGAGCATATACGGGTTCTTAAAGCACAATATAAAACCATAACGAGCAGGAGTTCCCCTTCAGAAGTCCCAATTCACCATGAGTATCAAGGCCATCTTTCTCCTCCCTTACTTCGCTTCTCCAACTGCCAAATTACAGTGGTCCCAACAAATTAGGGTTGACCGATTTCGAGATTCCCATCTCCACTCTTCGCTCTCAACCTCTCATCCCAACTCCTCAACCGCTACCATTAGATTTCGCATGTTCTATCCTACAAAACCCATCGCAGCATCCTCCAAATCCACTTCTGGCTTCAGAAACTCGAATCAAACAAGTCGAAGGCTATACTAAGCTAGTCAGCGCCAACCCATGGCTCGTAAAACTGCTCTCTTGTTTACCATTATATCTGAGCGCCACCACGCTAAGCGTTTCGTACAAGGCACAGCTCCTGTGCGAAAAGGGCTCATACCCAGTGCTGACATCCTTTCATGGCCTAACTGGGCATTGCAATACCCACAGCGCCCCTCTCGGCGAGCCAGCTTCTCGAGGCATCGTCTGTGTAGCGCCGGAGCATCGTGATGGTAGTGGTTCGATCACCCTGCTTCGAAACGGCGAAGTACAGGAGGGCTCGCTGAGCCAGACTTCCCCATTGTTTTACTATCGGATTTCTATTAGATCAGAAGCAGACGTATTTGAAAGCCGTGATGACTAATTTCCGATTCAGCTATTTGAGATGTCAGCTAGGTATAGGGCTTTGGTGTTGCTCAGACAGGGACGCCAGCTACCAAATCTTGCCTCCGAGACTGTAAATGAGTCTGTTAATCCACTCTCGCTAGAGTCGCGGGTCCTTGAACCTTGATCTGTGGCTTGAGTGGCTATTTGTTGAGTGGAACAACAGTAGTGCAACTGTTGAAGTCCGTATTCTACCACGAAGATATGCCTGTTGCTCCATCAATAAACGGTATGCCCAACCAAAAGTCCACTCCTTCGTCGCTCCTCTTTCTTCACCACTGTCCTGCCTGAGTGCACAGATTACAGCGTCGTCTCTGGTGCTCCTCGACCCCTGGGCCATGCACTCAAATCTCCTATCCTGTCGTGGCTCCGGACGAGGCCACTCCCGTGTTATGCCTCCAGCAGCCATAAAACCCCCGTATCTGGAACAAATCCCGCCGCTGGGGCTTAACAATTGAACGAGAATTTCGACCAAGAACAACACGATCGCCATTGTATCTTCGGAGTTCCTCAATTCCTGGCCAGAACTGCAGTCACACACCCTCGCCAACATTCCCCCAGATCACCCACTCGACGAATGCGAGCAGGCAATTCGGAGATTCAAGACGAGACAGGTATACACAGAAATGAAGAAAGCTGAAATCCGGCTGAAGGAGGCAGTAAGAGCTGTGATGAGACGACAAGCCAAAACCGCTGACAAGACAGACGACAAGTTAAGACGGCCTGGTAAAACTTACGACTAGAGGACAGATAACACTGAGCCACGGCCCTACCTTCTACAAGACTCATCCCAAATCCCTCACTCGGATTTCGCTCTGCTCTTCCTGAGGCTGTCGTGATGGGTTACGGGACAGGTAAACCCAAAGCGTGCCCTGTAAAGCCTGGGTGAGCGCGATTTCGCAGCTTGTTATGCAGGGAGATAGTGGAGGTGAAGAGACCGCGGAATCAGACACCGATATTCTCAGCTGCCAACGAGACGAAGTACCTGGCTGGGCGAGGTTGCCGCCTCGTGATGCGAGGTGAGACAAGAACCTGGATCTGCGAATTTTCATTCCTTGGATAAGATCTTCCAAGTTCCCCGGAAATAAGAAAATACCTAGAACGATGCAGCGGAACTCAGAATCGACGCCCCTTGTGCCTTCAATCGTTGTATGGCGTTGTTATTTTGTTTCTCTTCAGGATAAATGACCCGAACGAATCGGTTCTGATATGTTACCAGCGCAGCTCGCTCGTACTGAAGGCTGACATTGTACTTCGCTGGTTTTCAAAAAAGAACTCAGGTATCGACTCGGCGAGTAGATGGCGTGATCATGGCTTATCACCTCACCCAGAACGTAGAGGGTGGTCTGATAGGCAAGCTTAAGCAAATAAACGTCGTTGGGAATTCGTCCCAATTTTGCGCTCTCGACCATTGGGACTCCTGACTCTGGGGAAGATGGCAAATTGTGAAAATATATCTTTCATTGTTGGCACCTGGTTCGAACGGCATTTTATGCTTAGCTGTACCAGATGTTTTCTGGTATCCATTCGAAACTCTTACTACTCGTGACAGTTTAAGAAGAATAAGTCCCATGGCGGTGGCGGGTACATGAGCTCTAATAGGATCGACAGTTGAGCGTTGTCATGAATAGAGTGGTTGAGTAGATGTCGTCCCGATGATGCGATAGTTAGAACTGATCATAGATTGACCGTTTAACGCTGCTGCCTCATATCCAAAGCACCCTATCAAGAAAATACCAACCAATTGCAGCATGAACTTCAGGAAAGACTATGTTCCCTTAGTTGACCAGAAAATGGTTGGATGGAACCATCCTACACTGTATTTCATTCCTGATCTTCTAGTCCACCATATTTCACTCCTCATTCGACACATCCATACTTCCCACATACGTCCATCGGTCCAAATGCCAGCTCAAGATTTTTCCGATCCCCCTCGCTTACTTTAAGTCTCACTTTATGCTTGAACGTCTTTAGTCTGTTGATACCTGTGCAGGTATTCTTCATTTCACTTTTGGCTGGCTGGCTCTGCCCGGCTAATGCTACCAAATCCCAAAAGGTATCCCAGCATCCTGAAGTCCGTCGGGTGCAGATCATGTACATGTTGTGCGCTACCGCGAGTAGTAGGTATGTTAAAGGACAAACAGCGACAAGTAATCTGAGGATGTGCTGGATTGGTACCCATACCCCGTCACCGTGACACGCATTTGCATCTTGGTGTATATTTGGGTTCTCAGATCATAATCCGAAGGTTTCACGGCACAACTCTAGGCCATGGTATCGTTCGAGTGAGTCGAGGCGTTGTAATAGAGGAGCGGCCACTCATCAACTGCGCTAGAATATTGAAGGTGCGATAGCTACCAATGCGGGAGATAGCATCAGCTAGGACGTTTGCTGTGAGATACTCAAGATATTCGAAAGACACGGATGTACCCTTAGCAGCTAATTGTTCTGTGAGATTGGAGCCGATGCCAGCACTGGTGGCAAGGGCTTCCAGGTCGGCTGTACCATCACGAGTGTAGCCAGGCGCCGATACGGGATGTTGAAATTGATGGCATCAAGCCACTTGGGGTCGAAGAGTATCCGTCGCCTCAAGGCCCTTTCACTGGCAGAAAGCTGTTATGTCTGAAGTCTCAAGTCGGTCCCTAGTATGCAAAAAGGCTGCTTAGAAGGGCCCTGGGTAGCGGGACAAGACAGAGGCCTGCGCCCAACCAGCATCGGTAGTACATCCAGAAGCGGTCCTCGAGTCGTTGAGTTGCAACGGAGATTTATAAACGAGTCCATATGTCACTGGATCAAGCTCGTTTGCTGGAAGAGCTGTTCGGAGATCAGTCCATACTATCCGTGTCGCATTTGAGGGTTTCGATGTGTTCAAACTAGCGACTTCCAAATCGTCATGGCGAAGAATCGTCCCATTGGAGTTGATGGCAACATCATACTCAGGGAGCCGAAGAAGTCCTACGCTCTATGATCCAGGCCCGAGATTCTGGCCGTCGCCACAAAGCACACGAACAGCAGGCAACTATGACAACGGTAGCTTGTTTCACGGCATAAAACCGGAACCTAGAAGATTGAAGGCTTTCTGGATACGTAAATTGGGCATCTTGTGCCGTTCGGTACCATTCATAGTTGGAGTGTAGTGGCAGATTTGCACCGCGCCGTGAGTTGCATATGCAAAAGTCTCTGTGATTTCCTACCCGTAGAGCTGGCCCGACAGCACTTGTGGTGCCACCTGTGCCTGAGACCTCTGGATCAAGACTGCATCACGGGCGCTCTGCGCGAAAATGCGGGTGTTTTCGAAACGCGATGTTGATATTCCCGCTCGGTTCTTGGCGGTGCCAGCAGAAAAGCGGTCCATCAAAGCAAGATAACCTCCATTTGGGTAGACAGCGCGAATGTATCCGGTGGCAGAGGAGCACTCGATGGTTTCGATGTAAGCGTTTGCGTACTCTGGAAGGTAGCTTTCAAGTCCAATAGACGGTGGCCAAAAGTGGGTATCGCTACCATTAATGTAGCATTCAGTGTTACCTACCGAGAACTGAATCATGCGTGGGTTAGTAAGAACAGCTGTTGCAGGGCCTGCGGTGCTAGCAATGACAGGAGAGAGGATATTGCCCGTTCCAAAAGTGTTGCAATTCCTTGGCGCGACCCAAAAATTGCTGTGCTGGCGGAGCAGAATTGCTGTGAGGGTGTAGAATGGCTATTTACCACTGAATTATCGTAGTAGAATGCCCAAAATGGCCCAGATAGTAAACTAGACTCTCTTGTGACTTCAATATTGTAATTTTGAGATAGAAAACTATGGTGTTGAATTGTAAGAAGCGTTTGAATGTAGAAATAACGTCTTTGTGACGTAAATAGAGATATTCTGTCAGCCTTTATATTATTAGTAGAGAAGGAGGATCTCAAGGAGGGGGATCTCAAGAAGGAGGAGATCAAGGAGGAGGAGGTCAAGAAGGAGAAGGTCAAGAAGGAGAAGGAGGATCTCAAGGAGGGGGATCTCAAGAAGGAGGAGGTCAAGAAGGAGGAGGATGATCTTAAGGACTAAATTCCAAGTCTCCACGATCCTTGAAGCCGCGATATCTCTCCACATCATTCACCATGACGCTGATGCCTTGAAAGCCTTCTGCAATGGTGTCCCAGGCGAATGTGATGTTATTTGCGACAATGGCAGGTGTGACAACCTCAGGGAGAAGACTTCCGACGAGTCCGTCCTCAAGTAATGCGGCAGGTGTTTGAAGAATACTGGCAAAGTCCCATCGAGCAATACCGTTTATGAAGAGACCTACGAGGAGACCCTGGTAGAGCAGGCTTGGTCGGGTCTGGAGCGATGTGCCTGGTAGTAGTAACAATGCGAGGATGTAGTGATGGATGCGAAGTTTAAGACCGGGAATTGCTGATAGAAGCAAGATGCCAATACCCATAGCAGCATACAGGCCAAGGTACTGCGGTAGTCTGCCCTCGATCCTGAATGCCCAAGCTTGTATGAGTGCAATAGCAAATAGCAGGACTACGATGAAACCCAAAGCGGGAATAGCCCCAGGCTGCTGTTTGATGTCATGCGGAGTCAATCGTTGTATTGGAATCAGGTCAAAAGTCGCATTGCTCAAAGCGCCAAGCCAACATGCTCCGAGCCAAAGGATGGTTTTTTCGACCTGGGCGTTGAGGTTCTCTAGGGTCCTTCGGACACAGAAGAGGTAAATGGCCGCGCCTACGAAGGCTGCTGGAAGGAAACGACCTGTCGCCGCTGACACCAGAAGGAATTGCAACACTTTTGGAACGGGCAATAACGATGCAGGTTAGTGTCCGGTTGGATTTGCAGGTAAAAGCCGCTACGAATTCTGGAGATTGGATGTAGTTGATCTGAGTGAACAAAGTGCCAGAGCCTAAGAGGCCAAAAGGGAACCCTCGATCAAGCAGGTCACGGCGAAGTCGATAACAAAATATGGATCCAATACTTACGACTGCTGCAACTTGCAACGCAGCCATGTCTGTTTGGTGGTGATTAGGGATTCCCGCCAGCTCAACCGATGAAGAATCCTTTCAGATTATAAGGGATGACCACAACTGAGGGCATACATGGTAGGAGGTAAACCAAACGCTGGAAAGTAACCCAAGAAGATTTTGTGACTATATGCTTCTTTGGCTCTTTTGCGTATTGATAACTGCAACCGTATTGGAGAGCGTTGAGAATGTGAAGTCCAACGGCGCGGAGCGAGCTATTAAGAAGCAAGCTGCTCCGCTAGTAAATTACAGTATTTGGTATATATACTTCTGGCATAGATTCGACAAAAAAGAACACAGCAGAACCATATCGCAGTACAGGCACTTCGGTGAGGGTGAGTTGACGAACAACAGAGTATTCATGAAGCACCTGGATGCAGGAGCCCTTCATACCTCGATTGGAGCTTTAAGACGTGCTAGTCATTGAGAGAAGAAAGAAGATAACCGATACTACTGCTGCACGTATGTGAACCATGGCCACCACCCTGTACTGACTTGTTGCAGTCGCCATGCCGCCGCAGGCATCATTCTGGACATGCCAGACGCTGTTTCTACGCGTTACCCCTGCATTTTGCCTGCTTTTGATTGGTCAATCTCTGTTGCAATTTCGCAGCTGATTTCCCTGCAATTTGTACTTATTTCTGTGCGCCCTGCGCCCTTTTTGAGAGAGAACAGAACCATTTCTTCTACCTGTTTGACAGGACGCTTTGGCAAGCTCCAAGAGCATCATCTAAAACGGAGGGCTCTGAAGTGCCCATTCGAATATGCTTCTTAAAAAGCGCTTCGGATCGCAAAGATCAGAGTACATGTTGAGATTGAGGTAAATACTGAGCCAGGCTGGGAAGGCCAATATATTCAAGTACTAGTGTACATGTTTACGTTTCTCGGTTGTGTACTCCGTGCCCAGGGGGTGAAAACTGACGCGGTTAACTTGCATGACTAGCTTGTTTCGGCCCGTTAGTTTCTCGCCGGACTTTCGCGTAAGTACGTAGTAGCTTCAAGATCTGCCCCTAGTTACTGTAAATCAGCCCTTGAAGTTCTCAAAGAAACGCATGCATATCGAGCGGCTATCCCCTCCGTGACCGAGGTGGACTAATTAGCGTCTTGGCGGTAATTGGGTGCCCGTGAGGTGCCGGGAAAGGTACCTAATATATGCCAAGACGCTAATTAGTCCACCTCGGTCACGGAGGGGATAGCCTCAAGCATTCCAGATATGATTATGTCGCTCATCAAAGACCGTCATGTATTACCAGTGGCGTAAACCATGCGCCTAAAAATTGTTTCGACGATGTCCCTCGAACTTCCCATTCCTTTGCATGGCCTCAGCCCAGCCTACGCGCCTGGCTGAGGAGGGAAATCCCGGTTTTCCCTTGATAAACTTGGAAAATGGGGACCCCGGACACAGGCCAGTTTTCGGGACTTCGAGTACAAGCTCATCATCAGCATCGTCCCCAACCGAAGCCGCTTATCTTACACATATCCATGATTTTGTAAGAGCGCAGACTCCTTCGCCGTCATTCCATGAACTTGCATTCTTACGTCGTCGCATACCTCCACGTTTAATATTACTCTATGAGAATAGTGCATCGTGGATGAAGGGCCCTCGACCGTCAAGGGTGCACAAAATCACACCTATCTTCCCACGAGTTCAGGCTGCCTCCCTCAAACTTCTAGATCGATGGGTCCCACAATATTGTCAGAAGAGTTGGCTTTTGATTGGGTACTACATCCTCTGTCTGCTCCTGTTCGCCGTTACACTTTACAGGTCTGCCTCAAGAGATGACATTAGTAAGTTTGAACCGCCAGTGATGCTCTCCTGTATATCGCGATTATGGTGAGCATGCCTGTTAAGTACACAAAGCATATTCACTGACTATTCAGGCCTAACACAACATACTGCGGCCTTGACGGAGAGAATTGCCGTCCGTTTGACAAGACCCAGGTGGCATTTCGCTGTCCCTCTGGGTGCAAGGCCGTCAACATCCTCAATCCTCGCACTATTGGTGCTGAGGAGATAAATTACCGAAGCTTAGTTGTGGGTGGCCCGGCAGGTCTAGACACAGCCAACCCCGTTTACCGCGGGGATTCCTTCATTTGTGGTGCTGCCATCCACGCGGGCGTAATTGAGGATCGGCGTGGCGGCTGTGGAAACCTATCTCTGCTTGGCGAAAGACGCAACTTCCCTAGCGTTGAAAGAAACGGTATCCAGAGCGTTGCGTTTAACTCGAGCTTTCCACTATCCTTCACATTCAAACAGGAGTCCTCTATTCACAGCTCGCCTTCGCAATGCAGCGATCCACGTTGGCGCCTCCTTGGCGTGTCGGTGGTTTTCACCTTCGTCCTCTCGATGACCACGACATCACCGGCCCTATTCTTTGGCACCATTTTTACTGGAATCTTCTTCCATGTAGCTCTCGTATCCGATCCTCCTGATTCTCCCGATTTCGAGTCTCTGGTGTCAGCGGCGACAGGTCGTTTCCTTCCAGCAGCCTTCGTAGGCGCGGCCATTTACCTCTTCTGTGTCCGAAGGACCCTAGAGAACCTCAACGCCCAGGTCGAAAAAACCATCCTTTGGCTCGGAGCATGTTGGCTTGGCGCTTTGAGCAATGCGACTTTTGACCTGATTCCAATACAACGATTGACTCCGCATGACATCAAACAGCAGCCTGGGGCTATTCCCGCTTTGGGTTTCATCGTAGTCCTGCTATTTGCTATTGCACTCATACAAGCTTGGGCATTCAGGATCGAGGGCAGACTACCGCAGTACCTTGGCCTGTATGCTGCTATGGGTATTGGCATCTTGCTTCTATCAGCAATTCCCGGTCTTAAACTTCGCATCCATCACTACATCCTCGCATTGTTACTACTACCAGGCACATCGCTCCAGACCCGACCAAGCCTGCTCTACCAGGGTCTCCTCGTAGGTCTCTTCATAAACGGTATTGCTCGATGGGACTTTGCCAGTATTCTTCAAACACCTGCCGCATTACTTGAGGACGGACTCGTCGGAAGTCTTCTCCCTGAGGTTGTCACACCTGCCATTGTCGCAAATAACATCACATTCGCCTGGGACACCATTGCAGAAGGCTTTCAAGGCATCAGCGTCATGGTGAATGATGTGGAGAGATATCGCGGCTTCAAGGATCGTGGAGACTTGGAATTTAGTTGGCACAGGAGTCATGATACGGAACCGGAGTATTTCCGGTTTGCTTATACGAAGTATGGTCGTCTGGGTGGGCCTTGGGTTGCTGATTATACGAAGACGAGTATCTGGCAGGAAGATGGACGTTGGGTCCAGCCGCCCAATGGGACTGGGTAGATGGGGCGGCATCGATGTGGTCCCAATTTTCTCACTCATGGATATCGCTGAGATACCTCTGATCACCTGCCACCTCGTTATGTTCATCTTATTCATCGTTCGCTACTCCAGTGCTTTACTATGTCGCATCGCCATTGGCCTGGACAACGATGGCTTCTACGTACCAACCGCTGACTACGCCTTGTCTCCACGCTGTCTGGCGCTGGAACGAATGAAGGATGGCCTCTAAGCAGCGTCACCATACGAATGGAGGGAGGTCTAGGACCATGTCAGACAGGGTGTCCATTTGAATTAAATTGAGTCAATAACCCAAATCAAATGCTAAGCAAATAAACCAAATCCGTGCTTCCATCAAATCAAATCAGGACTTTTAGATTTGACAAATTAAATCAAGGGAAGTCTTGGCGGAAAAGTAAATTATTTTGAAATAGTATTCAGGGTTGTTTTCTATAAGTCTTGACAGACTCTTTTTGTGAGGTGAATTTACGAAAGGCAGTACTCTTAACATTTGACTCCATTTGACAAATGAGTCAAATCAAATCAAATCGACCTCTGGGATTCGGTAAGCAAATCAAATGGGGGTCAAGATTTGGTTTATTTGATTTGATGGATACGCTGATGTCAGAATCGTGATCAGAGATGCCGTAGCAGCCCCGCCCTTTGCGAACGCAGAAAATGGCATACATACAGGCACATGCTTTAGATTTTTTCTTGTTGTCAAGATGAGCGAGCTGGTTATTGCGGAGCCCCTGCCTCATGTAGTATTTAAAGAGGGTAATGGCTCCGGCTGCCTCTATCCACTTTGGTTTAGGTATTGGTATATGGTGTCGTGGTTGATTAAAGTCCGAAGGGACTTGATTAGTGAGCTCATCTCAAAAGCAGATACTTTGTCTGTCCTTGAATATCATCTTTAGAGCTAAGGACAAAGGTTCCCACTGTGTCGCAGAAGCGCGATAACTGCACAGAATCTTCCTTGAGATGGACAACACCACGGATGGTGAGAAGGAGTTTCTTCATCTTGAAACTCTTTATCAGCAATGTCTCTCCATTCAAACATTGCCCTATCATAAGGCTTCAGGACGATAAAGGCAATGCACCACAGGTTTGAGAAGATCCCACATGTAGAGATGTCGCCGAGCTCGATAGAGGTTACGAGGTGTCCGCTGTCTATTCTTACGCAATGAAAACTGAGTTTTCAGAATCGCTGGGGTGGACCCTCTTGCAATCTGATATGCTGGGAGTCCAGGCATGCTGAGAGCAGTGAGAACTTCTATAGACGTCGTCGATTGCCTTGTCGCAAATCTTGCTAGTTTGTGGTGGAAGATTGTCTATGCTGGGGTCGTCTAGGTTCAAGCGTCCAGAAAGAGGTTGTTCTTCTAGCACTGATTGAAAGATCTGCTCGAGCTTAGCTGTATATGAAGACCGCAATTCCGCTCCGCCTAAAGTCAAATAGCTCGGCCGTGGGGTGCCTAGTAACCAGCAAATCTCTGCAATAAAAATTGTTGAGATCTACTTCAGGCCATACAATCTGTGCAGTATATCGCGGAAGCCTTTATTCTCTTTAATCTAAGGGTGGCAGGATAGATGTCAGGGGTGCGGCGGCCTGTGTTTTCCCACTTCAACGAAACCCACTTTGAGATTGGTGTGCTCTTCAGTCCGGAAGGATTTCAAGGGGTGTATCACGGAGGCGGTGTTGAGTCGCCAACCTGCATTTCATCTTACGTGTAGTCTTCTTGAGGGTGCGGTAATACATTTGGTCAGATAATTCATCATAGAGAAGATGAAAGCAAGATTAGAAGCTGGGAAGTTTGATAACATGGAATATCAGCTGCTTTGTGGACATGTTTGAGAGCATAGATGCGTGTTCACTAACCATCGGTATACTCCATGATTGTTGTACTCAAGACTCACCACGCTTGTTCAAGCAAGTCCATTGACGCAGAACAGCTTATATCTCAAGTCTCCAGTCATTGTCGGTTCGATCTGAAGAAGATGCCGGACCGGGGAGCAAGACGACACCTATATAAGCGTTAGGCTACCTACCAAGTTTTCAGAACTTTCGAGAAATGGATGTCTTGTATAGCCATATGTAAGGTCAGTCAAACCACTAATTAGACCGAGAACTGGCGTACGACCAGAGGCCCAACATCTTCGGGACAGCGTAGCTTGCAAGGCAATGGAATGTCCCATCGACAGTGGGTTCTAGGCATGAACATAAGCACCCCTTGTCGAGCGCTGAGTAGCATAGGGCCCGTCCCGAGGCCTGTTTCATCCAAGGACACGTCCATTGAATTGAGGAGTGGGTTGGCTCACTCAAGCACTTTCATTTCGAAAAGGGGTAATACAAGGGCGTAAACGCAACCAAAAGGAATACGTGCTGAGTATTCATCCGTCTGCTTTGTTTCAGGCAAGCAGCTCGCAGTAGCGTTCATGCAGATTACACACATAAAATCTGCAAGCCTCGCAGATCAGTACACGCGACATGCGGCTTCCTCAAACACATATTGGCCTCATTCTTCCAAGTGATACAGAGCATACATATTGACAGCCATTATGAATGGGACATTGCTGTGTAATCGGCAGTTTCGGGGTAATTTCCCTCCTGGAGCGCTGCATCGTAGATTTTGGCGTTGACGGGATCGAGTCCTCAGGTTTGTGGTTGCAACGAGCCCGGTCGGGCCCCTTCCATAACCATTCTCAACCGTCACAATGAATAGTGCCAGTGGTGGACTTGATTGAAGGACGAGTTGCCAGTTTCAGGGGACGTTTTCATGACATAAGTACTCCGTAGATTGCTTCACATCGAGAGACTGAAATGGCGGTTCCGACGATGATCCGATTCGACATTGGTACTGATGAACCATGGTGAAATCTGCCTTGGATTTCGAGCCCATCGGATGGATCATTCCGTACCGTCAAACTCAGGAGCCTGCGCGGATGTCAGGCCGACGTCAATTGGTCTCCTCGTCACTCTAGCCCGTCAATAGGAAGGGTAGGAAGCGACGGAATCATCAAGACAACCAACGGCAGCGGCTAGTCCATCAGGCAGACAAAATACGTGTTCCAGATACGATACAACACATCGCATACCTATCAGAGGAACTCGTTTTCGGAATGACGGCATAAGGCTGCCAACAAGGGAACAATTCGATGCTCCGAAAAAAGATTTAGAATTCGGAGGCTCCAAGAATGTGCAGTGTGGGGATAGACTTTTTCGCTAGGTAAAGTTAGGGGTAAACGTGGAGTCCGGGGACGGCTACCCCCTTCCCCCACCCCTGTCCATTCCTGTTGGTAGCCTGGAAAGCCATCCCTACTACGTTACAAGTGAGACCAGTCACAAAGGACACGCCAGACCGCTGCTTCCAGATTGTTGCATTTTGGATTTTTCTTCTTCTTTCCTCATGCTTCTTTTCTCTTCCCTCTCAAATCTTTCTTTGCATCCATCCTCAGATTTCTTCCTCCGCTAAAGACTCTATTGTAAGTGACACCCCGGCTGTTAGGAATGCTTTCGATTAACATCTTCTACGCAGGCACGGCTGTAGTCTACCCACTTTCTGTTCTACCGGCAAAGCTCGACCAGTTGGGTTTTCCATCCCTCAACATGCAGCAGACAAGAGCCCGACCCTCAGTCCTCTCTCTCGACACCTTCAGCGACGATATGGCCAGAGCGATGCAAGCATCGCCACGACCCAAATACGACTCAGTCTCCAGCAACAGAGCCGACATCAAGAATCCTCCTCCTCCACCACCATCACCAATAGGCTGGATGCCAAAAGGGGACCACCACCAAAAGGCGGGTCGCAACTCATAGATGGTTTTCACCATTATCTATCTTGAGGTTGTGAGACATCGAGATTGTATTATAAAAAAGTTCGACGTGCTTGGATCATGCATGAGTGACTGGCGTTGTTCAATTTGAGTTTCCACCGAAAAGGGAACCATCAGGTGTTTGGCCGCAAACCGTCGGAGTGGGAGGATGACGAGGCAATCTTCTGAGGATCTCCCTCCATGCCTGAATAAATATCCTGGAGGCGTATCAGCGCAGTGGCGTCTCCTCGCACTACCCTTCTGTTCAGTTCCTCAATCTCCACGGAAACCGATGGAAATTCTCCTCTTGGGCGAATTCTTCCTGTCTCAATATCTCGGGGCTGTATGATTCTTGTATTTTTCCTCTGGCTAAAAACAGTACGAACATTATCGAACTCGCCTTTAGCTCGTTTGACATCCATTAGCTTCTCTAGGAATGCTGCTTGTCTCCTGATATCTGCGTTCATTTTAGGATTTGAGGTACGAATTTCTCCGAGGCTTTTACCAGCTGGCACGTAAGTATCTTCATCGTTTTCGGAATCTGCGTGAACAGCGTTCAGTGACTCCTCATCAGCTTGTCTTTGACGCTTCCTGCCAGGCTTTCCCACCAATTTTGCTTTCTGACCAATAAGCTTGATTCTCGAAGTGTTCATGAGATAAAAGTCATCTGTAGACATCAAAGCTTCTTGGTCGTTACCTGCCTCAGCTTTGGTGAAGAACATAGCAGTGCCTATCATGTCGGACCAGGTACAGCGATAGATCTGGTTCTGGTAGGAAATCACAGGATTCTGGCCATGGAGATCTAGGATTTGAATGTCGTTGGCCGGAGGTTTGATGGTTGATGGTCCTTCCGCATCGCCTTGCTCGTCCTGGGCGTCTTCATCGTCCTTTGCAGCGCCGTTGTCCGCCTGGGCATGGGCATCTACCGGACCTGTACTCAGTCTTGATTCCTGATCATCTTCGTTTTCTGACTGCTGAGAGAGTTTCGTTCTCTTCAGAGGCTCTCTTCTGCCTCCGTTTGCAGTGCTCAGATCAAGATCGACGTAGAAGGTCTAAGATGGTTAGTGACAAGGCGACCATCTTATATGACGTAGAAAGCTCTTCACTAAAACATGGCGTACCTCAGTCTCACTTGGATGATACTCATATTCATACTCGGAGTCCTTGTGATCAGTCCATTCTAGATTGTTCATTGCGTGCTGTTGTAATTCGTGGTATCACCAATAGCTACATAACCTGACTAAACCTGCAGGATGGCACTTGCACTGGCAGCCGACCGGGGAATGTCCATGAGCATGTGAAGCTGGGCAAGAGTTAGCCTGTGGCTTAACTAGATGTTAGTTAACGATGCTGTAGCAGTACGTAGTACAATTTTTCGGGTCTCAAAGTGGAAAACAGGTGATGGAGCTTAGTAATACCAATAGCTTTGATTGCCGAAAATAGCCGGCGCTAGTGTGGTCTCGGACTTGGCAGCATCATCCCGTTCACAATCGCAATCGAGGGTCCGGGACTCAACATCTGTGACTAGTTCCGTGGCCAATTCGGCTATTTCTACCTGATTGCAACCTTCTTCGAGAACTACAGAAGTTTCTGTGGTAACTTCAAATCGAATACTATCAATACTGAGCCCCCATGGACTAAGAAGTGCGCCTTGGGTACATAGCCAAGCAGAGTAAGTCATCTTGTTGATGTTCCCCATTCTAGATTACGCGCGTCTATTCTGCGTAGAAGATCATGCCCTCTTCATTACCTGCATATTCAATGCAGGCAGCAACCGCTTGTTCAGGTGTTACCGTGTCGCAAAAACAAGAATGAATGTTTAATTAGTTTTGCTCCTAGTTGAGATGATCTAGCAGTTTACTTCCACATCAATGCTTTAAAAAAGCGTGTTTTTCACTGTATACTCCATGCTTCGCAGAAAACTACTGACTCGGGCGCTTTTGCAATAGTGGAAGTACAACAGCAGTATATTGGTGCGTCGACTACTGCACTTGAAGGCTTGCCGTCTGCACTTCCCACGCCATCTCCTTTCACCTTCATTGCCAGCACTTTTCAATATCTACCAGCAGAATCAGCAGAATCAGCCCTACCAGAGGAAAAGGAATCGGATCGACCACGAATCTTTCCATCCGATATTCACTCGTACAAGGACTTCGATTGGCAAGCGTCCTCCGACCATGATCATCCCTTCACCAGCAAACATTCTACCCACGGCAAGCTTGGGAAGTTCACTCTTAGCTCCCTAGCTGAATGTTGGCACTCTGTGGACCGGAAAGCTCGTCTGTGGTTACAGTGGTGGAAAGAGATCCTCGGTTTATCAGCGGCACCTAGTTGTCACGCTGGCACCAGGCAATGGACAGAGGACGTTCCTAATCATAACGATGATTCCTCGTGGCAATATGTACGTCCAGACGCCAAAATCAGACCCGGTGCCTTCAACAACGATACGAATGTTCTTTCGCATATTCCTCAATATGTCATGGACTATGCCCCTTTAGTTCACCTATATTCGAATGAAGAATACTGGCCTTGTGATATGGGTGAGCATCTGTACCACATTACCCCAAAGCTCAACTATACACCCGTTCAGTCGAGCTTGCAACATCTGCAACTCGATAACTTGAGTGCACTGAACCGATGGGAATACGGCAGGAACATGTTTCTTACCAGTAACGACAACGTGGAAGATCGCCCAGAATGGCTATTAGGTGAAAAAAACATACCTACAACTTTTAGCCAGCAATCAAAACGCGATGCCTCTTCCCAGAAAGCCACGAAAGCGATACAAGGCGGGCGTAGTGATGCACCTGCCGTTCTCGTTGTGGTCAACAAGGGACATGGCATTGTGGATGCTTTTTGGTTCTTCTTCTATAGCTTCAACCTAGGCAATATGGTTGTCCTCCGCTTCGGCAACCACGTTGGAGACTGGGAGCACACCCTGGTGCGCTTCCACAATGGGAAACCAAAGGCAGTCTTTGTTAGCGAGCATTTCTTTGGTCAAGCATATACCTACCGAGCTATGGAGAAGGTTGGCAAGCGCCCAGTAGTCTATTCGGCAACTGGCACACACGCAATGTATGCTACTCCAGGCACGCACGCATATATACTTCCCTGGGGCTTGCTGCATGACCAAACCGACAAGGGTCCATTATGGGATCCAGCGCTGAATTCGCACATGTATACCTACAATCTCCTCAACGACAGTCTACGGGCCTCAAATCTCACACCAACAGCGCCTACAGAGTGGTTTCATTTCGCTGGCCACTGGGGCGACAAACAGTACCCTCTAGATGACCCGAGACAATATCTGTTTGCTGGCAATTATCATTATGTCAGTGGTCCTCTGGGACCGAAGTTCAAAAATCTAGGTCGGAGAAAGATCTGTCAAGGCCGAGAGAGCGAGCCATGTGTGGTCAAAAACTGGTTGGGAGGTTCCAGGCTGCGACGAGTTCACCGTCCCTTCGAGGAGGAAGAATTGTCGGAAGAGGAGCGTGTGAGGTTTGCGACAGGCGACCGAAATGTTTGAAGGGGCTTGGAAAAGCCAGATATGTGGAGTTCTCTGGCAATACCTTGAATTTATAAATATGCTGCAAATGTAGACGATTTAGGCTTGCGCAATGATACCACATGGACTGAAACAATTTGACACTATTGCTAGAACACAGTGGCTTTCTTTGGAGAAATAGACACAATTTTGCATGCTAAGTTATTCTTCAAGATGCTCGTGCTTGTGAAATGGCTTGGATTTCGAGGGCCGGAAGCGGGGGCCGGAAGGGGGAGCCTTGCGACGAGCCAAGATTGATCCTTCGCCACACCAATCACCTTCTGCCTCATGTTCTCCAACCTGCCGCAGGAGGTACAGATGACTACCACAAAGCGGCTAATGATGATTCAACATTTGGATACAATTCAGGTCAGAACTCTAGCTCTACATCTACCTGCTTGAAGGCTCTGCTTCTTCATTGTCAGACCATGCAGCAGCGGAGTCTGGTACCTTCTAGCACCCCTCTACCTCGAAAGCGATGGACACATCTTTAGCGACACGTTCTGCTGCCTTACAGATAGCTACGATCATAGCTTCCTCGACAGATATTCTCCTCCAAACAGTTGAGCCCTCGCCATTACCATCTCCGACTCCAACTCCGTCAAGCTCGCCGCCGGATGGCTCCCAAAGTACAGGAGAATGTGAACTACTAGGACCTTTTGCCATCCTCGTGCAAGCTGCTTTGGGTGGCTTGGCTCTTCTCTCCTTGGTATACAAAAGATGGAGGGAGAGACCTCAGCGGCCATTAAAGATATGGGCATTTGATGCTTCAAAGCAAGTCTTTGGATCAGTGTTGTTGCATTTGGCCAATTTGCTCATGTCGATGTTCTCTGCTGGACAGATTCAGGCATCAGTCGCGAAATATCAGCCGAACCCTTGCTCCTTCTACCTGCTGAACCTGGCCATCGATACTACTTTGGGAATACCCATCCTGATAGTACTTTTAAGACTACTTACTGCTGGTGCGAGCCTGACGCCCTTGGGCAACCCTCCGGAATCAATACGTTCTGGCAATTACGGAACACCGCCACGAGCAACCTGGTGGTTGAAGCAGAGCATGATATACTTCATGGGTCTACTAGGCATGAAAGTCTGTGTCTTTATCATTTTTGAATTATTTCCATGGATAGTACAGGTGGGCGACTGGGCCTTGCGATGGACAGAGGGGAACGAAGCGATCCAGATCGCATTTGTCATGCTTATCTTCCCGTTGATCATGAATGCCATGCAGTACTATATCATTGATAGCTTCATCAAGAACAAGGCGCCTCCTCAAGACGATGACACCCCTGCTGAGGTTGGAGAAGACGGTGCTCTGCTTGCAGACGACGAAGCCTTGGACGGCCAGGAGGCTGGCAAGGAGGATAGGAAGGTCCCCAAAGACAAGCCTTCGGACCTCCCCAAGAACTCATTGGCTCGCGAGCGAAGCTTCGAACAGGATACACCGGAAGCAAGCAGCAGCGGCGGTATTGGAAACGTGGAAGAGGAAGCGTTGAACGGCAAATATGCTCGCTGATAAAGATACACATTTGGATCTTGTTCTGGAAACCGAATTAAGTTTCGGGATCTGCACGGGTTCTGAAATTGGTCTGTTGCTGTTTCAGACAGCATTTCTTGCTTATTATTTGCTGTCAAAGTACATTGGGTATCGTTTTTTGCAGATAAATACATACAGTTGCCGAAGGCCCTCTTTATTGCCGGCCCGGTATCAATGAACCATGGTTCAACATGTGATGCTTTCGGAACCTATCTGGTGCCTATCAGTCTTCGATCCGGCCGCACCCATCTCAACGTAGCGATCGTGCCAGGGCATTTCGGAAGAGATGGTTTGCCACTATCGTCTCATGGCTGATTATCTGTTAGGGAGCCATCGAGAAGACGATCAGCCGATGATATGTGCAAGATAAGCCACGGATTCCTTCGCATCTTCGAGAGTCATGCCCGAATTGGGAGAAGTTAAGGAAAGTTTATGTTCTGTGGGAATGATTTTGAAGTATTAGCTGCATTGTACTTGACGAGCATTGCCAGAGCTGCTGTCTTCTGGAATATCAAGGACTTCTCCACCCCCTGCTAGTTACCCCACCTTCAGTTTCTTTCCGATGCAACGCAGGAATAGTCACGGCATGATGTAGCAATCGAACAGTTCCGCGGAACACTCGGACGTTCTATTTCACGCATGATTTCCAGGGCCAGTTCGCACTTAATCTCAAAGAGGTCAAGGACCGGCCCGGCTATACTTCGAATGGTCACGTGCCGCTGATATTTCCACCCTTGAGCCCTTGACTTTCAGGGGTAACCGTTGAGATTTCACGCATCAGACGCCTCTTCGCCAGGCTACTATCGAACTAGTGTCCTAGGTTAATAGCCTACTACTCAGTTAGTACTCGTAGATAAGTAAGTGGATGGTTCGGATGAGCGCCAAAAGATTCCCACATCACCGGCAGTTCGCATATCCTCCACAGATTGCATTGTTTTCAGGCAGGTGCTGGACACATCGTACAAGAATTCGCGAATGACAGGTATATAGTGGCTGCAGATTGCCACCGCTGCAGCGACGTTGCAAAGAAATCCTTGAGGACTGATCGCAGCATGAACCCTGCCAAGACTAGATTCCATAACCAGTAACACCGACAGCCACCAAACTCAGCCTTACCGAGTAGTATCCGCTCACCCTTGCAGCTGTCAAGCCCGAAGCCCGCAGGTGTCATCTCATGTTTGCTCCTGCTGAATTTTTTCAACAACCAACCACCGAATAACATTCCCGAGCGTTCTCTACAGCCACTCGTTGCGGCACTGGTTACTTCTTGTTGTTCCTGCTCACAGCTCACCACCATGGCCCCCTCAGCTATGTCTGACGGTGATGCTTCACTCCAAATCTCCGTCACAGAACCCCCAGCGCCTCCGAAACGTGATACTTCACAACAAATGCCGGCCACGGAGCCTTCGGGTGAACCCAACGGTGACAATTCATTACACGTATCAAAACCGGAACATTCGGCTATACCCAACGGCAATGCCTCACAGCACGAAAAAGCCTCAATCAGCTCTTACACTGAGGAACCTCCGCAAGTTTTCACCAATCCGCCCTTGGCAATTTCAAACGGTGACGGTGCATCTCTACTCTCCCTCAAGACACCTTCGAATATTTCTAATGGTGATGGTCTAGCACAAAAGTCGACCACGGAACGCTCTGCCAACATCAACGGCAACAGTTTACCACGACTGCCTTCTATGGAAGCCCCGGCCAGCTCCAGCGGTGACAGTTCTCCACCCCTCCCACTCCATAATAAGCTGCTGGATCACGTTGTGAGGACGCCTGGAAGACAACCTTCACCTCAACCAACACATCTAGGTGTTCCGGGCGCCTCACATTCCAATAATTCCAGGATCCTCCACGAGACGGGTCCCGGTTATGTCGCGCCTAAGTTCGAGGGAAAGGAGCAACAAATGGAAGATGGTATAAGTTTGATCGTTCAAGCCATTTTGGATAGCAGTACTGACGGACTTGTTGCATAGTGATCGATATAGTTGAAGAAAAGGGTTTCCTGCCAACCGAGTTTGCTGTTTCCGAGACCGATTGGTTCTACAACTCATTGAGCATTGATGATACATATTTCCAGACAGAGACGGCAGAGGCAATTGCAAATAATATCTTATCGCTGTACGCAGCCAAAGTGGCTGCTTACTCTCGAGGTGATAAGAAGACTGAAGTCCGGCTGGACAAAGAAGCGGCAGATCATGCCGTCTACATCGATACGAGTCAGCCGGGAATCAGCGTTATTGATGGGCCCGGATACGAGCGACGCATCGATGAGAAATACATCAATGTCTCAACGCATGACAAGAGCTATCGGGTTGAATCTTTCCGTTCCGCAAATGCTCTGCTCGACAACAAAGATCAACAGTTGAGATGCTACTTCGTCTACCAATGCCACTTTGCGAATCCCAATCCTGGAAGAGATACTACAGACATCGAACAAGTTGGTGAGAAGAGATTCCTACAGAAGGCGACAAAGAACACCAAGGAAGTTTATCAAGGGATCCTCACCAACGCAGTTGCAAGGACCGGACCCGTCATCGAAATGTTCGAGATTGAAGGGTCTCGAGAGAAGAGACTAGTTGTCGCGTACCGTCAAAGATCCGCAATGGGCATCTTCAGTGCCTTGTCTGACCTCTATCACTACTACGGGCTAACGAGTTCGAGAAAATACGTTGAGCAATTCTCCAATGGAATAACCATCATGTCAATATACCTCAAGCCTCTTCCAACCGAGGGACGCTATCCTCCAATTGAGGCGTCGATTCACCAGATCATGAAAGAAGTATCATTACTGTATTGCGTTCCACAAAATAAGTTTCAGAGCCATTTCGCCAGTGGTCGTCTGAGCTTGCAGGAGAGCATTTATGCACACTGCGTATGGATCTTTGTGCAGCAATTCTTGAACCGTCTTGGCTCCGAATATACCTCCCTCACTGCCGTATTGGATCCCAACAACAGCAACCATGTCGAGATACTCTCCAGAATTAAGCGCAGGCTTCGCAACGAAACGTTCACCGCCGACTACATTCTAGAGATCATCAACAAGTATCCAGACCTTATCCGCACATTGTATCTGACATTTGCCAACACGCATTATGTTCAGGTTAGAGGTGACATGGACGATTTCCTCCCCACTCTCAGCTATCTGCGAATCAAGGCTGGTCCTGTATTGGATGAATCACGGATGACAGAAATGATATCAAGTGCCGTTGCTAACGAGCATGACGAGATGGTCATGATGTCTTTTAGAATCTTCAATTCTGCTGTGTTGAAGACAAACTTCTACACACCTACGAAAGTTGCTCTGAGTTTTCGACTCAACCCGAGCTTCCTTCCCGAGAATGAATACCCACAGCCACTGTACGGCATGTTTCTCATCATCAGCTCTGAGTTCAGAGGCTTCCATCTTCGATTCCGCGACATTGCGCGTGGAGGTATTCGCATCGTCAAGTCTCGAAACAAGGAAGCCTACTCCATCAATGCTCGATCACAATTTGATGAAAATTACAATCTCGCAAACACACAACAGCGGAAGAACAAAGATATTCCCGAGGGCGGCTCCAAAGGTGTCATTCTTCTTGACGTCAACCATCAAGACAAAGCCCGGGTTGCCTTTGAGAAGTACATTGACAGCATCCTGGATTTACTTCTACCGCCTACTAGTCCTGGCATTAAGGATCCAATCGTGGACCTGCACGGTCAGGAAGAGATCCTTTTTATGGGCCCAGATGAGAACACCGCGGATCTTGTTGATTGGGCAACAGAGCATGCCAGAAGCAGAGGTGCTCCGTGGTGGAAATCCTTCTTCACTGGCAAGAGTCCCAAACTAGGCGGCATACCGCACGATGCATATGGCATGACAACATTGTCTGTTCGGGAATATGTGCTCGGAATATACCGGAAGTTAAACCTTGATCCATCAAAGGTTCGCAAGCTACAGACTGGAGGCCCCGATGGTGATCTTGGCTCCAATGAGATACTGCTGGGCAACGAAAAGTACACCGCTATTGTGGATGGTTCTGGAGTTCTTGTTGATCCTGAAGGTCTTGATCACGATGAGCTGCTAAGACTGGCCAAGTCAAGGCTCATGATCTCTCACTTTGAGACCAAGAAGCTCTCATCCTTTGGGTATCGAGTTTTGGTTGACGATTCGAATGTGACTTTGCCAAGTGGTGAGACCATCAATAATGGCACGTCATTCCGAAACACGTTTCATTTGCGTGATGGTCGACCCTTCGACCTTTTCGTTCCATGTGGAGGTCGGCCAGAATCGATTGATCTCTCAACTGTATCAAAATTGATTGTTGACGGGAAATGTGTCATTCCTTACATCGTGGAAGGTGCAAATCTGTTCATCACGCAAGACGCCAAGCTGAGATTAGAAAAGGCTGGCTGTATCTTGTTCAAGGATGCGTCTGCAAATAAGGGTGGTGTCACTTCATCCTCGCTAGAAGTGTTGGCAAGTTTGAGCTTCGACGATGCAGGATTCATCGAGAACATGTGTGTTGGCGCAGATGGGACCGTTCCCGAATTCTACAAAGCATATGTCAAGCAAGTCCAGGAGACTATCCGTCGAAATGCCTACCTGGAATTCGAAGCCATCTGGCGTGAGCATAAGGAGACTGGCATCCCACGCTCGACATTGAGCGACACTCTCAGCATTGCCATCACGAAGCTTGACGAAGAGCTACAGAAGACGTCATTGTGGAATGATGTCGGTTTGAGGAAGTCGGTGTTTGAAGATGCTCTGCCAGAATTGTTGTTGAAGCAAGTTGGTCTTGAGAGGATTATGGAGCGGGTAAGTTTAAGCAGATAGATGTTGGAGTGGGTTGAGGTTGCTGACTGTCGAAACCAGGTGCCCGACAATTACTTGCGAGCCATTTTCGGTAGCTATCTTGCCAGTCGCTTTGTGTACGAGTATGGAAGTGCGCCCAGCCAGTTTGCGTTCTTTGATTTGTATGTCCACCACAATAATATGTGCTAAGGGGAGAGCTAACACAACAAACAGCATGTCGAAACGGATGGCGAAAGTCTAAAGCTAGCCAGTGTGCAGTTCATTATCGGCATACCAGGAATAAGAAGACACACACTTAGAAAGTCCTATGCTTTGAGAGGAAAGTGTCGAACGGCTGCTGAGCTTACGAATGCAGCCATAGGGGAGCTTAGGAATGGGAAACAGGTGTATTATCTACACCTGAACACGCAGAGCATAGCTATGATGCAGAGTATTGACTTAGTATTCCTGTTTTAATAAGAGCAATTTTTGGAAGATAACCTTCCCACCGGTGCGGTGCAAAAGCGAAGATGGTATGAATGTAGGCAGACCCTCTTCGGAAATGTCAATGTGATGGTAAAATGCTGCTCCCTCCCCAATCATTTGGGTACCTGTGTGGGCTCCATTGTCTCCGCTCCACTGATCTCACGTTTTTTGATTCCCTCCTTCTTTTCAGATACCATTCCCCGTCTCATCTCGTCTCGTCTCGTCTCGTTCATCAATCTAGTCTGGTCTGGTCTAACCAGTCTCCCCACTTCTCATTAACCACCTGGCCATTCTATATTTTCCTCATCCTTTGAGTTCAAGAGACACTCTGGAACAAGAACGAATATATATATATACGCGGGTGACTAGGTCAGCCAACGAAAATAGTTTGGAACTTGAAACTTTTCCATACCGCACTGGCGAGTAGAAGATTTGCTTTTCTTCTTCTTTGTTATTAGTCTTTGGGTCCTTGATACACGCACATCACTGTCACTAACTTAGCTTGGGAAAATGCGCAAGGTTTTTTAAATGCTGATCTGATCTAGTACGGATATTATCTATCATGGCCATAATTTGAGTGAAAGGAGATTGAACTGGAGTTGTTTCGGAGCTCAAGAGTCAAAAATCTTATCCCCTCCGTGACCAGACAGGGGTGTAGAATGCCGCAATTAGCGTCGTAGATCTCCTTTTTTTGAGGTTGCAATAACTTTTGTCTAAGTATTTCGTTCGATTCCAACTTTGGAAGGAGGATTCCCTATGACCAGCGCTTTGTAGTCATTGCAACATCATCTAATTCTTCTCCGTAGATACTGAGTGTTGGTGAAACGGGCTTCTACGGACAACCTTATTTGAGCTTAAAATCTGCAAAAGACGCTAATTGCGGCATTGGTCACGGAGGGGATAGCGTATTGGTACTGGAAGATGCATGTACTCAGCTACGCCAGCATTATCGACCAACCAACCTACTCATTTCACTCACTCTCTCTCGGAAAGTTCGCACGATTTACCATGTCGTCTTCGGAAATCGGACACCTCAGTCCTCTTTTCAACCCAATTTTCCTGAATACAGGATTTACAAGCGTCAATGTCTACCTCACCCCCAAGCTGAGCCCCCTATCTACTTCATCTGCGGAGACATGTCAGAAAGCGAACCATGGCGGCGAGAGATTTTCGCAGTCTACATGCTCCGTTGAGCCTGGCATGCATCATGGTTTTCTTTAAGTATCCACAACCCTGCCAAGGGTTGCACGCCAAAATGACGATTTTCTTCATCGTCGCTGTTATCTCCCATCGAGATACGACTTCAGCGGAGGTGCGGCTCTCAAGGACGTGTATGACCATCACCTTCTTGGGTCGGCGAGGAAGGAATTGCATCCGACGCTGTTCATTGTTGTTCGGTCTCCGGACTATGGAGAAAACGGCATTTCGCTTGCCAATCTGAACACGGACTTGGAATGCAATGTTGATGCGTGTCGTGTGCAGGCCCCGGAGGCGGTCTTGGCGGCAGTGAAACTTAACATACCGTATCTGGTGCGGACGGGGATGACTACAAGGAGAACGAGCTGCCTCCGCTATAGTTTCCGGCGAATAAGGCTAGCGAGAGAGAGACGTAGTTTAAAGCGAGCAGGTCGTTTGCTCGATGCCTCTCTTGCTGTGGAGATGCCTGCTTTTTTTCTGCCGCATGTCGAGTCCTCTGTCTGTGGAAACCGCTAAGACCAAGAGCCGAACGAAACAGTACCGACTGCGCTGTACTCGCAGGTGCTCGTGCTTAAAGATATTTCCCGAGCAAATGATGGATAAGCCAAGGCTAATGTGGTAGAAGCCGAGAACGATAGATAGAGCTGATCCGTCCAGCTCAAGAATCCTAGGACTGGATCAGTGCCCTCTGCCTGGAATCTCCGACTAGTTGATCGAGATTACTCCCTGCTCAGTCACGTGGGCCAGAGAGGAATGGAACATTCTCTTCATGTATTCGCGAAAGATGACGGAGAAGGCACCGTGAGCAAGATGAGTGGAGAATGGTAGCATCTGGACTGGTGTCGAGGAGACAGCCGATTGAGTATCATCAGATAATAGTGATAGTTTGCTTCTCATTCTCAAAAGTCGAAACCCGAGCTCCTGTGGTCACACCAATCCTCACAAATGCGCTTGCACAGTCTCCAGTTTCCGACGATTTCTCGTGCGGTCGCGAGGGCCTCAGTATGAGCGCCGAACATTTTTGAGCATCTAGAGGATCTATCATGATAAGTGCACCCAAAAGTGGCTGACCATCACTGCAATAGTCTCTACCTTCATACAAATCAACATCCAGCCAAATGCTGTTAAGCAGAAGGCCGTCTACTCCACTCACTTGAGGTGGCACAACTCTTCCGCCATATCCATCTTCCTCTTCGCTCTCGCATCCATTGTTGACAAGCTTTAGTTTCGTGAGTCGCGCCCTCATCACCGCATATCCTCCGGTTACCTGGCCATGTTCGTCAGGACTTCCAAGCCTGCAGTCGACTTCGACAGCCTCGGCATCGACCAGGCCACGAAAATCTTTGACATAGCCATATTGAACAGGGCTATCAACTGAAGCCCATGACCACGAAGGAGCGACGTAGGCATTCCGACTTCGGACGAAAGGATGATCTTGATGACGACGAACTACACACCACAGGAGTGATCGGACAAACGCAACTTCCCATATCCCGGCAAGATACCTTCCAAGAGCAGCGTTGCGTGATTGCCTGGCGATGCCCGCAAGAGCTATGAGCTTGTCCGATCGTATTCGTAAGCTGCGAGCGGTATAGTTCTCCACAATTACAAACCACTTTGCAACAGCTCTCATGGGATCGAATTCAGAATGAATGCTGTCGGACTGCAGGTCGATAACTCGATTATCCTCCTCCTTATCACAGCCACCACACTCACAGTGCATCGAGCTCCTACACTCCCAAATCATCTCCTTGGAAGCGTAGTGTAGAATTCTTGCAGCTAGCCACCGTTCCTGGAACGCCCAGGCCCGACCCAGAAGAGGTTCGAGATCAGTGTTGGTGTGCAGATGGTTAGGATCGAAATCAACGTGTTCCAATCGCTCTCGGACGAAGATCTTGGGTCGGATATCACGTAAACTGAAGATCCCGGATTTTGATCTAACTTTGACGCATGGCATTTGCTTCCGCTCTGTGAAACAACCTACGCTTCCATCGGGAGCACTCGAACCCGCAATGACGAGGAAGGCGTTACTGTATACTGCAGCCATATTGGCAGCTTCGAAGGCCCAGTCAGCCGCATCATCTTGCAATATGCAGAGTGCATCTATCCAAAGGTAGCGCACCCCAACATTGCGAGTGACGATCAGGGCATCTTGGAATGTCTTCGGTAGACTCTCCCACGAGATGGACTGCTGTAGCGAGCTGCTCGATGCATTTGTGAGCTTAAGGCCCTCGAGTCTGCCCCAACAATGACTGAGTGCACAGTAGAGACCTGTCATTCCTGTCGAGTTCGTTAATCTCAGCTTTGGGATATGAGAGTTTGTTAGTAGCTCAATCACGCGTGTTGGGAGCGTCTGATTTACTCGGTAATTACACGACTTGTGGACAGACTTGCATTCTATTATCCATTTATGCAGAAGTCTGAAATTGACTTCGGAAGAAGGATTGACGGAGAGAGGGTGGAAAGGAGCGAGATATGACCATGGTAGTCGATCACCTGCTAGATGTCAGCAATCATTGGATATGCCGGGATCTGATTCGCACATTTGTTCTTTGCGTACATATACAATGTGGGTGATACTATAGCCGCGCTCAGACGGGACACCACCATCATGGTTAAGGTGTTGCCATCCGTACTGACAATGACCTGGTTCTGGTCATTGTTTTGTCGTAATATGCGGCTAGAAGGCCGTTCAGGTGCCCATGGGTACTTGGTGAGCGCCACATGAAACACCTCACAGACTGTGCATTCCGCCGCAGACGCTTTCAGTGAAGCTGTTGTGGTGAAGAAGAGGACACCTCCTTTGTCAGGAACACTATTCCACGTCGACACTCTCTGCAAGCTGTTACAGACAGGACAGGGTTGCTCGTTCTGAGGACCATGGTGCCATGTAGTCAACACAAAAGCTTTGATCTTCTCCAGATTCCAACCCGATGTCATGTCTTCATGTCTTGGTGGTTTGTGATCGCTGATCAGAAGACCTTTGTCAGAGGCCCCAAAAGGTGCTCATATTAATACCAGCTCGAGCTGACACGACATTCCACGACATGCAACAACTGAACACGCTGCCATTGAGGTGTAGAATAAGCTGCAACGAAGGGCAGTCAACTTCTAAGCCTCGACTGGTGGCAATCTCAGCCATCCACCTCAGCGAGGACACAGATGAGCTGTGCAGTCTAAAAGTCTGGGCTAGAATTGGCTGTGTGTCACGCGACCGCGACCGCGCACGCGCCCACTCTGCGCAGTAGTTGGCCTCTCCTCCTTCTGAGATAGATTCTGCAGGTAGATAGAATTCAGTTCATCCACTTCATCAAATTACAGCCTAGAAATAGTATGAGAGCTGTGCACGTCAGTTTAGCGTGGACTAGCTCACTGCCCAGACTTTTAGTGCGCACATATATGCGCTACGTCCTAAGTAGTACTGCGGTAGGAGGCATAATGTTTGTCAATACAGTGCTAGTAGTAACTAGTTCTGATACGAGTCCACAAATAGCTAATTAGTTGTCGAAAAGCTTACAAGATCAAGCAGCCATACAAACAAGACCACTAACTCGGATTAATCCATCTTTAGGTTAGTGCTGCTTAGCTTCGCTTGTTTGATAATTGTTTGGTCCAAAGATACTAGTGCGGGGGTGACAAACATTATGCCTCCCCCAGTAGAAGACTCCACCTCAGCCTCGTTTTCAGCCTCGTTCTACTTTCGGTTCCCCCTAACATATCCAGGCAGAAAATCTCGATAGACATCCGGTCTCCCCAAGCCCAAAATCCCCCCAAATCTCAACCTAGTTTTGCATCGGTGTTCACGATTTAAATCTTCGAGGCCCCGAATTCTTTGAATGCACGACAGCCGCAATACTAGATCCAAAATCAAACTGGAGCAATCAAGTAGTCGATTTCCTGTATCTCACCCTGTCAGAGTTGCCGGGGTTGTGCGAATGCAAGGTTATGACCAGTTCTTGATCTGTTGACATACTAGTATTCCAACTTCGAAGCAATATATATTACTACTCATATATGTGCTTCTATTTTCTTGGCGCGGAAAAGGTTCTCGCTCATTCAATCAAAAGGTTTCAAGTAGAGAACTGTTATTGGTATACTCGGATTTTGGTACTTTATTCTATGCTATACCGAGTACATGTTGGTCATGTAACTATGCTCCGAGGTTCTTCTTCGAGACTGTAATGTCCCTTTCCTGTCCTCTGCCTCAATGCTCTTTCTCTCATCCCATTCGTGGGTTTGTATTTTTAGTCTTCGGCCTACTATCTTCGCTCAGCACTCTGAATTATTCATAGTCTGTCTGCTCAGTTCTCTCATAGGTGCCGCCTTTCGACGCTGAAACGCAGTGAATGCTTTCCTTCGTACTCATGTGGTCCATTCGTTAGCCCCAGACATCATCCCATCTCAAGTCCTCTCACAAATCTTATATCGAATCAGTCGCTATCATCCAAGCTATCCCTCCTCCCCCTCCCTCCCTTCCTGAATCCTCCCGCATTCGCAGCAGCGCTCAGTCCTGGAATCGGATGATGATAGCTCTTGGTGCCCTGGCTCATGTTGTCGAAATCCAAGGGCTCGACATAACTCCCGGAGATGGTGCTCGGTCTGCTCGCTGCGCTTCTCGGTGCTGTGGCGGGTTTGCTTGGACTCGCGTACCGGGTTGGTCGTGCTGCTGCTGCTACTGAAGGAGGAGGCATGGTGGTGGAAGAGTGAGTCGATGTGACAGTGAATGCATCTTCGTTGCCGTAGGAGAAGTCGCGTCTGCTCTGCCGCTGCTGCGAGCTATGACGACGATGATGGTGAGATGGAGGAGGGGGGTGAGGGTGGCTGTAGTATTGATCCGGACTGCTCTGCCGGCTGCTCTGCCGGCTGCTCTGTCTGTGTGCAGGTTGTCGTTGGCCACCGCCGCCGAAGGAGGAGGGGTCGGTTTCCGAGTAATCTGTGCCGTAGAACTGGGCATCGGAATCCCGATTCATCCCCCCAATCTTAGCCGGTTTCTCGTGTCGGTAGGCGCGGACATCGTCGTCGAAACCGCCTTCCCATCGCTCTTCCTTTTGCTGACGCAGCTTTTGTGCTTTATCCTTTTCTGCCCTTCCACCACCTCTTATTCCATTACCTGCCTTCTTCCCATTCTTCCCCTTCTTGTGGGCTTTCTCTTTGATGATCGGCGCCTCACTACTCAGCTCCGTCATTGTCCCATCCTCATCACTGTATCCACTGGCGACCACGCTTCCTCCCCCCAACTTCGTACTCTTCGTTGCATTACTCAATGTTTTCCCATCCGGCCCCTTTCGTCTAAGTACGGTGCTCTTGTAATCCTCCCAATCCCCCTTGCGCCACTTGAACCCGCCGTTCTTGGCCCAGAAGAAGAACCAGATGCCCACCACGACGAAGAACAGGCCGATCAGCGCGAAGAGGGCTTGGATGCCTTTCATGTTTATGGAGTTTGGCGGGACGGCGCCGGAGCCGAATTTGGCCGATTGCGGTGCCGGGTTGCGGGCAGTGAGGTGGGTGTGCGCGGTGAGGGGGTTAGAGAGGAGCTGAGGATTGAGCATTGTTGTGCGTTTGGTGAGGCCATTGAAAGGTGGTGTGGTACTGAGAAGTTCCAGCTCCGCAAGTGAGAGGGAGGAGGGATAGGCTGGAAGGTCAATGGGGGAGGTACGCGAGTCGAGTTCAAGCGAGGAGAGGGTGAGGTCACGGACTGAGGGATCAGTTGGTAGCGGTGCCATGTTGATGAGTTAATTGTTCCGACGATGGTGTGAAGGGAATACTCAAGGTCTTAGTTGAGTTCGAGAGGTGTCAGTATGTGTCAGGCGGTCCGCAGACGCGGCGCCGACGAATGAGTGTCGTGTCAGGCTCTGGTATGATGATCATCCACCTTTTGCAAGCCAGGTGCTAGAGATACAGGATGGAACAGATCAAGTTCCCAGATTTGAGGTAGTTTCTTTTCTGACAAAAGCAAGAAGAGTTATCGGTTCAGCAATTATGGGAGTACGAAGATCTGGAAATCCCGGTGGTTGAACTCTGGTGTGGCTGGGTGAGCGCCCTGATGTCACCCTTGGCAAAGGTAAACAGTTCTCCTATCTAGGCTTAGCTCAGAAACGTAGATCAGAAGCCTCACGCTAAGCTGCTTTAGGCCTTCATCCGTTGGAGCATTAATTCTTGTTCAAAGGACACCGGATTCACAGCTTCTATCGAGCGTACGGATATTTGCTTTCTTTACACTCCTAGCAATCTACAAAGACTGTTCATCCATCCAGTTTACGTACACATCAACGGACGGAAGCTAGAGGGCTGAAATCTGTCCAATGAGCCCACGTCAACTCTACGAAATTCTGAGCCATCCTCATGGATCTGGCTGGAGGTCACTTGAACAAGAAAGACTACCACATAGATTCGCCCACTTTGGGGACGACTCTACACCACCAAAGTCGGACTACTTTGTTAATCAGTCTCAGCATCTCCTGACATGAGGATGGCTTGGAATCCAGCAGGCTATACAGTGCCATCTCTCTCAGAAAAGAGCTTAGGAGTTTCTGACTAGGCCTAGAACATGGGGAAATGTAGATAAAGGGGGTTTATGAGTCGGCCATTTAGAAGAGGATGACGAGCATGTAGTACTAGTATAGTATTGCAGTCCTTGCTCAACCGGCAGCTTTCTTCCAATGGTCATCCAATTGGATGTCTCGGCTTCGCAAGGACACGAGCCAGAGAGCGCTAGAAGATTTTATCAGCTGTGGTCCTGCGCCAGGTCGGTGAACAAGCTTGGTAAAGTCAGAGGATGTGCTCGCTCGACGCGAGCGCGAACTAGCAGGAGGGGGATGGCGAAAGACTGCGCAGCTGAAGGGGCCAAGATGAGAAATGTGGCGTTCGATGCCGACGAGACCATGTAGACGCTATCCAGGTGGTTGAATCGAAAGCGAACCGCCCCAGGCTGACTGAATGGGTGGATCCCGGAGGGGTTGTGGAGTAGCTCAAACGTAATGACGCTGCAGTAGAGCGGGATAACGAGGGAACCAACCAGGTGTGTGCAGGCGAATGGAAACATGGAGGATAGCCAGTCAGAACCGGGATATGTGTCTCGACAGGATTGGCTAGAGGACCTATCCCGTCAAGAAGGGGACGAAGGAATTGAAGAGGGGTCGAGGCAATCAGAAGAGGTGACGTGCCCCTAGCTGGCATAATGCCTCACATGACCTTGCTGTGGCAATGCATTTCTCCAAATATGCCCGGCTCAGATTGTTTTGCATGTAATGATCCGAGTGGGATCCGTCAGATGCTTTGGAAGACAGAGTGCTGCTGTTTCGGTCTTTGCAGCCTGTAGACCCTGTCGACCCCAGCCAGTTGAGAGAAAGCGATTATGCCATCCACCCCCCAGCGGCAGCAGCCCAGTCTTTCTGCTAGGCCAAATTGGAAGCACAATACGCAGACAATCCAATTATTGAGAACATCCTTTCTCTAAGCCGCACCCAAGGGAATATTGTAAACAGATAGATCATCGCGCAGTCATTACACTCGTATAGTCATGAACATCGTAGAGATCAGTATCAGCTTACAAGCCAACCACTAAACAACCGCCATTGCGAAGAACATTCTGAGTATTTAGTGAATAACATAACATCCAGTCAGAAGGTAAGTCCACATCCAAAACAATCGGTGGGCCTGCAGCGCAAACGCCATCACCCAAAATGAAAATGGCCGTGAATACAAGGTCGTCAACGGGAATACGTGAAGAGCACAGTCCCTAATGTGCAGCTCAGCCATATGCTAGATCATAACCAAACGAGTCATCATATGATGCCTTGCTCGACCAGCTGGAAACATGGGGTGCTCGTTCAGGCTCACGATCTAATGACTGATCCCTCGATCTTCTCACCTCTTTCTCACTGCTCCGTCGGCTCTGCTTCGACGATGAGGTGGTGGAACCACTCCGTTTCAGCAAGCTCAAGGCCTTATTGTCTCGGCCGCTCGACTCCTGCTGTTTGACGCTAATGTTGAAGTCACCGTTACCTCTGGGCTCGATCTTGATGCTGCGGTTTTCAGCACTGTCTGCCGAAATACCTAGAGTGACTCCGTGCATCATCAGGGTGATATCGTTGCTGCCTAGGGTAGTCTTGGTCTTGCCGCCGGTGGACCCTCTGGAGCTGGTATTGATCGAATATTGGCTGCCACTATCGGAACGCCGCTCGATCTTGGAGATAGCGTCAATGGTAAGAGGCTGAGGGTTGGTGCCACGAGATTTCTGGTAGGCTTCTGCTCTCATCTCATTGAGTTCGGCGCCAAGAATGGAAGTCGGTCTATCGAGACCAGACTGAGTGCTATTCACCTTGCTGGTGTGTTTGGCCTCAGTGTAGGATTTAGACTTCGGAGGTACAGGTCTGTTTTGATTGGAATTATGGTATGATGAAAGTGGAGGCTCGCGGTACGATGATGGTGGTGGGTCAGATTTGCGTTCCCTGGAAGATAATCGTGCGTGAGCGGGTCCATCGTTACCGATACCGCGCTCACGTTGATCCGAGAGTGGTGTAGAGATGGTAGTGTTGGCTTTAGCAATGTTCGGACGACGCCGGACTGGTATAACCTGAGGTGGCGGCATCCTCTTTGCGTCCTCCTGACGAGACGTGGAAGGATCTCGGGCTCGTTGAGTTTCTCTGTGCGATCTCGTCCTCCCCAAAGGTGGCTTATCCGCTACAATGGGAGACTGCTGGATAATAGGCTCGGCACGCGAGCTGGTGCGCCGACGTGGCTCTGGCGGTCTTGGGCCTAAGGGTGGCAGTGCCTGCTGGTTGTACTGAGATGGTAGAGATTGTGCATACTGTTCGTATGGGTCTATGAAGGGCAGTACGGGCGTCTGTACATAAGGAGTTTGTGGATATGCTGAGAGAGGCGTTGGTAGCATGTTCCAGTCAGAGGCAGAAAAAGGTTGCAATGGCAACGCGGAATATGACATGCCATCATGAAAGCTCGTTGGGCGCTGTTCGTGATATGACTGTCGTCTATTCGGTCGTGATTGACTTTTTGAAGCTTCGGGGTGCTGTGCTGTTGGCGCCACTTGCTGAGACGGTTGTTGTGATGCTGAGAAAGGTGACGGTGGGATGGACTTCTCTTTTAGAGGCTTTTGCGCTTCTGAGGGCTCCAATTTATGATATCCATGGAAATCGCATATTTGACAGTGTCCGGGTGAGTGTCTCACCATAGGTTCAGGCTTTTCGGCTTTAGACTTTGATCGTTTAGCAGTTGCAGGTCGACTCGCGCTTTGTTGAGGCGGCTCACGGGGAGGGCCTGACGAGTACGGACGGCTTTCTCTTTCAAGAAATGATGTGTTCAGCTTCAACCGGGTTGATTTGCTCCCTTTTCTGGTCGGTGCATCATTATGGGTACTTTTGTGTCTGTCACTCATTTTGTCATCACCCCCAGAGGAATGTAATCTGTGTGATTCTGTGGGAGCTAGTTCAGGTTTAGATCGCTTCGCGGCAACATTTGCAGAGGTTCTCGTGTCAGGCAGTATCGTCTGAGCATCTTCGTCCCACTCTTCGCAAGTGGCAGCACGGGATGCTCGAGTATTGCTAGCTAGCATGGTCACCACTCTGGAAGTGACCCAAATAAAGTCGGAACTGGTCACTCCCGCAACGGCCCGCTAAGTAATCGATAAGCTGTTCAGCCCTACAACACGACGAGCCTCCGTGAACTTGTCAGCGACAACAGACGATCAGGGTAGAAGGGTATAAATTCTGTCGTCTCGGCCATGGAAGAGCGCAATAGATAACCGAAAATACCCCTCAGGTCGAGCGCAAAGGTAAGGGTAAATATTGAGGCCTGCGGTTCATGCAGGTTGTGATGCTGCTGTGTGCTACTAGTAGTGGTCCGTAGCTGGGGTCAGTTTAATCCGACATCGACATCGTCGGATGCTGAGGGTGTGCGATTAAGGTTTCCTTCTCACTCGATGGAGGAAAAGAGGACGGCCGAAATCATATTTGCGTGACACCCAATACTGGTTGCAGCGGAGAAAGGAAATGGATGGGGCCTGAAATGCATACGTAGGAAGATAACTCGACAAGGCCGCCCGTAGGAGTCACACTTTTAGCTTTTCAGAAGAAAAAAAATTGTTGGAAAGGAGAGGAATGATCACGACCCGCGGACAAAAATTGGGGTCAGGTTGAAGAGATGGGTGCCTGGGCATTAGAAGCAAAAAGGGAGCCAATCTGCTGGTCAAAATTCTTGATCGCAGCCCAATCGGGGTGGGCAGCAGCGGCAGCCGAATAGAAGCAGCAGAGAAGCGAGCAAAGCCGCGATATCAGGGTGGTGACGCAGATCAGACACTGGTTCGTTGGTGGGATTCTCTCAAGCTCAATGGCAGGGTGTGAACGTATGGGGAACAAGCAGGATGCAGCTATCACTTTGGCGGAAAGCCTAAATAGCTCCTCCCGAGCAGGTGTTGCGCGATTGACAAGCATGTCCACTGAAGGAGTTCCGTTGACTCTGAGCCCGGTCTCTCTGATCCACCTGGGGATTTCTGCCACGCTGGCCAACCATTGTTCCACAAAATCGCTGACCACAGAGATAACTGGCTGCTGACCTCTGCAATGGCCCTTAAAAGACGCCACCTTCTACGCTGTTGCTGCGGGTTGCGTGAACTCCCCCGGGTTACGAGTACTATGAGTAGTGCCAGAGCAAAAAGAAGCCACAAGCCTTTGGAGCCACATGTGAGCCGCATGAAATCCTCGAGTACGGCCTCTCAGGCAACCACTACTAAAGTCTCCGCTTCGAGCCAATGGCATACAATGCAAACGTCGGCAATCATGTTTGAGCATACTCGATCCACTCGTCTTGTTCCTCCAAGCATCTGTACAGGGAAGCTCGCTCTTCATGTTTTCACATCCTTGATACGGTCAGCTCAGATGTGCTCAGAAGTGCCCACAACCGCAAGAAAACCTTACCTCTCCACAGGGTTCAGACCTAATAACGACATCCCATTGTGTAATACTTGTCTGGCCGCCTCATACAAAGCCATCCTCGCCTCCTTGAGCTCCGGTTCGCTACCAATCACTTTGAGGATATCGTAGCTCGAGCTCAGCGCATGCGTCATCTTGAAAAGGTAGGTCAACACTGTGGCAGGTTCCAGGGTCTTGACGGTGTTCTGGACGACATCCGGCCATTGCGCCAAGAGTCTGACAAGATCAATGGCATGCTGTTCTTTCAGCAGCGAGTACTTCGCCGACAAGAGTTTTGTCAGATCAACATCGGATTTCCTCTCGATCGAGCTCAGCCGTGCGTGGGCGTACTGGAGGTACGGGCCAGTATCTCCTTCGAACGACGTCATTGCTTCCAGGTTAAAGTCGTATCCGTTTATTCTCTTGCCAGACATATCTTGCACCATGACCGCGGTGATGCCAAGAGTATCTGCTACTTGTTCGGGGTGCTCGATCTGTTCGTACTTCGTCTCGTTCTTCCTCATCACATCATGCATTTTATCTGCTACATCCCGAAGAATATCGTCCAGGAATTTTACAGTTCCCTTTCTCGTGCTCATTCCTCGAACCATACCGAAATTGATATGTTGACACTTTTCTGCAATCTCGCTATGCCCGCTTAGCTCGGTCACCTTGAAAAATTGTGCAAGGTGAAGATCCTGCTGTGCTGCAACAACATAGATCATCTTATCGAAGTGATATTTATCATACCTCGCCCGGATTTCGGCAATGTCCCTGGTCAAATACAGCGGCGTCCCATCTTTCCTCTGGAAGATGGCCTTCCCAAGCTTTTTCGCTCCGTGCTTCTCAAAGTCGACAATGACAGCACCTTCTGACTCTTCCGAAACCCCGGTTTCGGCAAGCTCCTTTGAAACAGTGGCAATAGCTTCTGGGGCGACTTTGGATTCTCCTGCGTACTCATCGAATTCGATATTGAGTCTAGCATAGGTCTGCTTGTACTTTGAGATACTCAGATCTCGGAACTTTTCCCAAAGCGCAAGCGCATCTCTGTCACCGTCTTCCATGCTCTTGAAATACTTCCTCGCCTTCTCGTCCTCACTCTCCTCGATTAGACCTGCCAATTCTTTCTCCAGCTCGATGACACTTTCTTCCTTCTCCTTGTTTAGTTTGATTTTCTCCTTGAGCTCTTTGATCGGAGCATCCTGCACGGCACTGTCTTTATTGATTTTGACGTACACGTCAAATAGATGGTTGATGGGGTCTCGCGTTAATTCTTCTTCGCTACCATACTTCTTATAGCCATTTGCAAGAAGGCCGTATTGCTTCCCCCAGTCTCCAAGGTAATTCATCTTCCATACATCCCATCCAATTGCGGCATAGAGCTTCGCTATGAACCCTCCTATGATAGTACTCCGAAGATGGCCAGCATGAAAGGGCTTGGCAATATTCGGCGACGAAAATTCAACGATGATCTTCTTCCTCCCCTTTGATGGATCCGATGGGTCTCGTAGTCCTAGGTTGGAATTGGTGCCGTACCCCTTTTTGTTCTTCAAGATCGAGTCAAGCACAGTCTTTATAAGCGGCTCTGGCTTGAAGAAAAACTGTAGGAAAGTGCCTGCCACCACTGGCTTTTCCACCAAATCTGACTCGGGAAATTTCTCTCCAGCTTCAGCAGCTAGTTGCTGGGGCTTTTTGCCTTTGATCTGTAGGGCTGGCACAGGTAGCAGTAGATCTCCTTTGTCTTGTGTCTGGGTCCATTGTAGCTTGGAAAATACTGCAGACGGCTCTACTCCAAAGATTGGCGCCAGACTAGTGGCAATATGCTCCCGATAGATGTCTACCGGGTTTAGAGATGGATAGGAGTTTGGAAAAGCCATGATTTTGGATGACCAGAAGGGGTACGACGCCCCTCCGTATGTGCTGAAGTGTGGAGTACACGTGAATTGGGAGCTGAGAGATTGTAATGAAGCTGAGACTGCAGTGCTTTTGTCAACAAATAATGGTGTACCTGTAAAGAATGTGATGGTTCGGCTAGCAATCGGTGCTACAGAATGGTTAACACCGCAGTGAAACTTCCTGCATATTGTCTTTCTTCGCAACGTTCTTATCATGTAGGTAGGATACAGACGATGGGCTCAACAGTCAAGAGATACTAGTCGTCACTTGAATTGGAAAGGAGACTTGTTTGTGGAGTCATACATTATCCTCGGCTTTGATTGGCCGTTGGTTGAACAGAGACAATGCCAAGCCTTACAGAGCAATGTTCTAGATCAGCGTGGTGAAATATATCTATGTACTGCTAGCTATGCTACATTCATAATCATCCACTGAGCATGAAAACAACCAGATGCCATCTGTGTTCACTTAGAAGCAAAACACCTGATCTTCAAGCTTGCTGACAGGCCGAGCTTTTGTGTATCCCAGAGACTCGGTAGCCTTCTTCATAGCACTGACCATCGGCGGAGGACCACAGATCAGAATCTTCATGTCTTCGGCAGGTGCAGGTAACTTGTCCTATTTGGCCAAGTCAGCCTTTCTCCACAGGAAATAAAACGTTTCGTGCTCACCTTGATCATGTCTGCAGTCACAAATCCAACACCTCCCGTCCAATCTTCTGGTGGATTGTTCAGCACGTAATAGACTCTAAAGCCCTCATCTTCTCTAGCTAGACGATCGAGGTCGTCCTTCAGCAAGATGTCGTCCGGGTTAACATTGGCGAAGATCAGATCGACTTGTGTCGTATCTTCTCCTCCATTCCTCGGTCTGCCCTTGACAATTGCGCGTATTATCTGCAACATGGGTGTAATGCCCGTGCCACCAGCAATCATACCAAGATGCCTGCACATATTGGGTGTGTAGACCATTGCGCCCTTTGGTCCTTTGACTTTCATGGTATCTCCGATCTGGAGGGTGTCCATGTGCGCCGAGATGTTTCCTTGTGGATACGATTTTATCATCAAGTCAAAAAAGCCCTTGTCATCATCCGACGAGATTGGAGTGTAAGATCTGACCACCTCCTTCTCCACGCCTCTCGGGGTTGCTGCCAAAGAGATATGTTGGCCAATTGGCAAACCAAGGATATCGGTTGGATGGGGAAGGGCAAATCTGTAGATTGCGACATTGTGGGAGCAGACTTTCTTCTCCTTAAGCTTGAAGTGTTGAAACTCGGTAGGTTTAAGCACCTTTAGGCTTTCTAACCATACGACAGATTAGTATTTGCCGAGATCTGTCTCCACTCGTTCTCCACTCGCATTGAGACAGGACTTACCATTCGTTGAGATTGAGAAAAATCCGATAAAGGCAGCGAGAGAGATAGCCCAGGGTAGCAATTTTACATCGTAGAATGTAGTACCGACAATGAGTACTGTCGAAGGAATATAAACCCCCAGCACATATCGCAGAGAAAGTGCGCCTGGCCTACGAACGATGAGTTAGCGCGGGTCTCTGAAAGTGTAGCAATAAGCAGCTCACGGCATGTCTGCCTTCGTCTTGTCCTTCTGTGCCATGCTGGAAGGCTCTCAGTCCCTATTGCAGGAGAAGCCAGATATAACCAAAGCCTTCTTGTGGAAACACTCACGGGCCATCGAACTGAGCGATCTTCCGCATGATAAGTTTATATTTTAAGCCGGTACAATGCGGGGGATGCCAAAAAGGGTTCAACCGTTCGGAAGTCTCCAACTTTGGGGGTCTAACCGCCTCAACCGCCTCAACCGCACGGTGCACCCACACCACAAGCAGATCCGACTCGGCCCAAGGCCCTCCGGCCCTTACCTACTACTTATGCATCACGGTAGTATTTAGTGTGATTACACGAAGAGTCCCAAGGACACCCCAGAAGTCTCCAACTCTCAACTCCACACACTTGGAGCATGGTTGTTTCACACGATGGAGTGGAAGATCCTCCCCCATTCAACCTGACAGACGTCGACCGCGCGGTACTGGCCTCTACAGACGAGGAATTCCATCTGCAGACATGGGAGGACCTCAAAACCATCATCGGTACTTCCCCACCACCGTCACTGCCATCAACCACTACTACCTACCAGCACCCAACAGCCACCACGTACATCAAGAATAACGCGGTAACAATGCCCCAGCAAACAATGACCTTCACCTCCTCAAACGCAAACCTTCCGACCTCCGCCGCTACCTCAAATGGTCGAGAGATATCAAAGCCTCCTACGGCTCCATACCCAATTACATCATGCTCAAACGCTTGAAATGGACGCCCCTCCCCACCTCCACCCCACAATCCGGTCCGCAATTCGCCTTCAACAACCCCCTTCCTTTCGCCGACAAGCGCGACTTCAAGATCCTGCCCAACGACTGGCCGTACGGGATGGAGCCTGGAATCCACCATATCGTGGTCTGGTTGAAGAATCGGCTGGAAACGGAGCCCGGGAGAGGAGATATGACGCAGCGGTCGAGGAAACAGATCGAGGAGTTTGTGCAGAGGAGGTTTGTGGATAGGGTGGCTGGGTTGGAGGGGAGCAGGGAGAAGGTCCAGTGGTTCAAGAATTGGACGGCGTTGCAGAGCGTGCCCGGGTTGGAGCACGTACATGTCTTGGTTAGGGATGTGCCGGAGGAGGTTATCCAGGAGTGGACGGGAGGAGAGCCTGCTGTGCAATGAAGTGTGTTCATGTATAAGAACATGGCATTCTTCTGGAGTTTAGGGAAATAGAGATACACAAGATGACGCGTAGACGCTAGATATTAGAAAATAGAGATCTTCGTTGGTCCTCGTTGTGAGAACAGTGTCTAGCGGGTATCATGTGCTGCAAAAGATCCGCGACTCCCTCGATATGCATGAACCCAACCCCAAGTGAGGTCAGCTCGTCTCACTTTCTTTCGTTATACAATCGATCTATAACCTGGAAGACCTCCGTGACGCCTCTCAATGTTTCTTCATCAATATTCAAGCCGCCAAACCGCTGCTGAACCTTATCAGGATGCCACCTTACCCTCTCCGACTTGAGGGTCGACGCGAAAGCAGATTCCGTGTTGGCCAGCTCACCCGAAGCCATACGCGATCCAACCGTCTTGGTCATAAATCTCTCAATCTCTTGTGTGTTCACATCTTTCCTCTTCCCAGACTCGACTGGCCAGACAATCTCGTTTCGAAGGTGGACATTTTTCTCCTCAGTGGCATCAATGGTCGTATTCCTCGAGCGAGCGAGCAGGTACAGATCATCCCAAGCCTTCTCATAAGCCTCCCACTTCTCCCGCCACATTCTCTTCTGTTTCCTCTCCCAGCCCCTCCTCAAACTCTCCTCGACCTCCCGCTCAAAATCATTGGGCTCAATACCCCTATCTCTGCTCTCACCTGTCTCCTCCTTCTTCTTCTTCCTGTTCGCATCTTCCCTCTCCCGCTCCTCCCCCAGGCTCTCCTTCCTCCTCCGCTCCCGCTCTGCCTCCACCCCCTCCCAACTCCGCTCCCACATCCCCCGCCTTACAAATGCGATGTACTCCTCATCACTCATCTTCTCCAGTTCCCCAGTCTCCTCATTACGCTTCGCGTCCGAGTAGGTGTGGATCGGCTGGCCGTAGACGCTTTCCCAGTAAGCGGCGCCTTCGTCGTCGCCCATGGCATCGAAGAGGGACTCGCGGAAGGCGATGTCGGGGTGGAGGCTAGATGCAGGAACACTCTCCGGAGAAGGTGGGTTGACTCGGGGAGAGGTTGACAGTCTGCGCCGTTTGTGCCGGTGATGATGGCGGTGGTGGTGGTGATGTCTAGAGGACGATTCGGAAGCATGGCGCAGGTTGTCCTCATCATGCCACTTGGAAGTCTTTGATTTGGACTTGAACTTGAAGCGTTTTGAGGAGGAGCGGCTATTACTGCCTCTAGAAGTGGCATGTTCTGCAGGAATTTGTGCATGATCGCCAGTGTTTGACGTTGTGGTCATTCCGGCTTGCGGTGTATGTCAAGTGGTGTGGATGAATAGCTTGGTATGTAGTACTTTCTAAAGCCCTACTTTATGTAACCAGGGTTTGCAGATTTATGTTTCCTGGTCAAGACGCCCATACCCCGAACTGCCTGTGACCAAAATGCACCAAACTTGCTAAATGCTATGTAGGGGCTAGTATTACAAATGCTGAGTTTCTGGACCGCGCGGAGACAGGATTTCGGTTTGAGTTTGCCAACCCACATTATGAGGCAGGTGTCTCCAGCAGCATCAGCGACGCTTGCGCAATCTGCGGATCATATTCGCCTTCCTTATACAGAGGCGGATCCGTGGTGTCTATAGTTCGATCGATCTTGAAGTAGCGTATTTCAAATTCTTCATCAATCTCTTCCTCGTATGTGAGAACTTCATCCCACAGCTCAGGGTATGCCTGCTTGGCCCAGGTTTCAACTTCGTCCTTGCGGTATTGCCATGGAATGGCGTTATAGAATGTTCCGATACTATAGGCTTGTAAGCAAACTGCGGATTCATCGTGAATTCGTGACTTAGACCTACGTGAATGCATCAGGCGGCACCCCAATATCGTTTTCCATCTCTTCTATCAGCTCGATCGTGTTCTCGAACTCGCATTGGCCAGCAATCGCGCCAATATAACAATCATAGATTTCCTTTGTGACCTCGAGATCCCAAGCTTGTATCATGGCAATAATCCTCCTTGCCTCTGTGGCTCCGTGAGGAATCCATGTCTCGCACGCTCGTAATGCAAGAGCAAAAGAGCTCATGGTCGGTCCTTCAAGCGAAGTCATGATCTTCCAAAAGTGGTCAATGACGGCTGTGTAAGGCTGCCCACATGCGATATAGGCTGCCATGAGCCCATTTCGAATCCGTGTGGTAGGCTCAACTAACAGGTCGAGCTTCAACATATTATAAACCATCTGCAACCCGTCAACATCTTGACACTTTGCAATGCCTTCAAAACATTGACCATAAGCTTCGGGTGTCGGACGAGCCGCTGGGTCTTCGCGCTGTCTCATATGGCCGAAGACAAGGCAGGCGAGGTCGGGCCGCTTGCGTTTGAAGAAGGAGTGCATGATCGGAAGGCGGTCGTTGACGGGAGTTTCTGGGAAGATCGCGCGAAAGAGTTCGTATGCATTGAATGCACGTTGGTCCGTTACCCTTTCATCTATGATGAATTCCTTAAAAGTTTGTAAAATGCGAGCGCGATCGTTGCGGGGGTATGAATCCATTCTTTGTCCAAGCAGCCCAAGCGCTTCCTCTGGCTCTTCACGCTGGAGATAGAGTTTGCAAAGCCCGCTGATGGTTTCAGCGTCAAGATACACATCTCGTTCTAGGAGCGAATCTGCTATCCGGGTGCTAAGTTCATAATTAGGAATTGGTGAGAAACAGAGCGCCTGCAGGAACTTGTCCAGGATCGGCACATCTGATCCATCCTCGATTGGGTCTTCCGACGACAAAACATTATATGTTGATGCTGCTTTGTCCAGATCACCAATTCTGACCTCATAGTCAAGCTGCAGTAAGAATGTCTTTGAGTCAGGTTGTAGGCCTTGTTGTTTAGCTATTGTTTTGTAGTCGCGGACGGCCCCGACGTTACCAACAGAGAACGCGTACTCGACCAGACAATTGATATTAGCCATTGTTGGACCGGTAATATCATTTTCGGCAGCCGCCTCAGCTAGGCTGCTTATCAGAGCGGCAACTTCGTTCGCATCGGCCCCCTGAGCTGCAGAAGAGACAAGGATAACGTCCCAGACCCGAGGATCATGCGATATGGCTCGAAGATTTGCCAGGATTGGTTCGGCCCAGCTTAAGTCTTTGTTGCGAATGCAGACTCTCACCATCTCAACCTGGGCTTCGACAGAAGGGGACCCATTCCCAAGTATAGCTTGCTCGTAGATCCTCTTTGTTGCATGGAGACTAGCATGCTTTGCGAAGTAGATCGTTAGAAGCTTGTGAGCGTCGACACTCAAATCACCAGTATGAGCTCTCATCTCATCGAAAGCCTTCCAGATATCTTGCCCCAGCCCCTCGTTGCACAAACCTTTGATCACCTCCAACCAATTCTTCTGAACATCACCTTCTGAAGAGTTCCTCAAGATGTCCCATGCTTCCCTAGCACCGCCAGTCGAAGAAAGTACTGTAATGTACGTTTCTGTCGCGGCCGGATCCGGAGGTGTAGGTGCTTGGCCAGCATTCCCTGGTGCTTCTGTTCTCTGACGAAGCTCAGAGAACAGCATGAAAGCCAGCGCCTTAGCATCGCTCCTGAACTTGTCCTTCCCCAATGATGATGCGAGAGCCGACAGCCCTTGCTGGAGATCCGCTTCAGACAAAAGTACTTGCAGATCCGTGTCCGTCTCCTCATTGAATTTGTGCTCCTGTAGATACGAAAATCCCTCCGTAAGTAAGTAGATATCACTTCTCGAAAGACGTGTCCTAGCTTGATATCGGTATTGCAGTATGGTATTGAAAGCCCGAGCAATTTCTTTCATAGGTGGCAGCCGCGTCTGGTCCCTTTGAGCTTGGACGAGGCGGACCAAGACGTCTGCTGCTCGTTCGGCATGCAAGGATGTGCTCTTGCTGTTGGTAACAGCACTAACCGGTAGCTGAGGAGACAGACCGAAGAGTGAGCGGCATTGCGGAGAGGATACTGTGGGCGCCGTCAATGCTCGACTTCGCCATCTGGGGAGTTTCCTAGAGCATGTGGTAATGCAATATGGCTCGTTAGCAACAATCGCTCTGAAAACATTGCGTGTTAAGCTGGATCGCATAGTGATTTAACACTGGAAAGCGATCGAAAAGCGGGAGCCTTTAGACTGAAAACCCTTGATGCTGGTCACGAAGGAGGAGACTGATTTATGTCATGTCAGTGATGCACTGGTGACACTGATGAGGAAGAAATACCGAGAAATCACCGATCAACTTGTGCAACGTTAAACTTGCATCACTCGTTCCCTATGCAATCAAATAAAACCACTTCCACCAAATACAAGCATAAGGACAGCTGGAACCCAGTCCCAAGTTACTGGGCTGGAGGATATTCCACTTTGGAGCGTATCCTCCTTCCTCTTTACGAAGCCAATGCCTCCATCAATATCTAATTCTGCATTTACTCACTCCTGTCGAAATATCGTTGCACACTGGCATTCGCCATCTCACGCCTCTCGATCCCTCCCCGTGGTTTCTAGAACAAACTGCCTATACGAGATTTCCACTCCCTGGCAAGTGGTTTCAACCGCCAAATTTGGTACAACGGCTGCAAGGCGCGTTGAATCGAGTCACAATGTCACGAGCATGCCCGCTGGCCAACGAATGGAGGCAAGACGTAAAGAGCAGCTTGAGGCTGATGCACGAGCTATCGAAAAGAACTTTACAAGGGACTGGAAACCAGGTGATGTCTATGCACCGCATGATCTGAGCGCTGCGGAGGCACGTAAATGGAAGAAGAAAAAGGCCCCCACCACGGATGCCTTCGATGCACTGTCAATGAATCCACTCGACTGCTACAAGGTCAGCTACAGGATCAGAATACCGTAGATCCGCTAACCTACGGACAGAACTTCTCCATTATGTCGGAATACATGACGGAAATGGGAAGAATCAGGCATTCACGGGATACGGGCCTACGCCCAGTCAACCAACGCAAAATAGCGAAGGCCATCCGACGTGCGATTGGTGTTGGATTAATGCCGAGTATCCATCGACATCCAGAGCTGCTCAAAAGAGAGCTGATGGCCACTCGCATGACTGGAAGGTCTGGCTGAGCGGAGTTGTGCTTGTCCAACGCCGAGCAAGGCCCTGTAACGCCGCTCCACCTTTGTCGCTATAGAACAGCTGCGGGAGACTCTTGAGTGTTCACTTCATTGTGCTAGTCGCAGTCTCACCATCCACACTTCCGCATGAGAGTCACCTTCAACGCTTCTCCTGATAGAGCAATTCATTCTGGTGTAGAGAGAGCACTGAGTACCCTGAGAACTTGATTTACTCCGCCACTTGGCATATGAAATCGTGAGTACGAACAGTAAAGGGTGATATTTCAGCCTGGCAATTTTCAATATTTGACATTAGGAGCGCGGAGCGTAGTAAGAGACCATAATCCCTGAACAGGACTTAATCCGAGGCCAACTCGAATTTCATTTTGAGGCCCAGCCCCATGGTCTAGCACTGCGACGGCGTCTGCCTTGTATTGGAGAATTCAACTGGTGTCTCTGGTGCCTCTTGGTTTCGTGAAGATTGACTGACGCCTAGCGGATTGACTCGCCTGTCACAACGACTGTATTTTATGCAGAAACAGACATACTTCTTGTGACTGCCGGTTCTGCTCGACTGGGTAAAATCGCTGGGACTTTGGTATTAAACCCTCGACTTAAGATGTCCATCAAAAACGGTGCAGGATACCTATTCAGCCAGATTGATTGTCCTAGACTAATCGCCCATTAGAGGCAATCTATGCCGCCCTTCCGTCCACGACTCGAGGCCAGCCTACGCAACTTTCAGTTGACTCGAAGGGGGAAAGACTGGCATATGCCGTAGGCTCTGTGGGAAGAATTGACTAGAGCTCTTCATTGATCTTGATCATAGTCAGGCAAATCCATCTTCATACGCTCCATTGATAATCCTGCTCAAGCATCTCAATATACGCAACACACAACCCCTACCACAGTCGCTAGATTCTCGCCATCAGGCTTCTACTGTGCGTCAGGTGATTCTGCTGGCATTGTACGAGTTTGGGACTGTTCACCAAACGGCTCTGGCCTGACAAAGGGAGAATACGCCATCATTTCTGGTCGTATCAATGATATTTCTTGGGACGGAGACAGCCAGAGGATTATTGCAGTGGGCGATGGTAAGCAGCGCTATGGTCACTGTATTACCGCAGACTCTGGGAACACCGTTGGCGAGATCAGTGGGCATTCTGCACAAGTCAATTCTGTCAGCATAAGACAGCAAAGACCTCTTAGAGCAGCGACAGCGGGAGACGACAAGAATCTTATCTTCTACCATGGCGCTCCATTCAAGTTCAACTCCATCCCAGCTAGAGGCACGCATGCAAATTTCGTGTATGGTGTGGCGTTTAGCCCGGATGGAAGTCAGCTGGTATCTGTTGGAGGCGACAGAAAGATCTTGCTCTATGATGGGAAAACGGGCGACATGAAAGGCCAGATTGGAAACGGCGATTCTGCCCATAAGGGCAGTATATTCGGAGTCTCTTGGTCAAAGGACTCCAAGAAGATTGCAACAGCAAGTGCAGATAGGACTGTCAAGGTCTGGGATGTGGAAGCTGGCAAAGCAACACAGACAATCACATTTGGGGAGGAAGGCACGGTTTCTATTCCAGATCAACAAGTTGGCGTTGTATGGGCAGCTGGTCGGTCAGATGGGCTCATAGTATCCCTGTCGCTCAGTGGAGATATCAACTACCTCAATGAAGCATCTACAGGTCCGACCAGAATCGTCTCTGGACACCAGAAGAACATTACAGCTCTGACCGTCAACGAAAGTGACACATCACAAGCGCCAACTTTATGGACAGGGAGCTATGAGGGCCGATTATGTGCTTGGGATAGCGCGACGGGTGTTGCGGAAACTATTGATGGCAATGGCCATACCAATATCATATCTGGTCTTGCAGCCACATCCGGTAAGCATCCACAGATTTATTCTGTTAGCTGGGATGATACTCTTCGCTCAGTTGATACGAGCGCGAAGACATTCAATGGCAAGTCAACTCATTTATCATCTCAACCGAAGGCTTTAACATGTACTGCCAACAGCATGGTCGTTGTTGCTCAGCTAGAGAGTGTGATTGTGATCAGAGATGGGGAAGAAGTCGGGGAACTGGCCCTGAAAGCTACCCCTACTTCCCTCACTGCATGTGGAAGCACAGTCGGGATAGGCGCCTCGGATTCATCCCTGAGCATATACGCTGTGCCGCACGACAGAGCACCGAAACTTATTGCCTCACTTGACAAAGTATCGGCAGGCCCTTTGACAGCCTTGTCATTCACTCCAGATGGCTCAATGATCGCAGCTGGGGACTCTACTGGCAAACTTCTCGTCTATAGATTGAGCGGCTCAAGCCTGGAACTTGTGACCAACAGGTGGTCCAGTGCCCATACAGCCAGGATTACATGCATAGCCTGGAATAAGGCTGGAACACATGCTGTCAGTGGAAGCTTGGATACACACATATTCGCTTGGAGCTTGAAAGATCCCGGGGCTCGCGTGAAAGCAGGCAATGCTCACAAAGAAGGTGTTAATGGGATCGCTTGGATTGGCGAGAGGGCGGTCAGCTGTGGTGCTGATGGCACAGTCAAGGTTTGGGAGATTTCTGGCTTGAAATGACCGGACAGGGCAAGTTTAACAATGTGCTGAGACCCTCCCCTTCACCATATGTGATACGTGGTGGTGAAGCTCTGACTCAGAGCGACAGTAGTGAATATGAGGCCCATGTGCTGTCGTGCTCAATAGTCGATGTATCACAGAACTATTGAATAAATCTGTCAGGCATGTCTCCCTACTGGATTCTTCTTCTCATGGACATTCGTTGGTTGTATATGCTCTCTTGGTAAAACCGGAAACCATAGGGAATCGCCCGATCTGGAATAGCATTCTATCAGAAGTGGATGACCTTTTTCCCACTTTTATCCACACATTTCATATCCTAGCGTTGGGGTCTCTCCCTCACCGTTGACCTTTGCGGAACTACTCATTCTTTTACCGAGATTGTGGAAGTGGGAAAGACCTGAATGATATCACTCGCCCCTTCGAAGTTGTGCGCCCTGGCGGTGCGCCCACCATGTCGACGACGATAGAGACATTCAACCCTGCCGCCTTAAGTCGAGCTGATTCTATTCCGACATCGCTGCAGGTGAACAAGACCGTCGCAGCCTCCTCGAGCAAGAATGCAAAGTACGGCAATGGTGCTATTCCTCAACGCATCGACTTTGAACCACTCTATACCGATCTCAAGGCCCTCATTGGGAGCCATTGGAGTACCTATCAAGATGCGCTGTCAAAATTCGTACTAGGTCGCTCTTTCCTGCAGCAGTTGTACATGCCTACAGTTGTCTAACCTCTTCTCTACAGGCCGACTCTCTGCCACCGAGTTCAGCGACTTAACCGATTCTTTCCTTCTCGGCTCGCCTCAAACAGAACACGCCCACAACGCGCTCATCTGCGCCATCCTCTACAATGTATCACGTGAGAAGCCAGATCATCTCGGTCCAGCAATATGGGTCACAGCCGCAACAGATAAGTCCTCCACCGCTGGCCCATCAAAACCCAACATTGCGAGCGATGCGGGGGAACAGCGCCTCAAAGTCGAGGTCATGGCTTTACCCGCCCGGGATAGAAGAAGACTAAAAGGCATCGGCGGTGGCGGCGACAGACCAGAAGACGACAGTTCGCTGAAGAGAAAATACGAGGACTACTACCAAGCAGGCAAGATTCGAGTCCCAGAGAACGTCCCCCCAAGCGCCGGAGGCCTCAACAAAACGAACTGGGACCTCGAAATTCGCAAACGCTACACCCAGCCCCTCTTCTCGGAGACATTGGAATTCCCTGACGCGGCCGGCATCTTCTCGCGCATGATCCCAATCTGCTACGAAGAATCCGTCGCCTCAGGATCCAGCATGCCCTGCGCTGAATTAGTCGCAGTAGCGACAGAGACTTACGTCAAAGATCTCCTTAGCAGTGTCTTCAATCGCACGAGAGCCAACGGTCCAAAGTACGACAACGGCGCCGCCGGCGGCGTTTCTACAGGTGCGTACCTGCGCCAACTGGAGCGCGAAGAGCACGACTTCCGTAACGGAAAGATACAAAAGGGCCGGGATACCGGCTTGCTGCCCGTTGAGAACCGAGAAGCCGTTGCCAGACGACCGATCGGGATCACGGACTTGAAAGTCGCCAGTGGTGTTGGCAGAGGTCTCTGGAATGGGATGCCGCTGATCGGAAGTCGAGTCGCTGAAGCAGCATATGGCAATGAATTCGATGACGTTGTGGAAGAGAGGAGACGAGCAGGAGAGACGGCTGCGGCTGCCGCAGGTGTAGGAGCGGCGGCGTTGAAAAATCAGCATCCCCATACTACCTCGGAGCATCCTACGACAGATGAGATGGATGTCGACGACGATGACTATGGCTGGCCTGGTGGCGGGGCAGCGGATCGAGAGGCGTTGGGATCTTTACTCGAGGATTACCTCTCCATTCGCGCCTGACGGGAGCAGAGCAGAGCACATCCCTGCTAGGGGTATGATGCACGTATCTTTCAGCGGCGCAATTGGGAATATACACGGACGTACTCTGTACGCGGAGCTACCTACGGCGGTGCATGTGCATATGCATATAATGGCGTACTATTTTACGACAAGACTGCAAAACGGCGATCGCTGCCTGACAGCCAGGCAGAGGGCAAAGGCAAGTACTATCTGCAGGTGCCACATTTCAGGGATTGCATTTCTGGGTTTGGCTCTCAAACTTAACTTGGGAGGGAGTTGGCCAGGTGGAATATTGAAATTGCGTTTTTTGGTCGCTTCCAGGTGCTGATTTAGATACCCTGAACTTTTAACACACGTACATAGCAGTTTGTTTCTTAGAAAAAAGTGGTTATTGTTGCCATCTCGATCTCGCTTCATCTTGCTATCCGCGAGATGTTTATAATATCATTGTTCTTTTGCAAGATCGGGATCTCCCTTCTACTGTAGTCCTATTGTAGGTCGGATAGATTGAATGGAGTTGATACTGTAGCAAGAGCCCGGCAGCGGAGCGCACCCCCGCATCCAAGACTGCGGGGATTACTGTCTATAGTATCTGAGCGATCTGCGGACACTCGAGAGGGATAGGGTGTGTTTACTGTCCATGAAGAAGCAGGAACGGTATTGTAAAAAGAGCGAGGATTTATCGCTTCTGTATGTAGACCAGCTGGCCTGGGGAGAGAACGAGCATGCATCAACCCATCTCAGCCCTGACACTGCTTCCTATCCTCCTCTTATCACCAACGTCTTACGCTCAAGAAGTCGGTCCCAACTATGCGCACCCGCTAGAGGATCTGGACAAGGACCTACCTTTTTCACAACCGGTTACATTCGCTCATCTCCCCTGGGAACGCTGCCTCTCTGTCTCGCACTCTATGCCCATTGACATCGCGATCCTCGGCTTCCCTTACGATACATCCACCTCCTACCGTCCAGGGGCGCGCTTCGGACCACGCGGCATCCGGGCCGCCAGCTCGCGTGAGAAAAAGGGCAGAAGCTATAACACAGTCTGGGGGGTTGATCCGTTTCAAGACGGTGGACTGAAGGTTCTGGATTGTGGAGATATTCCCATCACGCCGTTTGATGCCGCGCATGCTTTCAAGCAGATGGAGCAGGGGTACCGGCAGGTGTTGTGGCATAACACGAGCGAGGAGAGTAGGTGGGAGAGGCCGAGAGTGTTGAGCTTGGGAGGGGACCATTCGATCGTGTTACCCGTACTGAGGAGTTTGAAAGAGGTATATGGCCCCATCTCAGTGATACATTTGGATTCGCATCTTGATACATGGGATCCGTATCGAGGGTATACGGGTATCGCTTCGGAGCAGTCGGCTATCACGCATGGGACATTCTTCTGGCACGCCAGTCGTGAAGGTTGTATTTCCAAAGGAACGAGTATCCATGGAGGGTTGAGGACAAAGCTGTTCAGCCCGAAGGATTACGTGATTGATAAGGACTTCGTAGGATTCGAGCTGATCGAAGCGCATGAGATTGATGATATCGGGGTTAAGGGCATTGTAGAGAAGATGAGAAGAACAGTAGGTGACACGCCGACCTATCTGAGTATCGACATCGATGGTAGGTTCCGCCTAGAAGACACACTCGTAAGCTGCTGAACAGGTCAATCAGTACTCGATCCCAGCATTGCTCCTGCAACAGGCACCCCGGAATCAGGCGGGTGGACGACAAGAGAGGTGAAAAGGCTCATCAAGGGCCTAGAAGGGATCAACCTCGTTGGCGCTGACGTGGTGGAGGTCAGTCCACCATATGACACGGTTGCCGAAGTGACATGCATTGCTGCGGCAGATTTGTTGGTTGATATCATGGCACTGATGGTCAAGGACAAGACGGGACCGGAGAATATCTACGTTAAGGATGAACTGTAGTGACACCGTTAACCAGAATACTTCAGTTCTAGAAGTAATTTTACGTCGGTGGTAGGGCGCATTTGGGAGTAAGTGGAACAGGTAGGTAAACCCCCGAAAGAGATCCTTGCCTGGCATGAAGCACCCGTGAGAACGAGTAAGACACTGGAGAAGGTCTCCTGGCCCAAGATCTTCCTCAGTATTGTTGGTCGGCCGCTTCGGAAGCAGCTCAAGTATAAGTCACATCACTCAGCCATAATATAAAAACATCAGGGTAGGTCGTGCTCATTGTGCCCACCAAATATACAATACCTCATTGTTGTCTCTAGGCCTGCCTAGTGTCACCGTAGTTCTGGTTCATTAAATTCGACGTATCCGGCCAAATTGCAGACTCCTCACGCCGACGAGCTCACCGCTGCTGGTAGTAATTGGGCACAAGGACAAAGGGGCTGATATTGGATCGTATCGAACATCGTAGAATTTGGCAAACTCTGATTCATGAACAGCGCTTGGCGTTGGTGGAGGATGAACGCGAAGCTTTGCTCAGGAGGCGCCGTCTTCCGTCTTCCGTCTCCGTTCAAATCCGGGGAGCAGCTGGGCAGGGATCAACTCTTGCTCCTCCAATCGCGGGCCGCTTTGCTGTCAGACCTTGGACAAGCTGAAGACGGGACGTTGTCTTGAGAGCAACTGCCATGAACTTCTTGTTCGCCTCGTCGTTATGCTGAGAGGCTGATCTGAGCGAAGTAATTCATCATCAGCATGGCGGCGTCGTCTGCTGGTAGCTCGCCGACGAGTGATGCTCCACAGATTCCACGGCGAAATGTGAGTCTTTCCTTGCAATCCCTCACCAGATACATCTCGAACCGTTGAGCTAACCTCAATCCCAGCTTCGACAGGCGACCCTCATCATCCCGCAAACAGGCAGGCGAGTCAAGAGAAGGATAACGCTTCACGAAGTCGACGGGCACAATGACGAGACTAGTTCTCCAGAGGAGTCGACCAGTGACACTACGCCTCTCCTTGTCCGTACTCGAACGAACTCCGCTACATGGAGAAGAAAGCGAGGAACTCTCTCTGTGGGGCAAACAGCGAAATTAAGAGCATTGGAGAAGATTATGGGGGTCAAGCACTTCCTCATGTCTGACGTTGGCAAAGGAGTCTTCAAATGCTCTCTGGCCTATCTTCTGGGCAGCATGGCGACTTTTGTTCCGTTCCTACGAGATTCCCTTGGGCATCAGGATGGAAAGCATATGGTGGCTACTATTACAGTCTACTTCCATCCGGCACGATCGCTAGGGAGCATGTTCGATGCGCTCATCTGCGCCTTCGCCGCGTTCGTCTATGCGGCCTTTATCAGTATCACGAGCATGAGCGTCTCAGCCTTTTTTAGCGATACCCTCGATCTGATGCCAGTAGGTCACGTCATTGTGCTAATAGTCTTCTGCGGTGGAGGCCTGGGTTTCATTGGGTGGGTCAAGCAGAGGAAGGGTGACGCTCTCGTAAACGTCGCTTGCTCACTTGCATCTCTCGCAATCATCACGGTCATCACTAAAGAAGGTGCTGTCCAAGCAGGAAATTTTTCCTTCGCCAAGATCAACCAAGTTCTGAAGATGGTCGTGATGGGGGTCGTGGCTACAATGGCAGTATCACTTGTCATATTTCCCGTGTCTGGCAGGTTGAATCTACGGAAGAACATAACCTCAGTCACAGATTCCCTGGCCGATATGCTTGCTCTAATCGCAAGTAGCTTCCTCTCTGGGTTTGAGCAGGAATTAGAGGAGACACCTTTCAAGAACATCGCTGAGCGGCATCTGCAGACTTATTCGACCCTGGCGAAGAACTTGAAGGAGGCCAGGTACGAGCACTATGTAGTTGGAACCGAACGACAGTACAGGATCGAGGCCAAACTCGTACATTGTGTCCAGCGCGTCACTCAGAGCATTGGCGGGCTGCGAAGTGCTGCTGCAATGCAGTTTACTGTATCGAGACAAACAGTGGCCCTAGCCAAGCATGGTCAGAACAAAACCTACAGTGCGTATAGCACACCTTCGTCTGGGGTTGGTCCATTCGCAACGCCTCCAGCACGCACGAGCTCAGGAGATTTCGCTGGCATCTTGTCTGCTATCGACGAGCTATCAGATGAGGATAATGCTAACGACGAATATCTGAACGGGCAGCTCTCAAGTTACAGCGTGGGCTTCAGGTCACCGTTAGAAATATTTTCTCTCTTCATCCACCATCTTGGTCCATCGATGAGATCCCTGGCCTTTACGCTCAAAGAGATCTTGGATGAACAACCCTTTCGGCAGGGAGTCAAGCACGAAGTTACAGTCAGTCCCAAGTTTCGAACGAGCCTAGACCGAGCTATTGAGCTCTACACGGGAGCTCGGCGGGAGGCCCTGAAAGCCGTCTATGATCAAAAGGATATGAATCGAGACCGGCCCGTAGAAGTGGAAGCAGATTGGGAAGAGGTTGCTGCTAGCTGTGGTCACTTCTCATTCTCGCTTCTCGAGGTTGCTGAACAAGTCAAAGAATATTTGTTGATTCTTGACGAGTTGCAGTTAGAAGTCGAAGAGCGTCCTGCTGGTCGGACATGGTCATGGCTGAAATTCTGGAGACCCCAGACCAAATCTCACCCAGGTTCAGATGAACCTGAAGCACAACATATGATCGACGACCCTGATGCTGCAGGGCTGCCAGTAAAGATCTCTGCAGAAAGGCGACTAATAGATACGCACATTCTCTCTGAGAAGGACAAAGAGAAGCCTACGATCAAGCAGCGTATATTTGGGCGCTTGTGGAGTGCTTTGTCGATATTTAGACGTGATGACACGAAGTTCGCTATCAAGGTTGGGGTGGGCGCCGCGATATATGCAATGCCTTCCTTTATAGTCGCTACTCGACCTATTTATGGCCAGTGGAGGGGCGAATGGGGTTTACTTTCTTACATGCTTGTTTGTTCCATGACCATTGGTGCCTCGAACACGACAGGCTATTCTCGGTTTCTGGGTACATGTCTTGGTGCCGTCTGTGCTATAGCAGCATGGGAGATCTCCAATGGTAATCCATTTCTGCTCGCCTTCCTTGGGTGGTGCATGTCTTTCTGGACAGCGTACATCATTGTTGGCAAAGGCAAAGGGCCCATGGGAAGATTCATCATGCTAACATACAATCTTTCCGCACTATACGCGTATTCTCTTTCGGTCCAAGACGAGGATGACGATGGTGATGAAGGCGGCACTCACCCGATCATCAGTGAAATAGCCTTCCATCGGGTGCTCGCTGTGCTTTCTGGTTGCATCTGGGGCCTTATCATTACACGACTTGTGTGGCCAATCTCTGCAAGACAAAAATTGAAGGACGGCTTGTCTCTTCTCTGGCTGCGAATGGGTCTGATATGGAAGCGGGATCCGCTGATGACAATCACTGACGGAGAGACACCCAACCAGTATATGAATCTGCGTGAAGAATTCGAGTTACAACGATTCCTGTCGACACTGGAGAAACTGCAGGCTTCGGCCAAATCGGAATTCGAGCTCAAGGGCCCCTTTCCGGACGCACAATACAGCAGGATATTGAAGAGCACTGGTCGCATCCTGGACGCTTTCCATGCTATGAATGTTGTCATTCTGAAGGATTTGACAACCAGCCAAGGCGAAACGGCACTATTGAAAGCCACGGCTCGAGAGCGGGCCCAACTCTGCAGTCGTATAAGCCACCTGTTCTCTGGTATGTCCGAAATGCACGTGATAGGGTCTATTTGAAGCAGCTGCTGACCAGGTCATCCAGTTCTTGCATCGTCAATGGCGCTGTCATACCCATTAAACGACGCCTTGCCAAACACAGAGCACACTCGGGATCGTTTGCTTGCGCGCATTTTTGCCTACCGGAAGAGCGAAGCCAGTGCGAATGGTACTTCGGACGAGGACTTCGGTCTGTTATATACCTACGCCCTTGTCACGGGACAGTTGAGTTGTGAGATCAAGGAGATCTTGATGGAGATTGAAGGTCTGTTTGGTGTCTTGGATGAAGACTTGCTCAAATTGCAATAAAGGTACAGGGTCGAATATTTCTACCCCTAGTCAAGGGCCGAGGTTAAAGCGATGGTGTTTCTCGGCTATGGGATATAGATACCCCTTTCTCGTGGTTCTTTGGCTTAGATGTGGTCCATTGCCTAAGCTTGGCGTTTGTGGGTGCTCATTGTAGGAGATTTTTTGCAGCCATTGACATACCACTGGACGTAGGTGTGCATGAACTCGTTCGAGAAGCACAGACGAACAATGGATCTTGGTACATTACATCATGGACACTAGCAGCAGATCTTGGTTACATTGGGTCGTGGTAGCAAAGTTTCTTGTGCATGTTTAAGATCAATAGCTTCACCTCCAGCTAATATAGTGACAGCCCTGGGCCGAGGATCGAAGACAACAGCGCTGAGACTCGTGGCAAGAGTTGTCGCACAACATCGCGACTGAGACAGGTGGCTTACTACGGTATGTCTCACTGCAGGCCGTTCCTTGTGCGCTTCGCTGGTTGGGTACTACGGTAGGGTATGAGTATTGGGCGTTAATATGTAGTATGATGTACAAAGAGTTGCCAGAAAATATGGCCCAATCCAATAATCTGTTACTACGTAGTAAGATTCTCGATGATCTTGCCAATCACACTACTAGGTAGTATGTAGAATGTGGTTAGTAGGTTGTGCTTAGGACTGTCAACGAACCTTTTATCACGAAATCAGCGGAAGCTCCCTGTAGCCAACTACTAGTACTTCCCTCCACAGTAGGAAGATCTGGACCAGCCGCTGTCCATGATGATCAATCTGAAGCTAGAGGTGTTGCTTTCCAATGCTCTTGGGTGAAGTTCACAATCGTTGATGCCGCGTTAAATATGAAAAAATCTTGCTCGAGGCTCACAATACTTGTGCCTCCCTCGGTATGTTGGATGGGTGGATGACGTCTAGTCCCAGCTGGCATGCTCAATGCCTAACCTTATCATAAGCCATGAGGTGCTGATACATACTCCTCTCTTCTCTTGCAGAAGCAAGTGCATGCACCATATGCACACCTTTCGATGCGTGTGGATGGCTCCTTCATGGCTTCTAGGTGTCTCTGCATGATGTAGGTCTAGAACGGCCATTCCTGAAGCAGAGCCCCTCTCATTCTTGCTGAATATACGCTGAATATGGATCTACATCTCACCCACTTTCCCTTCTTGACTCACGGAGTTGTCACGGCAGACCCTAGGTTACTGCTTCGAATCTCCTGTGAGCAACTGTTCCAAGGCGCCATCATGATCGTGCTAACAGAAAATGCCAGTGGTACTTTCTTAGGCCTTGGAAATCAGATTCATGCCACGGGAAAGGATTTTGCGATGATCTGCAATTAGTAATGCATACTCTGCATGCTGATTTATTCGAATCTGGAGTATTGCAGAAGCGGTTCGGGAGGCTTCCGAAAGGCCTCTGGCACCGATCTGAATCCAGGCGAACAAACACACTCTAACTCTTAACCTACACACGCACACACACACCACCTCTCATACTCAACCCTTCTTCTGGGCCAACACACCATATCTGCATATACCCCGGGCGGATCATCATATCCTGGTTCATCTCTGTGGATCTGCTATGCTCTTCCGTATGCCGTGTTGAATCCAATCTTGCAGTGATCAGCATCGATTGATCTTACCGCCACAATCACCTGTGCTTCAGTACCTTCAGAGCTTTCTCGTCGCTACACGAACTAGCCAAATGGTCCTCCGTCGATGCTCGCTCGCTTATCGTTCACAGACGGTGTCACACAAACATTGTCATCGCAATGTTACGCCTTATGATAGGCTTCTGCTTTCATGCTAAGTGTCGAGCTATACATCATTGAGGACAGGGTTTCGTGGTGTTGATGGTGGGCATCTTGATTCTATATCGTTGAGCACTCGATTCCGATAGGGTATTTGTCAATGACTTGTTCATCACAGGTGATGTCACAGAAAATGCCACGAGATCATGCTCGCGGCATGTCGCATAACAATTTCTATTCAAGCCGTGTTCTTTCCCGACCTTCGTCCTCTTCTCTCCTTCCATACATCACAGAGACTCTACCACCACAGTACCCTTTGACACCACTCCTTCCCTACCTTGAGCCAATCTATCTCCTGTCCTCATCTCCACAGAACATTCAGACATGCAGCTCTCCACTCTACTCTTCCTGGGGCTGGCAGCCTCTACTGTCAGTGCTGCTCCGACCACCCAAAACTCGGGGATTATTCCCAACACCCCAATTACCGAGTAAGCGTCATATCCCCGGGTTTATTGCTCCTCCCAATTTCAATGGATTTCCTTTCTCTTTACTATCGGTGTTCCAATGCCAGTCAGAAACCACGAAAAGCGCCAGTTGGGCGCCGTGACAGACGTCGCGGGCCAAGTTTCGGAAACCGCTGACAACCTTGAATTTCACAGTATTAACGAGAAGCGTCAGGCGGCTGTGGACACGTCGGCTGTGAGCGGCATCGTAACCAATATATTGGGCCTTGCGGGCGGCCTTGCGGGCGACGCTGTGGGTGTCACAGTTGAAAGTTTGGGCAGCGTCCTGGGCGTAGTTGTGGGTGGCGTCTTCGAAAGCGTTCTAGGCGGGGCTCTAGGCGGCACCCTGGGGATCCGAGACGACGGTGAATTTCACAACATCGATAAGAAGAACTAGATAACAGGGATACGCAGCTCCGCGGGCGCGGCCGTGGGCGCTTTGAAGGGCGTTGTGGAACCCAGGGTGGAGAATGTGAACGGCGCTCTGGACTGGGTGACGGGGCAGTTGTGGCCCGGGGGGACGAGCTGGATGAGGTGGGGGACATGGACAACGCCACGGAAGGCCGCTGAGGTACATACTATATAGTCGTGCATCAAATGTCATCAATATACGCTAAAATTAGAGCGCCACTACTAGCACACTTGATCTACGTGTTAAGCTTTAACGTCCACGTAAAAAATTGTGCTATAGGGGTGGTGCCCTAGAGCTGCTGTTACGACCCTCTTTTTTCCTTGGACCCTTACGGCTTCTCTTTAGGTTATTTGACTTGGCTTAGAGGTCCGTGTTAGTTAAGCTTCAACCATTCACCCCCTCTAACCATCCCTACATCCCTACCAACTAGTTACTAACATTATGTTAGTATAAGAATAGTCAGCTTTTACTTCTCCTTGTCCGTGGGTATTGATGACTTTGAATGCGCCACTCCGGATTTGCTGTAGGGTTATTGGTCTCATCGAACTGCGACCGATCCCCTTCCACCGGCGGTGCGATGAGCGACGGCGGCGATCCTGACAAGACAACTTGAACCAGGTCGCTTGATCTGGCAAGAGAAGCAAATGATGATTATGATGCTGCTGCTCGATTTGGATCATGGACTTCAATCTTTAAGTTTCCGCTCGTTGATACGGTATCGATGGCTGGTATTTCTTGGTGTAGGGAATATAACCTCTGCAGTGGTGTTGGTATCAGTTACCATGCTTTATAGCCCAAGAATGCAATCATCAACCTTCAGATGCTGGGTATCGATGAAGTACCAGCAGAGCACTCTAGCATCGTATTATCCTGATGGCTTGTTTTGACCTCCTCTTTTGTTCCTTCCCATCTCCTTTCCAACCGTGTAACCCCAATGCTGGTAGTTCCGTACAATTAGCCGGCCCGCCCAGCAGCTACTGTGCAGCCCTCTTTGCGCCCGGAGTGGGCATTTGTCCCCAAAGAGCCTCGATATCCACCGCACTCGGCCCCGAAGCCTTCCCAGATGCTGGTGGTACAGCCTCCGGCGCGGCCCACACACTCCGAGTTCCTCTCCCACCCTGCTGACTTTGACCCTGACCCGGACCCGGACCCGGACTCGGACTCTGATCATAGCCAACACACCTCCTTTTAGCCGCCCGCTGACTCCTCACCCAAGCTCTGTCCGCAGCCTCGACATCAGTCTCTTCCTCTCCCACTCTCGCCACACTCCCCCTTTGATTCTCCCTAGTAGTTCTCTCCTTCTCCTCCTTCTCCCTCCTCTCTCGATCTTCCTCCCCACTCCTGCTCATCTCTTCCCATCCCAAATACCTCCTCGCCTCCTCTTCCGGGCTCACCCTCTCCCGTTGCACCCTCCTCGTCGCAGCAGCTCCTGTATTTCCAACAGCAGCGGGGTTAATTCCAAACCCACCCTCCACGAACGCGTGGTCACGGTGCAATTCTTCCGGCGCGACCAAGGCGGTACGATCCAGCATGGCGGCGGCGTGGTTGGCGGCCATGAGGTTGGTGAAGTACTGGATGTCGTGGCGGATGCGCGGCCGGGCTGTCGAGGGCTTGAGCCAGGTGAACCAGGAGAGGAGGAGGGGGGTCGGGGAGAGGAGGGTGCTTAGGAGGGTGAGGCCCGTGTTCGTGTCCATGTTTCAGATCCTGATCCTGTTCTTGTTTTGGATGGGGTGGGTGGGGTGGGGTAGTGATTTTGTGTGGTGTCTGTTTTGGCTCGAAGACTTTTGGGTTGGGTGATTTGTAAGGGGTTTTTTGGTCAAGGGATCCTGTTAGAAACGCTCCGGTGTGTGGAGGTTATGTGCGTAGAGGTTGTAAAGGCATGGATTTGGGTGGAGATGATGCCTTTTTCTTCAAGAGGTGGGGTTCAGTTATGAGATTTATCAAGCTAGAGGGCAATCTGGGTTAATTTATGGTGGTTTGCTGAAGAGATTAGTTTTGGGCTTGAAGGCAGAGGGCGGGTGTTTGCAAGAGATTTGGGAGAAACAAACAACAAGCGAGTGTAAATAGAAAGGTGCTCTTGTTCGCCATACTGTGGGTCACCGTTAGTCGAAACCATACAACTGGGAGCTTGGCGAGCTTTCAGTGGTCAAGTCATGAACACTCTAATACACTGCAGCATAATATAACTCTGGATAGTGCTTGATTCCGTGATGGCTTGGAGTTCGTATATGGCTCATACTGTACAATGGTGGGACTCTATTTCTTTTGCTCCTCTTTCTTTTCCTCTGGCTTCGGAGTGGGAAGCTTGAACTGTCGAACGTTAGCTGGGGTAAACTTGACATTAGAGGAGCTGATAGCAGCATCTACCTGATCAGGCTTTCTGTCGGTCCCTGGTCCGACCTGTTCCCATGCTGAAGTACCTCCTTCAAAGTTCCGGAATGCCTGCGTCAACTCCAGTGGTTCCACTACAATTCTCTTCTTCTCCTCGTCATATCTGATCTCTGTGTAACCTGTGAGAGGAAAATCCTTTCTTAATGGATGGCCATCAAATCCATAGTCCGTCATGATCCTTCGAAGATCCGGGTGTCCGGTGAAGAAGACACCAAACAGATCATACACTTCCCGCTCGTACCAATTGGCTCCATCATACAACCCGGTGATGCTCGGCACCGGTTGCGCTTCATCAGCATACGTCTTGACTCGTATCCTTGAATTATGTCGGACACTGAGCATGTTGTAGACCACCTCAAATCGTTTATCTTTCGTTGGATAGTCTACGGCAGTAATGTCTGCCACCATGGTGAACTCGGCGGCTGTGTGATATTTGAGGAAATTGAAGACGGGAAGAACACCGGACGGAGCTATGTATATGCATAACTCATCCTTCCATACCGAAAATTGCTGGATGTACTTCGGTAGGCAAGCCATCACGTACTGCCCATATCGATGCAGGTCCGCAGCTTTCTCGGCATACCTGTCAGCAGGGTTGACAATGGGAGCGGTGAGCTTTCCAGCGGCTGGCCTCAGTCAGCATGTCAACGCAATAAAGCCTGCTGGCAGTTGTGAAGCATACGCGGTCTTTGAGCGTGTCGTAGGTTGGGTCGAACATCCTGAGAAGCCGTCTCCTTCGCTCGTAGTACGCTGGTCGCAAATGATCGTGCACATCTCGGAGGCTGTGATGCAAACTGCGCACATCGTCGAGCAGCCGCCAGTCTCATCGTCGCCTTGCTAGCTGCCATTTTGAGCCGGGGTGAACACCAACTCATGGGCCATGGATACACTCCAAACCGTCGATGAGGTCAGGCAATTGGCCCACACAGGAGAGCTCTGTCTTGGCACGGCTAGGCTGTTTTAGCACTAGCTAGGTGCGTTGGAACGCCTGACAGCGTGATCGAACTACTAGTATCTGACTAACTAACTTGGTAGTATTGACCCAAACTTGAACCTCGACATTTTGCCCATTTTGCCCATTTTGCCAGCTTCACCCTTTGTCCTTCTACTTTGCTCATCCGCCAAATCTTGATTTCTACACCTCGCACCTTCTACTTCCTGCAGACCCCGACTACGAAATATCATCCATCCAAGTACCTCCTTTACCCACCCTCTTCTGCTTTTATGGGTGCATTTCTTCCGTTTCTCCCGCTTCTCCCGTTGCGCAAGATCAGTAGAGCTGGAGAGCAGTCCACTTCTCAGCCAGCATGAGTCGACCGCAGGATAGCATAATAGATGATGACGAGGAGTCATGGTATCTCAGATGACCTAGTCCCCTAGCTTTGGCTTCTCTTTACTGATCATGTCGCCTTAGTCCACTTTGCATCGAAGAATTCGACCTCACAGACAAGAACTTTAAGCCGTGTCCTTGTGGCTACCAAATATGCCAATTCTGCTTCAACAGTCTGAAGAACACATACGAGAAGAGCACTTGTCCCAACTGCAGGAGGGTCTATGATGAAAAAACCATTCAGTTCAAGATTCCCTCCAAGGAGGATATTGTCCACGACAAGGAGAATAAGGCACGCAAACAGGCAGCTACCAAGCGGAAAGAAGTCGAAAAGCGGGAGGTCGAGACCTCGAACAGGCGCAACCTTGCTGGGGTGAGAGTGAAACAGCAGAACCTTGTCTATGTCATAGGCCTGGTTCCCTCTGTCAAAGATGAAAGCACCCTGCTCCAAACTCTTCGCGGCCCGCAGTATTTCGGTCAATATGGCGAGATCGACAAGATAGTCGTCAGCAAGTCAAAGCCAGGCGCTACAAGCCAAGGCATAGGGGTCTACATTACCTATGCGACAAAAGAAGCCGCCGCTCTCTGCATCGAAGTGGTTGACGGGTCTATGAATGGCGACCGAGTTCTACGGTATGTGCTAGCGCTCATCATCTATGGCATGCTTTTTCGATCCTAACAATCTGCAGGGCGCAGTATGGAACCACCAAATATTGCTCAGCATATCTTCGCAACGAGGTTTGCAACAACAAAAGCTGTACATTCTTACATGAAACAGGAGAGGAAGGGCATGGCACCACGCTCCAAAATGACCCTTCTCATCCCAAGGCTGTCAGCCGCCCTAACTATACTTCGCAAACATCCAGTGTGCAGAACACTACTCGGCCCATGCAGCCAGCTGCAGCACCAGGCCCTGCTTCGTCTCAGCCTATGGGGCGAGAAACCAGTAAAGACGGAACAAAAGACCGCATTATTAGTGTAGATACATCTGCTCTACCCTCGACGGCTAGCTGGGCGAACAAGGACAACTCAGCATCAACAACGAAAACTGGTCAACCCAATCAAACAGATGGCAGTTCTTCAGCAAGTCCACACATCGCCCACGTTGCACCATCAACTAAAAAGGAGGAAGACGATGCACAACATGAGAGCGCTGTGGCAGCCGATGTGCCTGAGCCTTCTGGTCCTTCAACCGTCTTGAAACCTCAGCCATCACAAGAAAAGCAAGAGTCCGTGCCATCGTCATCTGGAAGGACAAGTCCGATGTCCGCTTCCGCCCAGAGCTCCTTGTTCGACAAGCTCGTCACGAATGTTAATTCGCCTGGTTTTCGCTTCTCTTTTGATGAAAAGGCTTTTACGAACGATGAATTGGCTGCAATTGAGCGTTGTCCAACCATGATCGATCCATACGGTGGGGCAAAGCGGCGATTGATGCGAGAGAAAGAAGCGGAGCGCTTGAAAGAGCAGCTCGAGGCTCAAGCAAAACTGCAGGGTACCTCTACAGCAGCTGTTGCAGCACCAGAGGAGGAAAACATCGAAAGTGGAAGCCTTGCACTTGGTGGTGAACCTGAGGAGGGAAGCAGGAATTTCTCTGCCGGGAGCGCCATTCAACGCCCCAACCAATCTTCAAATGCTGGCAGCTCACTAAATGATCAAGTTTCTGCTCTCAGCCTCAATTCCCGCAGCCTGACTCTGCAGCAACGACAACAATTAACCTTGCTGAGCTCGCCAAATGTTCAGCAAGCACCTGGTCTGGGTCAGCCCAATCAACAGAGTTTTGGCTTAAGCACCTTTGGTGACCAGCGGCATGGCTCGTACCAGAATCAGCAATATGATCCAACACATGGCCATGCCCGCCAATCTTCAAGGTACTCCTTTGCCAACGATTCGGTCAAAACTAACAATCCTCCACGGTTTTCTACACAACAACAGCAGCAGTTGGGTCCAACGCCTCAACATTTCTATCCCAGCGGTGTTCAAGGCCCTCCTCCAGGCCTGAAAACCGCAGGCACTCCGCCCATCAGCGGCGGAGGCATGTTTGCACAGGGGCATGGATTTACGAGTAACATGAATGCTGGCTTCGGTGCGGCCAAGGATGCAAATGCCGAAATGCTCCTCAGAGGCAGAAGTGGCACTGGGTCTGGACATGATGGTTCGAAGCGTGAGTACCAGCTTTCCTTGCACAACAATTCCTACCGCCCTCCTCTCTCAGCCCCTGCCCCTGGCCTTCTCAACTCGCTCTACGGTCCATACTCAGGGACATACCAAGATCCTGGACTTGTGAAGCAGAAGAAGAAGGGGAAGAAGCACAGACATGCTAACACTTCCTCCTCAGGAGGTGGTGTGGTAGATCTTGCGGACCCGAGTATACTGCAGGCGAGATTGCATCAAAACACTGGTGGTAGTGGGCAGGGGCTGTTTGGAGGCCAGCATCCAGGTGGGTACAACCAATCCAATAATCTGTACGGCGGAGGGTACAATCGATGGTAGTGCTCGCCCCAGCAGCTGCCACATCTTCTTTCATGATGGGTATTTTTCTTTCGCGTGGAGTGAGGGCCGGACCAAAAGAGTTACATGTCTTTCGACGAGCGGAGCATGAATTAGTAGCCACAAAGCGATCGCTACATCAGGAGTTCTGTTCTGTCTGAGCATAATTTCGGACTCGGCCACACAGAGGGCACGAAATTTCTTATCTGTCTTGCTCAATCACCTGGAGTTCAACACTATTAGCTGCAGGCTTTGCACCGGCATCTTGGTTCCTTACAGCATTGTGGCTCCTTTTGTACGTTAGTCTCCCTCCCCTGACTTGCTTGCATGCAGGGTAGACGAAGAAAAACAAGTTCTCACCGTGAAACCAGGCTGTTCTATCCTACAATTTTCTCTGACCCATGACGAGCTGGTTGTAAAAGTCTGGAGCGATTGCCCATCCATGTATATAGACATTTTGGTCCCTTGAAGTCCAGCTTGCGTGTTGCATCGTGCATTCCCGTCTGCAGACTACACTCACATATAATGCTGACATTTCTTCAGACGACCAGGACTTCCCTCCGCTTGCTCCACCAATGAAACTGCGAGAGACGCTGCCAACTGCTAAGTCACGTATCCACTCGGTTCAGGGCTCTTTAGATTCTCCTGTTCGTTCGTCAACGCCTCGGATCCCACCGGGTCTGAGTCTGCCACACGCTCATCCATCACCGTCATTTTCCGAAGACGTTGAGACGAAGAGCAAGGAAATGAAACCCTCCAGCAATGTGACTGGTCCAGTGGTTCCCGCTCTGCCCATCTTGCCAATTGGTCATCGTCCAGCTACCCCGAGACAAAAAGCGGTTACACCACCAGTGACTTCTCAATCCGCAGAGGACGCCAAAGATGTCGCTGTCCCAAAATCCGTGAAGGATAGGATTACAGCCGAAGAGAAGGTCGATGCGGTCCTTGAAACAATTGCACGAACAATCAATATCAACCCCAGATCTGCGGAAATTCAGTCTTCTGGAGCGGAAGACACATCCAAGAATGCGCCCAAAACAGGAGGCGCTCCCAAGCACGATGCGATCGGAAACAGCGATAAGCAGTCTTCCTCGCAGAAAACAACAGTGATACCCCCTCGGAAACTCGATATCTTAGCAGCACTTGCACAAAAGCCCCAGCTTGGAGTGTCGACTTCGACGATAAATCCGCAAGTACTCTCGCAAAGTATGGTTGCAACGCCCATCACCATTGAATCATTTCCCAGCACGCCAGCTGCACACACGATCAAATCTCCTGACTGGACCTCTGCCGGTCGTCCTAGAACATTACGGCTCACCACTACAACAACACCAAAGGCTGAAGCAGCGCTCTCGCCTGCGGTGACAGAGCGATCGGGCACTCTACCTACCGCTGTGCTGAAGCAGACTTCTCGGCAACCCTCCTTATCATCAATCTCTCGTAGCCGTCCCTCTACACCCACTGTTTCGGAGCATGGAACATCAACGGGAATTTCAAGAGCTGGGTCACCTCCTCCCTCAGATCTAGGAGGGTCAGCGCCAGAGAGGAACAAGAGCAAGAGCCAGGCCAAAAAGGAGAGAAGAGCCAAGTCCAAAACAACTACTGACATCAGAGATGATGAATTTGTTGTTTCGACTCCAACCATTGCCGAAGAGGTCGGCCCAATAATTTCAAGGCAGAAGAAAAAGAAGAGAACCCAGGAGAAGAGTAGTCAGATTTCTCCAGATGCGGAATCTGCGGACACCTCTAACCCTGAACCTGCTGGTGCAACCCCAGCCGAGAAGGCTTCTAAGATCGGATCTAGGAAAAGCACAAAGGAGACGAGCTCGATGTCTAGCCAGGATCGTCCTCTTGCAGATACAAAAAAACACAATGTCAAAGCCAGACCGGGCAAAGCAAAGGGTGAAAAGGGGAATACTCGGGCCGCGTCAAACGATAAGAACAAACAGAGTACGCCTGAGGGTTCGGCGCGGAAGGCGTACACAATCCAGGATCTTCTTAATGATGCTGCAAACCTTCCGGCCACTGAGCATGCCCTGTCCGAGTTACTGAATGCCTCAATCTCCGCCACATCCACGCTTTTGCAAGAACTATTCGAATCGAAGGAGATCGACATCAACAGCGCTCTATTCAATACACCTCCGTTAACAAGCTATAAATTACCACCTCAACCATGTAAAGGAGCCGACTACCTAGATGCAAACGGGTACACCATGAACTCCCCTTTTGGGGAGATCTATATTTCGGGGAGCGAGCGAAAACAATTGTTTCAAGGTCGGGATGTCAGGCATTCGGACCCGAACAAGCCCCAAAATGTGCTCAAGAGAAACATGATTACGCCTACCGGAGCGATCTTCCGTCACCTCTCGGCGGAGGAAGAAGAGAAGGTCCTTGGGCTTGAGAAGCGCATGCGAGAGAATGAAGAAAAGTACGGCGTTACTGGAAAGGGCGAGCTTAAGCCTCTGGACGACATGGACTTCATGAATCTAACTGGTGGCCTACAAGAACTGTTGGATTTCCCACCACTTCACCGCATTAGTCTTGTGACATCCGAGCCAGGCACCGAAGGTGCAGAAGATGATGACGCTGATTTGGGTGAAAACGGATCCGACGAAACCGAGGATGAAATGGCGCCGTTGGCAAGTGGCTTCGGCGCGGCGCCGGAGGGACCCATGAGAAAACCCATGACGCCCACAATGAAGAAGGCTGAAGCTCACATGGCGGTGAATTTGAGGAACCTTGATGTTGATAAGCTGCAGAAGCGGATCAGAGAGACACAAGTTGAGATGGAGGGGGCTAGGAAGGAAATGGAGGCTTTGGAGAAGAAGGCGGCGAGAAAGGCGAAGGATGTTGCAAGGTGGAGGGAAGCATTACTGAAGGAGATTGGGAGAGGGTTGTGAAGCACATCAAGCCGTGGTCGTTATCCCTACGGTTCATGGACTCTCCTTGAGAGCTCATCCCAGACGAGGAAGCAGACACTGACTCGTGCGGGTATTGATAAGGGGTATTAGCAGAAAGGCTGGGAAAAGAGAGTGGGGGCTCATCTACGAAACCCTACTCCGTACTTAGTGTGTCAATGTAATGAAAGAGTCGAGCATGCGGGTTCCTTCAGCGTATGTCCGAAATCGGTATGGAGTTGGCCGAACCTCACCACGGCCAGTCAGAAATATGGACATAGTTCACTTAAGACCCAAGCATGAACCGGGTGCCCCCCGCTCGACATTCTTCACTTCCCCTTCCCTGACATCAATTCCTTGGCATTACTCTAGACAACTTCAAAGTTCTTGAACTCGAAGCACTGCGTCAGCCACAACTCTCCCAGTCATCAACCCTCCTACACCACTGCCATTGAAGTAGCAAATCCTGCCTCCAAGTTGAATCGCGATCTCTGAAGCCCTGACTACGTCCTCAGTCCTCTCCCACACCCAGGCTATCAATCCCAACCCCCATAATCACAGCGGTATGTTCCCCACCATGCATCACGCCCTAATCCGCACGCACCATATCACGTCGCGCAAGAAAATAGCTGCGTTGAAAGCGGCTGCGAAGAAACATGGTTGTTTCGCGCTGCTGCGGAGTGGAGGCACGCCAGGGATTATGTATGTCCAGGGTGAGGAGGAGGGGGTTCGCGAGTGGGTCGGGGTTGTGCATGTGAGTTCTTGCTTTCTCTTTTGGTCGAGGACGGGTCTAGAGATGGCTTGCTTGTGAGGGGTCTGTGGGCTATGCCATAGTATTTTGTGGGGTAGTTTGAGTGGACTTGACTCGCTGGTTCGGCAATCTTTGGGGAGGAAGAACAGTCATGCTTTTCGTCTCCCATGATTTCACTCTTTGTAAAAAGTTTGGAATGGAGAAGGGGCACTGGGTGCGTCTCAGGCGCCAAACGTATTGCCCAAATTCTCAGCAATACTTCTCGCGGCTTATATCCATACTACAGGGTCTTCATTACAAGGACTATCACCTAGTCGCTGCTCCAGCGGCCATCAAACCCACGCCAGCTAAATCAGGTCCACAAAGCACACCATCATCGTCGGCCAAGGACGCAGACAATACCTGGTCTTTCGAAGAAATCGACACGGTCAAAGAATTCGGCAAGCACATGGAAGAAAAGGGCGTACTGGAGTGGTGGAGGAAAGCTATGGATTTCACGAGCTGACACGTATTCCCGCCTATTTCCGCTTTCCTCTCGCCCTGGAAGAGGGAGATATACAATACCACGAGCTGTTTACTGCGTTCAACTGACAACACAAGAGCGATCGTCATTCTCTCTCCTTCTCAATTCCTGTCAAATCTGACCAAAGAGTCCGACTCAACGCCATAGCTCTAAAAGGCGAGAGACCCTCTGCCGAGGACCACCACGTATATGGAAATGTTTCATGACCAAGGCTCCGCGCAAAATCGAGAAGTGTGCAAGAACAGAGCCCTTAATTGTACTCTTCTAGTAGATCAACTTATCCTAGATGGATCTCGAAGCAGATATGAGAGCCTCCAGGAAAGCCTGATCTCGGATCTCCCTCCCCCCTTCTTCGCTTCGCAACCCACAACTAACAGGGGAGCGGAATCGCCGCGCCAGAAAAGCCCGGTCCGGTATCGTGTACACACACATAATCTGACCCTTGTTGGATCCCAATTTCCCGAGACTCTCGTTGAGAGACGAGGAACAGAACCATTCCATTGTCATTATGCGCGGCGGCTGTACTACCAGAATGGCAGAATGCTGGATTTGGAAAATCTCCGGAACATGCTGGTTGTGGTTATCAGACTTGGCCATCGGAAGTTGGATTCGAGCTATCTTTGTATAAAGCCTCAGCCTTATGTCCCGTTAGTGAATCTATCCATTAAAAAAGAGATCAGATTTGACGAGATGCGCATCTTCCCGTCATAGCTAGGCTAAGGCAGCCCTGTTGGCCGGGCAGCTAGATAACCTGATGGCTATGCTGCAGCAACAACAAGTATTAGCTTAAAAGGGCATAATAATCGCAAGGAGCTGCTGGGAAGGATCGGCTGCGATAAAGGATCATAGATGACAAACAGCGTTTTTTTTGTCATGCAATTATAGATAGAGACGACTGTACAGTATCATTTCATGCCTTGAACTGCCTGATATTGGCTTGACTATCTCTCATTGCTTTTCAACTATGTGACCAGTCACACAGGACACCTATAAGACATCGCAAAGGCCGAGTCTTGGCAACGTCTCTGTATCAACGAAACCAGACGAATATGACCACAACAAAGGATCTGGTACAATTGACTAGTTCTATTCCCACGAGAGACTGTCAACAAACCATCTTTCTACAAGTCGAACGACGTGCCTCAGTTATCTGAAGTAAGTCTCCTTCCTGCTTTTGATGAAGTTTCACAATTCGGCCATAGTCCGTCCTTTCAGTACATACAGCGGGCGAGCTGGTAGAAACCGTCCATGCCACACTTTTTGAGCTGACTCTTCTTGAGATACCGTTTTAGCTGCTCGGTTCTGTCGAAGCTTAAACCAAAGCGCCGTAGCTTTCTCCCGGTAGGTGTATACGCTGGCTGGAGCAGTAGTATCGATGCACTGGTCGTGTCAACTGAAACTGCCATCCGGGGGTCAAGCAGTTGTGCTGGTACCACACGCGGCCGCCATGTCACTATTCTTGCGATGCTTAGCTATGGTACGCTGCACGAGTCTCAGCGACATGATGCGAGGAAGGGCATCGTGTCTGATCAACAAATCCTGAGGGGATACTGAGATAGAAAGGTCAATTCGTGGAAGAATGACAGGTGTGAAAATTTATGTTTAATGAAATCTATTAATCTGTGTCACTGAATGCGACTATTTCGTTGTTGGGAATAGCGTTTCCCGCGATTCTTAACAAAAGAAGATCACAGTGTCAGGAGCACAGGGTCGTGAGCGACGTGACAATCTAGCATACGAATAGTATGCGCCTCGCAACGTAAAGCGTAGCAGTAATGGCGGCGAAGAAGCTACTCTCAACGTTCAAGTAATTGAACGATGGAGGAACTCTGACTCCTAGCGTGCATGGCGCGGCCTAACACACAGATTCAGTGGCCCAAGGGATGCACTACCTATTTAACATATTTTTATTATTCTAGATGAGTGAACGTAATAGCTTTACTATTATAAAGTATAGAGCTAAGTTCTAGAGATTATACATCATCAGCGCACTCCCCTCAGATAAATATTCGTAGAATGGTGACGAGCTGAAAATGGTGTATGAACGGAGATATCGGCTCTAAAGCGTTGCACATGGGGATCCGTTGCATCTGGTGCGGTTACGTTAGTTCCGGCCTGGGGGACGGGGCGATGATGGCTTCAACCCGAGCGCCTGAGAGCGAAAGCCGTCCTACTACGTACTACGTAGATGATAGAACCATACTAAGGTAGTTAGTAGACTTTACTATTGTTTCTTGGATACCTTCTCAACCTTCATAGCTGGAACAAAATGTTTTACTTCCTGAATCTTGCCCTTTCACTTTGCGTCATTGTATTCCCGCTCCAGGCATTGGCAGAGGATGCAGACTACTTCAGCAATAACCTCTTCTCAGACCTTGCTCCGATCTTGGCCCTATTTGGCGAGCAAGTCGCCAAACAATTCATGAGTCAGTCAATGGGTTGGGCTGATAACGTTGTCTTCGCAATGGCTCCTTTGGGTATCATCACTGCTATTGTTGGAGCTATCAGAGTTGGGGGTCCGGCATGGCTGAAAGCCATCATTGGAAGAGCGAGGGAGAATCGAGCTGCCGCAGAAGTTGAGTTGATGTCCTCGACTTCCCCAGATGTCTGCGAGCTGTGGAATGGCCAAACCATCGTCAGGATGATGGGTCGCCATCGATTCTGCAAATAATCCATTTCCACGATGCCGTTGATGACAGCAATGAGAGAATGTTTACACTGGAGAAGGCCATTGATAAAGGGCTCATCGAGCCGGAAGGTACCTAAGCCTATATGGTGGTTTAATGCTTACTAATATGACAGCAGAAAATCACAGTTTTCTTCAAATCTTTGAATACATTCTTTCAAACAAATTGCAGGCTAAGACAAACGAAGGAATGTCCGAAAAAGATGAAGAAACAAGGCTAAAACAGGACTCAGACGGACTGACCAGTCCTCCAAATATACTTTTCAACGTTCGTCCGGCAAAGAGCCGACTGCGGCTGTACTTTACTGCAGTCGCTGGTGTACTTCTTCAATTTGGTGTGCTGGTATTCTCTGGGTTTATCACTTATTATCCGACGCTGGCGTTCCCAAAGGGAGATAGCCCAGTGATTGGCTACGCTTACCCACTCACAGCATCCGGCACATTGCTCCTTGTACTTGGTATGCTGATTTGCTCTTTTGTCGTCGAGCAGTTTACAAATGAAGAGACTTGGAAGACGAAAGGAGGACGTAAGTTTGACCTCATGTGGTTACAACAGGGGCAAGAAGTCAATGACCAGATGTTCGATTCGTATGCGATATTTGCTTTGGAATCACGTGATTCTATCCTTACATCTCGGTCTCGGCGTCATCCTGAGCCTCTTTCAATACCTCGCGGTACTATTAAGTATCGTGTCGCTGAAATACTCTGTCGGATATGTCGTCCTCTCCTTCAGTTCTTCAACAAGGGAAACCACAATCCGGCCGTTTCCTTGGCCATCTTCAAAATATTAGTTATCTCTGGGACTCTAATCAGTATTTGTGGATTTGTCGTTCAATTTATAGGTTTACGCGAAATGCATTGGTCGGCTACCATCGCGCAGCTTTCGGCAACTTTGATCATGGTTGTCTTAAGAGCATGGGTTCGATGGGACCTCGCAAGTCGTCCTCATTCCCAGAGGGTTGCTCAAGGACATGAACTTGATTGGCTTGCAACTAGAATCGCAAGAGAACAGAAGGGCCCACGCGTTGATAAAGGTCTGTGGGCTAAACCTGACTCTAATGACCCCTTCTGGACCAATGAATGCTGGCGATGGGAAATTATAACGGGGGGAGACGTGGAAGGATATGAGATACGCAACCCTCAGGACGACAGCACTGAGAATGTGGAGGGCCTTACTAATGAATGGAAGGGGCTCACGGTAGATGGGAAGGACCTCGCGGCAGATGAAGTTGTCAAAGTAAGGCAAAGATTGGGGCTGCTGAGCCACTGGCCCAGTAAAGCCTCCCAACCCGCGATTTCTGTTGCCATTGCAGTTGAAGCTGTGATGAATAATCTTTTCACTGGCACAAATGACAATGGACCAGGTTCTTTGACTTGGTCGATGGATGGTCTTGTTGATGGTAAATCTCAGAAGATTTTCTTCAAATTGAGGAGAAACAACAACCGGTGGACCGCTGATGCTACGGAGATAGAAGCTGCACTTTCATTATGGCTCTATTCTGTTGGTGATAGCGAGCGAACCGAGGCAGAGGGAAGAAAGGACAGCAAGGATAGTTTCCAAAAGCCGCAAGAAAACGGTATGCGAGACTGGTTGCGGCTGGGAAATGCAGCTTTAAGAAAGGAAAACATCCGCCTTCTTGGCATGAATAAGCCTGCATCTGGCAGAGATTTGACATGGTACCTGGGTGAGAAGGTCAGTTCAATTTCGATTGTTCAAGAGAATGGAAGCAACGAGAATAGTACCTCGGACATGATTATCATCGAAAGCCGAAGAGTGGTCGGTTTCAGGGGGAAACCAGCAACTAGGTCTTTCAACGCTAAGACCGTTTTCAAGAGGAGAGATCCAGTTCTGTATGATGTTGGGATAGAACAAGATACAAACCCTTCCACTAATGAGGAGATAGAGGAAGAGACAAATCGTTCAACTTTTGAGATAGAGGAAGATACAAACCCTTTCACTAATGAGGAGATAGAGGAAGAGACAAATCCTCCCAGTGCCAAAGAGTACCTGGCAATGGTGTCAGACACGCCGCTAGAGATGTTACTGGCGCAAGAAATGTTCTCAGCCTTTATGTGGGGAGTTGCTAAGAGAGTGAGTCGAATTGAAGGTGACAGCAAAGTCCACCGGAATGACAACAAAATCGCAGGTAGTGCAGAAGGTTGGCGAAACATCCGGCTTGAAAACTCCAAATTGCTAAGAGCTGCCGAGGCATTCCAAAAGGCAGGTTTGGGCAGCGTTGAAGATGCATACTCTACTATTATACCGCCGCTCAGTTTGCAAGGAAAGCTTCCTGTTGCGTTGACTGTGGTTGAGTACGCACGGGGTATTGCTCAAGAGGCTGAAGCGGCGAGACATTGGGAACTGGCGGGTGAGATCTACCTGTGGCTATTTGAGGTAGGAAAGACCTTTGCCACGTCCAACTTATTCGTGGTTACGGCTACAGCCATCTTGACCGAATTTAGTAGCCTTGTCGACTGTATGTTGGAAGACTTGAAGGCTCAGCAACGAAGCGAAGAGACTTTGGACATGCTTATAAATTTGTATGTCAGATTATCAGAGGCTTTGGAAACGGCCGATAACTCCATTCGGGACGTACTTCGGTTGATGTACGTCATTCAGCATCGAGATGAGAGAGGCAAACACAAAAATCCTGGTCCGGATGGCCAAGAAATCATAACAGCTTTGGACGTTCTAGCTGGCCCTCGGTTTTTCCGGTCTAACGGACCTCCACCAAGCTGTGATTACAGATAATCACCAAATTATAAGGCGGCGTTTGAAATCTGATGCAGATCCAGACTACACAGACATACTTGGGTGGACGGCCCTACATTACGCGGCTATAGCAAGTGACTGGGATACAGCTCAAACTTTCTTCGAGACCAGAGCCTCCAAAACTATAAATCCAAACTTGAGAACGTTAGCTGGATGGACAGCACTTCATCTTGCAGCCTATAAGGATCCTTGCACAGTGGGCTGGAGGCTGGCAGATCAAAGATGTGATTTGGAGATACAAGGGAGAGATGGCATGCGACCATTGCACGTCGCAGTCAGAGAGGGCAGTAAAGAGATGGTACGGTGGCTACTTGATGCGGGCGCTAACATAGATGCTCGCGACAGTGCCGGCCGTACACCGCTACACTGGGCTGCACACAGTGTGAATTCCGAGTTAGTTGCCCTCTTAAAGGAAAAAGGCGCAAACCATGTCTCACGCGATGAGAATGGAAGGATACCTTTGCACCTTGCAGCGATTGCGCGATATACAGCATCGCTGGAAGACCTCGCAGATGATGATACCATAGAAGCACATGACAGAATGCAATCCACTCCTTTACTTCTTGGAGCAATGATGGGAGCTGAGGATTTCGTAAAAAATCTCCTACAACTCAAAGTCAATGTCAACACAAGACACAGAGATGGTCAGACACCACTATCATGGGCGGCCAGGAAAGGGCACGAGTACGTGGTCAAGCTGCTGATTGGGCAGGGCGCGAATGTAAATTCCAATGATATTTTTGATCGGACACCAATAATCGGCGCGGCCGCGAATGGGCATGAGACCGTGGTTGAGGTGTTGATCGAGAAGGGCGCGGATGTAGATCCTAAAGATAAGTATAAGCAGACGCCATTATCTTTCGCGGCAAGGAGCGGGCATGAGACAGTGGTTGAGGTGTTGATCGAGAAGGGCGCGGATGTGGATTCTAGAGATTGGGTTGGTCAGAAACCATTATCATGGGCGGCCAGGAGATGGCATGAGACCGTGGTTGAGCTATTGATCGAGAAGGGCGCGAATGTGGACTCTAAAAATGAGTTTGGTCAGACACCATTATCTTATGCGGCGGAGGAGGGACAAATGATCATAGTTGAGCTATTGATCAAGAAAGGCGCGCAACGTTGATTCTAAAGGTAGGAGCTATCTGACACCATTGTTATGGGCGGTTAAGAAGAAACATATGGCTGTGATTGAATTTCTAATCAAGAAAGGCGCGGATCTGACGCCTACGGATAGGGATGGGATTCGAAGTTCGCTATCAGGTGAGATATGTATTGGAAATGAATTGAGATAATCTGATCAGACTGGGTTTGAGCTGGGTTTATTGGATGTGATTCTAGTGGTATATTCAGGAATTCTTTCCTGAGAGATGATGCCTCTACGATGATCTTGCCGCTCGTGAGTGACGCTTTCGTCCGCTGTATTTCCTCAAGATAGCCCATCAGGATCTGAGGCCAACTTTCTAAGGATTGTCTGTGGCATGGTACTCGATAACCAAGATAGGCAGTTTCTGACAATAGTGAATCCGATAAGTGATTAATCTTCAATGCTAGAGAAGTCCTTTACTGGACGAACTTCAGACCCAGAATAGCTTTGTTGGTTACCTACAAACTTTTGAAGGCTCATAGGCACGAAGTTCTTAGGATTCCTCAAGCATAAAGCTGTATATCCGCACCTGTCCAGGTCGGGCACCAACGGCGAACGTCTTCCCTAACACAGTTGAACATGACGGCCAATATTCTGAGGGTGGCCACCTCAGGTTCCCTGAACTATATACTATCTATGCCCCATCCGAACTTTAAGCATCGCCATGATATCAAGGGTTTTGAGGCTCCGTAAGAGTCGCTGTAATATTTGAGACGGATGATGCACTAATCAGAAGAGATAACCTTGTATTAGTATATGGCAAATGGGACAGAAGTCGTAGAAAAGCTGATTGCGTCGAACGCGTTGAGTAGCGAAAAGATGAGGTTGGTTCATCCGTACAAGAGCAACAAGGATACCCGTATGAGGAAAGTTAATGACAACTAGATGAGTTGTGTCGAACTGCTGGGTAGTGAAGTTAGAACAGTAAGTTGATCTTTACATACAACTGAAGTTGGCTGTACGGAGTACAGTGACATTATCTCTGAAACTGCATCATCATTTATCATTTGACTCATGAAATGTGGGGCAAACTACAAGGATAAATGCAGCAAAGTTGACCAATGGCCATCCCAGAAGTTCAACGCATCTTGTCATAGACTTTTTGTCCTATCATTTCGGTGTTGGTGAATATCTAGTTACTCTTCTTGCACGAAGGTTGAAGAAGGCTGCGAAAGTATGATTTGGCGGGAGGACAAGCAGATAATCCAGCTTATTGTGTGTTTGGCAAGCAGCAAGAACGAGCAAAGGTCGCCTGACAATAAGCAGACAAAGCAAGTCCCGCTGTTGTAGGTCTAGGAGAGACAAGTTCTCAAGTGACTTCTCAATAGGAAGATCGACGAGACGGCTGTTTAAGGTAACATGCTGTGCTTACGTCTTGAAAGCTCTTGGACAAGTGTAGAGCTGAGACAGACTCACAAAATCAGATCAAAGTCTAAGGAAGATAAAGGAAGTTGTGAAGGAGTCAGGTTTTCGAGTAAGGTGGAAGAATCTTCAAGGGGTCAGTCAAGTCATGTACATGGATTCTTTGCGCTGGGTTCTTCATACTTCTTCTAACTAGTGTACAGCCAGGGTCACGACACACGGCTGCGCATCTTCTGGTTACTTTTAAGAGCCTTCGAGACCCTCTTCATATGCGTTATAAGGTATATACCTCACTTTATAGGTAATAGACCATAAGATTTTTTTATAATAAAGTTCCATCTGATTAGTCAGCATTACTACTCTGCTTGATGAAATGTTCCTTCTACTATACTTCAAGATCAACTATGTGGTGGCGTCGGATACTCTTGAATCACGTTGGTGTTACTAATAAAGATGGGATGGGATGAGTCAGGTCGATGTACGGAGTACTCCGTAGATATTGCTTTGGAAACCACGATGAGATTGGGGGGTTGTCAGGTTTTCATTATTGCTCCTCCGCTGGAGTGTGTGGGCGCCTCACTAGAAAGGGGCAATGGATTTGGATATCCCATGTAAGAGCGTGTTTCCGAGTTTTATATTAAGTGGGCGGTTTGGGTATAGGATGGGGGGACAGTCTGCTCGTTTTCTCCATATGAGATGCTGATGACCTAAGGGACATCCGCGTCTGACTGGCCTAGCTCGTACCGAGCCAGACGAGGTATGGTTCATTGGTAATAGAGGGTGTGCCGGTGAACTGCCGCCAGTATTGTATGGGGGGAGGGGTCCTGTTGATCGACACCTCTTGCAATCCTGACTAGGTACCTTGAATGCGGAGGCAGCGGAAACGCTTCGGGTTAGAACTATTCCAGAAGGACTAACACGTCAGATCGGTTGCTTGTATTCATAAGATAGTTGGTCAGACTAACTTTGTTGTTACCTGGAACTTGTGGAGTGTAGGTAGCAGTGCCCGGTCATATCAAGCTTGCCAGATTGTCTGTAATGGTAGTTCTTGTTGTCGGGTTTGACAGGTCTAGCAAGGCCGCTCTTGGGCGGAGGACAGAAAAAGGAACTGGGTGGATATATTGCCACAATATGGTCGTTTAGGTGGCTTGTGATAGTGACGATTTTAGAGTTCTAACTAGGTGAGAGGCGTCCTTATGCCTGTAGACTGAGTACATGGTGTTGAACAAGCGTCCAGTTTTACTTGATGATTGGACATCTCGATGTAGCAAACGTTTGTAGTGCTTTCGAAGACGGAATAGTTCCATGCATATGATTGTCCCAGTCCGCCTATACCACTTACGGGTCCAGGTGTGTCCATTTGACCTTTGCCTACTCCAAGCATAGATGGTAAGAGAGTTGAGGTGAGTGTCCGCAGACAGAAAAGAAACAAGGCATCAATAATGCGGACTTGTGGCTGTGAAAATGTGGCGCTAAACTTGCGTGTTTATGGACTGTCCCTGAAAAAATTCTCGATATCATTCACTCAGCGTGTTCATTATAATATTAGATGAAGCAAAAGAGGCAGCAGAGCCCATTGGCGTAAGATATGCTACAACACTCTATACTTGAGGTTCTTGACCGTTCGGTGGAGCACAAATTTCTGCCACCAGTCAAGAAAATCCATGATGGACCAGATGTCGCATTCTTTCTTACTTCCATTGCTTACAGGGACATTATGACCTTCATTATGCAGCTGAACCATTCTATGATACCTAGAAAATCCGAGAGTGATGGAGTCAAAACAACTCAAATCTGGGAGCTCGGTTCAGATGCCATAACCTTGTCCGAGCCCATTCGAAAGCTTCAGCAGCTGATTGGTCGTCTCAATTCTTTACTTGATGAAGTGCCGCCTGATACCGGTCCTCGTCGGTTTGGTAATGTCAGCTTCAGAAAATGGTACGGCCTCGTGGAAGAGAAGCTTCCAGTTCTGCTGCAAGAATTCCTATCTTCAGATATTTTGTCGTTCGGGTGTCAAAGCAGTGATGCTGCTAGAATAACTGCTGCAGATGAGCTTCAAGTTTATCTGTTGGGGTCCTTCGGCAGTCCGCAAAGACTTGATTATGGCACTGGCCATGAATTGAGCTTCCTAGCGTTTTTGGGAGCTCTCTGGAAATTGGGCCTCTTTGAAGGTCAGGGCCCTGGTATTGCCGAGCGAGGAATAGTCATTGGTGTCTTTGAGCCCTACCTGAACCTTGTGCGGCGATTGATCAAGTCGTACACTCTGGAACCAGCGGGCTCTCATGGCGTATGGGGTCTTGACGACAACTCTTTTTTGCCCTACATATTTGGTTCTGCTCAGCTCGCTCCAGCAATCGATGAAGCAGATCCAGCACCCATCGAAGGATCACTGCCTGAAGCCCCCGATGCGTCCTCTGTCGCAAATCGCAGCTTGGTACAGCGCGAGAGAACCAGAAATATGTACTTCTCGGCCATTGGCTTCATCTTTGATGTCAAAAGAGGGCCTTTTGGCGAACATAGTCCTATGTTGTATGACATCTCAGGTATCACAGCGGGGTGGGGAAAAATTAATAAGGGCATGATTAAGATGTACAACGCAGAAGTCTTATCGAAGTTTCCAGTCGTCCAGCATTTCCCCTTTGGTTCATTATTTCGCTGGGAGAAAGATCCAGATGCTCACCCACCACCTCCTGCCAGTCACACCACACACCAGCCATTACGTGAGCCTCAAGCTCCTGGCGGGGACGCTTCGAGAGCACGAACAGGGTACACCGCAGCTTCTTCGGTTGCTGCAGCCTCCCTTGGACCTGGTACCGCTCCCCCTTGGGCTACAACCCCATCAAATCCGCCCAGAGGTGTGGTAGATGGCGTCACGCGCGCACCTTGGGCTTCAGCTACGAAGCCGCCGCCACCACCTGTCAAGCGTAACAGACCAGGACCAAACGGTTGAACCAGGTCGCCACCCATGTCCACGTTGATCTTATTGCTGAATAATATCATTTGGCCCTTTGATTGAGATGCAAGGAAAGATCCTCCGACACTGCCGACTCCCAACCATAACTCGCAGCGGCTTGTGGACCGCGCTGCGAGATGTCTGGAGAGGCATTCATGCCCACGTCAAGACTATACCAGTCACATATGCTAGCGTTAAGTCAGCCTCACGGATGCCGAACATCAAGATAAGAAATAGAGGCACCTAGGATGACTGGGGCCAGTATAAAAGAATTTTCCCAGCCCATGACCCACCACAGATATGCTAGCAGCTAGACGTGTTGGTAGCACTTCATGGAGCTTACATGCCGACGTTACGACAAATGATGGCAGGAAAAGTATGATATGGCGAATCCGAATCATATTCGACCAAACTATTTGTTATTCGTTCATGATCTGTTGCCTGGTTTTCAGGCCTTTTCCGCTTCAACATGGGCTGCCAATCCGGTTTATTCTGAGACGCCAGAAAAGGGTCTATTACTGCCCTTGTGTTTCCCCTTAATTCATGTGCTAGAGATGCTTTCTTTTGTGCCATCAGATCAGCGGTCCTTGGTGTCTTCTTTCTTTTGCTCCTCACATCTTCAGACTCTCTTTTACCACTCGAGGATCCCTGCTCAAACAAGCCCTTCTCCCTTCTCCTCATATCCTCAGTCCTTCCAAACTCGACAAGACCAGCCCGGACCGCATCTTCTTTTTGTTCCTCCACCATCTCCACTCCAAGACTGAATTTTTCTTGCAACTCCTCTCCTCTTTTCTCTCCTTCCTTCCTATCCCTCCTTCCTACCCTGAAATCCCTCCTCAAAGCCCTACTCCTCTCATAAGGATCGTTCCAATCCCTTCGACTCCTCTCCTCCAGCTCCTCCAACCTCTTTCCCTGTCCCTGCAAAGCCTGCTTATCCACAATCTTCTTCTCCACCGCTCCAAAAGCCCCATCCCTCTCTAACCTCGCTTTCTCTTCCTCACTGACACCCACGTCAATCTCGCCCTCCAGAACCTTCTCCCTCCCCTCATCCCTCCTCCTGCCGCCTTCAACAACAACATACTCCGTATTCTTCGGATCCGTCCTCACCTCGATCCATCCTCCACACACATTATGCTTGAACCGAAAACTCCATATCGGCGTAGAGTAGTAATTTCCGACCTTCTTCTTCTCGGCGTTGAACCGCACGCCCTGGCCGATGATCTGCTCGGGTTGGCAAATTGTGCACCAGAAGGGGAAGGGGCATTCGAAGCGGACGGTCAAGATGCCTTCGGTCTTCAGCTTGCGCGCGCGGCTCCCGAGCGAGTGGCCTTTACCCGAGGCGGCGTTGGCGGTGGTGAGCCCTTCGAGATCGGGCGGGACGTAGCGGCCCATGTTGAAGCCTTGCATTTTGGCGGTGGTGCGCTTGGATGATTGGTGTTGAACAGGGTTGTGACGGATTTGTTGAGGAAGCTTCCAGCTGCGTTTTGTGGTGTAATGCAAGTACTAGCCATTAGCCGTTGTTCCTTGGAACTCAATAATGATGCAGAGGGTGAATTCCGGATAGGGCTGAAGGTTGGCTAGACAGCTTACTAAGCAGCTAACGGGCACTAATGCGGCATCAAAAGCGAACTTGGCTTGGCAAAGGAGCTCCCAACCAGCCTCCTCTCCGCAGTCTACAATGAGATTTGATTTGCCAGATTATACGTTGCTTCTTTGAGAGTAGGGCTCATCTTTGTCAGCGTTCCCACTGGCCAACGTATCAGGTTACTCTGCAATCAGTTGAGTGCGATTGGGTTGCATAATCTTCTGTTTTTAAGCGCTCTGCGAAAAAAATGGCAGGTGCTACACGATCAAAGACGGACTCTACGGTCGAGGTTGAGGTCGTAGATATTCTGAACAATGCTAACACGCCACAGAGTCAGACCCTGGGCAAGAGAAAGAGAAGGGCACTACCTCGGCGTCCTGGGCGACCGATAAAGAAAGCGCCATCTGCAGAAGAGGAGGATGTCGCAGCAGCAGAGGGTGCATATATCACGCCTGCGTCCACAGGCGGGGAAGGGGTCGAAGATATCAGCAAGGGTGGCGCCGGTGGCAGCACTACGAAGTTGAGGAAGCCGAAGGACTGTATAGCGCGAAGACAACGGAGATCTACAATCAAAATGTCACATGGCACAGACGTATATACAACGCCGGAGAGTCCAGAGACGGCATCATCTGCGGTGAAGCGGCGCGTTGAGGGTGGAGAATATAGTCTCCAGAACAGCGTCTTTCATGGCGTCGCTTCGAGCAAAGTGCCTGAAGCAGATTTCGCTCAATCTCCATCTCAGGGTACAAGAAGCAAGTATCAGTCCGCCGATGCATCTAGTCGACATCCGAAACAACAGAAAGCAGCAGCGCCGGTACGCATAATGCGTAGACTTCCGCCACGGGCTCCTGCCGCTGACTCCATGGATAACGAATCACTCGACGCGGGAATTGATAGAATGTTGCCCCTAAGAAACAATGTAACGCGCTCGCAAAATCCGCTGAAAATTTTCTTTCTTGCTGAGAAGACTACCACCACGATCTCCGATGATGTCGGGTATTCCAGTCCGCAGAAAGTGTGGAAGACGGGGCCTGCAGCTTGTCACCATGCAGCCAACAAAAGGACCCGCAAGGCACCTTCGAAGGCTGCTGAACAAGATATTGAGGAGGACGAGGTGGTAGACAGGGGGGGAGAAGAAGACGAGGAGGACGAGGAGGGAGACAGGGAGGGGCGAGGCAATAAGGAGCAGGAAATGGAGGAAGAAGGTGGGGGAGGGGATGAAGCAGAAGAAGGGGAGGAGGATAATGATGACCAAGGAGAAGAAGAGGAGGATAATGATGACCAAGAAGATGAAGAGGAGCATGAAGAAGCCTCCTCAGACCAACAAGGCGATAGGCAGCCGCGACCTCCCGATCAGCCGACAGCAGGGAGTCCAGAACGCCAAAGTAACGATACCATTGCGGTCACCCACAACGCGCAACCCAAGCCACCAAAGCGGCAGTCAAGATTTGAAAAAGCAGCCAATATACACAAGTGCGCAGAGCACTGGAAGATAATGTGGGACGCCGCAAAGGATATTCAAGTCCTGGAGGACCCTGAGACCACACCAGTCCGGGAACTACTGGCCGCCATGCGGAAATACAGAGAGATTATTCGCAACGCATCGCGAGAAAGTTTAGAAGGGGATGAAGACTTGCTGTCTGATTCGAATGGCTCAGATCTGGGCAAAATTGCCACAGTGATCGGCAGCTTAAAGAAGAGCAGCTCACAAACTGGCAGAGAAGAGAATCGTTTGATCAGAGACATTTATCTACACGTTATACCGTGTGCTGTCGAGCTCCTTCGTTCAATCCTGGTCGTCCGGGCTGTCAACGGAGACCTGAACATTGCAGCTTTAGAAGAGCTGATAATGATTTTGAAGGCCACTCGCAGACTCTGTGAACGTCTATATCATTGGAAACCTACTCTTCACCTTGACGACGAGACGAGGTCCACGACAAACCTAAAAATCAAGTTATCTTTAAGACCTATTGAGGTTGAATACAAAAAGGCTCTTTCGGATCTCAGACGCGCCAAGTACGAGGCAGAGGCCAAGATCCGGCAAGAAGAGTTTGCGATGAAGCAGGAGATGTTGATAAAGGCGCAGAAGCAGGAAATACTCGATAGACGACGGGAGTTTGCTGACTGGATGCAAAGGCATACGGGTGAGAGACAGACACAAAAAGTGACGCAGTTAAGACATGGCACCCGGAGGAGAGATATCTCGGAGGCGCACGAGGTGTACGATCTGGACGATCTGGACGATCTGGACGTGCATGAGTCTACGCGCGAGTCGGATGACGACTTCATACGCGGATCGACCGAGGAGATTCCCAAGGCCACGAAGCGCGTCTGGCGGAGCGAGGAGAAACTCGCTCTGCTGGTTCTTCTCCAAAAGCATCGCGGACCTGATCGCTACGAGAAAATTCAAGAGGCCATAAGCGACATTTCCCGCTTTATCCGCAGATACGGCCCGGATAATTTCATGGCATTGGGAGCCAACAGCCACATTGATCTCGACCTTGCTGGTGCCGCCGATGTTCTCGATGACCTCGGTATCATGGAAGTTTCCGACATTAGGGAACGGGCCAAGTATTTGAAAGCGGCACAAGCGGAAACTATGGCAAGAGATCTTAAAGACGGTTGCGGTAGAGAGAAATGGTCCTGGCTTCTGAGTGTATGATATGATGACTCGAGGGCTATGTCATATCCTTTCTGTCGTACGAAGTTGTCAGAATCTGCATTAGAGATGGGCCCCTTGAGCGTTATGTTAGTTGACATCAATCCACCTGTTTCATCGTACATTCTTGAGATGGTCTTCTCTTTGAGTGTATGCTTCTCTTTGTAGGCTCCTTGGGCTTTCAAGAAGTCCATTAAAATAACTCAGTAGCTACATTCACTTGAGAGCCCTTTTCACGTCAGGCAACCGTGACAGCTCTCTTGGATGTTTGTAACAGATATCTCCGCTGATATAACGCAGGTAAACTTGGAGGATTCAGGGTCACTCTACCCAGCTCGCTTCTACCTTACAACTCTAGATTCCGGGACATAGGACGCTGTTTTAGGCAGTTTTTGACGCTGCTTTCGGCGTCTGTTGCACCACAAGTCATGTGACGTACTACCGCTTTTTTTGTCACCCAGTCTAATTTTATTAACTTTACTCCGTATAAGTTAGTTATACACCTTTTAAAAAACCTGTTGAACTTTAAAATACGGTTTGGCCCCATTTTAACTCGTTCCACCAATGAATTCTGCATTCCAATTGAGACAATTGAGAGCTTCCCCGCAATACTAAGCAATTCCTATTTTGGTCCGGGACATAGTAGATCAAGATCATTCATTACAGCTCTAAGCCCAGACATGATGGTCTTGTATCGTTGGTCACAGTTTCGGGTTCTTTGAGAGTAGAGGCCGGGAGCCCTGGAACCACAGCGGCTAATTGATTCCACGCGAAAAGAGGGATGCGGGCGTATTGGGAACTGGTTCAGGAGCCAGGGATGCAATTGAAGTGTAATGGGGTGACGCGTCAGAAGTGGTCCGGGGCGAATTATGTCGATAATCTGCTCAAGATGGTCACAGGCGGGGTGAGTAGTACGAGCGCCATGGGGATAGGGGTTACGGAGGAGCATTTTAAGGGCCATTGAGCTGGCGGTTCATCGCTGCCGCTGAGGGTGGGAGGGGGGGAGAACGTTGGTGAGGGAATAACAGCTGTCGTGGCCGGGAGAATGGAAAGATGCCTGAAATCTTGAGCAAAAGTCGTTGATGCTCGGTGAATGGTTGCAGACCCGAGCTGCCTGAGGCAGGAGAAGGAATGTCGAAATGGCAATAGCACATCCCATAGCTCCGAAGTCTTCGTTTCAGCGTACGTAGCTTCATGCTCGAATATGTCTGGATGCCTGCTGGCAGACGACAGGCTCTATGCGACGAAATCAATGACCACGCTCTCCTTTCCCTCCTCGGCCGTGACCTTCAACTGATCCAGCTCCTCAGAGAAAATCCAGCCATGCCGTTTTAGTGTTTTTGTATCCGGCTTCTGCCCTTCAATGTCATCAAAGTGCTCGTACCGTCCGTCGTCATTCGGTTCCTCGAATGAACCTACAAACTTTTTGTCTTTCAATTCGCCATCCAAACCCCCTGGATGCCACCATCCGACACAGTCTAGATTGGTCATGCGGAGCCGGAATCGATCTCCTGGCTTGACATCTTTGGGTCCCAAGCTCGAAGAAGCATGATGGTTGTGGGCCCGGAACATGCGTTCTGCGGTAATCTCGTGGCTGACGACCAAGTCCTCGGATGCTGGCACGGTGACGAATTGTAAGAAGCCAATCTTTCTCTGATCATTTTCACTCGAGCTGCCATAGTTGACACGCACAGACGGCTTCAAAGATATGACACGTGTCTTGTTGGTGACGTCCACCCAGTAGTTCAAACCGCCGCGGAAGAGCGCATTAGCAAACCCGGAGCCATGATCGAGAGGCGTGCGATCTGCCTGCAGAGTGATGGCTGATTGTAGAACGCCGAATGAGACGATGCGAGCGGTCACGATTAGCTGGAATGGGTTCGTGGCATCATTGGCTCCGGAGATGCTGAATGTGGGTGAGGAAGCGGACACTGCCAGCGAAATATGCGCGGTTGTCCTGCGTTCTCCAATCAGCTTTTGGCGGCCGAGGTAATTACGACAGACAAATCTTGATGCGTTGCTACAGGTTGACCACGTTTTCCTCTCGGAACTTCTGCCTTCAAGGGTAGCCAGAGAAGTGTAGGAATCTTCAACTTACCGGGGAGGTGAATTTGACATGGCTTGGGTTTGTGCATGGCGGCCTCTGGCACTAGAGACCGTAGAGCACGCCTTTCCTGTTTAACAATCTGTATGCGCGTTGATCGTTGCAGCCTCACATTCAATGTCCAAAGGAGGACTTTCTGGAGGTCAAGTCTCTGCTTTTTGTCGAATCGTCAGCGTGCTTAGCGGAGCGTTGTCTTTTGCTCAACTCGGGGTTCAACATCGCAGCCTTATAAGGTCACCGGAGGGGTTGCCGGACCCTATCCGGTCTCTCTCGACCAAATGTGCCCCAAAGTCGGCATTGCAACTGTGAGTCTGCATTGATGCTGGCTCACCTATCACAGCCCATGCCTTTGAGGAGTCACGTTGTTTGCTCTTGTTCGCATGAAGGTATTTATGGGGAATGCCCGGCAGGATGTTCCGGGCATTCATCACCATAACTTCAGGGGCTCAGTCCGATCCTGATGGATTTCTCCATGACCGCAATTTGATCCTTTCTATGCCTGGCAATCCAAGGGAATATCGATCGCTCCTTGATGGGATGGATGACAAGCACGTGGTGCAAGATGAAACCCCGGATCCTGTCCACATTACCCATTTCGCCAGCATATTATCGCACAAAGTGCATATCTCTCCTGTATTGAATTCCCTTGCCCGCAGTCCTCTGAGAGAAACGCCCTTCAGTCAGGTCCGGGAGATGGTCTTGACAAGGCCGGCTGGATTCCAGATGGTCGTGGAAGATGTCGTTATGCGAAATGCACCTTTGGCAGAGCTGAGATTACTCTTGATGCCATCTCTGGCTGGTACATTGAGGTAGGAAGGAGGCAACCATCTATTCAACAGTATTTAAAGAAGGGCTTGACCTCCTTTCGTCCAGTCGTCTCCATCAGCATCCGCTCATTTTAATCATTCATTTTTCCCTTCGTTCCTTCGTTCCTTCGTTCTTCGTTTAGTCACTCCTTTAGTATTCTGTATCTTCTCTCAGCGCCGGCCGCTATCACACCGTTTACTTGACATCATAGTTCACTTTTCCAAACTCGTGTCCGTTGCGGCGTCTGCTCTCTGGCTGACCACCAGCATCAATGCCGCACCCACTCCGGTTGAAAAGGTGGAGGCGCTTCTCAAACGAGCCATCACCAAGTGGGAAGATTGTACAGACGACCAGAGAAAGAAAGGTGGTCAAGCGTTTGCCGATGCTGCAACCATCGCCCGCTGGACCTTCGACAATAAGTTAAAAGATGAGAAGGAGTATAAAGACACCGATGCGTAAGTGGCCTGCTCTTCTTTGATATATTCCACAATCATAAGCATCACGTGCTGACGGATTCCCTAACCAAAAGATACTCTCATTATTTCGTCGGCGAAGACTCGGAGACAATCACTTCTATGCTTGATGACATCCAACAAAACAACGATCCGACCAACCCTGTCTTCCAATTCAAGGTGTCCTGCAAAGCAACTGATGACTGTGGCACCGGGGACACTGCGAGTCTGGCCATCACAGACGCCCTTCCAAGAACAGACAACTTTATGCCTACCATTCGGCTCTGTCCCAAATTTTTTGATCCCAACACACGCGAAACCAAAAATGATCTCGACTCCAAAGAATTCAAGAAGAACCCCGGGCGGCGCGATAAATCGTGGTGCCAGCCAGGCCAGAAGTTTGCCGACTTTGAAGTAGCAGGCCTTACAGTCCTTCACGAGATGACCCACCTGTACTTTGCGTAGGTTAGATCCGGAGGCTGGGTGTTAATCGACATGGTTTGTCATTCACGCAAGTGTTGCTGAGCTCACAATACAGAATGCCTTTTGAGAGATGTTCTCTTAATGGCGCACGTGCTAGTAAGCGCCCCTCCACTTCCTTACTTCCTTACCATCCTCCTGTGGACCATCCTGCTCTCTCGCCGTACCCGCGCGCAAAGGGCTTGTCACATGATAATATCTGCAGTCACGTGACAGGTCACATGCCTAGGTTCATGACTTCTGCCCTTCTACATTTTCAATGCACTTTTAGTTTTAGGTGTTATGTATCTTCTTTAATTGAGGCCATTCATTCTTTCCCTCATCGTCTCATCCTTTCACTTCTTGCTATACATTGATTGCTCCGGCTTGCATATATGGTGTTGATACTGCTACGGTATTGCTCTCAACAATTTCCTTTTCAGCGCAGGCATGCTCCGCAATCATCGCAATTCCATCGACTTCTCGCCTGATATTTTCGCTTGTGAGATTAATCTCCATTGACCAAGTCGCCCAACGCTTTGCGACAAAGTACTCAACGCAGTGTGGAAGATTACATATCCTAGACCACATTTCAGGCTAGGAAGACCGGACCATATCGTCAATCTGTATCTCGACACCACCAAAGTTTGTGGTCTTTGAAAGATCATCATGGCTTTATTGTTATGGAGAAGAGGGGAAATATTGCAGAAAGAGCTCAAAGACAGTATCAAATATGTCAGCAAGTTTCCAACGGATTTCTGCTATGAGTTTCTTGTTGGATCCTTTCTCTGAATGCAACAGGAACCAGTTTCCATTTAGCGATGAATAGGAAGGAGGATAGAGCTGATGTGATTAGAAGCTGGGTATCGCATACTACCAATCGCTGAGCCTTCCCAATCGGGATTGTTTGCAGAAGGATCATGGTGAGACTTGGAGAACATTGTACTTTGTAGCCATCAATCATAGTACTCAGTGAGTGAGGGGATAGAGCTCAATGCAAATAGCATCTCATACTTTTCTCAATGCTGTGGCATGTTCGAGTAAATTGTCCAAACTGCCGTTCCCCCTTTCTCTTGTGTATCTCGGCTCTTGGTGCTTCAGAAGACTGACGGACAAATGAAAAGTGTTGACCTTCTGAGAGGCCCTATTGGCCAGGTTTTGGATGCGTAATCCCTGCGTAGCGCACGCTTTTCATTGGTTAATCTCTACTGCAATTTCGCTTCTAATTTCGCCGTACGTAGTACGGTACAGCCAATTGTACCTAGTATCCTACGCTCTCTACGGAGTCGTGCCCCATAAGTAGTCAAACCACGCTAATATTAAGGTAAGAGCTAGTAGCTGTAGCTCAAGCCTAGCCTCAAGGCCTAAAATTTGCATCAGCGACTGGGGGAGTGTGATTAGAGGGGCCAGATCACTAGAAGCCCCTAAACATAGATAGCCATGTCAGTAAGATAACCGCTAAGCTTCAGCGGCTTATAGGGGGACTCTATGTATAATACACATACACTTCTAGCTAGACAGTCACGCTAATGACAGCTAGCTGTTACTGGTAAGCCTTATTGTTAGCATGGTTTGACTACTTTTGGGGCACAACTCCGTACCCCCCTAGATATCGAACAACTTGCTTCATCTACGCACCCTGCACACCAGGTTGACACAAAGTAACTAATATAATAATAATACAAATTAAATTCGCGGACCTGTCATGTCAGAAATCCCTCTTTTCGGTCTACAGCGATAGGGAAGGCCGCATGTGAGGTCTACTGAGAAGAAAAGGGGGCTGATTGGGGGCGAAATTGCAGTCTCCAGCTTTTCGCCTTGCACCTAGAGACCACAACTTCATGAGCCTGTTTCCTATCTTCGAATCCCAGATCGTACGCCTTTGCCTTGAAACTGGTATCGACCACGGCGTCTCTTGCTCATCAATCGACTCCTCACATACCCTTCGAGCAGAGATGTAAATTATGGCGAAGCAAGAATACCCCAAGTCATCGTCAGTCCTTTGTTGCTTTTCGACTAACGCCCGTTCTCAGAGCATCCCCTATTCAGCTGCCGATCAGGTCTTCTAGCAGCACTGGGCTCACTTCTGCACTGTCAGAACCTGCTAGTCCAACTTCGCATTCAGACGTCAGCAATGACAGTCCATCCACTATGCCGGTCAATATTCCTACGACATATCCCGATTCGCCTTTCCATGCAACAATCGAAAACGACTTGTTAGGCGACAAAATCATCTATCATAGCATCGGTATGATGCCAGCTTACTCGAGTTGCTCTTTCGAGGAAGTGCGGCTGGCAGACTATGACAAAGGTAGTTTAGCAAGCCAGCGCGCAAATGGTGTGGCTCAACAAGCTCCTTTTGGCTCCGGAGGAAACGCCTTTGGTCCACAACCCTCTACGGCACCTGTTGGGACGGAAAGGGACGACCCTCTCGACGATGCCAGCCCAGGTGGAACTGCTACTGGGCAGGTCGCTTCAAGTGTCAGTATGCCAAATAAATCAGACCCTTTGACCACCACGAATGGAAATCCATTTCTACCTGTCAAGCTGTTAAAGTAAGTCTCCAAGCTGCTTCGTTCGAATTGACTAACACGATTTTTCCAGATACCAAGATGATGAAACCGTCAAAGTATTCGTGGGATCGACAAAGGCTTCTTTCAACATTCACAAAAACATGGTTTGCAAGATTTCCCCATTTTTCCAGGGCGCCTGCAATAGCTTGTTCAAAGAAGCTCTGAGTGGTGAGATCTACCTTCCCGAGGCAGATCCTCAGGCGTTCGACATCTTCATGGATTGGATGTATACAAGACTCATCAACTTCCCAGGTCATCCTCCAAAGAAAGAATCCATTAGAGAAACTAAAGCGTGGTGGATTCTAGCAGCAAAGATGTATGTTCTTGCTCAATACCTCCAATGTACAACTTTTGGAAACGCGGTGATAGATCTCATTTGCCGCAGCCTCACCACTGAGCACATACTTAGGGGTCCACATAATGACGTGATCGATCTTGTCTACAACTCTACCATTGGCGACTGTGGACTCCGAAAACTTCTCGTTGCAATGAGCGTCTGGTGGACATCTTCAGATCGCTGGAAAGAGGGGAAGGATTGGAAGACCTTCCTGGAAGGCTTACCGGCCGAATACTCTCATGATCTGGTTTTCCAGCTGCAACGAAGAAATCACAAACTGGACCAGGATCCGTTTGTCAACGAAGAGACGTGCCAAGTTTTTAGGGATGCAGAGCTCGGATGGCAAGCTATCAAAGGGTAGCAACGAGGCGATACGGGCATCGCCCCGGAAAGACAGGGTTCGACACTATTTAGGAGGCGTAATTGAAGTGTCCTGCAGATATTGAAAGGACTATTAGGCAGCCAGGACGATGACTGCTAGAGCATAGAACAGGTTGCATCGACTACTGACTAGAGACAGGGGCGAGCTTTTAGACTCATCCTTTTCTAGGATGAACTTCACGGCGTACGGGCAAAACTTGCCCCAAGGCCTATATTCTACGGCCATCTCGCTTGGTTCTGTCGAGCTTGTCGTTTCATGTAAATTTGCACATCCCCATACTAAGAGCGAAGGACCGGAGCACCGTGGAAACCAAGTGGCAGGAGGCGGAACTCATCAAGGAAGGTGTGAAATGCCAAAAAAAAATTGCAAGAGAAAACGAGTCCTCGTGATGCTTTCTCCTCCAATTTGACTGCTGGATCATGTCCTCCTCGACCCTGAGCCATTTATTCCGCGTGCATATTGGTACAAATCCTAGTGCTTTCCCTTGTCGAACCAAGTGAGTAATTGCACTGTCATCGACCTTTAAGCAGACCCTGTACCACTCTCCTTCCACTCTTTCTCCTCCATCTGGGGCTCTCCTGTGGCCTCTTTGGGCTTCGAAGAAGCTGGCTGCTGAGGTGCTTTCTCCCTAAATAGGGTGGAGTCATGGACTCCTGCCTTTCTTGAAGCGAAAAATAGCCACTAATACCATTCTGCAACTCGAGGGCACAGCATTTCTAATTTTCATTCAGGCGAAACCCTCTTCGAGCGCAAGTATCGTCGAGCCTTCCTCCCTTGTGGCAAGTGCAACTTGAGGCCTTTACTCTGTCTCCAGCGTTATCTGTAGGCTCTCTTCTTTGCTTTACGTAACAAGATGGTTTCCTCCCTTACCCAATGGCTCCTTCTCTTGCTCGGGTGTTGTGGGAACCTCTGTCTCGATGTGAGGACACGGGATATCATCCATAATACCTAGCAGATTGCTCCTTCATGTAATTCTCGCCTCTGTTCGGAAAGTTGCCGCTCCCTTACACATTTGTAGGCCGGCTTGCCGGCAACCCATTGTTCAGCTTTTCTGAATGTATGACTCCCTGGTAAATAAAATATCATAAGGAAATTCTGTAAGGTCAAAGATATGCTATTGGTCTTCGTTGAGCTCCTCGTCCGGGTTCATGCAAATCCAGTAAGTGAATCTACACATCTCGCAATCTAAGCAGAAAGGGTAATAGACGTAATACTGCTCTTCAAAACCACTTTCGCGAAGGCAGAAGTCATAGGAAATGCAGTGCATTTGGAAGTTAGACTACAAGGGCAAGACTCACTTCAGGGAAATGGATATAAAAGGGGACGGCAAGGGAGATTAAGAAGTAGCAGGCTCTTAATACCCGGGCCAAGCGGAGAGGGAGCGCGTTGCCCGATCAGGCGGGGCTAAACCGGAAGAGGCAGCGCACCGGCACCTAGACTACATGACTAGTTAGCATAACTAGTTAGCGTGAACCCCAGTGAAGCTAATGAACCGCGCCTAGTATGCAAAAGCATGGCGCTTCTTCCTGAACCGCGCGAGGGTCGTGTCTTGCCGGCTTGCGCCTGCAGAGAAGCACCCGCATTGCATTTCAAGAGTGCCGAGAGCAGGCAAGATAATTTTCCTTTAATAACTGCGGAAGGAGCCATCGTGGTGCACGGAGTATTCGCAAGCGAAGCAGGAGCAGCCCGAATTTCCAGGTAACTTTGGAAGCCTACCAAAACACTTCCACCGGTTTCGATCATTGATTGACCAAAAATAGTACTTATCCGAATTGGATTAAACACATCTACATTTCTCTGGCGATCTCCTTCAGCTCGCTAAGCTCCAATGGACGACACCATAGAGACCGTTGAGCAGCCGATTGAGCCCAAGCCCGCTCCGCCAAAACTCAAGACCGGTATAATTCCACAGCGGACGATGGCGGGCTCCAAAACGAACAGGACGGTGAGCTCAAAGTCGAAGTCGAACCCTTCGACGGACCCAGGCACGAAAAGTCCGTCAGCGGCGGCCGCAAGGACGACAACTGGTAGCACTCTGAATAAACCTCCTACCCGACCTACCGCAGGGTCAACGCTTAGAAAGACAACGGCCAGCTCAACCAATGCTGCCACCAGTCATCAGCCACGAGCTTCTATCAGCATAGTCGACGAGAGCACAAAGTCCGTCACGTCTGGGGATGACATGAAGTCGAAACCAGCGTTAGGAGCACCAAAGCGACTGTCGGTGGCTGGGCCAACTAATACTAGCAGGAGTGCCCCTGAGAAGAAGCCGATTAATCAACCTCCGATCATTTCTGAAAGAAAGACAATTGGTAGAGCAAGCGCTGCTTCTCCTACGAAAACCTCACGACCACCAAGTGCTGCTTCTCGGCCAACTACGAAATCGAGCGTCTCATCTCTACGTGCTGCTGGCGTTGTAGATGTCAAGAAGAGGCTAAGCACTTTTCCTGCTTCTCCGACGAGTAGACACGTGATAAAACAAGAAGAGGAGAAAGAAAATCGTCTGCCATCTATACCAGCGAGCTCGAAAGGCAAAGGCCTGGTAAGGCCTTCCCTCGGCACACGCCAGTCTACCCGCTCTGCCGCTCTTCAGCAAAAAATTCGTGAATACGAGCTTGTCAACGAGATGCTTCAGGCAGCAATGGCGGCAGAAGATGCTGGCGATGATGATCAGAAAGAAAACTTGACCACGGAGGTGGGCCAGGCAATCATACATCTAAAGGCGAACCTTGAGGTAACTGAGGAAGCTTCATCTGCTGAGAAGTCTACTATGATACACCAGTCAGCTGAAAGTATGTCGATCTTGGAGAGCCAACTCCAAGATAGCAAGGCTACCATAGAGAGTCTGAAACAGGAGGTGGAGGAGCTACGGGCCAGAAAAGTAGACTCTGCCAGTTCTGCTCAAATCGGTGGTGGAGATGCCAAAAGCGAGGCTGAATCAATTAGCCTACTCCATATTGCTGAGGTCGACAAATTGAAAAAGGAATATGAGCTTGAAATCTCATCACTACATCAAAAGCTCCAAGAGTTGAAGCTGGAGCAGCAAGAGAGAGCAGAACAGTCAATTAAAGAACTGGAAGACGCAAAAAAGACAGCCTTGGAAGCTGGTGATACAAAGATGAGTCAGCTGCTAGAGGAACAGAAGTCCATTCACAGCAAGGCTGTTCAAGCGTTAGAGAATGATCTCGCTTTGGAGCGAAAGGCAATCAAAGAGTCTGCGGATAAGGTCTCGCTCCTTCAACAAGAAATCGAACAACATAAGCGGGACCTTGCTACAGCCACCTCTCACGCTGACGAGTACAGGAAGACCATTAAAGCTCGTCAAGACGAGATTGCCACTCGAGAACGTGAGCTGCAAGGTCGGGGAGATGTCATTAAGAGCCTTCAGGACGAGATTGTGGCTCTCCAGCAAGCTAAGATCGATGAAGCAGCAGGCTTGAAGCAGTCTTCAGCGAAGCGGGTAGCTGAACTGGAGGTGCAGATAGCTACGTTAAGATCTGCAATAGATCGGTCGTCTGAAGAATCTGCTTTATCTGAAGAGCGTACGCAGGAAGAGTTGGTCCGCAAGGAGCAGGAGATTTCGAAATTGGGTCAAGTCATTGAGCGTCTCCAAAGTGAAGTCCAGAGTGTACATGAGTCCAAATCGAATGAGCTCGATGTGCAATTGTTGAAGATTCGGCAAGAGCATGACCAGATCATCATGGCGCTGAAGGCCGAACATCAACTCAGCATTGATGGACTTGCAAAATCTCACAATCATGTAGTTGAAAAGCTTAGTGACGAGGCGCGAAACAATCGTACTGCCCATGAAAGACAAATTCAAGAACTGAACAACCAAAAATCGGATATCCAGAAGAGCCTGGAGGACGCCATGAACTCCTTGAAAGACTCCCAGGCAGAGACTGGAAAACAGATGCAGGAACTAGAGCTGAAGCACAACGAAGCCTGTAGAGCAGCGAATGAAAAGGTGCTGAAAGCCGAGAAAGATCTGGCCGAGTCCCAACAGCTACTTGAGCAGGTGAAGGAGGACGCGGAGCGTGCGACGAGTGAGAAGATGAAGACGCTAGAGGAGAAGACGCAAGCTCTAGAAGATCAATCTTGCAAAGATGCGGCTGCCATTAAGGATGCGCGCAGTGAGCTCGAAGCAGCACAGGAACAAGTAGAGACCTTGAAACAGGCCATGATGACAATTGAGAAGGAATCTCAAGGCAAAGAAGAGCATCATACTAACACCTTGAAGAAGGCCATCGCTGAGGCTGAAGCCGCCACAAAAAGTCTCTCTGAAAACTCTGCGAGACTTGCTTCAGCTGAAGCGGATCATGTCAAGGCAGTCAAAGATCTTCGGTCGAGCCATGAAGCTGAGCTGGGACATGTTCGCAACGAGCTCACCCAAAAGCACGATACCGCCTTGCAGGAACTGAAGGCGAAGCATGATGAGTTATTGGCCAGTCAAAAGAATCTGGAGAAGACCCAGAAAGACGAGTTAGAGCAAATCAAGGCAGAGCACGAGCGAGGTTTAGATGATTCTGCGAAGAAGATTGTGGATCTCCAGCAAACACATCTCCAGAAAATAGAAGAGGTTAAACGTCAAGCTACTGACGAGCACTTCGAGACATTGAAACAGCTGGAGGAAGAGTTCTCGAAGAAAGCTGCGGAGACAGAGCATTCACATAACGTTGCACTGGATAACCTTCAGTCGACCCACGAGATGGCTTTGCTTGTTCTGAGAGTTCAGTTACAAGATAACTACGTGAAGAGCGATGCCAGAGCAAAAGAGTCCCATGACGCAATTGTGAATGATCTGCAGGCACAGTTGGACCGACTGAAGGACGACCTTGCAAAAGCTCAGCTTGAGGTCAAAAAAGCATCTGAGCCACGCGAAGATCCGGAATTGGAAAAGCTAAGGAGTAACTTGCAGGCTTCTAACGATGCTTTGGCAGCTGCGCAGTCTGAAGCAGCAAGACTCGCAAATGACGTCGAAGACATGAAGCAACAACTTGATCAAGACCAAAAGACCATTACGATGTTGGAAAACGCTGCTAGAGAAGCCAGCAAAACTCGAGAGAACACATCGTCCCGCGAGGCTCATAAACTGAGAGAACAGCTAGACGGCGCCCTACAAGAGGCGGAAACACAGCGCGCAAGCTCGGACATCGCCAATGAAGAGTTTCGAGAAAGCACCGAGAGACTGAAACAATACAAGACCCGTATTGACGAATTGGAAGCAAGACTTCAGGCTGTGAACGAGAAGCCCGACGTTGAACTCAAGATCAGCACTCCGAACAGCGCTCGAAAACGCAAAGGCTATAAGGGAAGCAAAAATAGTCCAAGGTTGAGCCAAGGTAGTTGGGGTCCTGAGCAAGAGAACAGAGAAGTGGCTGGCAGTCCCGTGCAGGAAGAGGGAGGTGAGAATTTTGGCTCCTCCATACAGGGCTCGGTGGGTGTTCCCGCTCATATCTTGTTACTGCTTCCCATGACTCCGAGCTGATATGTTCGATTTCCCAGATGGCCAGCATACGCGAGCAGCTTCGGCAGTTAGATGAGGTGAATGAGGACATGCTAGAAGGACATGCAAGGTAAGGATGTCCCGTCGTGTATTGGTTTGATTCTTCTTTCATCCTCTTTTGGAAACTCATATCATATCATTATTATCTAATCAATCGCTAGGATGGCGAACATGCTGTCCAATGTTCCCGAGTCACCGATTCCCTCTCCATCAACAACAACCACCGCGGGTTGATTCGTCTCGCTCACACTCACACATTTGTACTAGTGATATGGAGCGAACCGGGGGCAGCGCAGCTGACAACACAAAGCCTGCTCAGCATTCTCTTCGTGCCAATAGCGGCCACTATTTGTATGCTTCTCTACCTTCGGAATGGTAGATGGTAGAGTTCTTGGAAGAACGTCTTGGTTGTTCTCGGTGAACCCGAGAACAACAACGGTAATTTGGTGGTTGTGAGCGGCGGTTTGGTGAAGCGAGTCGCACGGAGTACTTTCTCCTTAGGTTTATAGATACCCCATTCGTTGCTACGCATTGAATTGAGGTTTTGATATGAAACCAGACACTTGTATACAGAAAACCATTATCTGGTGCTCCGAAAATTGGAGCAAGATCATAGTTTGGTTCTTTATCGCTACCCACACGCGTCCTGACTGACTGACGCGGTCACCGTACCATGCCAAGCCTATCATGATTTAATCCAGATAAAGCAGAAGTATCAACATACAAGCTGTGTGAACACATCAGGGCAATTTCACATAATGCCGCCATGCCTGCTCTTACCACATCCAGCACCCCTTGGATTGTCCGCACAACGAAACGTAAATCTTGCTCAAGTGAACCACAACCCAGAAAACGCAAACGCCTCTCCTCCTCCCATGACAGGGAGACTCCTGGAACAGTCCCCAAAACCCATCAGCAGACCTTGACGCAGATCCAACTCACACCCCGAGTGCCTTCTCCGCTAGAATATGATCACATGGAGACCATTCGGCCCAGGGCTGGACCGAAGAGCTCGAGGCAGCCCAGGGAGCCCAGAGCTCGGAAAGGGGTGAAGAAACAGAGGAGTACGCTTACGCAGATGGATTTTTTGGCTATGGATAGAGTTCATGATGAATTCGGTTTTGAGGAGCTAGGTATGATCACGCCGGATGGTGGACTTGGGGGCAAGGATGTGGAAGCTGGGAAGGAGAATGTCCACCTTGATACGGGCAAGAAGGCTACAAAGGCGAAGAGGAAAAATGTGGGCCCTGTTGAAGAGTCTTCTACGACTGTGAAAGGGAAGAGAAGGAAGACCGTGAATTACGAGATTGCCAGTGATCAGGGTCAGTATGATGGTATTCCAAGGACAAGAAGTCGCAGCGGAGCGCACACGAAGGTGCTGTCAGAGCAACAACCAGATCGAAACGCAATGAATTTCATAGAGGAACGAATTCCTCGAGTGACGCGAGGGACTGCAAAGACCCAGGTAGAGCAGGTGCAAGCAGAGCCTCCTCGAAGGTATCCATACGACGAGAAGGAGAACCTGGACACCACCAGCGCGCCGTCCAGGCTTGTTATTCCCGAGACACCGAAAAAGCCGGCAAACATTATCCCAAGCTCTCATAGTCCCGAGAGTATTCCATTTAGTAGCAGAAAGAGACCGGTTTTATACCGTGTGGAATCAGCAACATCACCTCTCAAAGAACGGTCCACGAACATCGTCTCTATAGCAGCTTTAGGCGGAGCGCTCGCGATGGGACTCAGTCCGGTGAGGAAGAGCTTTTCTCCCAAGAAGAGGATATGTGTATTGAAATATGGACCGGGCTTGTTCAAGGAACCATCTCTACCTGAAGCTGGATGTATCGTGGCGGATACCGGAGACTCGGGGCCCTCAAAACTCAGACAAGGCTCCAGAATACAAGATGGGGATATGATCATACCCTCTACAGAAGATATGAAACGTCATTGTAGCGCACCCAGAGTGTCTGGGAGAGCTGGGGAGCCAGAAATACCAGAACTACCAACAATAAGTCCAACTGCCAAACCTGCATTTATACCGTCGAGTCAAACAGACACAGACGAAGAAGACGAAATCCCGGAGACGAGTCAAGGCCTGCGTAGGTTTACGTCAACCTCATCAGCCAATAAAAGTGAGGAGAGCTTGCGTATGCTGTCTGACACAGGTCGCATGCCACGAGCTGTGAAGGCAACAAGCAGCAACGAGAGTCTCGCTCAACCTGGATCTGGCTTGGCCAAGGCGGCTGTTCAAGGACGTGACTTCGGTTCAGATCCTAATATTGAGGAATCTATACTAGGTGAAGCTTTATCTACAACGAGACAAGCAGTGACGGATGTATCGACTGCCGATCCAAGGCTACCTGCACAACTGCTCCAAAAGGACAGCATCGTTTCTACTATTCAGGACAGCGAGAATGAAGACGATGACGCTGATATACTATTCTGCACGATGTCGCCTATTGGGGCCGGTACTCGCACCAGCGCAGACTTAGCAAGGCAAGCTTCTACCTCTGCTGACCTTCATCCACCCTCTGCAGACACACCAAGTTCACCAACCCTCCCACCAGCGCCTCTACATTCCAGCTACCCACAACCGACGACAATCCGTGTCCCAACCAAGCTTCCTCCCTTGTCATCCTCAGCCGCAACTTCTCCCTCCCTTCCATCACCTGCTCCACAACCAAGATACATGACCCAACAATCCATTCGTCCGGCTTCGATGCCGCGCCCCTCCCAAGTCTCAACGCAAGCGGCGACACAGCAATCATTGCTGCCCATGTCTTCGATGCCATTCCCATATACAGCCACCACGTCGTCTCCCACCCGCTACAACTACAACGCACCGGAGCATGTCACCATCAAGGATTCAAGCTCGATCCATGTGCCATTACGAGAGATCTCATCACAATCGCAATCCCAGCCGCAAGCTGAAGAGTATGCCATGGTGGATCTAGGGTTGGGGCCAGATGATGGTAGTCTTGATGATCGAGATGATGATCTGGATCCGAAGTCCTCACCTGTTATTGCTCATGAACAGCAAAACCAGCAACTGGAAGAAAACGAGCAGACCGGCACTGCTGCTGCTGACGCTCACATTGAAGCCGCGGGTACAAGCGTGATAGCGACGCCCAATCCAAATCCAGAAACAGGTACCAAGGACACGGAAGCGGAACTTCCCCAGAAGAAGAAGAAGAAGAAGAAGAAGCAGCAGCAAAGTCCAGCCAGAGGACTTACCCTACCTCTGCATGAAGATGGAAGCATCACTCCCAGTCGTCCCTCCCGCCGACGCCGTCGCAACGACAACCCCACCTCCACCACCACCACCACCACCCTCAAAGCGCCGCCTCCCCATCCCCTCGCCCGACTCCACCTCTCAGAGAGCATGCTCGAAAGCCTCCCCGGACCGCCGGGCTGGGTTCCCACTTCCCCATCGTCTCAGCGAAGCGTGGATGCAGAGCGCTGCTGGGATGACCAGATGCTTTGACACAGTGACTCCCCTGCAATTGCACTGCTACGATATAATATGTACCCGATATCGCAGATAGATAGGGTTGGAGTCGGTGAGGGGTTGTTGAGGCCGGTTACTCTGCATGTAACTAACTGTATGTAGATCCATGTGGGGGCAGTGCGATGGACAGCTGGAGATTTTTTTGTTTCCTAACCCAGAAGCCCTGAGTTGGGTACTGGAATTTGGTATGGTTTGTGTGAGTGTGTTTGGTTGGGTAAGCTCATGGCGGGAAGCTTGCTTGCGCTGGCTGGCTGGCGTATACACATACACTCCGAGTCTAAGGTGGCACAAGTGTCTTCTATCCTTAACTAGAGTCTGGGAACAAGGGCGAGCTAGGCTAGGCTGGCTAGTCATTACGCGCCAGACGCGTATAGATATTCGAGCAATCAATCAATCAATCAATCGACCTTGAGAGTTCTCTCTCATTTTTTTCTTCTATCAAACATCTCAGCTCCTCTCACCCACCCCATCCAGCCCAGCGACAATTGTTCCCATAAAACCTAACCCCTGAACAACCTCAGCGCCTCCCCCCCTCCATCTCCATCTCCATCTCCACCCCCCTCACTCCCGCTCGCATCATCATCATCCTCGCGCAAAATGCGCCTCCCCCCCAGCAAACTGGCGAAGAACTCATTCGTCGCCTCCTCACTCCACCCGCCCGTCCCTACTCGCAAATCCCTCCGCGGCCATGAAATTCTGCAGTTTTTCGTGCACGGTGTATCGGACCTTCCGCCCTTTACTGGCTTTGGTGTCGATCTGGCCGCGTTTATGCGCGGACCCTGACGCATGGAGTCTGTTGGTGGTGGTGGGTGGTAAGAGGTCGGATGGGTTGTTGGGCATATTGGGATGGAGGGAGCTGCGCGAGGTGATGAGGTCGCGGAGGAGGGATTGGTAGAAGGTGCTGTCGTCGTATGTGAGTGTTGTGCTGGGGATTGGGTTGGCTGTCTGGGTGGGGTCGGGTTGCGGGTTGGGATTCGTGCGACTGCGACTGGGAGGAGGGACCCTGACGCATGGAGTCTGTTGGTGGTGGTGGGTGGTAAGAGGTCGGATGGGTTGTTGGGCATATTGGGATGGAGGGAGCTGCGCGAGGTGATGAGGTCGCGGAGGAGGGATTGGTAGAAGGTGCTGTCGTCGTATGTGAGTGTTGTGCTGGGGATTGGGTTGGCTGTCTGGGTGGGGTCGGGTTGCGGGTTGGGATTCGTGCGACTGCGACTGGGAGGAGGGGCGGAGAGGTTGCTGTTGTTGGTGGTGGTGGTGGCTGTGGATTGGGCGATTAGTTTTTCGGATTCGGTGGCCAGGTGGCCGTCTATTATGTTTGTGATGGAGTTTTGGGTTGCGTTGTTGGTGGTGGTGAGGCGGGAGGTAGATTCTCGGGCGACAGGGTTGGTGGCGCGGACTTTGGCGGACCATTTGTTTAGGATGGTGCGGTGGTGGGGAAGGGTAAGAGAGTTGAGGGTTTTGGTGGTGGACCAAATGGCTGAGACGGGTGTTGAAGTGGTTACTGGAATAGGACGTTTGCGTTTCTTGTTGTTCTCGGGAGAGGAGGTCTGAGATTGTGCTTCAGCAAAGGAGTGTCTGATGGACGTAATTGTATTCCAAAGTGATAGAGCTGCTTCTTCGGCAGCTTTGATAGCGTCTTTATGCTCTGAAAAATCATATTCGACGGCCATGGTGTTTGCGGCCGCGAGACCTTTCTGCAGTTTGATCCTGGCATCCAACAGTCGATCGAAGGTCCGGTATTGTGCTTTTGCTGCTTGTCCTTTCTTTGCATCTGCTGATGCGGCGGCAGAAAGAGATGATGCAACAGCAGCAATATCGGAGGAGAGAAGAGCTTTTAATGCAGCTCGATCGCCGGTCGTAGCGGATGGTTTGGGTGCCTTCTGGGATGGCGGACTTGTGGCTGACAGCTCAGAGGCTGCTTCGGAATCGACATCCGTATCCACAGCTTCGTCCGAGTCGTATTCGGAGAGTTGTGAACTTGCTTCAGAATCATCCTCTGAGACCGCGTTCTCGGCGCCGTTCACCCTCTGATTGTCATTCAGACTGCCACTGGAACTGGACATATTTGTATCATTCCCTTCTCCTAAGCCGGTTTCCGTCGTGTCTGTCATCCTTCTGCTTCCCAGAAATTTAAATCCTTGAAATTTTCCAGCATCGCCCTCACCGAACGCATCATCACTGTCAATCTCCTCATCCCCCTCTTCTGGTAATGACCCAGACAACACCTTCATCTTCTTTCTTCCCTCCGAGTGGCTTAGGTCCGAAAGTGCATGCTCGCTTTCACTGCCAGTACCTGTACCCTTTGCAAACGGATCTTCCTCACTTTCTTCGCTCATTGGCGCAAAAGGGTCATCCAATCCACTGTCCGCTTCCCCACTGCCCGAGCCTTCTCGGCCTCCATTCTCATTCCTACTGATCAACACGTCCCTTGTAATCCGACTTGAGGCATATCTCTTTCCCAAAGCTGGCTGGACAGGCCTCCTTAATCTACTTGCGTCAACCTCTTCATAATGCTCTCGACCATTTAATTCATTTGGTGCGCCACCGTCTGCATGTGAGTTGCTGCCGTGTGATTCGTCATTCCCGTAGGTTTCAAACGATTCAGGGTCAAAGTCTGCTCCGAAACGAAAGTACTTTGTCAGTAACCCATCTGGTGTAGCGAATTGGAATGGTGACCTGATTACCTTTCGGTGCCGGATCTTCAAGCTCGGCGATCTGCTCGCGGAGAGACGCCATGGCGCGTATGATGAGAATAGAGGCATGACATTAAGGCCCAGCAATGCATTTGCTGCACAAGCAACGCAGTAAACTTCGATCCTGAGACATTTCTTTCTGGAACTGATCGAATATGCCCATGGTGCGGGAGAGATTTCCCGGTTAAAAAACTCGAAACCTACGTACTACGTTAGGAGGCATAAGTATTGTTAGCGTGAGCTAGTGATAGCTGGTTTGTGATACAAGGGTCTGGCGTCCTCTGGAGCTATTGTAGGACTCGCCCCCTCACTAATCCTGATGATTAGCTCTGTGCTGAGCGCTATACAGACTAATATTATTTTAGTACGTAGTAAAGTGCAGATTCGTTAAGGCTATGTAAGATACAGAGTTACTAGCTTGAAAGTACTGATCGGAAACAATTGCCGGACGAGGCTTGGCAGCCGAAATGAGAGGCAACATCAACATTAGAAAGAAGTGATTATATGAACCAGGTAAATTAGATTTTATAGGCTAAAGCTGCGCTATCTGCATCTCTGCATCTTTTTGTGTTCGTGATGCATATAAGCATATTGGTCTAACGTAGTAATATCTCATAATCCTGTCGAGGCATGTATTAAATCCCATTCGCAGATTTAGACCTTGCATGCATTTGAGAGAATCGAAAGCGTAGTGTACATCCCCCCCCGTCACGACCGCGATTCAGGCACTGGTCGCTCAGGATTGCTGCATGCAGCAGTACTACAGGACTCTCAAAATCCGTTCAAGTCGGCCAGGACATTAAGGTAGCCCCTTCGCGTCAGGAGAGAAAAATCGATCACGGTCATTTTCCTACCGTTCGCTCGAATAGTGTTTTGGATCGCAGCCACATTTGTCAGCCGACTGATGAGATACTGCTGATGTGCTGATATGACTTGAATGCCTCCTTCAGTATCGGTACTGCCGTTGATGGAGCTCTTCGGCTGCTCCTGATGGGGTCCATTGCTGTGACCTGCTTCCTCTGGACCCATCCGAGACAGCCTTTGGCCTTGATCAGTCTCGCGCTTGGCATCGATGACTCCCAACAGGGCGTCAGCCCAATGGAGATGGCTGGCATCTCCTGACTGGCCGCCACGAAATCTACTTTGTAAACGGACATGTGCGGCCTCGGAGGCTTGCTCGAGGGCATGCCGCAGTTTGGCTAGGGCATTTTGTGACGACCTCACAAGGTCTACGTCTTCGCTGTCGATGAGTTCTAGGAGTGTAAAGCCTGTCAGGGTGTATAGATGAATGTCAAGAGGTTTTGCGACAGGGGGCTGATGACCGTGTGGGTTGACTGGATCAGAATCGAGGATATCGGTAAGCTTAGCAGCCAGATCTAATATCTCGGACGCATCATTGACGAAGGTATGTCGAGCGAGAAGGAGAGAAATAAATAGTTGTGCTTCTTGAAAAAGTGATGATGATGCTGACGTAGGTGGAAAGGTAGATAATATGATATTGACGCCTGATTCTATGACTCTTCTTGTCTTGACAGATGTGATCGAATCCGGTTTGGAGAACGCCGAAGGAGGTGTATGATTTGAAAGAAGTGATAGAATACTGGCCAGCGCTGATTTGTGTTAGCGGGCTTTTATGCATGTAAAGTACTGTGCGATCAATGTGGTAGATTCAGAAACCACCTACCGAAGAGGAAAGCAGCAGGTTCCGACATAATCTCTCTGAGTTCAGCCCTCGACGAAAGACATTGCCAGTCGCTTGAGCCAACCGGATCTTCCATTCCGGTACCAATCGCGTCTAGTTGTGCAAGGATGCTTATGCAACTGCATGTTCGCTGTACAATATTCTGAGTGGAATCGAGACTGTCACTCGACTCCGCAACCTCATCCTGCTGGATGGCCGCAAGCATATACTGCCCCAAGTCGATTGCCATTTTGAGCATTGTCCGCTTTGATAATTGCGTTTTGGTTCCCCAAACACGACAAACATCAGTATTGGCATTGACGACCATGAAGGTGTACAGCCAAAGCCAGACTATGTTTTCAGAAACATGCCGATTTAGTGGCAGAACCCGCGCATTCGTCCAAGCATAGTCTTCAACCTCGGAATCGGAAGCGTAATGCCCATCCGGAGGTGTAGAACCACATGCCACGGCTAGCACATACGTGAAAGCAGAAGCGAGCTCCCGTGAACATTTACTGATGTGACCCTGCACAGTCTCAAAAGATCTCGGCAAGATTGAAATGTCGTTGTGTATGAGGTCGACATAGCTGCCATCACATTAGCTCCTTATAACTCAGGCGTGGCAGGCTAACGTACGCGCTGAAGAGTGAATCGAATTCCCATACATTGCCAGCAGATATCTTTGCAACCTGCGTTTCCTTGGTCCTTGGATGCTCAGTTTCTGTGTCTTGGGCCCAGAAGGGCTTGGTTAGATCGATAGGTGGCGCGTCAGCTGTCGGTGAGACATCCGTAAGCTGCTGATCTGGAGCGATTGCAAAGCTGGCTCGTTCGCTTTGTGGCGCCTGGTTGATGCTGTATCCGCTAAGACTTGTCATCTTGTCCCGAGTAGACTGTGGAGACTGAGCGAAAGGATTTCGACCATCGAATTGAGAGAACGTCCGTTTCCTACTGCTCGACATGACCTCTGTGGGGGAGTACGATTGCTCGGCATAAGGATCGGAGGGCGAACCTGCATCAATTGACGGACGATAGCCTACTGGTAGACCCATCTGTGACTCGACCTGTTGAACACGTTCGGCAAGCTCCTTGATGTATCTGGTCTCATTAGCGAGAAAACTTTTGATTGCTGGATAATGTACCCTTTGCTTGGACCTCTTTTCATAGGTGCCCGTTCGAATTGGCAAGTCAATTTGAGGCGCCGGCAATTGGAGCATGTTTCAACCACGTTGCTGTCAGAAGCTGTGGAATCACATCGCACCTGTGTAAGAAGGTTGATTTCAGTAGTGGTTTAACGCTGTTCCAGCACTGACCTTCTTGCGCCTACACTCGTCACAAGCTCGGGAAACCTTTGACCTCTTCCTGCGATCAGTACCCATACCGTAGCTAAGATCTTGGTTTGGATCCGTGCCAGAATGTTGGCCAGCTATCGATGCTCCAGTAGTTGGCTGTTGCGGTGTCTGGGGTAGACCACTTTGAGAGCCCATAGCAAAGCTCTGCGCCTGCCCGTTGGGTAATTGCGGCGATAATACACTCAGATGCCCGCTTATGTTATGTGAAAGCGAGTTGGCAAGGTTCTGGTCTTCCTGCGAAAGTGATAATGGCTGCGGCCGACGAGTCGTGAAATATTCAGGGCCGCTGGGCATTGGCGTATCACTGGGTATTGGGTCGGGATAAGCGCGAAGTGGTGAAGAAGGTTGCGGATTCATTTCGAAGGCCAACCCAGTGGCGTGCGCAGGTCGCGCGATGCTTTCGTGGATCTGATTGTGATTTTCCGGCGCGGATGGGATGGAGCGGAGAGGGGTGGGAGAAGCAGAAGTGATCGCCGCCATGCGAATGTGAGATAGACCGGCAAGGTAGACACTCAATTGGGCTGGGCTAAGCGAGGGAAGCGGGGTCCGTGTCCTTCAATGTAACTGCTCCATTGTCGTCAATTGAAGCATGATCAACAGAAAGTAAGTGTTTGGAGCCATGGCAGGACAATGACAGAAGCCCGAGTGTTCTAGTGGCTGGCGATCTGGTTTGGAGTGGATATCATCCGGTATTCCATCGGGAGGCTTGACGCCTGACGCCTAACGCTTAACACTTGAGGCTGTGATTGTACGTAGTAGGCTGTAACCCCCAAGCCAGCTCCATCGGTCCGAGGTCAGATTGAGTTGATCCGTCGCCAAACAGGTGCCAATTGATCACTGTGAACCCGTACGAAGCCTCGGAGCGAGCCGTCTTACTGCACCCCTTACGACATAACTACTGTAATGATATGTCATCCATTCGTGGTTCACTGCATCGTTAGTGGCCATCACGTTCACCTTTACTATGGTTCTTGGGTTCGCACCACAGCGGTTATGTGAAAGAGTCCACAGCAGCCAAACAATCTCTTACAGTGTTGTATGGCCAGAGAGGTGATCTACAAATGCTTCAAATCATGTTCCCCTTCTCCGTGATCAAAGAGTCGTTCAGGAGGATGGCAGCTCACAAATTGGAATGTAACATGAGTAAAATTAACAGCACATCGCAGCTGAGGAACGGCCTGGCCACTCGCACAAGATTGGGACTCTTCAGGGGTAAGGCCAAAGAGGACAAGCTGAGCAACGTTTGTATCACCTATCTTCGTTACATGGCACCGGAGCACATCGCGCCAACAGCCGTCGACGGAACAGTGGTAAAGCCAGCTTGGTTGAGCAGCGTCCTCGGAAGGCTTATCCGGAAGATTTTTGTCATGATCTTGTACATCATCTGCAGTGCGTGATTAATATGAGGAGAAATGGAAGCAGAGTTGAGGTTCCAGACTATGCTCCACTGCGATAACTGAACCGGTAACCTTGAGCATCCGGTTCAAAGTGCGAGAATGAATTGCGCAAAATGGGAACAGACACTCAATTGACTCGAAGCCGCTATCTACGTGAAGGCTTTTCGCACCCCAGATACTGCTCTTTTTACCAAGGAATAGACCGACGCCATTCCGTTTGCTTCCCAAAGACCATCCGTCATGTATCCAGTATGCCCCTCTCAAAGTCTCAATCCAAAAATCTGAACATAAACGAGTTCGTCAGTGAGCGAGCGAACAAGCCAGCCCACTGGTGCTTCTGGTTCCCTTTTATGACAACGCCTTCTGCGGACCACAAGGGCACCCAGAACATGTGTTCTCCCATAAAATAGGAGCGTGGCTCCGTCCTATATGCACCTGAGCCCGTCACAGACAGAATGCCAATGTTTTGTGTGACTGCAGAAACAAGGAAGAAATTTTAGATTTATAGATTAAGCGGTAGAGGTCATCGAAAATCGAGCTGGAACCGTTTCCATTTCCCGTCCATCACACCACATCGAGGACAGCCACGACGGACAGGAGCCAATCCAGGTTGGACCGTGATGACAGGACTGCTAAGGATCTGACTGACACAATCAGCGCAGCAAGCACAAATGCATTCAGTGCAGGCAAAGCAACTCTTAAGTAGCCAGGACCGGCCACAACTGGCACAGAATACCTCTAGGCTATCGCTTCGACTGCCCAGTGAGGAGGATTGAGAGTGATGGTAATGGTGAGATTGAAGCTGTGAAGGACTTGTGTCGTTGTTCGCAGAACCTGACGCTGACAAGCCTGAAGTTGAGATGTGGAAATTCTGTCCTGAGATGACGCTCTCTACTGACGATTCAACTGAAGGAAAGGGTTCATTCGCCTCAAGGCCGACCGGCGGCGGAGGCGTCAAAGCGTTCTGCAATGGAGATGCATGATATTGCTGCTGCATCTGGCCTGGAATTCGAAAGCCTGGGGGCAATGATGAGCGCTTGACAGCTTCAGTATTCGTGGTAGATTGGTGGTTGGGTGACTGAGGCACCTAAGACGCCAAGCGTTGTCAGTGAGAATTTTCGGTTCAGGAAATTGGAAGCCGGACACCTCAACAGTCCCCAGAAGAGACAGCCCTCCGATGACCGAGCAACACAGATTCGAAAGAAGGCTATCGAGCGGAATAAAAATCTCACACTTACAGGAGTTAAGTCTCGATCATCGTCTGCCTCGGTTGCTGATGTTGCGGCTTCGATCAAGTCCTCCCAACGTTTTCCCTGAACCCAAGCTGCAGTTGGAGGTTCTGCCGACATAGCTTTCCGCCCTTCCATGCTCAATCTCCGGGAGAATTCCTTCGACTTTGTCCGCTCGTGTTTCGCCTTTCGAGCATTCTGGCCTACAGACGATTTTCGCGGTCTGTGTAGCTTCGCGCTCCGCTGTATCGGTGGCAATGACGAATACCGGCCAGGAGGCGAATGTGCCAATATCGAAGGTAACAGCTCCCTGGGCCGGTTTGCTTGATGCGAAGTCAATGCGTCTTGCCGGAACTGATCTCTCAGGGAAGGCAATTCAATTGAGCCACCCAAACGTTCTCTCTTGATCTGCGGTTCTGAAAATGTATCCTGCCTCAATCAGAAGGAAGATCGAGTCATCAAGCAAAGGAGTATAGATCATATACATATCCACCTACCATTTCGGAGTCCCATTCCGTACCAACTTGGTCTTGATGGAGTTGTGCCAACGCCACAGCGGCATTAGCAGCTGCGGGTGGTGCGTCTTCACCAATTCGCGGGCTAGGGGGAGAACTGATGTCGGCGCCGTAAAAGTCTCGGTCACCGGTATCGGCTTTTTGCAATCAGCGGAATGGAACGCATCGAGGAGCTGGAGATCGTACATTGTCCTCTATGATTTGGGGCTGAGGTTGGCTGAGGTTGAGGCCTATGGGTTGGGGGAGTATTGACCATCAACAGGAAGCTCTCCTCGGTGGCGGGAAGCTTTGGGATATAGTGATCAGGATGAGCTCGCCGAATGTGCTCTTGCATAGACCGAAATCGTTTCTCCTGTTATGAGCAACTTGCATGTCAGTCTTGCACAGTTTGCGAGGCTCGGAGCTGGCATTCCAGGTGCCGAGAGCTAAATTGGGGCACCACTAACCCCCAAACAGCGTTTCCGACAGCTGGAGCCATCTTGGTTTGCGAGCGGACAGACGACCTCGTTGTTGGCATCTGTGAGTGAAAAGGAGCTGGTAAGGGAGGAGCGAGGTGGCATGGCCTGTTGCATGTATTCGAGGGAAGGGTTGGCGGCGGGATGTGTCCTGGGTACATAGAGGTTATGACAGCACCTCCTCGGAGAATAGGAGATTTAAATCTCGATGTTAGAATCGTCTAGACGTCGCATAGTCCTTGAAATGGCTGTAAATGGTAATACAAATGTCCAACTCGGGTGGCATCGATCTGTTCTTTGAGTTGGAACAATATGTCGTATTGTGGGAGGGATGAACATGGGGGATCTGGAGCTCAAGCTCCCTTAGCTATCGATAAAGGGTCATGGAGGGGGCGGCTTGCGCGAACAGCTAGCTAGCGTAGCTTCTCTCTAAGCCTTCCAAGTTGCAAATCGAGGGCCAGAGGGCCAAAAGTCTGACCGCTGACCATCGACTAGCCCCATGTGCAAGCTGCACAACCCATACTACACGGTAGTTTCCACCCCCTCCCTCTCTGATTTGCCACCAGGCCACCCTGAAGCAGCACGCCAAACAACAACACAGCACTTTGACTGGCAGCTCCATCCACAACTAACATTCAGGTACCCATCCAATTGCACGGGCCCAACAACTTTTTATCTAGCTGAAACAACCAAGATATCAGCCCTGGAGCCGAAGCTGAAGATTATCTCGCCCCATTTGGAAAGGTAGAAACGCTGCCGGTGCGCTACCTCTTCAGGTTTAGGCCCCAGGTATAAAAAGCCCGCTACTCCACCGTCTCCTCTGTCGTCCCATCTTTCTGTCTGCTATTCCCTCCCGCTCCTTTCGCATCCTTCCAGCTGGCCTCCTCTTTCGGTTGGCTGCGCCGCCGCCTCCAGATCCTGCAGTACCACGGCGTCGCGCGCTGACTGGATTCCAGCCTCAAACTGACCCTTCCCTCTCCACCTGCGTGCTCTCGTTCGACGGCTTCCCGGCCAGTTGATCCCACCGTTGGCCGGGCTTTCATCAACGACACAGATACACAGTCCGCTCTACTAAAACCGGTAACTGGTGATTTATATAATAGCCGCCTCTTTCAATATTCTACTCTCTATATCTCATCGTATTATCGACCGCTTAACCTATATATCCTTTATTGAAAACACCAATAATACTATGAGATTATTCTATATTTTAATTCTCCCCTTCTTCAGGGGGCTATGAATGATTTCAAATCCAATGCAGGAGAGGATTAAGGTAAGCTAGGGTGAGTGGTGAGGAGCAGTTCGCCGCCGACCGCCGACCACTAGTATATCTGGTTGCGGGATTATTGTCGTAGTACGCCCAGGCGCTGCTGACGAAGCCCGCAGAGAGCAGATTGCAGAGATTTCGGAGCTAGATAGTGTTAGAATCCCTGCGTTTATGATACGTA